CTCATGGAGTTGTACTGTGACCTTTGCTGTAAGTCAGACATGTTGAGAATATGTCTGGTCATGCCCCCTCAGTGACTAAGCACAGCTCTCTATCTCCAGGTCTTGTCCCACCTCTTTTTTTCTCTCACTTTATTGCCATTGCTGCATAAACCCAGGCCATGCCTGAGTGTTCCAAGTTCACTGGCTTTCAATGGATGTTTCACAATCATCGTCTGTACATTTTGACATATTATGTATCTCCAATTGTTGATGAAGTGTTAAAGGAAGCATTCATGTAATTTAAATAAAGCAGGAATGCTACACTTTGAAAAGTACTGAGCAAAATCAACATGTACTCAAAGGCTTTTCTTGTTAAACATTAAATATACTTCCATTTATTATGTATTGCAAACGGACGCCCCACTGAGCAGGGCATTCTGGGACTCCTGTTATCCAGGAAGTGGCAGAGTTTGCCAACTTCTCTCCCTTTAAATGTAACAATCATGCATTTAAAGCAAACGGTGGTATACCATAAAATAAATGCACATTGTTACAGGGTTGGTTTTATTGGAAAGCTTTTTGGATTAAAGACAATGAGTGATGCAGCTGAAATGGGCAGGTGTCTCTTGGTGTCCTAGTCGACTCTCAAGTGTGTCCGCACCATAACCTCAACGCACTGTCTGCAGCCAATTACTCATGGATTTCTGAGGATTATTGATATCATCCACATCCACTAAGTAACCCAGTTTTCGTAGAAATGTATATCTAGGCAGCTTGAAAAAAAAAACATGACATCATCTTGTCCTAAACCATTAAAGAGGACTTATTCTGCTGGGCTGCACTCTAACACATATAGGCCCAGCACTACAGTGTTGGATTTTTATACTAAGACACACAGATGGATTGATGTGTCCACATCCTGACATCAGGTTGTGCCGTCCTATTAGGACAAGGTTCATTTTGTTTCCATTCTTTTTCCTTTTTTCAACACTTTGTTGATTCAATGTGCTTCGAAAAGTTTCTTGTCAGTTGTCTTTTGGTTGTTAAGGAAAGTCACAGCTATTTTTCCTACCAAGGATGAAGAGACACCCTTAAACAGCAGGGACTTTTTATGTTTACAGGACAAAATAGCTCTTCATGCTCAACACTTCACCGACGGCTCTTTTGTAAACAAAGGCCAGTCTGAGCTGGATGTGTATCTCAGCTGTTACTGAAACCTGGGGCTGTTTCATCTATAACCCTCCCGGAAAGCCAGAGCTGCAAGCTATAAGTAACAGTGACAGCAGCTCATGTAACGATAGCTAATGTTTGCTCCCGTGGCTAGATGGCGAGCCAAGTAGACCTAAGTGGCAACAGATAGTCTTAGATGTTCACGACAAAGGTATGGCTTTTGGGTTGTTTTGTGACAATAAAACTTAACTGTGAGTGAAGTAACTCACAACCTGTGTCAAACTAGGAACAGCAGTCAAGATGTTAGCAGCTACAAAATCCTCACATGAAGGTTTTCATGGGTGGCGGTAAGGAGATTTTTTTTTTAGCAGAAATTTATGTAAAGCTGGTGTAAAGGTGTACCAGACCAACATAATCAAAAAAAAGATTAAATAAGTAGAGAGAGTGTCTTTTTGGACAGGCAAAAAAAAGCATATTTATTGTGAACCCTATGTTCTGTTTGAGACAAAGATTTATTTTGTTTAGGGGCTGACACAAGCCTGTTAAAACTTCACTTTTAGTGATTTCTTTGCAAACAGCAACTATCACAATGTGTGTAGTAAATGGTCACAAAAGGTGTACATTGATGTCTTTCTGTCTGTTCACTTGTATAGTGTGAGAGTTTGGTCTGAAAGATAAACTTTGAATGAATCTGTGGCTGTAGAAAAACAGGGATGAGCCATCAGCAGGCAGTTAAGTCTTAAAATGATAAATAATCATCTGTCAGCAACCAGCAGTTTAATTGGGGCTGTATCAAACAGTGCTTATGGTAATGTGCGCTATGATAGGGTCTGACCCTGCGGTACCCCGGTGCACTAATCCAGCTCCATGGCACATATTCAGGTTTCCATGGGGAGCTCTTTCCACTCCACCACACACAGACGATGTTTTTCCACAGGAGGAACAGTGAATGTGAGGATACGTCATGTCTTATTTTTACTGCCTTATCAAATCTGTGCAGTAAAATAAAAAAAAGAATGTTGCAGTTAAGCAGATATTGTATCTTGGAAAACTGAAATGTTCGTTTTTTTTGGGGGGGAGGGAGGGTATAGGGTGTCTGGATTTGCTTTGTTTCTGTTACCTGATGCAAAAATGCAGTAAAATGAAACAAATACCAAAGTCAAAGTCAATGATACACTCAGAGCAGAAACCTTGAAACCTGTCAACCAAATGGATCATCAAGCAGACTAATATACTGATGAAATAATGCAAATAAATACATGTAAAAACACTTATAACAACGGGCTAATCCAGCCTGAGCTGTATGTACTGAAAGGATTTCAGAGCTTCTTTTTTTCAGGTGTTCACACATTCACCACCAAACTCAAACGTACTTATAATCGTTTCTATCCATGTTACACCCTCGGAGATCCCTGTAAATGCAGTAGACAAACATATGAGTAAGTACTGACCAAACTTTACTCACAAAGGCTAAAACACAGACACAACCCTATTACTATGGAAATTAACTCAAAGAAACCTTTATATAATTTGTGTTAGCCATCAAACAAGATATTATATGATATAACACGATACAGTAAAATATGGCATTACACAGCAAGACAAACACAACACTACTCAGCTTATATCGATACAACAGGTACAACATAACATGGTTTCAAGTTGATTCCATACGATTTGATTTAGAAGGATAGGAAACTAAATGAATAGTGCTTGTATGATTGAATACAATATAATATGGTACATTTATGGCATGATACAAAGATATATAAAAAAACAAGATGGTATGTACAATATGATCAAATACAACACTGTCATGCAACACAATACAGTAAGATATGATATGGCATGATACAATACGATACGCAACATCATGATTTGTTACAATTCACGTTACAATACAATACGGTATGATATGATACGATACAGTATAATGAAGTATGAAACAGTGTGATACGATACAAAAACATTCAACATTACATGATACAATATCCGTTAATCTAAGACAGTATGGTATAATAAGATACAACAGGAAAGGATAAACTGATACAATAGGACACAACATATTACAATACAATATGACATAATATAATTCTATTCAGTATTATAGTTAGACTGTGTTGTCCTTGTTCAGAACCTTTTTTGGACTCTTATATTTCACACATCTAGCCTCTCTCCACAGTTTTATTCATTGAAATAATAATGTTTTATTAGAGTGGCAGAGGCCCATACCACTCACAACTATATTACACATGATAAACATTTTAACATTATGATCAAAAATGACAAAACATCAGAGAAGCATACGAACACCATGAACTACTACAGCCTGAGGAAACATTAGGACAGATCAGCTGCATCTGCTTGAAGGTCTGAAGAAACACCTAATTTTGTTTTGAACATTTTGCAGCATGCGTTTACACATGTGTGCGAGGGCAGGAGGCAGCCTGGTTGTGTTACAATCCAACATTCACAGGGCTGAGCAGTTTTAACCACCATCATCCGCATGGCACCCACACCACTCAGTTGTTTCATGTTTCACTGACAGCGGCTATGCTATGCCTGCTGGCAGCTGGTTGCTCAGCATAGGGTTAATTATATCCAGCTTCACTGCCCCGCACAGAGACACACTTTTAGCTCTGGAGAGTCATCGCAGCAGTGATGATGTTGACAGCAGCCCTGACCGTGAGTCACCTGTTCTTTTCACACAGAGGTACTTCACTTCTGCTCTGGTCAGAGCAGCAAGCGATGAGGAGAAGGCTTGTGAGAGTGTGACACACAGCTGCACACATGACAGCAGGGCTAAACGTGGTGTACTGAAGAGGAACGTGAAAATGAATCACAGAGGTAAAAACAGTCAAAGCTGAAATAAGTAATGGATCTTTTCTTTAAAGAGCTGGAATCTGTTAGTTTGAAGTGAAACGGGACGCTTTCCCAGTTTTTGTTTTCTGTAAATTGACTTCAAAGAAAGAGAGGGGGCGCCCATTTGAAAATGATTTTTTAGATGGCTTCAAAGTCATTTATCTGCTGATAAATGTAAAATGCAGTTAAGTACATCCTTTTATTCTGAAATCCAGCAGCACAGCAGGCTGACTGGGTGGCCTTCTTTGTCTCCGTGCCACACCAGTGGGGGTTAAAGAGCATAACACTCTCCAACAAGCGAATAATCACCTGTAGCCAGGGAGAACCCAACGCTGCCGACATGTTTACCCACTGCACAGTCATGACCTAGTTCTCCTCTGCTGATGTTCAGTCTCACTCATCTTCACATTTCTCTTCTTCTACAAACATTTTTGGCTTCTGAAGGCCACAGAGCGCTGAGGTTGAAATGCGTTACAGCTGCTGAGGCAATGATGCTTTGGCTTCTTGGGGAGAAGTCTGACCGTCTGTTTTGCATTAAATCAAAATACATAGGTTGCTTTACTAGCACGATTTGACTGAGTGATTTAAAGTCAAATGAGGAGACAGATTTATAGAAATCTGAAGGAATGTAAGATTCAGGACAACTTTATAGGTCTGTTTTTCAAGGACTGAGCTTTGCAACCATGACACACATCTCTGAAATGTTTTGAAACAAATTTTTTCCTTCCTACCTGTCTTTCTGTAAGCCCTTATAAAAACAGTAAAAATGGCATGAAGGGGAATTTACTTTACTGGTTTAAAACTACAAGCAAAAATCATCCATCATACAAATAGGGTTATGAATAAACTCTTCCACTTTGAAGACGATAATATCACACATCTAAAGCATCTGCTTCATTTGTACTCTTTCTAAGGTGGGTAATATCAACCCACTGGAGAAATCATCTGCCATCTGCACACCCTCCTTCAAAAAAATTTACCAGTAGTAGTTTTAGAGGGTTTTAGTGCGGTGTTTTTATTTCCCTGCACACAGAAGTGACAGCTGTGAGTATAGTCAGACTGCAACCACAGTTGTCACAGCCTATCTGCTGTAATCACCGACCTTCAGGATATTATTCTCCAGTTTTCAATTTCAATAATTATAGGCAAACAGTTTAACCTTGGGCACAGGATACACATCATGTCATCAGTATTTTAGAACACTTTGAAGATGATATCTGCTTGAAATTACTATTGACAAGAGAAAAAAAAACATCAGTGCCACAGTCCGGAAGACTTCCTTTTGTCTGTTTATTTAGTGAGAGTGAATATTTGAGTAGATGGAGAACAGATAGTGATTTTTAAAACACTGTATTTTAAGAAAAACTGTGAGCGACCTTGTTTTGAAATTACATTGTTTTATCAGCTTCAACTAGTTTTCCAGGTTTACTTTCTCTATTAGTTTTGTTGTGCCCTCTAGACACACACAGACACACACGCACAAAGCCGGATTTCTTGCCTGTCTTACCACATGTAGGGAACATGCATGTCTTCATTGTTTCCAGGACTTATCCAAACACAGGATCTTAACTTTGGACTTCCAACCTCAGTTATGTTTGTCATTAAACCTCAGTATCCTTAGTTTTTTCATTTAAATGTTAATATTTTTTCACAGCGTAGTCATGGGGGATAACAAATAGGACAAATGACTGAAACAGATTTTTTATTGATCAAATATTACAGTTCTACTGTTTCATCTTACAAAATACAAACAAGTTTGTTCATACAAGCACTGCTTGTAATTTTGCACAACCTATGGGTCTCGATGCAGACTGCTAAATGAACCACACTGACTATGGCAAAGTGTTTCTTCAGAAACTCTTCCTAAAACGCCTTGCTCTGAATGGTTTTGTGTTCCAGATTAAGCTTGACTGAAATCCTTATTCACATGCTGCCCCCTATTGGCAACAACGAACTCCTGTTACTTAATCCAACAGGTGGAGAGTTAGGTTTCATGCTGTAACTATAAAGGTCGCAGCCACGAAAAAAGATAGCCTGTCCTGCATGGACAGGGTCTCGACAGTCCTAAAACATTACCTAGTTTTATACAGTCCAACACCGAGTCTGTGCTTTTGACCAGAAACACACAATGTGACAGGAAATGCACAGTCCAAACACACCCCAACTAAAAGCGTGTCATCAGTTCACATTAGCAGGAAACAGTGTCAGTGATAATACTACGATTTTGTTCCAATCCAACAGTTTGGATGAAGCAAAAAACAAAACAAAACAAAACATGCATCACTTAGAAACTAATGGTAAACGTTCCAAGTTACTATCCTGTCTACGTGAAAAACATGTGACACATTCATTCACTTCAAGTTTCCAAAAGTGATGGAGCTCACAAATATATATTTACCATTTAGTCTCACTTCACCTGACGTACAAGACATAAAGAACTGATTACAAGTACAGTCCATAACTCTTTATGCATACATCCAAATTAAAACCTGCACATAACATCCTTTTAAACCCTGACTGCTCATTCATCTAAACTCTGTCACTCGGGATGCACGTGATAACGCTACCATGTTGTAAATCTAGATGAAGGGAGATGGCTGTTCAGAGTTCACCACTTTAAATAATCTACACGTTTGCTCATACCTCTTGCATCTAGTCATATTTTGAGTATTCCCAGATTTTAGGATGTTTGCATGGAGTTAATACCAAAAACTGGAGGAACACAGCAGTTGTGATGTATGGCTTGAGGTTCTGTGGAGGCATGTTCTGGGTGTCTTCATAAAAAGGCATTAAAAAAATATCACTATATTGTGCTTCAAAGTATTACTAAGATTTGCCTCCATTGTGAAGGAACTAGACAGTAAAATATAGAACAGTTCTGATCAAACACACTGAACATTTAGACAATCCAGGTGGTGCTGATTTAACTCATTAGAATGACATCTTGAGGTTCAAAATAAAACACACACATCACTATGAGACTTGTGGTTTGTTGGGAACACTGCCAGTGACACCAGGCAGCGATGCAGCAGCTCCTTCTGTTGTCTTAAACTCAGGGCAGCGGGATGAAACCTGTGTCGGGTGCATCCCCTTGAATCAGAGTGGTGCGGCTCAGCGACGGAGAGGGAGCAGCCAGACGGAAAGCCGGGTTTATGGAGTGCAGCGAGTCCCTCTTGCTGCTCCTGCTAAACAGCGGGCAGTGAGCGGCCACAGCCTGGTGGTCGAGTTGTTGCGAGCAGCCAGCCGAGGATGAAGCGTCTCTTGAAAGTGCTGCAGCGCTGGAGACCTCCCCGTTGAGAGGAGTCGTCTTTGGTGTGCCAGGGGAGCACAAGCCTTGAGAGTCCAAGGAGTGGACCATCCTCTCCAGCACGTCCTTGGTGCTCGGAGTGCACTGCATGAGGAAAAAAAAAACACAGAGAGGTCAAAGAAGTTGAAGAAAATCAGCTCCAGTAACAGGTTGTGTTATAGAAGGCCAGACAGGACAAAATGAATTGAACACTAAGTGGTTAAAATGATTCGTTCAGAGCTCAGCAAGCGGAGTGAAGGCCATGTAAGCAGTGAGGACAGTGCTGATCCAGATGGAGAAGCATGAAAGAAGTGAGTTAGATACAGACAATGAAGACAGTGGCCACTTCCTGTGTTTCTTAATGCTCTGACAAAAGCGGAAAGCGAGACATGGTTCAGATGAGTTTGATCTTGCCAACATCTCCATGCACACAAATAAGACCCCATACATGTTAAACATGATCTAATTCAACTATAAAAGAAAAGAGGACAGTTAGATGATCGATCCTCAGTCAAGAGCTCCATCCTCGACTGAGCAAGAGTGAGTGTTAGTGAGAGGAGAATGAATGACAGAAAAGCATGCACATACACCATTTACAAGATTAGCCCTGGCTCTGTTAGCATTAGCACCTACAGAAGAGATTGAACACTGTGTAAAATGTTGACAAAACAAAATTTGATGGTTTAGAAATCATTTAAATTCTGTATTTTATTGAAAAAAGTGCAAAGACAACATGTAAAATGCTGAAACTGTAAAAAGGAGGAAAATATTTATGCTCATTTTAAATTAAACACCAGCAGCATGTTTCAAAACAGCTGCGACAGCCAAATGTATTCAATAGGTGACAAGTCAGGAGTGTAGGCTGGCAAGTTAAGCACCCAGACTCTTCTACAACAGAGCATGTAAAAGGAAGTTTGGCATCTTTTTGCTGTATTATGCAATGTCACACATCCCCATACCATCAGTGATGCATCAGGGACTTTTAACTGTGTGCTGGTTGCTACAGGATGTGTCCATCATTTTCAAAAGACAGTCAGATTTCGCTTTATCAAACCACATGAAAATTTTCTACAAGACTGAGTTTCAACTAGGCTCATTACTTTCATTTCTGCATCATGCTTAAAGTTTCAACATTGCATGGTGCAATACAATTGTTACTAGCATCTGTGGATGGGGCCATAAATCTGGTTCACAGACAATGTGTTTTTTAAATGTAATTTTGAGCTCATGCTGATATTTTCCACTCCAGGGTAAAATCGGTTTCATTGCAGTGCTACCCGGGGGTCTGAAGAGCTCAGCCATCCATTATGAGTAATCAGCCTTGTCCCTTTTGAAAAGACATACCATAAAAGACGTACAATAAAAATCTAATTCTTTGCAGTTGAACACTCATGAAAATTATTACAGTGAAATTGAAACATTTCCTTTCCCAGTCTCCCAGCTTTACTTCAGAAGGGGTGCCCCTTTAAATACCTGATACTTTTAAATACTTACTACCTTCAAGGTTTTTTTACACAACTTTTTCATCCCTGTTCCAACAGTTTGAAGCATGTTGCTTTTTCAAACATAAATCAAGACTATTTCCATAAAACAATAAAACTTATAATTTTCAGCATTTGGTAAGTTGTTGTTTTTTTCATAATTTTCTATAAAATTTAAGCTTCAAACTATTAACAAACCATTACATCCTGCTTTTGTCAACATTTTACTCAACTCCTAAGTCATGGTTGTACAAAAATGTATTCGGAAAAGACAATAACAATTGAGATGATGATGATGATTCCAAACTTGACGACATAATGTGTCATGAAAATAGACAGTGAGTTTGGCGTGAAGCAATGTTGTGATGGGTTTGAAGTTCAACCCTACTCTTACCATCAACCATCTACATGCAGCAGTGCCCTTCAGGCTGTGCAGGACAAAGAAATATCCTGACAGTTCTCCTCCTGGCAGGGTGGAATGGATACAGTCAAACACTGAGAGTCAAGGTACAAACATATGAAACAGTTCAACCGACCTGCTCACAAGGTTTTACTGACTTAAGTGTATCAGTATCAGGAAAACACCTGCAGGTCTGGAGTGAAACTCAAGGTATCATAAAAGGTGGCAAAGTAGACTCAACACAGAGACCAAAATACAAAATTAATATTTATTTAACATAAAATGAACATTTTTCAAGAAAATAAAATGGGTAAAAATATAACAAGTAAAAGATGATGATAGAAAAGAAAGTTACTAGATAATAAACTCACTTGACATGGTGACCAAATGAAGTTGCAAATGCAGTCAAGCTGTGTGACCTGAGCAGTTAAAGTGCTGATAAATACAGAGCTGAACACCATTTCCATGTTCTTGGACTCCATTCAGTTCGTTGTGTTCATAACACTTCAGTGAAGCAAACCGAGTGGAACATTTGCAAGGAGGTAGATACAGCAGCTCAAACGTAAAGGCAATATAAACAACACAGTGCGTAACCCTGACATGTTTACTGGCGATAATAAATCTGCAGCATTCTGACGGAGTAACTCAGCCGGTCAGAAAGACCTGGACAAATAGTTCAATTTGTCTTGAAACAACTCTCTACACAGTTACCTGCGTTTTTAGCTGCTCAATGGTGCCAAACAGTGATGCAGGTGGTTTCCAGGACATTTTGTTTTTCAGGCTCTGAGAACAAATAACACTGCACTATTTTCCAGTGTGCTACACAGTGATAAATTCCCTCCTGAGAAAGGTTTCCATTTTGATGTCGACTCTCACTGGCCAACTTAATCATTCCTTTCGTGAAAACAGACTTTTTCTCATTTATCTAATTTCATAAGCTAACTCTCGTTAATTTTGTCCCATTCCAGACAGAGAGTACCTAACACAGCATTCATCACTCATAATCCATCTTTCATAACACTGGAATCTGTTTCAAAGTACTGCATGATGGCAGCTCTGCTCAAAGACTGACTGTACGTCTGGAGGTTTGGACAAATACATACACAAAGTGGATAAAGCACACTGGGGGTCTGCCAAATAACAACAACACAGGAGCTATGGGACAGTCGGGACTCGGGAGGGAACACAGGCTGGTTCACCCTACCATGTGCGCGTCGTTCTTAGCCGTGAAAGGAGGCAGCTCGATCTCTGAGGCAGAGACAGCGGGGATTGCTTCATCATGAGGAAGGAAACCTCTTCTGTCGATCAGACTGGAGAACAGAACAAAAGCGATAATGTCACAACACAGATTGCAACTAAAGCTCTGACTGTGGCAATGTTCATGAGGCCCTATAACTGACATGTTTCTAGACCCACAGCTGTTAAATAAAGACTGAGACCCTTAATAAGCAGTGGAAGAGAGTGGGTGAGTTGTGTTTAGTCTCTTTGCTTAAGAAATAAGGCAAAGCTGAAAAGGTGTTTGGTGGCTAGTACTTTGGCTGGGACCCTATATGTACTGTTGATGAAGTTAGGTGCTGTTCTGATTATTTTTTATGTCTATAGAGTGTCATTTTGGTTGTGCATGTGGCTCCTGAGACTGCTGTGTATTGCTATCCTGCAGTCGTTACTAAAGTTGGTAAAACTAGAGAAGCAAGCGGTCTGCAACATTCATCTCTCGATGGGGTGTCTAACTTGGTGTTGAGGTGTGTTTGACCCTAGCCTTATTTTATCCCTTTAAAAACAGAATATGGTCAAACATTTTTCAGACAAACACGTGATTCATTTTTGTCACACATACTGTCAAGGAGCAGAGTCTGCACAATAAATTTTGATTTTGATCACATGGGGGTCAGGAACAGAGAGAAAGAGTAAGAAAGACAGTGACTTTACTGATCAGCTGATCACTCCACTTGGAAAACATCCATATTTAGAGTGAATTAGCACTGATTTCTCAATGTGGACTTATTGACCAAGTTTTGGACATCAGTGACATCACAGCTGGTTATACGTTTTGTGTTGTGCTTTTGGCAATCCTTTCTTTATGGTGCTGTCCTGTGCCACTGTAAAACATCATCTTAGTCTTGGATTGCTGGGATTGCAAACTGCAATATTGAGTGAAACTTTTTTTTGAATGGAAATTTAGGTATGTAGGAAAATGTACAAAACACAGTGCCCGGGGAGGAATTAAACCAAGGAGACACAAACAGGCAGAGAGACAAAGCACAAATGATATACTGTACAAAATGACCAAATACAATACTGTACAATATATCAAAAATAGAATATTGTGAAAGTTAATAAGTAACTTGAAATCAAATATACAATTTTTTTCAGATTTATAAAAGGCCATGTTGTTTTTGGGGCTGTGGGAAAGGTTCTTTTCACTTTCTTAAACAGCTGATGGAAATTTTTGAACTTTTTCATGCTTTTCTTATATTCGAGATGTGCAGGTATAAACAGGGTAGATCTACACAATTATGACCAAAATTATAATCACCATTATTTTCATCAACATCAGGATTGTTAATCACAATGACATATCAATTTAAGGCATGACGCTCTGATGTTAGTTGCTTAAAAACATTTATATCCACAGCACTAGCCATCAAACATCTTTTTCGCTTTGCCTGATTTCTTTAGCAAAGAGACTAAACACAACTCACCGTCTCTCTCCCAGCCGCTTGTTTGTAGCGAGACCTCTGGGCGAGTCCATCGACTACTGCTGGGTGATGCAGCTCAAGAAAGATTATTTATGATCATTACTTTATCATTTCCTTGAAGTAATAATCACCATATTAATTATTTTGCACTGCAGACGCGGTAGTTCTTCTGCCTTAGCGTTTCGGTCTGATTGCATTTCTGTGAAAAAATGATCATAAATGTTCTTCCTTGAGCTGCGTCCTCCCGCAGCAGTCCGTAATGGACTGGCCCGGGGGTCTCTGTACAAACAAGCGGCTGCTGGGAGAGAGTAGGTGAGTTGTGTTTAGTCTCTTTGCAAAAGAAATCAGGCAAAGCTAAAAAGATGTTTGGTGGCTAGTGCTATGGCTGTGACCCTATATGTACTGTTGATGAAGTTAGGTGCTGTTTTGAGCATTATTAGTGGCTATAGAGTGACTTTTTGGTTGAGCATGTGGCTCTCTGTATTGCTATCGTGCGGTCGTTACTAAAGTTGGTATAACTAGAAAAGCAAGCGGTCGGCAACATTCATCTCTCGACGGGCGTGTCTGACTCAGTGTTACGGTGTGTTTGACCCTAACTTAATTTTACTCCGGAATATCCCTTTAAGTTTATAGAGGGTAGGACACACATTTTAAACCCAGATAATTGCATTTAATCATACTTTTCTGATGGCCAGAAACATGAAATGGATTCAATGTGCAGCCCTAGACCAGGGTACTGGGTTTCTTGAAACACTCTTCACAGGTGAGGATAACCAGATCCCCAATATGATTCTTTAGAAACACTGGTGGGTGAAAAAGTAACAGATATATGTAGCTGGGATCCTCACCTAGGAGGCATGGGTCCACATAACGTTGCACAGCAGTTGGTTATAATACTGTTGTAAGTGTACGGGTTCCCAGAATCCTCTGCACCTCTTTTACTTGACCAGGAGCCCTTTATCTGTAAAGTCATTTTTAAAAAAATGTAAGCGCCAATTGTCGAGTTCATTTAATCAAAAAATTATGAGCAATCACATACAAGAGCATGCATACTTACATCTTCATTTGTTGTGAGGTTAGAGGCTACTAAGTAAGTATGGAAGCCTGAGAGGCCCAGAATAGACCAGATGGAGAAGAAACAAACCACCAGCTCCACTACAGTGCAGGAGAAAAGAGTCAAGGCTTCATATCACATCTGCAAACAATGATTTAATGTTCGTGGTATTCACAACTGGTGATAAAAATCTGTGTGTAACAGTATTCACAGAAGATTCAGGGGTTCATTCATTTGAATATTATATTGAAATGGATGCCCTACGCTGTCAAAGCACCGTATGAGATCTGCTCTGTGAGTTAACAGGAAAAGAGGCTACAGGATATGATGTCAAGCACATCATATCAACTATGAGTAAATGAACTCACACCTTTAGTAAATACCCCATCAAACCCCACTGTTGTCTGTGGTCTATATTTGTCTGGCTGCTGACATCATACCAGCAGGACATGAGGCAGCAAACCTCCTACTGAGAAGCCATCCGCCCAGAAGCACTGCTTTGCTAATGCTAACTCTCTGATCCTATTAAGTTTGAGCTTAGGCTGAAGAAGAGCAGTGAGAACTGCAGTGTCAACAATGTTGTTTGTGTTATTTCTTGGCACGACACAGTCGTTAATTCAAAAAAAAAAAAAGTTGATAATTTGTTGCACAAAAAGGATATCTGGCAGGGCTCTCTTGAATGGCTTGAACAATGGTTTTACCCGCTTGAGTGCCTGTGGAAAAAAATCAACAAATCAAATGTAAAATAAATCCTAAATGTTGGTGATTCTTTATAACCTTGACAGGACAGAAACACTGTGTATGTGACAAGTGCATGTGTTTTTGTGTACACATGACGCTGGAATACTTACGCAGAGTGATGTGTGTGATGACACAGCCAAATATAAAAGATGTCAGAAAAGACAGAGAGATGATGAAACTGTAGAAAAAGCGGTAATTTCGTTTGCCAACACAGTTCCCCACCCATGGACAGTGGTGATCGAATCGTTCTAGGGGGGAATAGAAAAAAACACATGACTTATTAAGGACAAATGCAAAGTATGAAAGTAGTGAGGCTTAAACCTACATCAGGTTTATTGAATTGTTTTGTTACTCTGTGGTCAAGTGTCCAGATGATCAAATGTTTTCGACTGTTTCCATAATTCCTCCACTACAATGTGGTACATATATCCAAAAACATTTCAGTATACGTCATTGTCACACTACAACATACATTGTGTGCAATGAGAAAATCGTATTTGATTAGCTTGGGCTTTTATTAAACTCAGTAACTGTCCTCAGCCTGACTGGGGAGGCAGAATAATAAACTCAAGCACAACTGGTAAATATATCCATATATATCCATAAAATATACTGTCAGGAGGAAGACATGAAATTATTAGAGTCTTCATCTTTTAACCTGTCTGATGGGGGGATACTCCATATTCTGTGTCTGGATATAAAAGTTTACTCTTTCTTGCAAAATGATGAAATAATGCTTTAAAGACTATGTGAAAATACTGCAAAATTAAGTAAGAAGTTCCAACAATGCACACAACATAAATCCAAACACAACTAGGTTTGACTTCTACAAGAAGATCAACCTAAATTCTATAAAAAAAATAAAAAAAAACACAGCCTGAGCTGTCCTTGCTCATCATACCTAGTTTTTCAGAATAAGCGCAGGTAAGTTAAGTGTTTACATCCCACAAAATCCTTACCAACACAGTTGTCACACAGGCTGCAGTGGGAGGTCCGAGGCGGGCGAAACGTTTTACAAGTGAAGCAGTATTTGAGCTTTACCACCTGCTGGTTGATGAGGATCTCCTTGGTCCGCGGTGGGGGGCGGTATGTGGAGGATCCTGAGGTATCTTAAAATAGAGAAGTACATGGCGCAGAGACTTCATGATCAAAACACTTCCCCACCAAGAAACTTCATAATATACGGAAGAGAATAGCACAAATACGTCTCTGTACATCTCTGTCACTCTTTTAGAACAAGCTGCATGGGTTTTTGTCTGCAGATCAACAACAAGACATCCCTCAGAGATCCCCCATATGGCTAAGCTCTTTTACCCCATCTGGCCCAAAGCCAGTATACGTGGATTTCTATGGTTTGCCTTACCTATCTGCTTTTCTACGTCTGCTGCTTCATCTGGGGTCGCCCTTGGTAAGATACCTGGATCTGTAAAGCTGGTTCTTAACAGGGACAAGACCACGAACACAAAAAGTACCCCACCAATCACAGGTATGAAGACAGTCAAATGCTTCACCAGGAATGGGCAACTATCAAAAAGAGACAACAGAAACATTTTAGCATGTCACTGCAAAACCCACCTTAATATCCAACGTGCAATGCATTTCAATGTAATAGCAATCCTACAAGATTAGGGATAAATCTTCTTGAATTACTTCATACGTTTAAGTAAAATCTGAAATACATAAAGCGCTTCTGTGCAGTACCGGGTACTTACTCGAATGCAAAGAAAAGGCCACAAGTAACAATAATAAGGCTGAGGGTTAGAGGAAGGACACCGTTTTGTCTGGCCAAGATGATCCGTCCATCGCAAAAAAACCTGTTCTTCCCCGGGAAAACCTCCCATTTTCTCCGCGGACGCTGCGCTTTCTTCTCGGTGTGGTTCTGCGCCGACGACGGCAGCACTGACAGCGCCCGTGGGTCGATCTGCTGGTATTCGCAGTTCTTCATCCTTTATACACCGCCCGGAGGTAGTAGAAGGCACAAAAACAAAACAATCTTTTCTCGAAGCTTTTTCTAAGAACAGCACCTTCAATACTCAGTCATTGTACGCTGATATTTCGCCTGTTCGGTTAGCATTCAGATACCCATTCTGAAAGCTAACTCTACCTAGCCAGCTAGCGAACCAGCGAAAAAGCGTTTGTCTTCGTTACAGTTTCACAAACTGAAGCTGCCTCCGGGCTCAGTACCATCTTGTTTGTCAAATTAAATCAATTCTTCAACGAGACTCTTCATATTTTGTATCAATTGGCTTTTATCACAAATTCCTTCCATTCACAGCAAGCTTCCTCTTCAGCCTCCTCCAGTTCACATTTCCTTTTTTTTATTACCGTCAGTCAACCAACGTACGTAACGGTGAGAATGCTGACGTACACGTCGGGCGAGGACTCAGCGCTGACTTGTAACGGCTGTGGATGAATAACAGACCAGTGAGAGCACGTGCAGTGTAGGAGGAGACTACTTATAGATCAGTTATTTCTGTGTCAGCCTTCGTATTATCCACTAAGATTAACATATGCAGCTCTGTGTTTTTCCACATTGAGCTATTGAAACACTAATATATTGTGTTAATTTTGAGAAAATTAAAAGTTCGCATGTCTTTTACTGCTTAAACTATCTTGACCTCTGAGCTCATGTCCTCGTTGTCTCATTGTCCGGGGGATTTTAGGGTCTGTAAATCAAGGAGCATCTTTGCCATTGTATATTCTCTTTAACTGTGTAGTTGAGCCAAAGGGTAAATTGAGCCACCCCCCTGTTGCTTTGAAATTGTAAAAAAAAAAAAAAATTGATTATGTGACCAAATATTTAGGAGATGGGCATCAATTCATAGAGTCTGTGGAGGTTAGAAGCACATGGGTGAAGGGGTTAAACATTTGTTTACAAAAAAAAAAAATAATCACCCTTGAAAGTGAATTTAGTCTGTCATAAGTTTTATTAGAATTATGTTCAAACCAAAAAAAATATTATTTTAAGTTTGTTTTATACATCAATGGTGGTATATATGAGCTACAACAGGAGGTCAAAAACTGAGCATAAAAGTCCACCATTTTAGCTTAAAGGAATAATAAAGTCATCATAGTAGTTCTGGGGTAAGTTGAGCCAGTAGATCAACTGAGAAAGTAAAGGAGTCTGATGAGAGGATCAGAGTTTCAGTTCAGATTGTTGAAATGTGTTACTTTGTCTTTTCAAAAATACAGCTGTGAATGTTCTGAATCACTTAAAGAAATTCTCATGTTAAAATGGCTTTTTGCAAAACAGCTTTTTAGCAGTTATATGAAATAATAATAAGAATTATTGTACCAGTTGAATAGTTAATATAGATAAAAAAAATACACATGAATGTGAAGAACTGACTGTTATCTAGGGAGAGAGAAGGTGAGGGAGAGCTGGAGTGGAGAGTGGGGGTGTAGTGGGGATACGGCTCAACTAACCCTGTTCCTATCAATTGTTAGAGACAATCACTAGTTAGAGACAAAATTATGATTGCCTTGATGTCGTGATCCGAAATATGAAAAATGGCTCATCTTATCCCACTCTCCCCTACTGCTTAAACTATCCTGACCTCTGAGCTCCTGTTCTCAGGGGTTTTTAGGGTCTGTAAATCTAGGAGCATCTTTGCCATTGTATATTCTCTTTAACCGTGTTGTGTCACACCTTACTGGTGGTTATTGGGTAATATCCTCAGTGCGTTGACTGTTTTGTAAGCGAACCTTTAAAGAAAGCTGAACTAAGATATTCTGATGTGAGACTGTTCCACATATTTAACATGAAGCCATTCTTATTTACATTTATCAAATGTAGTTTTATTTCCAAGTCAAAGCTAAACTTACCTGTCCTATTTGGCATGAATGTAGCCTACTTGTACATTAGTGTACAATTCAGCAATTCTATGAGAAGGCTGAAAATATGGACTAACCTCAGGTGAGAAGAAAATGAAATTGAAGATCATTTTACCGCAGCAAAATGTTTATTGTCTTTTTTTTTCATCATACCCCAAAGCACCAAAACTCTTACTCAGAATGACTTTAAGAACATGCAGTGCAATATTCAACAGAATAAAAAAAATGTTGCTTCGGAAAGAAATAGATATATTTCTCTACACAAGTTTTCTTCAACCATATTTTTCCAAAGACCAGTGTTAAAATAAAGTTTTTAAATAGTTTTTTATGTATACTGTACATCTGATTTTGTTCTTAAGCTGTTGCAAACATTTGAAACAGAAATAAGCAAATCATTATCTATTGCATGAATTCAATGGCATGTATAGAATTAATCAGACTGATGAATTCTATGCAGGACTGGGCATAGTTTCTCTTTAATTTTTTTTTTTTTTTTCGGTTTTTGATCAAACAAAAAAGATGCTGACAGGCTGTTTATTATGTTTGTACTATTAATGAAAACTAATTGTTGCAATAATGTATGTAGTTATTTTTCTTAATATTGTTGAATGTGCTTTGGCAAAAAAATAGGAACTATTGTGGGAACAACTTAAAGAGGCGACTGATACCACCATTAAAACATATGGATTACAGCTCAGTCTTACATAAAAATATTGCATTTAAGGCTCAGAGTAATGTCTTATGTCCATGGCAAGAAGTTACAATGGAGAGCAAGGCCTAACACCCAGTATGAGAGAAAGTATCCCAAGATGCTTTGAGTGGTAGGAGAACAGGTTGTAAAATGTGGCAGCAGAGCAATGATGGGATTTTGAGGTTTATAAAAGCATCCATTTCTGGAGTGTGTTTGTATCTGCACGTTTGGGTTCGATGTTTTCCGTCGATGAAGAAGAGGTTCATTGAGAAGGAGCAAATGAGCGCTGATCCAGAAGGGCACCGGAGTTGAGGAGGCCATGAATCTGGTCAGGACCTGGAAATGTAGATTAAGATAACATTTACAACTAACATGCAGACAGATTAAATGTGTAGCATCTGGGTAATTAAATAATTGACTTACCTGCACATGCATGCACAGCGTGCCAAACACAAGAAGCACTGTTGAGTGGACCACATACACAAACACTCGAGGATTAAACATTCCTGGTGTTGGTTTGTCGAGTCCTTTATTTGCACTAGTTTCCCAAAGTCCAAGCCTCAGACACAGTTCTGGATTTGCTTTAAAGTATGCATAAGCTGCCATAATGCCAAGGTTTGCCATAGGCAGAGCCAGGATAAAGTTTGGTATCTGCCTCAGCTCAAAGTAGCGGAGAAAGCCCACATCCCAGTACACGTCCTGGATGTGAGAATAGAGCAGGGGGAGGGGTCTCATGCACCAAAGGGGAGGTGGTCCATTTTCATCTGGAACCCGGTATCCCTTCCGTTCAGCAAGAGACAAAAGAGAGGGGGGAATCCGTTCCAAGGAGACGGATGGTGTACAAAATGTCCTGTACCCGTAATACTGGAAAGCACAAAATGGAATGGTAATTATTGCAGTTCCCAGGAGGGAGGTAAGCAGGAGGCGGACGACAACCCAAAGATAACGGAAGACTTTACTATGGCCCTTTGTTGTTGTTCGATACACCCGAATCTGAGATATAGCGTGCAATGATGGAAGATACAGTAGAAATCCGATGTTCACAAGTCCATTGGATCTTGCTGCAGTGGCTATGCTGAGAGCCAGGCAAGCTCGTAGGGTGAACCCTTTTTCAAGGAGGTACAGACCACCAAATGTGAGCGCTGCAAACAGGCTCTCTGAGTATCCAGCAGTCATGAAAACATTGGCCGGTGTGATACAGTAAAGCAGACTGGAGAGCAGAGCCAGACGTCTATCCTGAAGAACGATTCTGCTAAGTGCATGCAGGGCGACCACACTTAGCAGGAAGAGGGCACTATTGCCCAGAGCCACAGCCACCAGCAAACGTCCTCTTACACTCAGCCAGCTGTTCAGGGGCCACAGCAGTGTCTCAGCCAGGCCCCGAAGGACAACAGGGAAGAGGGGGAAGAAAGCAAAGTTGTGCTCATACAGGTATCCTCTCTCTGCAATAAAGAGAAAATGTTCAGCATCCCAGTGAGAGAGACCGCCCAGCAACCATTCCACAGTGGAGTCCAGGTAGAGAGGCTCCTCTGTCCGAGGGGGCCTGAATGCATCAGCATCATGGTCTGGGATGGCTGCGTTCAAGACAGCCTGGGAAGTAAACAACATCAAAATTAGCAATTCTACAAAACATTTGATCTCACATAGATGTGTTTCATCGCAAAAACTCACTTAAACATGCAGAAAGCTTCCCTGGGCTTTAGTTATTATCTCCCAGGCACAAATATAACTGCAGGGAAACCAAACATTTGAGGGAAATGTTAACTGGGTTTTCACGCTGGGGGGCGCTAACATTAAATCCCTTGAGTCGTCACAACAAAATATCGTTATAACAAAATTACCTGTAAAATCAAAGACAGACCCCTTGTGACTGTAGCAAACTCCAGAACTGCTCTGACGTCCATAGTCATTGGTGTGACGGAAATGAGCTAAACAAGCCGGTTTTGACAGGCCTGAGCATTGTCGCCTCTAGGAGACAGTCACCGCTGCATTAGTCATATTCAGCATCAAACAGAGCAAGCAAGGAACCACAGTTTCATTCAACGAAATCGAAGAGTTACGCTTTTTAACTGGTTCGACATCTTTGATAAACCATCAACTCTGTGTTTATCGGATAATTCCTCGTCTTCAGGCAGGGATGGTTTTTGATCAGGTGTTATGTCCTCACATCCTCACTCTGCAGTAGCCTGACTTATTTCGAACATACCCTTTCACTTCCGGGGTCTCACAAGCGCTAATTTCAACATAAAAGCACGGGTGCTGTAACGAAAGTCAATATTTCTACCTGTTCTTGGATAGATAAAAAAACAGGTATCGGTAATAGTTGTGAGTCAGAGGGACTCTCTGTGGTTTCAAATTTATATTTCACATCTGCATGAATCGTAGTGTAACAAACATATTATGATGGAGTGAAGAGATTTCTTTTAATTTTCTCCAGCAGGGGGAGCTCCAAGCTTCTTTGTGGACATTTGTTGGCATTATTTTCATGTAATAGTGAACTTTTTGTTATAATCTTGCCGGTACAGTTGCAGTGTCAAAAAAAAAACAAACATATTTTTTCCTCTGCTCTCCCGCGATAACAATTTTGGCCCATTCTCACAGTTGCATTAACATGACACAAATATAAACTCAACTTTCCTCACTGGTATCGGCAATGGCAACTTGGCATGTTATTGTCTGGCCCATCAGTTATCAGCATATAGTTTTTTTTCTATATCAGGTAGGCCTACGAGAAAACCAGCTGTTGTCCTGAAACAATGAGAACAGTATAAGAGAGAGTGGAAGCGAGCAGAAATCTCTCAATATCCCCTTAAAATATGAAACTTGTGAGAAATATTCTCTTGTTGGTTTAATATGTCCATTTTACTTTCTTTTCTCGTGATTTAGAGCTACTGATTTACTCTGTAGTGTGGTCTCGAGTACATCTAAACGGGTGTGGACCTCCTTGACATTTTGTGATGGATGTGAATTGAACTTGCGTGTTTCACAGTTTGATAGGGTATTTGTTTCTGTGTTGTGTTCATTTAATAAAATGACAGTGACTGATGAATGACGACGTCTGGCTCAAACAGTCTTGGGTAATATTATCTTAAATCCAGGCCTCTCAGTTTAGTCACTGCTAGATTAAACACTGTTTATGAGACACAGATATAACGTTAAAGCTGGAGCAGACTGTGAATTTGATTCAATTTTAATTTGCCTTCAAATTTGATCATAGTACTGTGTGAATTCACACATTTGTTCGGTTATTTCAGAAGAACAACACCATCAAACAGCTTACGAAGATTTAATGTACATTTATTCTTACCACGTGGAACATATAGTATAAAGATTTCATACTGAATAAATGATATTCATTGAGCCAAAAAAGGGAAAGGGAGGAATTTACATGTTGTCTTAGCTACATAGTCTGAAATACAAATATGCAGAATCCATGACTGAAGAAAAATTGTCAAATGTGTACTTCATCTAGTTTATTTTTGTTGTACCAGGAGATAACAGGTTTGAGCCGTGTCTGCCGCACTACAGAGCTGTGGAGAGACCAGAGAAGAGGGTCTAATCAGCAGGGACTGGAGGTCACAGACCAAACTCACATGTCAGCCTAAATCCCTCACAGATAAGTGTGAGGATAGTGACACAGACAGAGACAGACACAGAAAAGGAAGTGTAATGTACAACATTATATATACAACACAGCAAAGCTGTATTTGCAGTTGAAAACCAGTCCTAGGAGGTGATTTCTTTTCATAAGGGTATTCATACAATCAAGGGATAAGAGGAGGTAAGGGTGTTGTAGGTTCTTGATACTTTGGGGAAGAAAGCCATTTTCTGTTTAACACCAAACTAAAATGACCTCAAGACTCTAGAAGAGCTGCATCTTCTGCTTCTGTGTGAAAGGTGTGTGACAGAATGCTTACACTCAAGAGCAGTACGGTACAGAAAATGTCCTACAATCTACTGCACACTGCACAGGCCTCCCCGGTGAAGGTGTCTATTGACAGCACTTTGTGCACTGTCGGGCTGACTGGTGAGAATCCAACTACAGCAACTAGAACCAGTAGGCCACTTTGTCAGTCTGCTTCACCTCTGAACGTCAACCAGTTACAGACTCATTGTGCCCCCGAGGGGAGAGCTAGGGCACCCTGTTCCTCCCAAACTCACTGTAAACGAGACAGCAACTTTGGTTACAGTTTTTGTTTTTCAGCTATTTATTTATTTATTCATTAATTATCTTTATTAAAAAGTACTTTTCCCCCAAGTGCAGAACAGTCTCCCGACCGTAGTGCTCTGCTCTGTGTCGTCCAGTTGGCATATTGTTGCAAGTAGTGTCACTTCCTGGGTATCTCTCTGGTTTGTAATCCACCACAGCTCTGTGATTACCTTCCTCCGGCAAGGGCAGCCAGGGGAGAGCTCAGAGATTGGAATCTGAAGGATTTTCATAAATTAAAGACAGTCACTTGAACTCTTCTTGCCCTGTTACACATACAAGTCAAGTTTCCAGAGAAAAGGGGATTCGGGGACAGGAAACCCCTCTCTGAAAAAGTGGAGCCACTGCTCCCTACAGCTGTCATGACTGGCCAATCAAAAAGAGTACATCACAGATAACATGAGAAACCAGTGAGTTCATTAAGGGGGACACCGAAAGGTCGAGGAGGCGGGACTCATGTAGTGTGAACTCTGAGTGGTTCTCCTCCACCTTGGCTAAGGCGTGCAGAGCCCGGGCAGCTCGCCGCATCATGTCTGGGCTCGTGGGCTCGAAGTGCATCCCCTGTAGGTGCAGCAGAGAGCTCTGGCTCTGCTGGAGCTGTGTGGCAGCCAGGCTATCCTCCAGGAATCCCAGCAAGTTACCCACACTACCTTTCTGTACAGCAATCGCTCGGGCCGCCATGGTATCACCCTGGGCCAGATTTGCCAGTAGGACCACTGCCATCTCCCTGCAGACCGCCACCTTCCTGTCTCCGATTAGCCGCACCAGGTTCCCGTACAGCTTCTCCAAACGACTAAAAGGTGGAGTGGCCAGAATGAGGTCCACATTGTTGTCTTGGATGCTTAATTTGCTTAGTGTCTCTAGGACCAGTCTCTGAGGGGATAAAGCACTGTGTGGGCCTAGGGTGGGGAAAGGGTCCTGGGCCTCTGCTGATGGGCAGACGGCCCAGTGGAGAAGACCATCCAACAGTGGGAGACAAATGCTCTCAGAGTAGACAGAGAGGTCTAGTTGGCCTGAGATGTTTGCCAAAGTGACCAGTGTGTTCTCCCTCAAGAGCCCCAAGCAGTCCCACCACCACTCGTCCCTCTGGCCCACTCCCTCATCCGAATCCTCGTCCTTCTCGTAGGTGAGGGGCGCCTGTTTACGCTCCGGGTGCCGGTGGTGGAGCAGGATCAGGCGTCCCAGTAGCAACAGGAGCCCCGGATGTTTGGACATTTCATGGTCGTTGCCTGGCACGAAGGAGAGACTGCGGATGATGTTTGAGACACAAATGCAGCGTCTGGCTAAAGAATCCTGCCAGTTTGCCAGGGCAATGAGAGGCCCCTCATCCTTACTGTGAGGCTCATCCTCCAGGATGGTGCCAGTCAGCTTTGCCTTCTGTGATAAAACACTGCTGGAGGAAAGGATGGATCTGTTATTCTCTTGGTGGATTTTTACGCCTTTCTCAACTGTCTTTAGCTCAGAATCTGTTTTTCCTTCCTCCTCCCTGCTGACTGAGGGGCTGGCCTTCTCTGACTCTGCTGTTATCTCAGATGAGGATGTCTCAATAGACCTTTCCTCTTCATCCTGGGGCTTTCTTTTGTCCTCCTCGGCTAGCAAGCAATTTATTTGTATCTCATCTTCGGGGAGTCTTCGCCTCAGTAGAACTTGAGGCACAGGCAATCGCTGCCGAGGTTCCAAGAAGTCTTTGCGGGGTTCAAAGTGAGTCTGGATGTGTTCTGTTGAGTCTCCCCCTCCTGCACTCCAGTGAAGCAGTCCACTATCAAACTCTTGAACTTTACCGTGATTATTAGACTGACCAGCTACAAATGGGTCTTTCTTTCGTACCACCTTCAGGGGAAACTTATCAAACTTGCTGGCCTGTTTGGGTCTCTCATGACCAGCTAGGGTTTGAGATGAGTTTGTCTGTTCAGATGACAACCCCTTGCTCTTCCTCTCCTCATCTTCGGTCTTGTCATCATGACCCCGAGACTCAGAACTCTCTTCCTCCTCTTTAACATGAGAAGGCTCCGCCATGTCTTCTTCCTCCTCCTCTTCATCATCATCGTCATCATCATCTTCCTCCTCTTGCTCCATGTCCTGAGCCTGTGGTTCCTCTTCCTCCGTGTTCTCCCAATCTCGTTTAAGGGCATCAGGATCAAGTAACACCCTCTGGCCAAGGTCTCCCACCTCATACTCACGCAAAATGCCAAAGATTTCGATGAGGCAGCGTCTGAAATACTCAACCACCAGCTCTAGAAAGCCCGGCAACTGAGGAAAGAACCCAGATACGGAAAAATGTTAGACATGCTCAACATGTAAGGTAATTATGATGTTGATATGCAACTCTTACTAAAGAGCCAAAGTCAGGTCTCACCGTGTTAAGATCAAAGGTGGAAATACTGTTGTCATCATAGAGGAGGATGTTGATGGTGTCTAAGGCCCATGTACTCTCAGCCAATAAACCAGACTTTAATGACATCATAACTCTCCAGGCCTCTGGAGTTCCTGAAAAGTTAAGACACAGTTGGTATCAGGTGCTCCCCTCGTACCATCAGACAATATTTATGGACAAAGCAACAATGGGCAGCTCTGTCAATAATACTGAAGGTCAACACTTGGGATGGACTTACCGATATCTTTGACAGTGAGTCTCCGTCGTGGTTTCAGGACAGGATGGCTGGCTTCTATAGAGCCTGGGGGAAAAGGCATGTCTCGCCTTATAAGAGGGGACTGCACCGGAGGGGGCACTATGTGAGACGCAGGCACCGGAGGGCCGGCCTTCTGCATCTTCATGACTCCGTGCATGTAGGGAGATTTACTGGGCGACGTCCTGCTCTCCATGGGGCGGGGCATGGAGGCAGGGCTGGACACTTGTGGAATGTGGTTCTGCACGCCCTGAGGGGGCTGGTAGTTGGACTGTACTGAGCGAGGCATTGGCTGACCAGGACCTCCTGGACCGTAAGGAGGCTGCCGTGGGCCCATCTGTCCTCCCCACTGGCCGTCATGATTCATGCGCTGCTCTGATGACATCATCTCCTCCGATCGGTTCATGCCAGGGTAACCTGGTCCCTGGGGTGGGCCTCCTGGACCACCCTGCCTGCTAGGATAGTTCTGATAGTTCATGTCCCGCGGTCCCTGCCACATAGTTCCCTGAGGAACCTCTGGACCCGACTGCATCATCTGAGGAGGCATGTTGGGCTGGGCATTGGGCCCCGCTGCTCCCTGCATCCGTTCACGACCAAAGGGGAAGGGGAACTGATTGCCAGGGCCGGCTGGGCGACGGTCAGAACCAGGGAAAGGCCCGCTGCCACTGTACTGATTGTACGACTCCTGCTGTCCTGAAGTGGGAGCAGTGGCTCCTCCCTGCTGCTGCTGCTGAGGTGGTTGTTGTCCACCATGAAAAGGCCCGCTGTACTCAGACTCATGACGTTTTGATGGAGGGTAACCCCCTTCCACAGGACGCTTGTAACTCTATCCAGGAAAAAAGGGAGCACAGGTATATGACACAGTCTTACTTAGGGAACAGAGAAGATTGAAGAAATAAAAATAAAGGGTAAAAACATAAAAATATCAGTCATAATGAAGAACCAAAGCTGTTGACCCAGGTGTGTTGACAACAGTGAGTTATCACAGTGCAGATGGATCACTGACCTGTTGTTGTTGTGGGTACATTCCAGGCTGCTGATTTGGGTAAGAGCCAGTAGGGGGCGTTCCCTGTCCAGGATACTGATTACCATAGGAATCATGCCTGCAAAAATCACACCTTGTCAGTTTGACCACATAAATAAAATGCATCACTTGATTGAGGCCTGTCATACAAACAGCCAGCAGTCTATTTTTACAGCATTAAACTAAATCATATCATTTTAAATCTCCATTAATATTTAACAATTTTATTCATAAATGGGATTCATTTCTGCAACAAATAGACTTCTCCTGGATTTTCAAGGACGACCGTTAACTCACAGTATAAATGTCCTGCTCATTTTAAAAACTTCACACAGACACAGATTCTAAATTATTCCTGGTTTATGCAACTAACTTTGCTCAGAGCACAATAGCCATAAATATTAACTAAAACCAAAGAAATTCTCAGGTTTGAAAGTGGAATTAGGGGTAATTGTCAAAGTAATAAATATCCAAACAGTGTAATCATTACATTGGATTCCGTTTCTATATTTGATGTATACAAAGGTACAGTTGGCCATTTAATCAGGCCAGTCATTGAGGACTGGTTGTTGTTTGGCTCTAAACCCTAACACTTTCAAGCATACTGACCGTGGCTGCTGCGGTGGGAAGCGATTTGGCGAATACATCCCCGTGTCGGCGTTGGCAGGCATCATAGGGTTTGGCTGAGGAGCACCGGAGCCCATGTTGCCCTCTGGGCCCATCCCCTGCTCTGATCTGTAATATTTACAATATGGTACATAAGTATATCCAAGTAACAACGATTTTCTGTATAGCTCCCTAAATCATGGACCTCTGAGTCAATTCCAACTCTCTACTGATCAATTACTTTTTTTTTTTTTGGCTATTGGTCCTGTCTCTTTGAAAAAGAAAAAATTTTAAGTTAATTCTCAGCAGAGGCAAAAAAAAGGTCTGGCAACATGGTAGCTTCATCAGTGTTTGAAAACATTCCTTGTCCCAGATCTTTTGATGTGATGTAGTATTTGGTGTAAGTGGTGCATCACAAACTCAGGGCTTGGCAAACTGTCCAGGAAAGCAGACGATCTTTGGAAAATTCCCTTCTATAATCATTATATAGAATAATAGAATAATCAAATACACAGAGCCCAGAAAATCCCGGATAACAAACCTTTTCTGATTTACACTAAAACTTTGACTGTTCATAAAAAAGACTCCTGGTTGTATCAGCATTTTTCAGTCACCTTAACAACATCATCTTCCACTCGATGATTCATACCTTCTGTCATAGCCTGGTCCATAAGGATACTGCTGTCTGGGCCCCATTGGTAGTGCACCCATGGCTCCAGGAGGCCCTCTATTGAAAGGAGGCTGCTGTTGCTGCTGTGGTGGTTGCTGCTGCTGTTGTTCACCCATCCCACTGTTAGGGCCTTGGTTAGCAGGAAGAAACTGCTCACCAACTGGAAGTATAATCAGAATTTAAGTTCATTAGGACTTTGAGGTACTTAAGAAAGTACAATATGCTCTGGAATAAATGGATCCTTTCAATCTGCCCACCTTTGCGCATGTTACTAAAGGGGTCCTTGTTGGGTTCATAGGCGCCCATTCGACCCTGCATGTCCGGTGTGTTTATGCCCGACTGATAGGCAGAGTTTGGTGTCAAGTTCTTCCTGGGGAAAGCAGGGTCACTTCCTTCTGAGAAAGGGTCCTGCAGGTTAACACTGCTCCTACAGAGAATTAAGGAAAGAGGGAGGCATAGGTGGGAGAAGAGAGACGACAGAAAGAAATAAACTTTTCCAACTTTGTTCTTAGAGACTCAAACCAGAAAATTGAACCATCAGTTTAAAGGGACCCACCTGGAGCCAGGTGGCATTGGGGGCATCTGGGTATGAGGGGTGGAGGCCGGTGTGGGAGGTTTAAGGTCTCCTCCTTCAGCCATGGAGCTGCTGGTGGATTGGGGTGTTTGAGGACCCTGTAGGGAGCCTGACCCAGCTGTTGAGCAGAGCGATGCTTTGTTTGGAAATGGAAGCAAACAGACATGACACGTTAAATCAGAGACGCTGTCACACAGTTCAAACCTTTTAACTTGCTGTTTAAGTGAATCATAAGTGCTCATAAAAGAAGATGGTCTGAGTTCAGTTATACCTGGAGAAGGGGGCTGGACTTTAGCAGCTTGGTTCTTTTTGTTGTCAGTGAATATCTCAGGAGGTGGGTCCTCACCACGCTCAATTTTGCACTCAAAGGCGTACAGACACTGAATGTACTGTTTCTTTAAGGAACTGGCAGCACTGCTAGATGTACCTACGTTCAAGGAAGTGGCCAGATCACGCCACTTTTTGTTCTTATTCACCTGATGACCAGGGGGGAAAAAAAAGGACTTTAGGAAGGCTGCTCCAGAAGAGACAAGAAATACATGTGTTTGGATAGGGTGCAGCTCATGAACGCCATACAAACCTGGGTCATGCCTCCGATTTCTTTAACCGACATGTATAGGCGGAAGAGGTCAAGGGGTTTTCGCCCTACAGCTGGCAGGTTGGTCATACCCATGGCTTTCTCATCAATGAAAGCCAAATAACGATCCACCCATATCTTCCTGTCTGGCTCTGGTCCCAACTCGTACAGGCGGGTTATCTTTTCACTGGTTGTGGTGGAAGAGTTGGACTTCTGTTTTGTGCGAAACAAAGCAAGAAACACATTTTAAAGCAGTTCAGACTTTACACATACAAAGTGTAATTAGTTTCAAAAATGATTGTCATGGTGTGTATAGAAGAGAGATCACCTTAGATTTTGTCTCTGGTTTGGGTGTAGGAGTCCCATCTACTTTGTTATTCATCTTATTGTTCAACTCTGGGCTGGGGGCCATACCTACAAAGATCAGGGTTAGCTGTGAAGTTTTCAAAAAGAAGAGAAACAACTTTTTGAACACGGTCCACAATCACTGTGCAACTTACCACTTGAGTTATTGGCCATATTTGGCCCCATTGGATATGGAGATCCACCTTGAGTGTTCATCATTCCAGGCATGTTGTTCATGGGAGGGCCATAGGGTGGCCCAGAGCCCATCATGCCAGGTGACATGTTGGGGTAACCGGGCATCCTGGATGCAGGAAAACAGTATGAGCATCAAGTATTTGTAAATTTGAAAGTAGTTAACATCATTTTGAAGAAGTCAACCAGATGTCTTGTGTTTGGTATATAAAGTTTCGTATTAGAGGATCTGTCATAACCAACCTGTTGTGCATTGAGTTGGAGGCAGGGTGCTGCATGGCTGCAGGGTCCTGGGGCTTCCTGTTCATTCCTGGTGGAGGACACATTCCTGAGCCTACCTGGGGTGGCATGTTGCCCATGTTGGGAGGCATGTTTGGACCCATGTTGGGGGGCATGTTTGGACCCATGTTTGGGCCGTAGGGACGTGCCCCCATTTGATTAGGAGGCATCCTTCCTGGAGGCATGCCAGCATATGGAGGACCCCCACCCTGTCCACCCATTGGGTTCATTGGACCCATTCCTGGCCCGGGGTAGTTAGCATTGGGCATGTTGCCATAGCCAGGTTGCCGAGGGTAACCTAAGAATAACATTTTGACAAAAACAATTAGGCTGAGCAAGAACTTGGATGTTACGGTAATCTTGTCTAAAAAAGGACTGCTGAAGCACCCTGAGGTTTCTTATGGTCTGACACCAAAAGTACACTATTACAGCTGAGACAGTCTTTCCCTCTGAGCTGTGTGAGGTAGACTTTTCCCAACAGTGTGCTAGCAGGGAGAGCTATGCACCCTGAGCAACAAGCCTTCGTCACAGCCTCGGCTCTACTGACAGGAGGCTCTGCTACGTCAGCTGACTCTCTGCTTCACGGCTATAAATAGCTGCAACAGAGTCAGAGGGAGGGACCAACCATAGCATGCTATTCCTATGAGGCAGGGAGATACACTCCATATGTTTGTCTACAGGAAGATTTAAGTTGGAAAACTTCACAAACAGACAAGACCTTTATAAAACAGCATTTGAGCCTTAAAAAGTGAAAAATAAAATTCCCTGCATCTTTTGAGAGCTCTCTTTTTGCGTTAAACTCCAACAGAAAATATTTCCAGAACAAACCTTGGGGGCCATATTGTGCTCCCTGCTGCCCATAACCTCCCATTGAGTTGTTCTGCTGATATGGACCCATTGCAGGATGCATCTGCCCCCCTGAGGACTGGCGCGGAGACAGTGCAGAGGCTGACTGAGGGGAACCATAGGGGGGCATCTGAGGGTTTCTCTGCATGAACCCTGAAATGTGACAGAAAAGAGAAACAGTGTTCAGACTCACATACTTCAGCAAACATACAGGCTCTTTAAAAGTTCTGACTAGAGCATACCTCTGTCCTGGGCCATAGGGGACTGGCTCATTGCAGGGTGTAAACTCCCATCTGACTGCACACTTGATGGTCTTGGGGGCATCTGGGACCCTAAACAATAAACATTCAAATTTAGGTAAGTATATTTAAAACTAAACTGCGAGCCGGTACAGTTTCAGCTACACAAGTGCGAACTAAAAGTGTTAAGAATGTTTTTCCGTCTTCAAAATTATGATCATAGGAGACTTTTGAAGCAGCCAGAAAATGAAGGCTGTAAATACAGTTAATTTGCTTCTGTAAAATTTCAGATAAAAGTAGAGAATGTTCTCGCCGTACGAAGTGTCCAAATTTGTGATATTTTGTTCCTTTTCAATACCATGAGCTTTAAGACAATCAACAATCTGCATTTTTTTGGGTGCAATCAATATGAGGAAGTAGAAGACTGAAGAAAAAATCTGCATTCAAATGTTAAACCACAAACTGCCACAAGCAGATGAGAGTGAGAGAGCAAGCAGCAGTGGTCAATCAACACGGAGATAAGGTCTGGAGAGTGCTGGTAGAGTAAACAACACAGCAAAACTGAAAACTGATATGTAATTATCTGATTGTTTTACTGTGGTGGAAACAGTCTTACAAACTTAAACATGCACACACTCTTTGGCACAAATATGCGGGAAGGTTCGAGATTTGGTTTTCCTGCAGGCACGCCTTCCTGCTACATGTGTCTCTACCGTCTGCCCTCTATCATAGCCTCTACATCATCAGCTCTTTCATTCATAGGCTGACGAGTACTGTTGTTTGTTTGGTTGAATTTGCATTAAATAAAAGACATGCTTTGTGATATTTGTATTTGTTGCTGGCAGAGAAGATAAACTGTGATATCATCCGATTCCTTTATGCTTTCTTTGAGTCCCAACATGGAGACTGTTTACAGGGAGCTTCACAGCACAATAACTGACATTCATAATAAGCAAGTCACCAATAAGTATGACACTTCAAAAACACAGACAACACACTCCCTGTAGACACACCAACCACCACCACATCCCCTGTGGATTATAAATGATAACTCAGGGAAAATATTTTATTTTAGTTTGTTATTAAAAATTCTGTGTGTGGACTCAAGCTTCAAGCCGTTAGGAAGTCCAGGAAGATCAGGATTGAAGACTGGTCTCTTCAACTGAATATAAAGAAAATCTTTGTTGCTGTTCTTCTTCTGTTTTATGTGTCAGATCAAAATTTGAAAACTTGATAACAGCATCTAAAAAAGGGCATTCTCTTTTTGAAATGCAAAATATCCAAGATGTCTTCCTCTCAAGTACCTAGCCTCTCATTCAATTGGGTGAGTGATAAACCCACCTGGCATGTTGGCAGGCGACAGCGGTCCTGTTCGGGGTGTGCTAGCACTGGCTGGGGAGCCAGCAGGAGAGGGTGAAGGTCCCCGGATGCCTGGCAGGTGAGGAGATGTGTGAGGAGAGAAGGGCGACTGGGCCTGATTACTCTGCTCGCCTTGGCTGCTTGACACACCTGACGTGCTCACACCGGGGCTCAGGGCTCCCTCTGCACCTGTCGGTAGGTCATCAATGGAGCCCGACAGGTCCTGAAAACCAGAGCAGAAGGAGAGTCAAAAAAGCAGGCCATGTAAGAAAAAGGGCAGAAAATTGGTTTGTGGCCTCAGACTCCGCATTAACAATTGGACTGGGTTTTCTTTACATTAATAAACAGTTCTGTTCAAACATTCCATAGTATCATAGTTATTTACGTGCAGACTCATATTTCTTTAGTTGTTTAGATACGAGTGGCACACATTCAAAAACTACGCACACACAGATAAACACACCCACAGACCCAGAGGCCTTTGTCCTTATTTATCTTTTTCAAAGAGAAAATGAGTGCACATTAGTGCCAGGGGTTGTCATGGTAACCAAGGTTTGTAGGATGCGAGCTGAGTCAGCATGTAGCAGCAGCCTTGCCATGTGATTTCAGTACACAAACAAACTCTCTTGTATTCATCTCAGATTTATCCATTTACACGGCACTTTCTCCACGAGCAGGAGCCACACAGCTGTCTCTAAACAAAAACCCACTGATATGCAGCCGCACCGTCGAAGAACATGACATTTAAAAGAACTGCAGCCCTGATTCAAACATGCCGCATTAAAAGGGCTTTTAAATCAGAAAGAAATCGTCATCCAACGGGGATTTTAAATGAAGTGAGCCTCATGATGCTTGACATATATATGGAACAGTGAAAATAATCCTATTAGACACATGAAGTAGAAAACGACTTTTCTGTTCCAGTCCTGACATAACAAGCAGCACTGACCGGAAGGCTGGAGGGGCGGCCTTGGCTATCCTCTGGGCCAGATTTGGGCTGCGTGGATGGAGGGGGGTTGGACTGAAATGAGTCCTGGGAAACCTCCTGAAAGATATGGGAGCACATGCTGAACTGTACTGCAGGCGTAATGAGCAAACATGCTTTGAAGTAATGAAGACAAAGATAATTACGAATAATAGTCCAAGTCTAAGGGCCATACCTGCTGTGCTGGGGGAGGAAAGCGCTGATAAGGTGACTGCTGTGTTTGCTGCTGCTGCTGCTGCTGCTGAGTGTTCTGGGAGTACACTGCAGGTTGGCCCTGTGGGTGTTGGCTGTGTCCTGGTGGCTGCTGCGGAGGCTGAGATTGAGCCTGCTGTTGCTGAGAGGGGGGCTGCTGAGGCCCTTGTGTGGATCCAGGGTAGTTGGACTGGCCCTGTGATCCAGGGGCATCCTGGGAACTTGGCTGTTGCTGGGCTTGGCTGGGAGGACCCTGCTGCTGGGCATACAGAGACTGGGCAGACTGTGGGGCTGAGGTCTGAGAATAAGGTGGTTGAGACTGTGGGGGCCCTTGGGGTTGGCCTGGCAGTGGCCCCTGGGATTGTGGGGGCATGTGGGGCTGCTGATAGGGCGGTCCTCCCTGGGAGTGTTGGGCAGAATTTGGCGGAGGATGAGGCGGCCCTGGGTAAGGTGCCTGGCCACCCGGTTGTCCCTGTGGGGGCTGGCTATAGGGGGGCTGCTGCTGGCTTGGGTGAGGGGCCTGGCCTGGCTGCCCATAATACGGGGCTTGGCCCTGGGGGCCATAACCTCCTGGTCCCTGCTGTCCATATGATCCCATCTAAAGAGATACACAAACAAACAAGCCTCAGAACACAACTTGAGAAAACAGACACAGACAAGACAATCACAAATGTAAATAATGAGACTCACCTGTGGACCATACGGCATGCCACCCATGCTCCCAGATGTCCGTCCTTGCATTCCCACTGGATATCGCTGTGGACCCGGAGGGCCATAACCTTGTCCGGGGTAACCAGGCCCCTGTTGTGGACCTGTAGGAGGACCCTGTTGCGACTGCTGACTATATGGACTGCCTGCTCCGTAGGGTTGACCTCTCATTTTTCCCATTGGGTCCATGGAACCAGTTGGCTGGATTTAGAAAAAACACAGTGAATGAAAAATCAACAACAGTGAATAAATGAAGTACCAAATGTGACAGTTTAAAAGCAGCTCTCCCTCTACTTATGCAACTTGGTTTTGCAATTAGGGTTTTCTTCAAAGTCAGTAAAGTATTTGGCTGCAGTGAGTAACTTTCATAGGATTAAAGTGTAAAAACACACTTTAATGAGTGAGAAAATTGCACCTTTTTCACCTAATTTCCCACGGTCATTACTCCTGATTTTTTTTCACCTCACTTTGCCATGGTTTCGGAAGTCAACACAGCTATATATATCTACTTTCAAATGGAGGGCAGCCTGCCCAATCTTAAACATATCCCAGCTGTGCTCCTGTTTTGAGCCCGGTCCAAGTCGTTTTTTTTTCCCCAGGAGAAGGCAGTTTGGCTCTGGATGAATGACACCAGAAATGAAGGAAGTACTTTCACAACAGCCAGAGAGAGTGAAAAGTGCACAAGAGCACACTCAGTCTATAAGCCCAGCAGTTATAGTCTTTCGAAGGTACAATCCAGGAGCTTAACTGTCTCACATTAATGATCCGTCTATTCCCACAGCTCCACCACTACTATCAGACATTAAAAAGTCTGGAATTTTATGATAATTTCTACAAGAGAACATCAACTCGAGACTAAAAGTATCCCCTTACATTACATCAAGTGAATTCCCCTGTGTGCACTTTGCCGAGAAGGGCCTCCTCTGCTTAACAACAGCCCTTGATAAATAATATGCAAAATGCCTTACATGACATTTTGCAGATCCAAGATAATGAAGTGAAATAAATAAGAGCAGCACATGGCTAATCTGCATAAGACAGAGAGGAAACTCCCTTGGCTGGTGAGAAATGGTGGACTGCCTCCTGATTGGCTTGGGGGGAGGATTGAGGGGAAATTCTTTGCAGTCACATAGTCAAACTTGTGTGGCATGTCAGACACAGCAGCTACACAAACTCACATCCTCTCATGAGGGTCAAATTTGCCTTTCAATACTGAGACATGTTCTCACATGAACAAAAAACAATGGTGCTTTTTAACCTGTCATTTGTTTATCAATGTATGCAAATCTTAAAACTGAAACATTAATAGAAGTTCATCACTTGGTTTCAAAGATTTTCACAGCCAAAACCACAATGTTGTGTAGCCTCGACATGGGACATCAAAACATATTCAGTCTGCAGTTTATACTTATGCCACAAGGAATGACAGGGAGGATGGCTCTGATTTTGGGATCACAAGAGAACTGTATGCATATTTGAACCAACAGCTATTAACTGGGAAGGCTGGCTGTTTTGAAAAGACCGAACTTAATATAGAAATATCTTTCAGGTGATCAAATACTAGATGTTTTGTTCACAGTAAAAACCAGAGCAGAGTGAGGGCGTAAGGTAGTTATAAATCCTCTGGTGACCCTGTGATGACTTAATGCTGTGTGCTCTTATCAGCAACTGTTGCCTCGCATCACATGTAATTATAAATGGCCATGAGCAGCGGATGAGGAGCCAATCAGATTTCAGCTCGCATGTCAACCAAAGACCAACTATCTCCTGGCTTTGACAGCAGGATTTTACCTCCACAATTCAAATCCCAGTGCAAACTGCAGGCTGCAGTCACTCACTCATGTGTGGCCGAGCTGACTGTTTGCAGGCAGCATGCATTTTAATCACAGCAGCTATTCAACACAGGTCTAATTCTCTTTATGATCAAGTACTCATGTCGTATTTGCACCATTTAATTACACGTTACAGGACTTTTGGGTGATTTAAATGAGATTTTTGCGAGACATTTAACTGACCGTGAGGGATTGCTACACACCTCCTCTGTTGTAGCCGCAGAAAATACAGCTACACGGGCAGGAAAATACCAACCTCAAGAGTGCGAACAACTTCAACAAACTTATACGCCAGAAGTCGTTTAATCACTATACCAGTCAAATATATTTAAAAATGTTTCACGGAATAAATGGTAGAATTATCGTTAAATGCGAATAGGAGAGGCACCAGAGGGGAAAAAAACTAGCCCTTGCACCTCTCGGTGTGTGTTTTCGCCCCTTCTCAAAGTCGGGCCTTCTTGTCTCTCTGAACGTCCCTACATCGTTTCAACAACTTGAATCAGGTTCAAGCGACACTCTTTCATAGCTACATACCCGTAGAGATAGACGAACAACAATAAACATTAGACGTTTTGGTGTAAAGAGAAAAAAAACACGAGAGGCAGCCATTTTAGAGTCTTTGCGAAGTAGTATCAGACAATGGCTGGCCTGCTACGTTGTGAACTAGATAGGAGGAGGGAAGGAGACGTGCTAAAGCTCACATCATGTTCCTCTTGTGAAAATTTTTTACCTGGGTTCTAGCTAGCGGCTGCCCAGCACTTCCCGGGCTCATAGGTGACGGGAGATGGCTTCTTTGTTGCCAGCCCGGGTTGCTCCCTCCATACAGACCGCTGCTGCCCATGTCTGCTGGTCCCTTACTAGCTCCTTCTGGGCTGCTGTACTCACTGGACGGGTAGTTTGGGTAAGCCCGCGTCGAGCTGTGGGAGGTTAATAGTTTGTTAAGTGTCGGTGTCGATGTGGGTTGAGGGTTTCCAATATTATATCTCTGGTTATTGTAAGATCCAGCCATAGCCGTCGGTCCTCCCGTCGGTGGCTGTTGCTGCTGCTGCTGCTGCTTCACGTTAGCTGGCTGCCCCCCAGCTGTCGGCGCCTGGCTGCTGCGAGGAGAGTTCATGGCGTAAGCTTGGCCGGGATAAGGAGTCCTGTTCGGGAAAGGGTTGTAATTGTTAAACTGGTGGTTTGAAAAGCCATGGTCGTGCGAATTAGGTTGATACGGGTCCATCATAGTGCTCGACTGCACGACCGGACCCGCAGCAGCTGCCATGCCAGGGCTTTGTTGTCCGCCATGTTGATGAAAAGGGGCCCGACCGTAGTGCTGACTGTATCCGTACGAAGGTGGAGGAAAAGCGGGGCCGTGGTGATGGACCAAACTGGGATGGTTATTTCCCTCCGGTCCGACAGAGTCATTCTGGTTATTATTGTTAGCCCTGGGCGGGTTCCCATTCCCGTTCTTCATCTCAGGTTCCCCTCCTCCCCCTGCATTTCCACCGTCGGCCCCGTCCTGCAGATCCCCCCGGCCCGGCGATCCGCTGTCCAAGCCCGGCTGCTTTTTATCCGACTGCTTCTCCCCCGGTACCGAATCCTCCTTGGGTTCTCGATCCGGCTTCTTGAGTTCGGAAGGCGGGCTAGTGTTAAGAGTGGCGGCGCTGGCGACCTGAGCGGCCATGATATACCCCCCCACCACCTCTCTCTCCCTCTCTCGGCGAGTCAGTCACAATCAAAAGCTAGCATTGAATATAAATAATTGTTTATAACCATTTATCCTTATGTCGATTCATTCCCACCCCTTACACCGGACCGAATCCGGCTGCCATCCCCCCGGTTCCGGTTCCGTAAATGGGTTAGAGAAATAATGGAGGCTCCATACAATGCGTAAAAAAGCGACAGAAATTGTTGTGGGAGTTGTGTTACTGAGCCCGGGTAGAGGCAGGGAGCGAGCCCAACCAACACGAGGCTCCGCTACATACAGCCATTTTACTGAGCCGCACGGACAGCTGCAAAACACGGACTGGATTCCCCCGTTCGCGGAGTGGACTTTTGCCTTACATCCTCATTGGGTTTTTTTTTTTTTCTTACATAGGTTGATTTTTTTTCTCTATGTGTAGAGAGTGATTTGCATTACCAACATGAAAAATATAATCTGAATAAAATTGACCAAAGACAATGGGAGGTTAATTATAGGAATACATAATCACTTTAAATAATAACTGCATGAGTGCACCCACATGCAGGTATAAAAAGCTGTACTGCAAATATCAATACCGAATAATGATGATTGTCCAAGGCTGTCCTCTCATACAAACAGTTCATACTGTGGCGAAAAACAGAGAGGGGAGAATAGTTGTTGTCAAATGCTCAATTTTCCTGTGTGAAAATCTGCCTTTGATTACCCGTACTTTTTTTCCACTAGTGTTTTAGGGTGGTATTCAGGCAAGCAAAGGCAACACACACAGGTTTTTCCAGAGCAGAAGGAGGAAGCCTTGCAGCAAACGAGACTACCAATGCACATTCCCTCTCATTCCCTCCCCTGCCCGCTCTGCTTTGCTCTCTCCTCTACCACCCCCTCTCCTCTCCTCTCCTCTCTGTCTGTCTTTCACTCCAGCAGAAACACTCCTCTGCTGAGTGTGGGGGGATGGGTGCACACAGACTCCAGCTCTCTCTCTCCCTCCCTCCCTTCCTCTCTCTCCCAGCCTGCTAACATTGAACTACGCCGTACAGAGGGAGAAAAAACAGCTCAGACCTTATCTACCAGACAGAGGAAGCATGAACAGTTTCAAAGTCTCACAACAATTAGAAAAATGGAGCATTTGTGTCCCCCTACCACCACCACCACCACCCCCCGCCTCTCTATCCTCAGTCAAATGAAGCAGACATTTTTGGCAACCACAAAACGCACAGGGTGTGTGCGCACTGCACTGAACAGGAGTGGGATGGTAATGAAAAGTGTGTATTTGTGTGTTAGGTTAAGGGGGGTATTGTTTTGAGAGAATAAAATGCAGAGACGTGACAGGTTAAGTGTATCGTCCTTTAATTTTGCTCGATCTGGTCTAGGAACATTTGGGGTTTTATGTTTAAAGTTGCATGGGGTGTCTTTCGGTTTCTTTCTGTGCTTCACACACACACACACACACACACACACACACACACACACACACACACAAGCTGTCTATCGCGCGCTCTCCCACACGTATGCGCACATATGTACACGCACACACACTACCTCTAGGGGGCTTGAAAGCGAGAAAAAAAAAGACAGGAAGTACCAGTGAGAAGGCATACTTGATCACATGTACAAACATCGGAACAGAACTTAACATTCTGTCTGACACACCCCCCAATACACGCAGAGCAGAAAGAGCTCTGCGGGCAAACAAGCGGTTCGCATATAATTCCACAGCCACATCAAACCACACAGGGTTAATATGATTTCCCACATCAGTGCGAGCTCGTGAAGTGGATCACGCTTTATTTTAGTCCGGCTGCAGCGTTGCATGAGGCGTGCGTGCGCTCACAGGAAGCCTCGTGATTACATGTGTGTGTGTGAGAGTGAGGGCGTCTAGACTTCTCCGTTTTAATGTAGTATATTATGTAAATACTTTAAAGAGCAATGTCATAGAAACAATGCTGTTACGGGAATTAGGGGGGAAAGTAATCTGAACCAAGTTCAGAGAGTTTTTGTTGCGTTTAAAAGAGACAGAAGGGGTCTTCCATCCCAGAGACCAGACACAGGGCCAGTTGTGCAGAAACAGATTTAATGTAGCTTCCTCTCCCCGCCTGACTTAATTTTTCTGCTCTGGTAGGAGGGAAAAGATGAGGCAGAATTTACAGGATCGGGGAGAAGGATTTGCAAACCTCTGTGCCACCTGCTGGACAAAACACAGCCAGTAGACAAGCGCTCGCTCTCAAAGTCAAATCCATTAAAAAGCTGCTCTAAATCTTTCAAAATTATTCAGTCTGTAAAAAATTTGACGGATGGGCCGACTGTAAAAGCATAAATGTTGCTTTGGGTTAATTGTATCCAAGCAATTTTCCATTTTTTTAATACACTCAAGTGCCACTGAGAAAAATCCTGTGCAAATGTTTTTGGACATTTTCAGACATCCAAATACACCACACACATATTAATTTGAAGGTTATTATATTTATTACATATTTGAGTGCCCTGTAAGATTTTTAAGACTTGTTCTGTAAATATGGGATACCTGTCTGCCTCACACACACTTAGAATGTGCATGTATCTCTGAGGCTCTGCTGATTGTCAGGTTCTGTTGTATTCTATATGAAAACAAAGGACATAAACCGTCTGTTCTTTGTCATTATTATATCCACAGCGCAGGAGGAAGGTATTCTGTTTTAAGTTAGTGTTAACTGATTGATCGACAAAAAAAAATGATAAAGAAAATAAGAGAAACATAAGCATCAACACAACTCAGCTTGATGTTTCAAGATAAATATGACTCTTTACCATAGCTTTATAAAATCAGATATTAACTTCAAACTTATAAATAAAAGCCTCTAAGATGAAGATATTTTAAAAGAAAAATCAAAATTTATTCAGGATTGTATAGTCACAGAAAAGCTACCAGGAAATACAAGTCATCATCCTTTTCATTGATAACTGAAGAACAACTCTTCAGTGTGTTTTTAGGATGTGTGGAATAACCTTGAAGCATTAACAGCACCCAAATTTAGTTTTCATCTCTACAGCTTTTGTAGAGATGCTCAGAATTGAGGCCAAGGAAGATGAATGTTGCTAAGACCCCCCTAGTGTAGTGGTGTTAAAATGGCGTCCATTTTTGTCCTTTCACTTGATTTTCCAATTTACAGGTCCATCATTTCTTCCTCCACGGTCTTTCCACTGGTTTCTACATACCGCTCCTGCACCCTGAGAGTACTGTTAAGGAAAACACAAATAAAGGCATTGGAGACATATATTATACAGCTCTGATACTTTAACTATTACTTATCCAGTCATTATAAACACTAGAGTTCTCAGTTTCTCAGCGTTCTCCCATAGTTCTCAAGGTTTGATTTTAAACCAGATGAGTCACCATGAGTCACCACAGTGAGTAGGTAAGGATACAAGTTGAACTGGAAGTCTGCCCCCACAGCAGCTGACATCATGGCTTGCAGATTCCTTTCCTCCAGGTCTCCAAAGCAGTAGCCATTAGCTTTGTCCACTGCTTGCAGGACCTGAATCATACTCTCCCTGTCCTGGTAACAGAGGAGAGAAACATTTAGGTTTTATCCTGTAGAAATACGCTTAAGTAACCTGATAGCAACTTATTAAAAAAAAAAAGACTCCCACTAAATTCCTCAATGTGTGGTTGAAAGACATTTATATTTGTGAATGGGATATAAGTGAGCGTGAAAATACGATCAGACTTCGTCCCAGGCTTGAAATCTCCAGACTTGATGTTCAGAGTTTAGTGTCCTTCATACTCTAAGAGGCAATTTTTAAAAATCACCCTCAAGTATCACCGCAGCTATTGGCACAAAACTCCGAGATGAGTTTAAAGCCGTAGCACCAACTTACCATATGTATGAATTACTAGCACAATAAGTCATGATGGCACAGCAGTCTAGACTCATGTCGCCAAATACCCACACAGTCTTATCAGTCTCCATGTAGAAATAATGTCCGGAGATGAATACAGAGTGCAGACAGCCTACTCCCTCTTAGCAGTTGAATCAATCTGGGTAAAATCGATCCAGTCTTTAATTTCAAATGTTAAAAATGATTGATGATTTACTTTCTGAGGAGATGAAATACGAAGCAAGTGACTTTTAGAAATTTTGATTGCACCGCTGAACCCTTATTATACCACTGAACATAACATGAGCTGAGCTGCTCAAATACAACAGCTGGGTAAAATTTGAGCAGTTTTTAATTAATTTCACCCAAAACATAGAAAAAATATAACAAATGAGATTGTTATTTGTTGAGTCTGTTTTAAAACTGAAACTGAGTCAGAACACATTTGATACTTCAGTGATAACAGCCAAGTTATTTCCATAATCTATCAGCTGTGAAAATATGAAAACTGTTTCAACTAGAAATCATTTCTCCTTTGCCATCCCACAACAGCAGCCCACTCAGTATGTTGTACTGTACTACCACCATTGATTGATTATGTCTGCCACCGGCAACTTCTGTTCTGCTTCAACAAAGACAAATCAAATTCAGACAGTTTATCATGTGATAACAAAAACAGTCATAGCAGAGTGTAAACCAGTGGTTGCTGTACTTGAAACTGAACAATCTTAGCTCTAAAACGTGTTAAAAGCAGTGGCAGTAGTATCACTATACAGGGTTGATCAAATAGCTGTACATACATATAAACATTTAGACAATCATATTGAGTTTTTATAAAATGAACTTTTGTAAATATAAGTTCAGGTATATCAGAATGGGGCAAAAACTTATCGAAAAATCTTGAGTAAGTCATCCATGTCACATTAAATTCCTGAAAACTACAATGGTTTACCACATCGCTTACATAACAAGGTTAGAAACAGCCATGCTCTATTTAACTCCCCCTTTATAAGGGGATTGTGGGAGGTTTTGCCTTAACCCATAAAGACCCTTTTTGAAAGGGAGGAAAAAAAAGGAAATCCCCTTTGATCCCATTGTTGCAAGATTACTTCTTATCAGCTATTATGCACTTCTAACAGTGTAAAACATGTTGAATCAATAAATGTTGTTTCTTAGCAATTCATAACAAGAATGTGGAAATACAGTCAACAGTGATACCTGAACATTTAGAGGCACAAAAGAGACGAGGCTGTAATCCTGAATGACTTCAGCCAACTTTTCATTCAGATGGTGAAATTTCTTAAAGAAGGGGTCTGCAGCCAGATGATCTAGCAGATAGGTCAGGTCCATTACCTCAGTGTAGAAGTCAATGTTGAACGCTGTACGAGAATACAAACAGGACAAACAAGAACATGTGAAATTAAAGGCTTATTCACACTTTATCAGGTAATTGCCTGAGGAATACACTTAAATATGTTAGTTTCTGACCTTGTGTGTGCATAGTGGTAACATTTCATTTGTCGAGAAAAGCACATCATCTTTTGCTTACCCAGTTTGCCATACTGCTCGATCAAGTCCATCTTGGAGAGGACATTAACATGAGGGAGCTCCACATGCAGCATGGTGGACAGGGACGTACACAGCACAGATATAAACTTGGCTGGGTCTGCACAGTAATGAGAGTCCACAAGGTGCACGGCTGTCAGCTTAAATAACAGAGAGAGAAGGACAGAGAGTTATCAGATGAAAAAAGTAGCCTGAAGATGAAGTAATTTATCATAATGCACATAGAGCATCATAAAGAAACTCACCCTAAAACTCCATTTGGCCAGCTGAGAAAAAATGTTCTTGACTGAACTCTGATGTGTGTACAGCTCCACTTGTCCAGGACAGTCGAACAGAAAGTAACAGTCACTGTGTTGCTTCAGCTTGTTCTCTAACCAGTCGAGATTTGCCTCAATATACTCCATGCAGTACAGGAGACCCCCATTGGGTCCAAGCTTCAAGCCATCCATGACATCATCCAGGGTAACCAGCTCTGAGACATCAACACCGCAGGAGTACGGCAGTCCTTCATTGGCAGGGTCCATGTTCACCACAACCACCTTGCGTCCCAGGTTGGTGAGGAACTCCTGCATACCATGACAGTAGGTGGTTTTTCCTGAGCCTGGTGGTCCGATGACAACTTGACCAAAGCGCAGAGAGTGCTTTACCCCGGTGTGGCTGGACATGTTTTAGTTCAGAAAGAACTCAAATGGATCACAGAAGTTCGATCTCAAGATGTCAAGGCAGCCACATCAAGAGTTGCATGCAGGATTATCAGCATCCAGGCTGGAACCTGGCGGTCCCATCAGAGAGTGGATTACTAAACGTAAATGTCTCTCAAAAACTGAATGAAAGCTGGGGTGAGCCTTGCTAACATTTTTTTTACCACACAAGTGACATAAGTAAGGCTAATTGAAGTTTATGTTAATATTTTTATTACGATAAATGAGATGAGTGTTAGTACTTAATTACCGTCTGCCCCCGTTTTGTTTGCACGCGTACATCAGTTGAAGCTAAGGCTAATGTACAGCGCTTCCGGGTTACGCCAAAGAGCTGTCAAAATAAAAGCGGCTTTTCTAATAGGCATTCTACGGAAGCTCCAGAAGGACAGTCGTCTGTACATGACGTTATGTGCATTATTTCCCGGGCAAACATATAGGGGAGAGTGGGGTAAACTGAGCCAAAGCGTAAGTTGAGCCACCTCTTGTTGCTTGGAAATGGTAAAAGAAATTGATCATGTGACCAATATATAAACAATGTGTGTTAATAAAAGAGTCTGGACTGATCTGTAATTCAATGTCAGTCAAAGAAAATGTGCTGTATTAGAGTGGCACTGAAAATGCTGGAAAATGATGCAGGGTAGCTTCCCACTTGACCTATAAAGTCACTTTTGAATTTTCAGTCTTAAATAGCTTGTAAAATTAATTTTTACCCTCATGTTTGGGGGAGAGTGGGATAAATTGAGCCAAAGGCAAAGTTCAGCCACCTCTTGTTGCTTGGAAATGGTCAAAGAAATTGATCATGTGACCAAATATTTAGGAGATGGGCATCAATTCATGGAGTCTGTGAAGGTATGAAGCACATGGGTGAAGGGGTTAGACATTTATTTCCAAAAATAAAACAACCTTTTTCATTCTTGAAAGTGAATTAAGTCAGTCATAAGTTTTATTAGAATTGTGTTCAAACCAAAAAAGATCATTTTAAATTTGTTTTATACATCAATTGTGGTATCTATGAGCTACAACATGAGGTCAAAAACCTAGTATAAAAGTCCACCATTTTAGCTTAGAGGAATAATAACGTCATCATAGTAGTTCTGGGGTAAGTTGAGCCAGTGGCTCAAATGAGAAAGTAAGGGAGTCTGATGAGAGGATCAGAGTTTCAGTTCAGATTGTTGAAATGTGTTGCTTCTTTTTTTTTCAAAAATACAGCTGTGAATGTTCTGAATCACTTAAAGACATTCTCATGTTAAAATGGCTTTTTTACAGAACAGCTTTTTAGCAGTTATATGCAATAATAATAATAAAAGAATTATTGTACCAATTGAATAGCATATATTATGATTGCCTTGATGTAGTGATTCAAAATAAGAAAAATGGCTCATCTTAGTCCACTCTCCCCTAATATTAGCTGTGATCCAGGGATTTAATGTCATATGATTGTCCAGTTTTGCAATTGTGCGAAGTAACTGTAGAAATGGCAGCACCGCATGGCATCATTTGAATTCTCACGGTGACCAGTCCATATTTTTGTTTTCTAGATCCCAAGAAAAACAAGTTACATTGTTTCGAGATAAAAAGTAAATCAATTAATTGTAATGAGAAAACCAGCTCTGATTGCTCAAAATAACTGGGTAAACAGGTGAAGATCATCAAGAAACAACCCCCAAACGATTCATCATTCACAGGAAAACGGGTAATCACATGAAGTTGGGCACAAACAAGACATTTCAAACTTTTAATATTATAAAACTCTTTTACGAAATGATACATAAGATATCCATGATAAAAAGTCTCTTTTTTGTGAAAATTTCTCGCTGGTAAGAATTGTATTTACAATGAGTCTTCAATATAAGATATCATATCTTTCATTAAATTCTTCAAAGTCTAAGAGTATATAAGAGTCTCACAATTACCCAAAAGGCTGTCCTTGCATCTGCTGTGGTTTGGAAAACTATAAGAAAATGCCACAAAATTAATCAAGCTTGACAGAAAAATATTTGCTACTTCCAAAGAATGATCTAAACAGCAGTTTTGAAAAAGGACCTTAAAATGAATGTTCATGTGTCTTACACTTATCTCAATTCTATTTCTCCAGGTTAAACTGCAGTTGCACAAAACCATGATAACATATTTAACATTGAGGATAGTTTTGGTGATCCAAAATCCAAAACAAACAGATGAAAATCTGGAAGTTTTTGTTGTTGTTTTGATATCTTGTGAAGGTAATTATGACTAGCAACAACTGGCAAGCGGATATCTTAAAGAAATAATTCCTTTCTGGGAATTAATAATTCCTTTCCATTATCCCTTTCTGGGAAGAAAGGGATAATGTAACCACAAAAAATAAAACAGACAAAGAGATGTCACACGTACTCTATGAAGGATATTGTAAAATGGTTCTTTGGCTGAATTAAGAAATGAATGATAGATATCTGTGCTAAATCTATAAAGCTATCAACAGTTTCAACAGTGAGTCAGCAGTTAGAAATACAAAAGGCACACAGACAGACAAAATCAGCACACATGAAATGGGTGGTTTGATACTTTTATTCACCAATTCTTAAAAATAAGAGTTTAAATTATTTTAAATGACTATTGAGTTATTGTCATCTTTGTGGACCAATGCTGCCACCTGGCTGCCAGCCTCTGTACTTCATAGATGTATTAGGTTGACGTCTCAGTAAAGTGTCCCCTTCATCTACATCTTTGGGTTTATCATACACAGTAGAAATGTGGAAATCTGTTCTGGCCTTTTTTACTGGACGTGTGACCAGTTTTTCTCCATGGTATCTGCAGAAATAAAACACAACAGCATGAGTGTCCGATCAATTGTTAACAAAAATGTGTGTATGTTGTTTTTTTTTATGTTGTTTCTGTCAACGCACCCAAAGCCTCTTTTACAGTGGGGATGTTGGCCCTCACTCTCAAGCGCTTCAGGAATCCCAACCTGACTATTTCCCAATCCCTCGCCATCCTTCCAGCCCTGTTTTTCCATTAGACGACGACCAAAGCCCTGTGAAGGCCAAAACAACATTTAAAAGTTGTTCCTACACTGTAAGCTTGACAAGAAAATATTAAGACCAATTAAAGGGGGATTTTCTTACCTTTGTGAACCTTTCAAAGCTTCCAATGGACTGACTGCATCCAGATCGATCCTCAAGGCCCTCTCTGAGCCTTTTTTTATAACGCATCCTGACAAAGTCACGTGCATCCATGTCACCTCCATCTGAAAGTAAAGAGCTGCGTTATAGAAATCTTACTTTGCGGAAATTATTCATTTTGTCAGTTTGAATAAAGTAAAAAGCTTTAGATACCTTTATCATAGTAAACACTCATGTCAACATCCCAGTCGTCTGCTGTTTGTTCATCAAAATCTACGAATGGAAAGAAAAATTAGAGAGTTAAATATTCAGTAAAGAACACGGTATAGACTTTGTCTTACAATAATAGTATAATTTTCTTTTCAATACATATAACATCTTTATCTGTTTTACAAAAAACTGCACACAATCATGATGTTAGGCTGGATATAGGGAAGGAGTGGGTGATCAATAACATTAGAACCACTCATTCAATTTCAATCACAGTTGCAGCTCCCTACAGTCATAATATATGACGGCAAAACTATGTTTTCAATGATTAATTTTCAAAAACTTTAGAGTTTTCAAGTTCGAAGGAGATTTTGAGTTAAGTTCTGTGATGCAGATGTCAAATCATGAAAAATCGTGTTCATTATTCTAATCTCAATTGCATTCAATTTTCATTAAAGATCCCCATCAGTGTGACTTCCAAAAACCACGCTAGCTAAGATGGCTAATCTTTTTTTATCTTAATATCTTAGTTTAATAGTGTAAACCTCTATTATGGTACATCAGGGCAATTGTTAAAATATACTGTACATCATAAAAAAAATGGTTTGCATACCTCCCTCTTCCTCCTGCCAGTATTGGGCATCAGTGTAGAACACCAGGCCTGAGCCCCCCTTTTCCCACTTCAGCTCAATCTCCTCCTCAAACAGCCTTTCTTTACTTCGTTCTTGACTCGTCACATCTTCATGTAAAGCCTCATGTCTCTCCCACTCCTCGCAGCAGTCATCATCCTACAGCCAACAAGATAAATCATAAAAATGAGCTAAGTTCACCGTTCATCACAGTGACAGTTTTTACATTTAAATTTAAAAATTACATCTTTAACCCACATCATCCGCATTTGACTGTGCATCTTCATCCCCTTCCTCCTCCTCCTCTTCTTCTTCTTCTCTTATCTCTGTTGTCTCTGTGTGATGTTTCTGCCTCCATCCTGAGTTTGGAGCAGCCAATCTGCCAGGTCCTGCAATTTCATGTCCAGCAGCAGTTAAAACAGTCTCTTCTGTGGCTGGAAGGGTCACAGAGCCCCTGTACTGAAAAGGTACATTTCCGTAACAGCGGTTGGAGCTGGTCTTTGGAAAAGTGAGGCCCAGTTTACGGATAAGGCGCGGCGGCAGTCGACAGGACTGGATGAGCTGTAGGAACACTTTGACCGGCGTTCCTACATTACCATTCTGCATCAGGGAAGGTGGGTTTAGCTCTGGTAAGCTTTTCAGGTCAGCATCAGTGAAGCACTCTTTTAAGGACACCCGATGCTGTGTTTCCTGCCTTGTTTTGTAGGGGAATGACCCATCATCTGAAAAAAGGAAAACAGTTGGATATAGAAGTACACATCACAAGTAGGGAGGAGTGGAGTAAGATGAGCCATTTTTTATATTCGGATCACTAATCAAGTCAATCATAGTTTTGTCTCTAACTAGTGTATCTGCATATATTTTAAGATGTTGTGCATCCCTGCAAACCAACAGAATGAGTGTAAACATAACTTTCTTGATAATATAGCATGCCAAAAAAAGTGGTCTCCTATGGTCAACTTACCCCGTGTTTGGGGTAAGTTGACCATAGGAGAGCAGGGTAAGTTGAGTCGTATCCCTACCACCCCTCCACTCTCCACTTCAGCCCTCCCTCACCTTCTCTCTCCCTAAATAACAGTCACTTCTTCACATTCGTGTGTATTTTTATCTATTATACACTATTCAACTGGTACAATAATTCTTTTTTATTATTGCATATAACTGTTAAAAAGCTGTTTTGTAAAAAGCCATTTTAACATGAGAATGTCTTTAGGTGATTCAGAACAGTCACAGCTGTATTTTTGAAAAAGGAAAAGTAACACATTTCAACAATCTGAACTGAAACTCTGATCCTCTCATCAGACTTCTTTACTTTCTCAGTTGAGTCACTGGCTCAACTTACCCCAGAACTACTATGATGACTTTATTAGTCCTCTAAGCTAAAATGGTGGACTTTTAAAATGATCTTTTTTGGTCTGAACACAATTCTGAATTTTAATTTAGTCTGTCAAAAGTTTTTATGACAGACTAAATCCACTTTCAAGAGTGAAAAATGTTTTTTTTTTTTTTTTTTTTTTTTTTTTAAAATAAATGTCTAACCTCTTCACCCATGTGCTTCTAACCTTCACTGACTCCATGAATTGATGCACACTCCCTAAATATTTGGTCATATGATCAATTTCTTTTACCATTTCCAAGCAACAGGGGGTGGCTCAACCTACCCTTTGGCTCAACTTACCCCACTCTTCCCTAAACATGAGGGTAAAAGTTAATTTTTTAAGCTATTTAAGACTGACAATTGAAAAGTGACAAGTGGGAAGCTACCCTGTATGATTTTCCAGCATTTTCAGTGTCACCCTAATACAGCACATTTCTTTGACTAACATTGAATTACACTCAGTCCAGACTCAGTCCCCCCCATACTAACCTTTGTCATGTGAGACCCTGACTCTTTTAATAACACATCGTTTCGACAGCCAATTCCCCTTTGAGTCAATCCAGTTGTTCCCCGCGTACATCCGGACGAACCTGTCCGCATCTTTAGCATCAACTAAAACGACACAACAGCACGTCGTCTTCCTCTGCTTCGTGTCGGACTTCTGTGGAGTCTCCGGGTCGGTCTCCGGAGGTCCGGACCTCCTGCCCTCCTCTTCGTCCCCACACTCAGTTGTCACCTCGGTCTCCCTAATGACCTCTGGTCGATGTCTGTAATGGAAACAATGAAAACCTCCACTTTCTATGAACTGACTGAAATAGTTTCTAAGGTCTGCGGAGCGAAAAGCAGCAGGAATGTTACTGACAGCAAAATACACAGGGGGGATGTTTTCACTATCCGCCATGATTGTTTTTCTCGCCGCCTTTCTTCTTCTTCTGTTGTGTTTCACGGCATCTTGCATCCAAGTGGTTTCATTGCTGCCATCTAGTGGAGTGAGTCAGCTCCCACATTGTACGTATTCCAGTCTATTCTCCAGCTCTCTTCTCTACTTTTCACCTCCTGAATTTTTATTTCCTCCTCCATGTCCATTTTGCTGTATATTTTTCGCAATTCATAAGATATTTTGCTGTTTCAGGGGTTTTGCAACTCTTACAAAAACACTGATGCTCCCATAAACTGCATACAGTATGGATGTATGGATAGTATGGATGCTCCCTACTATATGCCACTATTATGCTACTAAGATTGTTGTGTCCTTTTCTCAATCTTGATTTTAAAAAATGACTCGTTCCCTCCTACTATCACTTTATTTTTATTTTTTTTTAACAATTTTATTAACAGTTAGAACAGAACTGTTTACAGTCGCAAACATGTCTACATTGTTATTTGCATGGCATGAAAAAATAATAATGATACAATAAATAAGATGACATAAATGACAAATGAAGATCAATTAAATAAAATAATAAGGTTTGAAGGTGAAGTAAGAACCATCCAGATACACCTCCCTATAGACTTCTTTCCTTCTCCCCAAGGAAGCCCTCCTGCCCCCTACTAACCAGTCTCTCCTACGTCACATAAATTAACAAATATAGAGACGGGTAGCTCTGTTGGAATTATATATACTCATGCAGGAGAAGGAGGTCATACTCCATAATCACGATTTTCTTGGTCTCACTGTGCTGGTATTTTTAAACAGGAGTTGATAGGTGCCCATACAATAATAAACTCCTTCATTCTCAATTTGAGTTTTGCTGTTATCTTTTCCATCATGTACACCTTCTTCAACCTCTCTCTCCACTGGTTGAGGGAGGGAGGCAGTGGTTTTAGCCAGCACAGAGTGATCATTTTTCTGGCTATTACTAGGAGGATATGCAACATTTTTTTCCATAGTCCCCTTAGGGATCAAACCTATGATAAAGTACAGTGGATCCATTGGTAAATCAATGTTCAGTTTAGAAAGAATTTCTGTGTGAACCCAATGCCAAAAGAATTTCAGTTTGGGGCTGTCCCAAAAAATGTGTGTGTAATCACCAACCTTGCAGTCTCTCCAACATAAATTTGATTTGTTTTATCATATTCTGTCACAATTACTGGTGTCCTAAAATATCTCATTTTCACTTTCCAATTGAATTCCTTCCATGATCGACTATTTGTTATTTTGTGATCCTTTTCGCACACCTCCTCCCATTGTTCCTCTTCAATAGTAACATTCATCTCTAAATCCCATTTTTCTTTTATTTTCAAAAGTTTTCCTGTTTTATGTGTCTGTATACACTTCCTGTACCCTTTAAAGATTACTTTATTTCAAAATTTACTGAGATGGACCCTTCTTGCTTTCTCTCTAAAGTGCGTTTCGATTTGTTTTTCCTCTTTTCCAGCACCGCGGATGCATGCTTACATGAACTGATACCCATATGAGTATAGCTGTAATTCCTTGTCCTTGAGTAACCTTATTTTACTTCATAAAATATACCCAGGTATGTGTCAGACATAATTGATCTTAGACAGCTGTGTGCTGACGCTGAATCACTGCACAAAAGGGCTTGGCTTGTATTCTTGAATCTACTCTGGTACTATGAAATAGCATGGCTAGCTTGTGAACCTAAAGTGCGTTTCACTATTTATTTTCAGTCAGTTGGTGAGATAAATGCAGCTTTTGTCCTACTGGTAAAATATACTGTATGTGATCTGAATCTGTATTTGTATTTCTTGCCTTGATTTACAGCAATTCTGTGTCTACCTCTGAGGTTTTTTGCAGTAATACAAGTATGTTTTTCTGAATATCAGATATCATACAATATTATCAATACAAGCCCATGAAAATTCAAATGTTTGGTAATATGTACTCCTTACATGTAACTCAATGTATGGCATATGCTTACTACTTTACACACTACTACTTTTTTTTTTTTTTTCCTTACCGACACCTGAAAAATTTGTTCAGTCAGAGTTCATTAACCCAGAGGCTAACTCCCCCTCTGGCCTTCACCTTGGTGTTTATCGTTGTATTTTGATAGGACAAGGTAATAAAACCAGACTTGTGTGTCTGGACCCTGACATCACTTTACACATCATATGTTACACTCATTACTTATTAGTCACAGCCTACTTGTAAAAGTCCTCATCAATCGTTATTAGTGTCAAACTTGTCTAGAAAATCCCAGATAAGTGAAAGAATGATTGAAAATTTGACTTTACAGACACACTGTATTTAGAAATAAAACTTAATAGGCATCAGCATGAGCACTTGCAATATCATGAAAGGAAAAAAAAAAACTCTCTAACACACAGTACAAACCATTTTCTTGACAGCCATGCAATAAAAAAAAAGTATATGACTGCTGTGTCCCTTGTTGTTTTAAAGTGAAATAGATCAATCAAATCAATTGATATTGAGACCTGGAAACATATCTTTCAAAAGATATGATGCAAAATACAACATAAAAGTCACATCTGAGTGACAGTAGCTTTAGCCAGTTTAAACTCTCGCCACATAGAGATCAAACTTTACACTTTTAGCTTAAGGCAGATACCCTAAAGTCAGAGATATTTTATTTGTTTTTTTAATGCCAGCCTTTACACATTTGCCCAAATAAATACAATTAACATAAAGCTCAAATCAGGACATATGTGGTCATAGGATGCATCAAAGGGGGGCTTCTATCAGACCAAGAATCCAGCTTTCAGTACGGGCAGTTTTTTTTGTGACCAACTTTTTATTTCATTTTTCATTTTTCATACATACCCACCCACCCACCCACCAGACCCCCAGGGAGCAAGGCATTATATCTTGCATTGTACAATGTTCTTCCACATACAATTGCTAGTATTTGATGGGATGGAAACCAGCAATAAATAGTTCATGTATAAGAACAGGCAATATATACATGATACAATAATACAATATACATATATACATATACACACGCACGTATACCTATGTACACACCTATATATATACAGTATATATACATACATGCCACTCATACTCAATATATATAATATCTTAGGCAAATAATCAGAGAAGGCATAAAAGGGGTAATGCTAAGGGAGTAGAGATTTAATCTTTTCAGCTGCACTTAATAATATTTGAATGGATTTGGTTTTTGCTTTTTGTGCTCTGGCACTTGAAGCCAGTACGGGCAGTTTTGACAACTTGGGGTCAGTACCCCAAAGGTGTTTAAGTTTAGCAATATGTGAGTTTACTATGTATGTTTTTCCAGGTATTGCCTGGTGAACATCAGAGCATGGCCTCACTGTACAGAGAGTCATGGCAAAAATCCATATTATTTGTAGAGAGGAGTTGCATTGCAAAATACGCACTTGAGCAAGACTCTTCTTCTCTGTGCAAAGAATGAGTTACTCTGCTACTTTGGATCTGCTCTACATTTGAGAAAGAGGCAGACACTACTCTTTTGTGAACACATGATAATGATGATGATGATGATGGTGTAATAATGATTCTAAAAGAGGTTAGATGTTGCTGTGGGTCATAATGACGTCCATAAGTATTTTTGAAAAAGAAAAAAACTCCTCTGTGCGTTGTTGCCTCAGGCTCCACATGTCAGCACTTGTGTTCAATTGTACTTAGAGCAGTTTTCAGTCCTGACTTAAGTTGTTTCCTCGATCGTTCCTTGTCTTGGTGTATGCTGCTTTGAAAGAAACATCTGTTGAATGAAAGTGTAACCTTGCAACACTGTAAACTCCTACTGGACTCTGGTGTTCAGATGATAAAAAGTTGGAGAGGATTTTTTATTTTCAATCCTGGAAAAGCAGGCAAGAAAAATCGTTTAATCATTCAATCATTAAAAATCGCTTTAACTACTTTGAACCTTATGATATTTTCTGGTGTCATATTAGAATATTTTTTTCTTCCTTTTGCGGTTATCTGACAGATAAAGGACAGCGGATAGAGCAGGAAACTGAAGAAAGAGAGGGGAATGACATGCAATAAAGAGGGGCACAGGATAGGATAAAACCCAGGCTGTCTACGTATGTTGGGTGCACCTAGATCACCAGGCTACCTGCACTCCAATCTCGTAAATTTTTAATGTACAGTGGATTTATGCAGACTGTAAAATCCTGAAACATATACAGAAATGTTCATTAAATACCTCCAAGTTTGGATATTGGGTAAAGTTTCATGACATATTGATCAGATTACCCCCAGAGTCACCTTTTTGTCACCTCATCATATTCCAGTGTCAAAGGGGAAATGAACCTGCACTGTTTTAGCAGTGGGTCAAGGTGAGGTTTCATGTACAGAAATGTGACACACACACACACACACACACACACACACACACCGAGTTCAATGACCTGTAAAGTACAGAAACATGACAGTCAATATTTGGCAAAAACCTTGGAAGAAAAGCAAACTGTTTCAGTCAGTGAGGGAAGTGTCGACACAATTCTCTTTATAACTATCCAACAGTTGTCTTATTAAATACTCAGACTTTATTCGACTGAAGTTTGTTCAATTTTTAAGTTTGCATGAACATTTATGATTAAAAAAAACTCAGATACTCTTACCCATTACGTCATGCTCCATCAAACTTTAACTGTTTGATGTCAGAATACAGCAGTTGTTCCACTTATAGAATAAAGGACATTTTATTTTTACTGTCTCGGTTGGAGATAAGCGTCTGTCCTCCGTGCCCGTCTCTGCCTGCTCCTAACCTCTATAAAAACAAGCCTTATCACACACATTTACAACTGTGAGTGTGCTTCATGGAGCCTGAGAACTGCTGGGTGCATTACAGGTCATTCTGCTGGAGGGATCACATCTTTCATGAGAGTGTTTTATTTGTTGTGTAATCTTTCGCTGAAGTTCATCTTGATCAATATTCGGTGACTGTACAGACAGTCATGTCTTATGTGAGTAATGCCTGGTATGAAATGTAATGACATCACTCCACGAAGACATCATATTCTGGAGAACTGTTTAAAGGAAGGGATGAGTAAAGACGCGGCTGAAGTAAAACAAACACTCGGTGACTGGTGCTGCCAGTAGTGTCTGCTTGTAATCTCTTTATTGCGGTTATTCACTCAATGCACTGACCTTGACTCCACTGCTCTCTAGTTCATGTCTTCCTCTGTAATTTCCCTCCAATGAAAATGGATTCAGGCATCTTGGTTTATGCAGCAGATGCCCTTCAAAAGAAAATAACCATAACATGTTGTATATTGTGTCGCCTGTCTCTATCAAATGTGATGAACACCACAGTTGACTCAAAGTGAACCCTGGAAAATGTGCAGTTTGTTTATGTGTGACAATAATAAAGTAATTTGCTTATCAGCGTCAATCCACTGTGCCAGGTACCAAGAAGATAACAAATTAAGGTTAACATATTAAAAAGTTCAGTGGAACGTTGTAACGACTGTAACACATCATAAAGTGGAATTCCTAAAATTTTCTGAACTTTTGTTTCTGAATCAAACCAACTTTTTACCAATAATCTATCTATCTATCTATCTATCTATCTATCTATCTATCTATCTATCTATCTATCTATCTATCTATCTATCTATCTATCTATCTATCTATTTTTTCTATTCTATTCTATATCTTATTTCACCAAATCACAAAACAGCATAGTAATTATGATACCTGCAACTGAAGATACACTTTTGAGTTTTAAAGATTGTAGTCAGTCAGTAGACTCGAGCGAGCCAAAGTCTGTTCTTGTTCTACTTGTTCTTTATTATTATTATTATTATTTTTTTTTTATTGTGCTATTTAGAAATTTGGTCAACCTGTTTGTTCAACACTTTTTATCCAGATTGCAATACTTTATATATTGTCAAAATATTCTGTTGTGAAATCATGTTTTTATCGCCTCAAAAATGTTAGATACAAGCAGTGATGCACTGACCTCTCCATTGAACCTCAATTGTAGCCTCTATGTAGCTGAATTTTGTAGTTTCAGTGAAATGTTTGTTTGGGCTGAGAGGATGTATAGAGCACTTCCAGAGACTATTACAGTTTTTCTCAGTCCCTTTGGTGCATTTCTCAGATCAGAATGAAAGTTCTCACAACTATTAGTTCAACCTCCACAACATTGTGTCATTTGTACACATCATTGTAGCAGTTTCTTGTTCCTCTGAGCAAATTGAAAATGCTCTTGGACATGTATCAGTTACTTTCATACAATTCTCTGCTGTTTCATAACATTATCATTTGCTAATGTCATATCAGTCAACATTAACTATACTTATGAATGCTGAATAGTAATTCCCTATAAAAATAATAGTCATCATTTCATTGCTTGAGTCATTACATACAAATTTCACTAGTTCTCAAAATCTTTCAAGCTGATTTCAGACATCCCTTTGTCATTTTTTTTTCTCCTGAAAATGTCTCCTTAATTCAACAGTTGCTCTCAGGTGAACCTCAGGTTTCACTCATGAGGAGGTGTGTGAAGCATTAGTTGTAAGCAATGACAACCTGCTTGTCCATAGTCACTCAGAGCTGAATCCCATGAATCCTTACTTGGAAAGCATATATAAACCAAGCAGGACATAGTGTGAACCATTTCTACAATTCTGTGACACAAATAAACGGAAAGTCAGTGTCGTGGAGGAGCGGTGAGAATGTGGAGAGAAGGGGAAGGTGACAAAACCGGGGCAGAGGAAGAAGCGACGAAGTACATAGTCAAATCCCCGATGAAATTAGAGCTACACTTGTGGACCATGTTGTCAATCACGGCTTCATTATGGCTGAGGCTGGTCAACGTGTGCAACCAAATGTGGGGAGAACCACTGTAAATCTTATGTTTGTTCTAAATAAGTGACAGAATTTTTTTAAATTTAATTTAATTTAATTTTTTTGCTCAATGCTGTAGAATTGCAAAGATAATATGCAGTAAATATGTGAAACATTCATGTGTCTTGTACTCAGTTACCTCACTAAATACAGTAATGTGTAACTTTGCTGTAGTTTTCAAATGGCTGTACAGGTAGTGTATAGTGCTGTCTTGAGCAGTTTCAGGTAGTGTCACCAAGATCGGACTTTTTTGCAATGGAAAACACAAAGAGAGTAAACCGTCATAATGAAAACATGACAAAGCCATTTGACTGTCGCGTTCATAAACAATGATGTTGGGACGAATTATTTTGATGACACTGACAGTTTCATTGACATGAAGACTTGCTTTTGAGGAATCAACCACTCATTTTGAGCAAGTGATGTGCTTTTGCAGGTTATCCACGAGGTTTTGCAGTTTGTATTAATTGTTCTAAGAAATGCACTAACTTTTGTGCAAATGTTAATACTGATGTGAGAAATGCACCAAAACAGTTGAGAAAAACTGTATTACAGCATGTGCTGGTCCAATCAGTGATATGCCATATTTCATGTCATTAATGACAATAAAGGTGCTACATAACAATTAGCCAATAGGAGTTATTAAAAATCTGATAGACTCCACATCTCCGCAAGCAACAGATTTTCCGTTCAAAGTATTTCCTCAAAGCAAAGGTTTGTATCATATAACCTGGGATAGTGTTGATTCTGTTCCTGATTTCTCTGAGAGGCTAACAGTCGAGTGCTGTTATATCGAGTGTTAGTTGGAAAATATTGGCATGCTAACTTGATTTTTTTTATGTGGGTGGATGCAGTCAACATTGTACCTGCTCATTATCACTCAGTATATTAGCTCGTTAGCATTTACAGTACAATTTGAAACTTGTGCTATAAATGCTAAAACTGAATGAGACACTGTGACACACAGAAAGTTAAAATGAACAGAAATCATCCTCAGTATTCATGTACTTTAAATAATAATGTGTGCTAAGGTTTTTAAAGGTTGGAAGGTGATTTAAAGGAACCTCAATTATCCATTTAAGAGAATTTAGGGCTGATTGAGTTGCACTGTTGGATTATTTCAATAAAACTGAAATCATACATGTCCACTAATAAGTGATACAGAAGCTGATCTGTTCACAGATGGTTTTAAAAAATTCAGATGGTGCTTCACACCTCCAATAACTGAAGTTAATTGATTAGAAAAGTAAAACAGAAGAAAGTTGCTTCCACCCTCTGGGGACTTAACTTGTAGGTCAATGACCTCTCTCTGCTCTGGCCCCTTTCCAGCAATGCAGGTGTGAGCTGGCAGTATGCAGGGACACTGAGCACGGCTGATTACCCCTGCAGTCCTTGGTAGCTTGGTACTGCCTGGGTTAATGACACTGGCTGCGAGATAAGGCCCAACCTTCTTGATATCCGGGCGTTACTCCACTGGCTTCGCTTCATTGAGAAAAGCTTATCGGTTTCCCAGGGTTATTCCATCAGTCACCTGGCGGAGCACATGGTTGTTTTTCACAGAGAGTATTGACAAGTCAAGGTCCACTTTAAAGGCTGGGCTGGACATATAAATACAGGAGCAGTGGAGGAAGCAGCAGCAGAAGAAGCCCTCTTACTCTTGAGCAAATAGATCTCTACAAGCTACTAAATGGATAACACGTGTCACTGTTCAGTCAGCAGCGAAAGACTTTCCAATCCCATCCTCTTCAACATCCTGAGCCAAATGGATAATAGCAAATCAAGTCAAAACAGCTTCAACTACACTTCAATACCTCATAGATGCAACTGTGAGCAGCGACGGACAGTGTGCTTAAAACGGCCGTCTGAGATCTGCAAAGAAGCCTCAGCAGTTCTGGTTAAAACGGTCCACTTCATGAAGAACTTACCTGCTTTTAACCAGATGCCTCCAAACGACCAGTTTGCTCTTCTCAAAAACTGCTGGGCACCACTCTTCATCCTGGGCTTGGCTCAGGAGCATGTGGACTTTGAGGTGATGGACACTCCTGCAGACAGCATGCTGAAGAAGATCCTCCTTAACAGACAGGAGAGCCCTGAGATGGAGAGGGAGCAGCCCACCATGGCTGGAGTCAGCAAGCTTAAATCCTGCCTAAAAAAGTTCTGGAGTTTGGATTTGAGTCCGAAGGAGTATGCATACCTCAAAGGAACAACAATATTTAATCCAGGTGTGTATTCGTAGAGAATCTACTGTGAAATATTTAAAACTCTGTGGAAAAAACACAAAAAACAACATTATATGAATATATATATAAGTCTATATGTCTTGCTTTTGTGTTTAACAGATGTCCCAGATTTGAAGGCAGCTCTGTTTGTGGAAGGCCTGCAGCAGGAGGCCCAGCATGCTCTCAGTGAAGTGGTCAGGCTCCTTCACCCCGGGGGAAGGGAGCGCTTTGCTCGGATCCTCCTCACAGCCTCTATGCTGCAGAGTATCACGCCGGGCCTCATCTCTGAACTCTTCTTTAGGCCTGTGATTGGCCAGGCTGACCTGCTGGAGCTGCTCATCGACATGCTCTTCTGCAGGTAGAAGAGGCCTGCACATAACCGCCATGACAGAGTTGAATCTTCTTCATTCAGTAGTGGTTTTGATAACTAACTGAATGAGGAGTGAAGGACGGTGGACGTCTAAAAACAATAGCTTACAAAATACATATGAGTAGGTGAGACTGTGAACTACTTACATTACATTAAAGCAGAGGTCACTTTAGCCCAGACTGAGAAGATTGTATCCTGTTGAGGGGAACATTTTGACTTGTCATAATCTGTGCCCACTGTTATGTTGTATCCCATGTTAAGGATTTTTTGTGATGTAAATACGTTTCTGCAAGTCTGCATTTTTTAATAAATATATTTTTGTACATGAACTAAAAGGTGGATGTCTGTTATTTAAATAGAAGCACTGCAACCAAAGCTGACACAGTATATGTTTAATATTTAAGTTATGTTACCTGATTATGACTCTGTGCTCTGAACATCTTCGTTACTGACGCCTATTTTGGTAGATTATACTGTGCAGGCAAGACTATGGCGTCTGTTGTCGTAGTTTTCTTGTGGTACTTTATCTCCCTCTAGTGGGAGCGAAGGACTCGCATTCTCACTCAACAATACAGGAAATGCTGATGAACATTTAGTTTTAACTCTTTAAGATAATTGTATGTGAAAGATGATTTAACTGAAAAAATCTGAGTTTGCTGTCAGACTCTGTGCCACATGTGATGCAGAGCAGACGCCTCTTGATCCATCCTAAACAGTCATGTCAGTTTTGAAACTGCGAGCCTCCGCATGACACCTCACACAGGTAAAACAGGAATGTGACAGTGGGGGCAGAGAGCCAAAGGAAATGGGGTTACACAGGGCAACTGAACACACCACAAACAGAAACATGACTAAGAGCAAAACATTTGGCACAGAGATCAGGTGGCTTTCTGTACGTAGTTTACTGCATAGATTTTTCAACAACTGAAATGTCTTTTGACCTAATTCCTGTACAGAATCAGTCTCTTGACTCCAGAGAGGCTAACTGCTTTTTCTGTGCTGTTTCAAGTTGAGACGGCTGGAGTTTTCTAGGTTGAAATTTTTCTATTTTACTGAACAGAATTTACATTTCTCCTGTTAAAACTCTAGGTAAACCCACACTGAGTGCTGATAAAACAAAACACCTGAAAAGATTGCAGGCAGCTGAAGGCAGCTCTGTAGACTTTCTAAAAAGAACATTAACAGTAGATTTAGTTCAATTGACCCATAGCAGGATTTTAGGATAGGTTCCCAAAATCAAGCGGGTTTTGTACTCTGCTTCTTCCCTTTGCAGTGAACAACACAGACAAACCTCAGGATTTTATTTCCTTTCTGCCAGAACCAGCCAAACGAGTTTAGTCTTTTGCTGAGGGCGAATAAGCCTGCCTGCTGCAACACAGTGACCTCAGGGAGATGAGCTTGACAACAATAATCTGAGAGATAAAGAGGCAAAGTAGGCTGAAGAGACAGAAAGCAATCTAACAGAATCACTTATTGATAAATAAGAGTCTGAAATTAAGTGTAAAACCAATGAGGCAGCTAACATTCACACAAAATAAAAGACTTAATTTAGCGGTCACTTGGCAGCCCTTCATGTCTATGAACATTAATGATGATTTTGCTTTTAAAAAGCCATAATCAGAAATGGGTATCTTTTTTTATTTTGTTAAAAACAGGACATGTGAATAAAAAAAAAAACAGTTTAACATTCAGAAAAGTAACATTACCTCAAAGTATATACACATCAAAATATGGCTTAACAAAGCTGTTTTCAGGCCAGAACATGCTAAATGGCAGGAGTCACTACAGGCAGGCAGTACACACACAATGGCTTGCACAAACAATCACACAGTCAAGAATGAGGATGGTTATGTTCCAGTATCAGTCTCTGTCCTCTGGCCTTACCGCGAGGATTGCACTGAGGAGTGTAGTAACGTCTCCGTAAACACTGCATGCAAAGACATAAAACATACGCTGTTTTTCCCTGGGTAAAAAAGTGTCCTCAGAAGGTTATTCGACGGAGTGGTCATAGGTCCATGAATTTCAACGGCATTCCAATAGCAAACATTAGTCAGTCCACTACAAGCTATGTTAAAGATGCTCAAGCCAGTAACAGCAAAAATATAACATGTTGAAAGGACAGCATCGTTCATCTAGTTAGCTACATCACTTTTGTTAATCTATGTTCAGAGAAGCAGAGGAGCGCCTGAAGAGTCTGTTTCAGTGTCGTGGTGGTAAGCTGAGTAGGCTGTGGCGGTGCTGGAGGAATACACTGCAAAAAAAAAAAAAGAAATGTATTTATTCATTGCACTGCAAACTGAAAACAAAATGCAAAAGTTGAAAAAAATCAAAGCACGAGGTATTGCACTTGATTCCCACATCCTCAGGGTCCCATGTGAAAGTTGTGGAAACATAATACGTCGCACCCTCCTTGATAGACATGTAACAAGACACCCTGTCCTCTAACTGCCTCTTGCAGAACAACAACTTTTTAAAAAAGGGGCTTCTGCGCCGTAATCCATCTTCAACCAGAGTTGATCACTGAAATGGCACAAGACATTCTGTGGCATATATTTATGTGACTCGATCAGGTGGTGTATCATGACCACTGAGCTGTAGGGGAGAATAGGGGCAGACTGATGAGCGGGTGTAAGGTGGCAGATGAGGAGAGGAGGCGGTTAATGAGCAGAGGATTGTAATACGCAGAGAAAAGGGCAGGAATGCAGGGCTTTCATCGCGTAAGAGAGGTATGTTGAAGTAAAGTAGAGAGGAGGTGAGAAACTGCCTGCAGCTGCAGTACGTACAATAGGCTGCACAGAGAGAGTCTCACAAACCAATTCACCAAGGTGGTAATTACATTTCATTGCCAAGGACCAGTAAAGACTGTAACTCCATCAGCACCGTGAATAATTAATAATGTGACACTTTTCAACACTAATTACACACCTGTACAACCCGATTCTGCTTTATCCTTGATTGTTTTCAACTCGAAATTTCTCATAGGTTCACTTATTTTGACCTGAAAGAAGGTGTGATGGAAAATTGCCAAATGCACACTCACTCCTCCCGCTGTAGTGTCTCATTTTCCTTGCCAGCTCGTCCGATGGTGTCTGCTCTGACACTTTCACCTCTGGAACTGCAGCAGGAGACAAAATAAACAGCAGCAAATGAGCATCTTCAGCAGACATTCACAACATTCATCTGCTAACCTCTGCTATTGTGCAATACGTCGTTAGAAGATGGCCTGTGCCTGTTGGAACTTGCCCTTGATTTAACAATTATTTTTAGGTCACTGCCTGTAAAATACCTGCTGTATTAGGGTTCAAACTTGAAGACTAACAAAAGCTCTCCAACAGACATTATGAGTCACTACAGAGAAACAAGACGGTACATCTGTTTATCTTGTATGTTGGGTGAAATACTTGAGTGTTGTTGTTATTGCTGTGAGATGTTCATGATATCCTTACAGTCACTGCTCATGTTTGTCATGGTCTCGTTGCCGCTGTCCGGAAGAGTCCCGTCACTTCTTCCGTTAGGTCGCTGTTGTCCCACGGAATGGGGGCTCTTGTACTTCTTACCCTTCCTTGTGCTGATGCGAATGACCCCGTGTACCAGCTTACACTCAGCCTCCTGCTCCTCCAGGTTGTAGTCCTGGGCGATGCTGTAGATAAGCTCGCTGATTTCATTCGTCTTGCGGGAAAAAGAGGAGTCGGATGTGCACTTGGCCAGCTGGTCAATCTGGTGCAGGGCGTAAAGCTCCAGCAGCTTCTTAGTAATCAGAGAGTCTATGTCTGTGCCCGTGTCACTCAGGTCGTCCAAGTCATAGTCCTCACGGGATAGCAAGCTGGTGTTGCTGATTGGTCGCTGGCTTTCCCCCTTGCCAGGCGTGCGGGTCCGTTTAGGGGCAGGAGCTGGATAGCGAACGGTCTGACCTGCAATGCGCACATCCGGATAGCGGAAGCTGTCACTTGTAGGCAACTTTGAAACTTTAGGAGACTTCCTGGACTCCAGAGGGACACCACAAGTAGGGTTGGTAAGAGCCATGCCATTAGGAGGGTGAGGCTCAGTACCTGCTCTAGGGGGATGGTCTGTGGAGCTCTCATTAACAGGCAGACAGGGCTCTTTGCTGCCATAAAATCCACAGGTCAGTACACAGCAGATAAGAGCCTTACAGCTGCTCCAGCCCATAGAGGCACAGGAGCCGCAGGCATGTCTGCCGGCAGGCGTGTTGTCTGCCGACCCTGGTATAAATCCTATCGTCTCTGAGCCCCGGCTTGTGCCATTCCTCGGGTGGCCTCTGCTGCGGCTGTACTTGTCTGAATACCTGGAGTGGTCAGTGTGGTGCTCGTGCAGATGATGCTCCACATGATGATCCTTGTGGAAGTCTTGGCTGGCCGTGCTCTCCCTGGATATAGTCCGACCCTGGTGGTACTTCTCTGCTCTGGAGCCAGAGTTGTGGTGTTTGTGGTGGCGGGACACCTGGTGAGCCCCTGTGCTGTGGCCAGGCATGGCTCAGAAAGCCCAGGACCTAATGTGGAGGAGTCATGTTTGTAAGTTATAACCAGGTGTAAACCCCCCGTCTTGTTTCCAAACAAGCTGTAAATGCCACATGAAACATCAATTTAACCTCCATTAAAAATGTGTGTGGCAAACACTAGGCTTCCAGTAAAGAAGCCTCCCTTGGAGTTCTGGGAATGTCAATAACCGAGTGTAATGATTGCTGCTCTGATAATAATTTGGCCCATTTCGTCGCGCCCTTGTTTGTGTTACAGTAAGTTCAGTTCTAACCAAACTGCATTCAACATTTGACCGCTTTTAATTTGACTCTCAAAACGTTCACTTACCGCATAAGAGGAAACACTTGTGGCTGTCTTTTATCCAAGGTAAGTTGTTCGGCAAGAAAACCGCGGAAGTCTCAGACTGAAAACTTGAGCTCGCGCTTCACACAGAGAAGAAAGCTTTTGCTTTCGACCGCCCAAAAGATTTCCAGGTGACTTTTTCACGAAACAACACACTTTTGCACACATAAACGCGACTTCCCTGACCGGACAACACTCCTCGGCTCATTTGCGTCGTCTTCTCTCTCGAAAACTTCGTCTTGAATTCCCGAGAGTCCTTCAATGTTTGGCTATTACCTGCGGCTACTGCTAATCCCAGATCCTACACCCACCCACAGGTGAGTGGTGACGTCACGTGAGGCGGATGTAAAAGCACAGTAGCAGGGAAAAGGATGAAAGAAAACAAAAGGAGGACCGGGCTGTAAAAACTAGCAAATATAGTTGAAAAAAGAAGAAAAGGGTGTAAAAAAGCTGTTGAACTTGACAAATATTAAACATTCAGTCCCTTTAAAACCTATGTTTACACTGAAGGACAAATTGATACATAGATTTTCTATCAAACCAAATAATGGTGAGACTTCACAATAAGAACTTTTTCACATTAACACACACAGGTATGCTGAAAAGACACATACACACAGAGGTGTATCGCTGCAGAGCCAGCAGGTGTTTTCCCGAGTAGTATCTTTCATTCTGCCCTATTTTTCCCTCTATGGAGACACTTAATCACCCAAACCATGAACTGAAGTTGTAAGGTCACCTGGAAGAAAAATATGAGTCCAGCATGCTGTTCTGTGGTTTTACTGCAGTCACAACAAAACAGAGGCACACAAAATACTTCAAAATGTTACTTTAATGACAGTAAGTGTAAATGGAGCTTTCATGCCATGCAGTACTTTCCTAGTGTATTCATTTGTTTACTGTAATACAGATTACATTTTAAGCACAATGAAGATAGTTTTAAAAAATTCTTCTATTTTACTGAAGCATACAAACTCATATAAAGTCCTATAACAAAGCATACTGATGTATACAGTTTTTTACATAAACACATATTTTCATGCCATCTAGCTACCATCTCAGTCATTTCTTTCTCTGGCAGTTCTTTTTATCATTACATTTTAAGTCTGACACAAAACAAGTGCAGAAAAGCAAAGTACAGCATACGGGTGTATCTCAAAAGTTCATATAGTATATAGTTCAGTTTTTCGTAATTTTACTTAAAATTCTCATATTCATCACATTTAAAATTAAATTAACCTTAAGGAAAATCAGAAATTTGGGGTCTCAAAAGAGTTTCATGAGGGAGGAGTATGTTCATTTATACACATAATACTACATATAACTGCATCATTATGATATAGCAGTAAGACAGCCAGCCTGGGCTGCGGCTGAGGTGTTATTAATAGTTGCCTTCCCATTGTTTGTTTTTTTGAGTCAGGTGTCTCTCACCTTACTCTTGACAGCGGTGCAGTTATACAGATACTCTATTGGGGTTAAGGTTAGTACAATCGTGGTCAGCCGAGCCAACCATTTGGTTGTAATTTTGACACTGTGGGCTGGTACTTCTGCTAGAACCGAAGAATTTGTAAATGGGGGTGTTAACACAATGGACCAACACCTGCAGCTGACCAAATCATAAAACTTTACCCTGAACTTCACACACCTTAGATTTCCGCTGCTCCTCTCCCCCTGATTGTAGGGGGAGTCTGGGGTGACTCTAGTACCTTGAATTAAAAACAAAATGCAAAATTGACCTTGATCTAAAAAGAGGACTTTGAACCCCCAAGCACCAGTCCATCGTACTCTGCACCACTGTAAAGTCAGCAGTCTTCCATATAATTGTGGTTAGATGGTTTCTACTTGACTGAAACATACATGGTACTCATTGTGCAAGGACGAAAGAATGAGATGATCTGATGTTTTGAGATGTGTGTTTTTACATTTCTTGATCTGCAGTCCATAATTACCAAAATTAGAATGAAAATTAGCTTGAACATTTAGTTTACCTGTACTGTTTCATTTTGACTCAAATAACGGACAGAAAATCTTGAACTCTTCAGGATCTTATTTTTTGAGATGCCGTTTTTATGCTATCTAGGCTGTGTATCCTTATAAAGTCATTCGTATATTGGCATTATTAAGGTCAGTATACATTTAATAAATAATGCTCAAGAGTGGTGCCCACATAAATAGGCACTTTGGGTGAGATTATAACCTTATATGTACAGGAAAATTAAGATTATATAGTAAATACACCAACATCACCTGTCCACACTTGTAGAGTATCTAACTCTCTACTTTAGTTTCATAGGCTCTGTGGTGGAGAGGTTGTCCCCTGTTTAATCTGTGTGTCTGCAGGGAGACGGATAATACAGTTATCATTGGGGAGGTGCTGTGATTTAGCTGATCTCAAATGCCCCTGTGCCTGGCTGCCCCTGTTACCTGCCGGGATTTGCCCCAGCCGAGGATCTGAATCAATCTCATACCGATAGTGATAACCCTCCAGGACATCTCGACATGCATCTCTCATGTCATTGATCCACTTCTTCATGCCTTTGCGGTTAAGGTAAAGCACAAAAAGAAACACCATGCCCACAAACCCGAGCACCAGCCCGAGGAACACATATGATGTCTGCAGAGTGAGGTCAGCCACTTCAGCCTGCACCGAAACAACACATCCAATGGCTTGGACGCCAAGCCCTCGCACCTGGGTGTCTCTTAATCCTCTCGGAGAAACACACCTCACAGCTTCAACGTCTACTTGAGCTCTGGATTCATTCAGCCAGGACACAAACTCTCGAATCTCACAGGAGCAGGTGTAGGGATTGTCACCCAGAAGGATCTGGATGCTGTCGAGCTTCTCAAGTTCCTGTAGAGCGTCCTCACTAAAGGTCCTAAAGTCATTGTGAGTCAGGTCCAGAACCTGCAGATGACTCATGCCAGAGAAGGTCCCACTGTAGACAGCCACCAGGGAGTTGTTGGCGAGGAGGAGTTGTTGTAGGTTCGAAAGGTGGGAGAACATGCCAGGAGGCAGCAGGGTGAGGTGGTTCCCAGAGAGGTCGAGGCGAAGAAGACCCCAGAGGCCACCCCAACGCAGAGCCGTAGTGAGATCTGTGAGAGCGGTGTAGTTGTGCAGCGAGCGGCTCAGGTTAAGCTCCTGAAGGGGGCTGCCAGGTATGCTGAAGGCTTCTGGATGGATGAGGGCCAGCTGGTTCCTGCTGAGGTCCAGGAAGCGCAGATTGAGGAGAGCAGAGAAGCTGTGGGACGCCATCTCTGTGATCCTGTGAACATCACTCACGCTGTTATATGTCTCAACATATTTACTATGATACTCGTGCTTTAATACACACCATGCACTTTACTGCGCTATTAGAGAAAACAGAAAGACTTTCAGAGTCAAAGAAATAATTTATTTCTGCAAGACACATCAAGATAGTCAGTCTTTTAAATATGGCTGAATGTACATGAATGAAGCAAAACAAAACAAAGGCTAACATTCTCACCTATTATTGCTTAAAATGATGTTGGTGACATTCTCCAGATCTGAAAATGAATCAGGTCCAATCTGGTTTATATCGTTCCCTGTGACGATGACCGTCTTTGAATATCCTGGAATACTTTGAGGCACTGTGTGCAGATCCGTGGAAACACATTTCACTGTGCGAGTGACAGAAAAACACTCACAGCCCAAAGGACAACCAGAGCACTGGTATGGTGCACAGAGAAGGATTCCCAAAAATACAAGAAATGTGAAAACACACATCTCTGAAGTAGAGGAGATGAAACAATGCTCACTAAAGAAAACTGTAAATAAAAAAAATAACCCAAATGAAAGAGAGAAATTCTGGAAACAGCTTTTGTTCTCACAGAGTAATCCACTGCTGCAGAGGCGGGAAAGAGTGCTCCAGCAATAGCCCCTCTGAATGTGCTCCTCTCTGGGAATAAAGGTTCCTGTGAATTGATAGAGTTCATAACACGCAGAATCTGCTGGATGGAAAAGGTGCGTGGTTCCCTTAAAGGTACAGAGGATGAATAGGTACAAACAGCCTGTTACCTACTCGTACACACAGAAGGGAATTTATACACAACACATCCTGAAAGAACTAAGAGGAACAACTGTATTTAAACTTATACCTACTGACAAGAATAAAAACATGTTATAAATACACAGCAATGAAAACTAACCTGTCAAATAAATAACATTTAATCTAATGTAGCATTGATTCTCATATCAACACTAATTCTATACATTTTTTAAGTAATATTGAAGTATGTGGACACAGAAAGCGTTCCAAATCCGTCCAATAATGCACAAATACAAATAATAATAATGGTAATAATAAAAATACTTATGTTTAAGAACACATTAGGTTTTCTACACCCGAGGAGAAGGGATTTAAAGGGGGGGCTTTTTACAGCAAAGGGAAATAACACTATTCATCACATGTGAGCCCTAGATCATTCTATCTCTGGAAGTGGCTTGTATCTCTTGGACAAATAACTGATGAATACTTTCAGCGTTAACATTTCGTGATCCATTTTTTAGTGATTCATCACTGAAATGTACATTAGCTGGTCAGAAAACACATTTATCACCGCCCATCTTGAGAAATATGCCCAGATTACACCGTATTTCTCTGCTGTGGTGCAATCCATAATCCATCTTTTCCTACTCTTCCTTTCTAAGAAAAACACAGAAACCCTGGAAAGACATTTAGTTTTTAAGACGTTTGGTAGATAACACACACATTAGTTAAAATACCACATAAAATCATAAATACTTTGTACAAACAAAACTTTAGTTAAAAAATAAACCCTTGATTTCAATCTTGTCACTAGCAGCCTGACATTGCCCTTAAATACTTTTCAAGAGAGCCAAGATCACCAACACAAGAGGAATTAAAGGTACCAATGAAAGCCCCACATACACATCATTCATGTCAACAGCTTATGGAAGCGTGAAAAATTAAGTCTGTGAAGTTGTAGAGGTGAACTGGTGCCTTCACTACTGCAGGTTGAATGTGAGGATGAATGTGGCGAGGACCCCGCTGAGCATGAAGAAGGGAAGCCAGGTTTTGAGGAAGGCTGCCCAGCTGAAGGATAAGCAGAAGGTACAATGTTAGAGAAACATCTGGATAGTGAGTGTGTGGTGGAGAGGGTGAGACACGCTCGAACAAGGACATGGAAGGTGTTGCAGTATCACACGTTCATGTCTCTTTACTCCCAAAGACCCACATCACCCCTCCCTCTCTTCCTGAACACACCCCAGCCCGTGTCCTACTGTCCTTTCCACCCAGCCGGCGCAGGGAGCCCCACCGGAGGGGTGACCTTCAACGGTGGCACAGAGGGAGAGCATTTGCTGTCAGTGATGAATTACTCAACTCCCCTCCAGTTTGAAAGGACTTCTGTGCTGTAGGAGTGTACGCACAAAGGCAGCACAAAGTGTGACACCTGCACTTCTCTATGTGGGTCAGCCGAGAAAAATGAGGGGAATTCTCTAAACCATATGTCTTTTAATCCTCACCAGCATCCAGTAGCAGAATTATTACAACAACTGGGAACATGTTTGTGATGAAAATGCTCCAGGTGTGTTTGGCCTGTTAGGAACCATATTTCCTCTTAATGCTGCCATCTTCTGTTCAATAAAGTTTTCCCCCTCAAAAATTTTCCTCATACATTTTGGGACCAAAGGGTAAAAGAATCTGTTGGACAGATTGTAAGACAGATTTGTGATTGCAATTGCGCTTTTAATAAAGTTAAAACCAACTTATTTGACGGGGGTACTAGGGTGAAAATATTCATAACTTGACTAACACAGCAACTTGCAGTTGTCTGTAAAACCCAGTTAATTTTGTTAGAATTTGTGCAGTTTTTAAAAATTATTTCTCTCTTTCTAAAAGAATAGCAGTGTTTCCTTGAATATATAATCCAAACCCCTGTATTAGGACAAACACATCAGAAAATTTATGCAATCTACTGCCTACAATGTGATAAAACAGCTCACACTTTTTCACTGTCAGGGAAACACTTTTTAATTGGTTTGTGATTCATTCCCATGCAAGTGCCTCTTAACAGGAAATGCAACCTCAAAAGCAGCTGCTAATTGTAGTGCAATTATACATGATAGGAATTATACTCATAAAAAGTTATATTGTGTAATGCTGTGGCTAAAATCAGCCACTAGGGGCAAATTTTTTTTTACTGCAGCAAATGGGATGATTTTTTGTGCAGATGCTTATATTGATGGACACTTTGAGAATATGACCTTAAAATTTTCACCAGGTCAAAAATACCCGCTGGGCAAATTTTCATCCGTTGTTAACGCTCATTGGCTAAAAAAAGCCACTAACTTTGACTGCTGTAAAAATATATTGGGTTAATATTTTTTTCCAATTCTTTCATATATCTCTTAATTAACTTCTGCTTTGATCAAAACTAGTAAATGGTTCATCGAAAAAGCATTTTTTTAACCCTTTGAGGGTCCATTCAAAACATAATGTTTCTGATATGGTAGAAAATGAATCTAATAAAAATCAGTCATTTTCCTCCCATTTCTTTGCCAATATTAGTGACTTTATGTTTTAAATGGGTCCTTAAAGGGTTAAAATTTGGATTCTTAATGAAACATTTACTAGTTTTGAATAGAGCAGAAGTTAATTAAGAGATATATGAAAACAATCTGTAAAAAATATGAATCCAATATGTTTTTACAGCAGTCAATGTCAGTGGCTGTTTTTAGCCACTGACCGTAAAGAAAGGATGTACATCTCAGGGTTACACAAGGGTTAAACTACCATATGTGCTGTTTTGTCTTGAATTACTAGTCTTTTTTTAAAGAAACATGACAGCAAAAATGTGCTGGAAACTCCTGAACAAGATGTAAATCTACCTAAACTCCGATTCTTCATGTGAACTGTTCTTAGTGGTAATAAAAGCAGCCCTGTAAGGTCAAACTGCTTACCTCACATGTTTCCCATGAATAAGAGACAGCGCACACAGGTTCACCATGTTCCATGATGTGCTGTTGTCATACCGCATGAGGTTGAGGGCCATGGCAACGTGAGAATGACAGTTATCCAAGCACAAATTGTGCTTCAGACCAAAGAAAAAAACAAAAACAACAACAAAACTTTCAACGCTGTGCATAAAAATGTGAATAAAAACATTCAAATGAAGAACATAAATAGTGTCTCACCGGTCGACACTTGTATTCCTCAGATGCATCATATACCGCTTTGTCCCATGTAGCAGCACCATTGCCACACACTTTATCCACATCAAGCTTCCAATATCTGCAATACGATATTCCAGACATTCATTATAATTATTTAATGGTGGAATGTATGATGAAGTTATTGAAACAGGATCAAAACACAACAGCTAACCAAAATAAACTTACTTTGTAGGTCTGCCAAAACCCATGTTGTCCTCCTAGATTTAAAATGAAAATAAATGTGAACTTTAGCCTTCATATATTAAACAATAAAGATCCTCTTCGGTAGGGATATAAATATTTTACTGAAAATACAGCAGATGTCCAAGTACTATTCAGGACTGAGGTGATTATGATGGAATTTAATAAAGTCCCAAAACACACTCATTATTAATTCAGCAGATTTTTATGTTTCTTCCGAGGATAACGTGTATTGTCCAATGAGGTTGTTATTAAACTCAGATTTAACATAAGGGCACTCACAGAAACAAAGTAGGATCCTGCGAAGTCTCTTATGACTCCAGCAGAGGTGCATATACCCATGTGACCGATAAATGGGAGCACCCACCTGCAGTTAGCACACAGCACAAAACAACATCACCTTATATTATTACGTAGATTAATGCACACTTTCATTGTGTAACAGGAAAACCGCTGCAAATGTAAATAAACAAACATGGTTTATTTCTCTTATCCGTTTAAGGGTTGAATAACAGCCTGTCAAATTAACGTAACGCGTTAAATTGGCAAATCCAAGAAAAATAAGCCGTGCTAGCTTCTTACGATAAAATGGGAATGGGAGTCCAAACAATACAGAATGGGTAGCGACTGTTCTTTCTGTCGCTTTTTAAGAAATCTCCGTGATAGCTCATCATCACGTCGGTCTCATCAACCTCCGCCATCACTGCCTGGAGTGACGGAGGATGAGGCTGTGACGCACTTGTACGGAACGCCAAAAGGGCCAATATTCTCTGCTCACCATCGTTTACATGTGTATCGAGCGCCACTAGGCGTTTCACCTGTTTTGATCGGTTACATCCAAAAAATGACCAGCTTTAATGAAATAGCTCTTCGAAAAGTGACTTTAGACGAACGGGACGGCTTGTTTTTCACGGATCTTGAAAGTTTCAGCCCTTAACAGTTGCCAGCCTGTTGAATTACCTTACAAGTAAAAAAAAAAGTGAGAATAGTATGATTGATTTTTGAGTGAATAAATGAATATTTGATTATTAATAATGTTTAGTTTGTTTACTGATTAAAAAGTGTAAGGGTGCCTAGCCCATGTTCACACTTTAAAAAATAAAAGGTCTACACGAATGATCATTTTGACAAGCTTTACTGGTTGTACATTGTCTGCACAACCCTGTTCAGCTGCCAGGTTTTAGTGATGTAAGAAACTGACAGCAAGATAAATATTTTCACAACTTTTTCCACCGTTAATGTGACATATAACCTGTACAATGCAATTAAAAAACAAACTGAAACCTTTAAGGGGAAAAATAAAAATAGAAAAGTTAAAATAACCTGGTTGCTTAAATATGCACACCCTTAAACTAATACTTTGTTGCAGCATCTTTGGCTTTTATTAAAGCACTCAGTCTTTTTGGGTAGGAGTCTATCAGCGTGGCACATCCTGATGTGGCAATATTTGCCCACTCACACTGCAAAACCGCTCAAAATCTGACAGATTGCGAGGGCATCTCCTATGTACAGCCCTCTTCAGATCACCCCACAAATGTTCGATGGGATTCAGGTCTGGGCTCTGGCTGGGCCATTTTAAAGTCTCAATCTTATTCCAGTGAAGCCATTCTTTTGTTGATTTAGATGTGTGCTCTGGGTCATTGTCTTGTTGAAAGATGACATTCCTCTTCATCTTTCTAGCAGAAAGCCGAAGGTTTTGTGCCAACACTGACTGGTATTTGGAACTGTTCATAATTCCCTCCACCCTGACTAAGGCACCAGTTCCAGCTGAAGAAAAACAGCCCCAAAGCATGATGCTGCCACCACCATGCTTCACTGTGGGTATGGTGTTCTTTTGGGTGATGAGCAGTGTTGATTTTGCACCAAATATACCTTTTGCAATGATGCCCAAAAAGTTCAACCTTGGTTTCATCAGACCATAACACATTTTCCCACATGCGTTTGGGAGATGTCAGATATCTTTTTGCAAAATTAAGCCAGGCTATGATGTTTTTCTTTGTAAGATAAGGCTTCTGTCTTGACACCCTACCCCATAGCCCAGACATATGAAGACAGCGGGAGATTGTTGTCACATGTACTACACAGCCAGTACTTGCCAGAAATTCCTGCAGCTCCTTCAAAGTTGCTGTCGGCCTCCTGGTAGCCTCCCAGACCAGTTTTCTTCTTATCTTACCATTAATTTTGGACGGACGTCCTGTTCTTGGTAATGTCAGTGTTGTGCCATATTTTCTCCACTTGATGATGACGGTCCTCACTGTGTTCCATGGTATATTTAATTCCTTGGAAATTCTTTTGTAGCCCTCACCTGACTGATATCTTTGAATAATGAGATCCCTCTTATGCTTTGGAAGCTCTCTGCGGACCATGGCTTGTGCTGTAAGATGTGGCTACAAAAATGTCAGGAAAAGCTACGAGAACAGCTGAACTTAATTTGGGGTTGATCAGAGGCACTTTAATTGATGACAGGTGTGTGCTCACTCCAATTTGACCTGAGTTTGAATGTTATTGGTTAAATCTGAACACAGCCCCATCCCCAGCTATTAAAGGGTGTGCACACTTATGCAACCACATGATCTCAGTTGTTTATTTTTACTTCACCCTCCTGAAAGATTTCTGTTTGTTTTTTAACTGTGTTGTACGGGTTACAGGTCACATTAAAGGTGGAAGAAGTTGTGAAATTACTTATCTTGATTTAATTTTTTTACATGACAAAAACCTGGCAGTTGAACAGGGGTGTGTAGACTTTTTATATCCACTGTTGATCTGGATTACAGCTTCATCATGCCACAAGTGTAACACAAGTGTCACCTAAGTGTAACAAAGATTGGTCTGAGACTGTTCAAGTATATATAGTCGTCGTCCACGTTTCCAAACATTCTACTTGCATCTTGTTGACCTGAAGGAGAGTCCATGTAGGGTAATAAAAAAGCACAACATATTTTGGGAGCCCGAGTGATGTTAAACAAGGGTACATGGTCCTTGTTGAGGATAGTTGTCGGAGGTTAATGGCTCCAGAAATCTAGCACCAAAGTATCTGAGGTATTTGAGTGACACAGCTCCACCACCCTAAAGACGGACAGGAGTGGCTAAAGAAAATTACCCTAACAAAAAATAACAGGAAGTCTACGGTTTGTGTGAATAATAAACTTGAAAAATATAATTTTTCTATTTGTTTATACGTGTCCATTTCACACAATAGAGAACACACACTCAACACAGAGAGTCATATACGGAATAATGAGTGAACATTACAGTATATGTAGACATTTCTCATGCAACAGATCTTTTAATTTGGGAAGGATATCAACAGATTAAGATAGTTTTACTTTGATATCACAAATGCACAGTTTTCAACAGAGTTTATGATCTACAATTACTCCTAGAAATTTTATTTCATAAACACTTTTAATCTCTTAACCATTTAATTCCAGTTAAACATGTCACCACAGAATACTTTTACTTTAGTTTTATCCTTATTTAATGATAATATCTTTTATATCAAACCAGAAACAAATCAAACTTTTTGGGGGGAAATAACAGAATCATAACAGAAGTCCGCATTTTAAAATCCATATAGCTTTCCAAAATAAAGTTAAAAAAAACAACAACAGTAAACTGGATATATATGTGTATGGTGTCTCACCACAGAGCTTTTTACAGGTCTTTTGATCTTTTTGAAGTGGGGTAGTACAAAGCTCCTGCCAATAATACATTGAAAGTAGTGGTAGTTATGACTAAAAGTAGTTTCAATCGGCTTGTCTACTTTGTAGGAGACACAAATAAGAGCTACAACATTAACCACTGCAGACAGGGTCAACTAAAGTTTAACAATTTTTTTTTTAAACTACAACCTCAACACCAATGATAGTGCCGCATCCGTCCCATTCAGACATTTTCCTGTGCATTACTTTGGGGTCAGAAAGCCCACTAATTTTTGCAGTATTATTTTCTGGCACCTATAATGGAATTTCAGTCATTCAAACTCCAATCAAAACATCAGTGTTTTTGTGTTTTCCTCGTATATTTTCGGCACCCTCATACTATCTATTTTGCTGACTGAAATGCAACTATGTTAGTTCATGCTGGTGCTGACTCTATTTGTTGATACTGATTTAAAAAGGTGGTTTGGAAGTCATTTAATAAGTAATGTGTGGTACCTAAGCTTAGACACTCAGCCAGCTTCATCATCATAACCTGCACAGCTCCAAAAGCTGGGTCACCTCATTTTACAGATTTTATGGGGCATGAGACGCTCCCCAGAGTACTCATGCTTCTTACACTGTGCTTATATTTTGTTGTCTAGTCAGCAAAAGCAGGGGGTTAAGTAGACACTGATAAATGTACACAATTCCAACATTTCACCTACAGTACCTAATTAGTACCATGTCACCTCTTCTGTATCTGTTGTGTAACTGTGAGGTCACATAATTTATCATGTATCCATGAAAAAGAACAGCAAGGAAAAACAGACAGGAAGGTGTTCAATCGTTTTATTTTTCGCTTTGTTTTCAACAAAGGTTTTTATTGGACTTCTCAAAGAAAAAGAAAACAATCTCAAATTAATGAACAACATAAAACAAATGGAAGCCTAGTGTTGCATGTCCAGAACTCATTCTGGACGTAAACCCTTCACAAGGGAAAATAAACGGTTTAATGTGCAATGGAAAGGATGGCTCTGTGTCCTTTTTTGCACACCACTACTGTCAGAGAAGCTTCATGCAAGAAGGACTGAACCCTGACTGCAGAAGACAAGTACTCCAACCTGCTAGTAGGTAGGAACGATCAAGTTCCTGTCTATTGCCACCACTGTCTTAGATGTCATAAACCACAAATGAGCATCTGTGTCCCATATCTACCTAAAAGAAATTTCACTCCACCATTTCATGCCAAATGACAATAACTTGATTTCAAACAACCAAACTGTTTTTGGAGAGTCTTTTTTGTTAACAAATGCTGTTTTAAAAATCACATTAAACTTGTCAATGCTCTGTTGTCGAAAAACTGCTTAACTAAAAGGAGCACAGAATGCCAAAACCATGTTTCAGTGAAATGAAGAGGACAAATTTGAATCCTTGGCCTTTTCAGTGACAGATGAAAACCTTTGGTGAAAGAAACAAGTGTTTTTTTTCTTTCTGACAATTATAAATCAAACAAAATCACAAATGCATTTCACTAAAGCAACACTGACAACTTCTGAAAACTTGGACAATTATTTTTAGGCTTCCTGTGACCAAAATGTCATCTGAAAGTATGATCAAGTCTAACTCAGGATCGTAGACTTGGGTGTGCAGCTTTTCTGCAATGAGCGGGCACTAAAAGTCTGAGCTCCTTCCAGCTGTGTAGCAGACAGGAGATGCAACAAAGCATCATCTTCCAATCTGTGATCTGATCCTCCATGGAGGACACTGCAGCTGTGTGGCCTTACTGACCTGAAAATAGGTCACTTGACTACTGGCGTCTCCTTCGACATGTTGTGTGCCTCTCCAACATAAACCTGAGGAGGGACAAGTGCTGAACTCCTCCATCTATGTGAGAAACGGGGGAGTGATGTGGAAGGTGCTCTCCTCAGAGGTGTCCCCCCTGCCACTGTGAGGCGTGGAGGGAGAGGCTGAGGTGTAATTGGTGCATTGAAGGGGTGAGATGCGTGTCTTCTCCATCCTCCATGAATTCCTCTCCCCAAAAAGTGATCTCCGTCAGTCCTCTCTTTGGACAGGGGAGGGCGATGCATAGTGCAGAGATGTGACATGACATTCGCTTATTGTTTCTGTCAGACTGGGGGGGAAATTAAGATTCACACAGGAGCTGGGCGAGTGCTTTGCTTCCTACATCCATTCAATCGAAAAAGCAGGCACTCAGCACTCTGCTTAGCTTGGCCGACACTGAACTTGTCCCTCTGAGCTGTCCTCATCATCTGATCCTTCTGGACCAACACCACGCAGGCCTGTGATGCGATAGCCCATGTTGAGCAGCATTACCTCCAGTGGATCGGCATTCATACGCCGCTGGTTTGCCTGAGCAGCACCCTCCATGTCCTCTACCACCCGAACGTTTTCACATTCAGTCTGTGATACAAGAAAGTAGAATGGAGGAGAAAGAATCCAGAATGTTTAAGGGTGTTGAATACACTCCTGGTTTAGTGATTTTTATCTGTCTGACATAAGTGCTAATAATGTTTCTTTATCATTAAATAAGCAAATGCTTTCTCTGCGCATTTCAAGACAAACTTGGAAACATGCACTTAGCCTGTCTGTCTCTGTTATCATGGACCATATCAATTCAAAAAGGTTATCAGATGGTCATTAGTCTTAGTTAATGCATCAAATTGGCTGAGTAGATACTCGAGCAAAGTATATGCAACAATGTAGCTCTGTTTGTGGGTGAATGTAGTTTGAAATACCCACAATTTGAATGATTGTAGAATTGCATAACCAAACCAAAATGCACTGTAAAATACAGGTATGAGAACACCTGTGTGTCACTTCATTACCTCTGGTCTAGGGTTCCATAACCGCACAACAGGGTCAATACCACTAGTAGCCAGGAAGCAGTAGCTGGGATGAGGCTGCAGGCAGTTGACTATGGACTCATCTCCCTGTAGGATTCTCACAAGATTAGTCGTCTCCTTTTCCCAAATGAAAAACGAGCCGTCGTCTGAGCCGCTGACGATGTACTGGCCTTTGCTATAAGAACAAAAAGGAAGCCATTTAGACCTGAAGAGCCAGCTATGGTCTTACAAAGTGACTTTTCATTCAGGAATCACATAACTATGTAGAAATGATCACTGTTTCCCTTCTCATGCAAATTGATTTGGATCACACTATGGCTGTGTAAGAAACTCCAGTGTCGAGGGCAATTATGCACATTATACAGGGTTTAATCACCCTCCTTTAAAATGATATGCCCTGCAGTATACCATAAAATATTTGTCTTAAGAGAGATCACATCTAAGATTAAAAGCTTTCTTTTTTGTAGATTGTAAAGTTTGCTATGCTTGATCACTGTTTTATTGTACCACAGCTCATGACTGCCCCCTAGTGAGACTTAACCCGACCTTCCAAAGAAGTTGGCCTCTTTGATGTCAGTGGTAGTGTTGCAATGACCACAGTATCTGTGCTTGTAGTCAAAGCTGCGCTCTCTCAACACCAGCTCATCTTCAGGGATGGACTCCTTTCGACTGAAGGAGTGGAATCGAATGGAGCTGTTTGCTTTCTTATCATCTGCTGGTGAAGAAATATCAGACTTATTACCGTAAATTCATTCAAATACTCTTAAACCTATTCATGTGTTTTCTTTCATTTCAAATTGTTATTGTTTTAACAGAGAAGACCCACGTCACTCTATCGTACCTGACTCTGACTTGGTGAAGAGAGCGGCCTTGATGTCTTTGTCTAAGGCATCACAGGCACTACTGTGCGCCTGCTCTGGAAATTTTCCTTTGAAATCATCCAGACACTCCAGAGCTTCAGCCACATACTTCAGCTCAAACAGACAACGTGCCAGTCTGAAATGAGCCTTAAGGTGACCTGGGTTTAGAGTGAGTGCCTTCAGACAGTCCCTGAGGGCATCGTAGTGATCTCCATCCCTGTGAAACACATATAATAGTAAAAACTGATCAATCCTTTTGCAGCCCTCAGAAGAAAATGAATTCCCTCCAAGCATTGATACAGTGATGCGTACCACTTGCGTTTCATATAGGCTGCAGCCCTGTTCCCATACAGCATGGCATTGCAGCTGGCATGATGTATACCCAAACTATACAACTGAATGGCCTGCGTCCACTGCTGCCGAGCGAACGCATCATTGGCTTGTTGTTTTATCTTTTCTAAATGTGCAGGGAGCTCCATAGAACTACAGCAAAGACAGAAAAAGTGTCATTAAAGCAACTGCACGCCCAAATCATTATACATCAATCTTTGTGCACAAACAATCGGGGTGAAAAGAAAACCACCTTGACTGCATCTTTTTTTCAGAAAAGTGAATATGGCTAGTTGGCAAGTGGATTCCATTCGAGACACCATTGGTTGTCTTTCCATTCTGTACATCTCCTGTGAAGACAAAGTTTTAAATATATCAACATATTAAAGACTTTAAATAACTCTATAAGGGGCCATTCAACATGTTTTTCAGTACTGATGGTGCAGACCCACCTGTTGATGTTTGGCACTTTTTTGGAAGCAAGAATGTGTATGGCCTCTGTTTGAAAGTCAGGTCAAACAGATACACCTGGTAGAAGACAAGGGACAAAAGAAAATCGAAGAAAAAGCTCAACCACTGAAAAAGAAGCCAAGAACACATTCATGGATTTTCTGTTTTAAGGATTACCTGTTCACCACCCATGTTAACAAGCAGCTCAGTACCATCTGGACTGAAGGTGACATAGGTGGCCACCAGGACCCTCAGGCGGTTATTGTAGTCTGGGAGTTTCACTGGCAGGTGCCCTGGTATTATTCAACACAAGGTGATGTTACTCAAACACATCCTCTGGAGTCACTTTCCTACAATGTGGGCATTTCCATGTGCCATTACTCTACCCTGTGAAACCAATTCAACCATGTACGCACCTGCAACATAATACTGTCCAGCTCCATCTGGAATGGGTTTCTGCCTTTCACAAAATGTGTGAACAGCGGCTGATGTGCTCTGACTCATAGATTTCCTGTGAAAGGACAAAGAAATGTGGTTAATTGAAACCTGGAATGGCTAATGTAACCCACGTAAGTGATTTGAGAATCATTCGAACAACCAACGAATGTTGTAACCGACCTGTAGTTGTGAATCATTCTAATGTCGTATAGGCGGACAAAAGGTCCGTTGGCACCCACAGCCAGGTAATTATTGTCCCTCGGGTTGACAGCCAAACACTTTGCCTCTACTAGCTGACCGCAGAACTCTGTCAGATCAATCAGCACCTCAGAGCGTTTACTGCTCTCCCTCAGGTCGTACTGCCTAAGATGAGCATCAGAAATGGAAATTGAATATTAACTGTGGCCTTATGTGATCAATTCATTTTTCTAAACTTCTGGTTTCAAACCTGATGATGCCATCCTCTGCAGCACTCCAGAAGGTATTCGGCCACATGGGTGCTGTGGCAATGCGTTTGACTCTGTTGGTATGATCAGAAAACATGTGGATGGTTTCTTTCACTGTCAAGTCATGGACATGGACCTTCGTGTCAGCCGCCCCAGTGACCAAGATCCTGTCCCCAGAGTGAGGGAGGAACTGTGTGAACAGACAAGAAACAACATAAAAAATTGTTAGGGACATAAAGCTACAGCAGATTTAAAAGCTTTAATATTAGGAACTTAAACTGTGAGTATGACCAAGGTAGGTCAGAGTGTTTACGTGGCTAACTTATCATCTATATCTATATTTCTATCTTGATGGAATATTGTCTGATTGAAGACACTGAAGACAAGGAAATGCTAACCTTTCCCTTTTACTATCTGATAACATCACCAAGCTTTCGGGCCTAAGGCTGCAATGATTTTCCCTTGTAGTTATTTCTGCGTTAGACCTCAATCAGATTCAACATATTGTAAAAAGTACAAAGCTGCTTTCGAAATTCACTTAATGGTCAACAGTGCCCCCTAATGTGCGTAACGTTTTTAATTATTATTTTTTAAATCAGAAACAGTGGAAGGAGCTCTGTAAGAGAGTATTATGTTATAACCTCTAAAATGCATTTCAAGTGTGGTACTGAGTTGGACTTGGGAAGAGTACAGCAAAAGTAAAAAAAAAAAAAAATGATGATACTCCTTCAAGCTTTATCCTAGTCCATTCTCTGCTTCTACTAGACTTTCATCATTCCTTTATATTCAATCAGTAAAAATTTCCCCAGCCCTTCTTCTACCACAATTTACAACATCACACTTCTGGTCAGTCCTCCTTACCTTTACGGAGAATATATTTGCTGCATGACCTGTGTGCATAGTAGTAAGCTTCTTGTGTCTGAATGGATCCCAGATGACGGCATGCTGATCATCTGAGCCCGAGGCCAGTAAACTGAACACAAAAAGGGATCAAGTCAAGCAACAAGTTCTTTATTCATTGTGTTTTTAAAACTCTTAAAATATGAGCTTAACAACTATTTATTATATATAATAATATGTTTATATTAATATATGTTTAGTACAAGGAGAAACTATAAGAAATGCAGTTAGCTGAATCAACAGCTTGAGGATTTTTCTTGTATCTTTTTTTCTGAATTAATGTAATTATCTTTTATTGTGATTTCAATCAATGCTTTAATGAACACTGAAGGGTTTCAAATAGAAGAGGCGAACACAGTCTACAACAGAGTAATAAAGCATTGCATGATTTTTTCACATTAAGCAGAAATACATCAATGTTTAAACTAGAAAGATAAGAACAGGAGCGTAATCAACTCTCCATTTCAGGTCCTCACTCCAAATAAAGTGCATATAATGTGACTAAAACTATGATGCAACCCAGTTATTGATCACATGTTCATTACAATGTGTCTAAATTATGCTAAATTTAAGTGTTGTAACTCAACTCAACTTTATTTGTAAAGCACTTTAAAACAACCACAGCTAATCAAAGTGCTGTACATAAATAGACAAAACAACACAGACATAAAAACACTCAAAAAACATTTCAAACAATGGATAAGATAAAAGCAGATATTAAAAAGTAAAATATAGTTTCAATGTTTTTAAAAATTAATTTAAAAACATAGAAACAAATAACTAAAAACAAACAATAAAACACTAAAACAGGAGCCAAGTCTCATGCAGGGTTGAAAACCAATGAATAAAAATTGGTTTATAGACAAGTTTTAAAAATAGACAGTGTTGTAACACTTACTCTCCTCGTTCATTCCACTCCAAACAGTTAACACAGCCAGTATGACCCTGTCAACACAAAAAGAATATGCTATAAAATACTATGATTGAACATAAACGTTTTTATTATTTCCCTCTTTTTCATCTATAAGCCGACACAAGCTTGCAGTCACTGACCTGAAGCTCAGCTTCCAGTCCAAGCCTTTTGATGAAGGGGTCTGTCACATGATAAGACCGTTGAAATCCTGGCGCTCTTTTGTCCTACAGATGTATATGAAACTCCCTTTTAGGCTTTTAGACATTAACGGCCACAGTGACAAATGTTGTCTGGTTCCTCTCAGGTGAGTATAATTTCAACACATATTGAACTGTTTCCAATGACAAGCAGATGGTCTAGATGTATCTACTCACTCTGATTTGCCTCTGCAGGATATCTCTGGTGATGTTGGCAGTAGACATGGCCTCAACACAGAACATATAAAACCAGGGTCTGGGCTGGAGATTCCAGGGGTCAGAGGTCAGATGACATTTATTCTGTGATTCTCCAAAAAAACTGCATATAAGTGAAGAAAGGGCATTGATGGAGTGAAGGAGGTACAGGTAGGACACTCACCGTGAGCACACGATGATTTCATGCTGTTTCATGATCAGCTGATACAGGTAATGGAGGTACATTTAATCAGACAAGGTGGGGAGCATACCATTGAACCCCTCAGTCGTATTGTCATTCTTTTAAAAAGTTTTAAAGAAGTATACATCACCCCGTGTGAACTGGGCACACGTTTTCCCTACACAGACGGTTGATTGATCCCCGTTAGTAAACATAAACAATGCGAGTTGGTTAGCTAACTAGCTACAGTTAGCTCTGCAGCAGTCAATTTTACAATTCAGTTTCGCTAAATATCTAGAGTCATCACAACATCAAGTTGAAATGCTATTATGTTGCCGTAATCGGTAGTCGCCTATCCATCAGGCCTTTAAACGACCTGTCGTTTATCAAGAAGCTGGCGTTAGCGCATTTGCGTTGCCTTGTTAGCTAAACAAAACGTCTACTTCATGTAACGTTCACATTTGCAACACTTCAAATACAGTTTTAGACTAGAAGAAAAATCTCACCGCTTCCCCTGAACAGACACGTGCCTCTGTCATGAAATGTCCATTTGTTACATGTAAATAATCACACTCTGTGAGTTTGTTGACAGGATTCACGCTAATACCTTCTACGACTTGAACACTAAGCCCCGCCCTCTGGTTACGACATAACGTCATCACGCACACCATTGCAAAGAAAACGCCAAACACTTCCGGGCCCGATTTATTTCACAATAAAAGCGCTCTGCTTAAAAGTTATACCATTTACACTATCAAAAAGAGAAAAGGACGCATTTGACAGGCGAAAAGCCAATGTTTAAATGCCAATAGTAACACTACTTATTAACATAATTTCTTAACTCGTTAAAAGTAAGTATAGCTTAACGTAAAGATAACAGGAACTCCAACGCTTTTGCGCAGTAAGCTGCTAGATACTGTAAATTGGATGTAGATCAGAGGTCTAATCTGACCTTACTTAAGAGGTAGTTTGAGGATGTTAAGGTAAATCTCATAAACTTCGTCTGATCAAGTCTAGAGACCGTATTAGACAGTCTGAAGACTATTAAAGCATATGGTTGCGACATGAATTGTCGATTATTCTGATGTAGACTGAGATGTTTCTTAACAATCTTCTGCTTTGAGATGTAATTACTGCACATCTACGTAAAACAAATAATGTGAATAACTGCTATAACGTGTCAAAATCAATATTTACCTCGTGTGTGTTTCTTTACAACTCCCACTTAATTAATTTATGTGGATTTTCCTTATTGAACTTATAACACCAGCTATTGTTGTTTCAGGAATGAAGTTACAGTTTAGAGGAATGTTCATGTCTTACATCTAATTTTCTAAGTGGTAAATTTTGTTTCCAAGATGTTTACCACTATGTCATTAAGTTGAATACTTAAAAGGTCAGATACATACTCTGTCTCTGCTCTAATGAAGGGTGACAGAGTGTAAGAAAGCATGTATGTTTTCTAAGCCATGTCTCTCACAAGAATAACACTTTAGATTACTTACAGTGGTATCTGACATTTTTGAGTCAAGCATGCTCTGTTATGTTTTTGTACTCAGAAATGAAGTAGTTTAGTCTATTAACTATCAGGCAAGTTTTGTTGTGTATCTTAGTAATATGGGTGGTAGAGCTTATTTATAAGCATACTGAACACAGTTATTGTATGTAATGAAATTACACATATGTTGCAAGTATTTCACCCACTCCACTGTGTGTGTGTGAGTGTCCTAATACCCTACTACACACTCATGTCAGCATTGTGGTATTTTCACTTCTTAGTCATCAAAGGCTCTTCCTCACAAAGGTTGACCTGAAGTCATTCCCAAATGCAGAAGTGTTTGAAATGAGCCAACAGATAAATCAACATTTATATAGTTATTTGTTATAATAAGGCAATAAATATACAGTACAGGCCAACAGTTTGGACACACCTTCTCATTCAATGCATTTTCTTTATTCTCATTACTATTTAAATTGTAGATTCTCAGTGAAGGCATCAAAACTATGAATGAACACATGTGGAATCATTTGCTTAAGAAAAATGTGTGACATAACTGAAAACATGTATTATATTTTAGATTCCTCAAAGTAGCCACCCTTTGCTTTTTTGATAGCGCTGCAAACTTTTGCTGTTCATGAGCTTCATGAGGTAGTCACCTGAAATGGTTTTTACTTCACAGGTGTGTCTTGTCAGGGTTACTTGGAGTACTTCTGTCATCAAAAGCAAAGGGTGGCTATTTTAAAGAAACTGGAGTATAAAACATGTTTTCAGTTATTTCACACTTTTTTTATAAGTACAAAATTCAACATATGTTCATTCATAGTTTTGATGCCTTCAATGATAATCTACAATGTAAATAGTCATATAAAAAATAAAGAAAAGACACTGAATGAGAAGGTGTGTCCAAACTTTTGGCCTGTACTGTATGTTGATATGTTCATTCATGATTTTGTCATTTATTTTAAATTGAAAAATAAAATGTGTAGTTCCCTTTAGTCGTTCCTAGTCTAAAACCTTCATTCCACTTATGTGATACATATTTTTATTAAATCTTCTAAAGATTATTTTTTTGTTGTCATGTTGTTTAGTTTTAGTCACACAAAGTGTTTTAAATCAGTTCAACTCTTGCTAAAATATATTTTCTAATTATTCTGGCCTTTAAATCCGTTTCGATAAGGTAGTTTGATTTGTTAAGCTGCACATGAGGGAGGGAACAGTGCGTGTTCTTGTTGACTCAGCAGCAACAGTTGAACTCGGGTTTCGAGGACGCTACTACCGTAATTTTTGCGTTGAAGTCCTCAAACAGAATCACCGCTGCGGCCGTATTTACCTTGTTGATCTGAAAACTCTGCACACTCTGTCTGACAACACGAAGCGTCTTTGTACAACGGGGCGGCGCTGTGACATAAAACAAGCACCCACCGAGCGTTTGACGGGTAGTCTGCCATCAGAGGGATCTGTTCAGTTGGCTAGCGGAACAACAGCAGCAGCAGCAGCAGCGGAGGGTACGGATTCCGCGTCGGTTGCCAGCATCAAACCGAGATTTATTACCGTTTCCCGTGTTCATGTGAAACAAAAGGTAAAGTCATGTATTAATTTGCTCATACAGTTTGCCTAGCTTCGGTTACAATAGTACGAAAGCTAACAGAGATTTGTGAGGTTAATTTTAACTCAAGTAGCAAACGACAACGACGTGTTAGCCGCTAGCTAGCTTGTAAGACGGAAACGGTTTTGTCATGAATTGGCTAAAATGGGAAACGATGCGGTACATCACAGGTACGTTTCAACAAAAGCGAGAGGGAAGAACGAAATATTAGCTCGTAAAACAACTACGATTTGATACCTTTTACTGCCACATTGTACAAACCAACATTTTAACCAAATAAATGTAGCGATCAGTCACATTTAGCCTCTAGCTTGCCCTGTTTGGTCAAGTGTGATTTCCTTTGTGAATTGAAGAGTGAAGAAGGGTAGTTTGTTTCAACAAGACTGCCTGTATACATCCAAGATCCAGCCAAAAGTAATGTACAACTTCCCGTAACCTCTTGGGGACGTACATGTTTGTATAACCCTATTATGTAACGCTAATACATGTGCTCATGTTGTTATTTTTGTGGGTACTCAGATCAGTCTGTCGAGGTTGTTTCTGGCACGTTGAGGGGCAGATGAATCAAAAGCAGACAGCTGCTCGGGGATATTAACATTCAGTTCAAACATTGTGCAAGAAAAGACCTTCAGAGCACATGGAAGTCCTCTGGGTCGTTACTTGAGTGATCTAATGCAGTCTAATACAACAGCTCTACGATATTCTACTTCTACGAATCCTCCATAATCTTTATACTCGTGGACATGGCCAAGCAAGTGATGATTATTCTTTAAAATTAGTTGTTGAATTTGTTGTTGTTGTTTTTTTTTTTTAAATTTTTATTTAACCTTAAATTAACCAGGTTTGTCCCATTGAGATCTTAGGATCTCATTTGCAAGGGAGACCTGACCAAGAATGGCAGCAATACATAGTTACAACAAACAGTGACACAGACTCAATACAGAAAAAAAGTGTGAGGAAACATCAGTTAAAACAGAGACATTCTGAGAGTTTGGACTCCAGCTTTTTAACTGCAGATTTGAAAACGGTCAAAGACACCAAGTTTTGCAGCTTAAATTCAGTCTTCAGGTTATTCCATGTGGAGGGGGCAGAGAACCTGAAAGCCCCCTTTCCCATTTCAGTTCGGACTCTGGGGACAACAAACTGTACAAATCTCAGTGATCTCAGGTTGTGTAATCCGTCCTTAATGATCAATAAGGAGGAGAGGTAGACTGAAATTTTTCCAAGAATGCCTTTGTAAATTAAAAACGTACCAATGACCAAGCCGACGAGTACTTAAACAAGTCCAACTGACTTTGGAGAATAAATTACAGCGATGAGTTAAAAATCCACAATTTGTTATAAATCTCAGAGCTCCATGGTAAACAATGGTAAACATTTGCAGACTCTGGGCAGAGGCATTCATGTATAAAACATCGCCATAATCAAGAAGAGGTAAGAATGTAGACTTCACAAGTCTCTTTTTAACATTAAAAGAGAAACAGGACTTGTTTCTATAGTAAAAGCCGAATAAAACTTTCAGCTTTCTAACTAACATGTGTGGGTGATGGTGGAGTGCATTATATCAAAAAGAGTTGATTATGAACAAAGTATGAGCAACATCTTTCAATATTTATCCCACTGACCTCTCCTCCATTTCATACATTCACACTCAGCACCTACTGCATCGCTTGTGCACTTTGTAAATATTTCTCTTATACTTTTATATGTCTTTAATATTTTTTTGTATCCTTATTCTTATTGTATTCCTCTCAGTACTTATTGTGTGTTTTATCTGTACTCCTTTGAGTTGAGCGGTCCTCTCATCCAGGGTATTTCATTACCTTGTTGACCTTGTTTAACGTGCACATGACAAATAAACAGGTCTTGAATCTACACACTCCAGTAAACCCCCACCACCACCCACTATATTTTCAGTGATGAATATAAAACAAAGTCATCACATGTCTGATCATGTGTTGAAAAATTGAAATTGTAACAGCTTCCTCAGAGTAGAATTTGTGATGGAGTTGTTGTATTTGATTGATTAGATTAGCCAATGTTCATAATGATACAGCTGGTTGGTGTATGTACCCCAGTCTGTTGTCGATTAACTCGATATCAGTGGGTTAACAGGATTATGATGACACAGACTGAACAAATCAATAGTCCAAGAATTTGCTCTGTAACATTTTGTTTTTCCAATTTCTTTTTCTTTTTTGTGTGTGATTTAGAACTGAAGTTATTGTGTCTTGTTTCGTCTGCTTTTCTGTACAGTGCTAATGCAATTGACTTTCTTACTCGACTCAGGTGACCTTGTCTTGTATGGAATGACGACTTCACATAGATATATTGAATCCAAACCAGCGGGTAAGTTGAGACTCAGCTGTCAAAATGTACTAGCTGTATACCAGTGTGACATTAGTTGATTATTTGTTCCTCTGTTGCTGTTGTCTTGTTGCACAAATATACATTAGCTCGCTTTGCTGACATGGAGTGGCAGACGCCAGCTGTGTCAGAGAAGTTCCAAAGCCGTTTTGGCCGTCGGCCTGGAACGTCGGACAGCGGGGACACTGGTCTTGGCACCTCAGCATCTGACAGCACAGAAGGTGATGACTTTTGCTTGTTCCTCCTTGGCGGTCTGTAGCTTGTGTTATGTAACATTGTTTTGAAGCCTGTCTGTCAGTCCATGATGGGGCTCCAGTTTGCACTTCACATGCACTCTCCATTAACACGGTACATACCAGTGTTGTGCCATTGATATTCTTGACTTTTAAATTGGATTATAAGCTGACTTGAAAGTTGAGATTTTGTAATGAGAGAAGCCACAAATGCTCCTCAGACTTAACCGCCACTGCTCCTATGTGCTAAGGAAAGACTTTGTCCTCGCTCTTGTGGGTTTTGTCTCTTAAGCTTTTTATAGAGTGATGAAAACATCCATGATCCATTGTGAGTGATTGACAGATTTGCAGAGGAAGAATAGAGTCACGGTCAAAAATCCTCTGAGGCACCACTCTTGTGTAAAGGTTAATTGCTGTGAGAAATTGTTTGAATGTTTGGACAGAACTGCTGAATGAATATGGGGCTTTGTTTATGATGTGAAATGTTTCATCAAATGTTCATTTTTCATGTATGTTATCATTATTTTAAATGGAGTTATCCCTCTGGAGAAAATCTGAAATATCACAGGAGATGATGGGAGTGTCTATGTGCTATATTTATATGTGTTTTGGTTACCCAGAGTGGAAAAAATAACTGACAAGTAGTATCAGGAAGGTTCCATGCAATGGATGGACAGCTGGACTGGATGATCCCATGTGCCTCAGGAAACACGACAGAATAACAGCCTGGAAAAATCATCAGAGGGGTACAAGCTCTTTAGGGTTTGAACTTTCACTAAGTTTGTGTTCATGGCAGGGCGGCCAGATATGAACTGTTACCAATGACAACAGATAGGTTAAAGGTTTTAATAACATGTTTGTGTCACTGGCTTCCCCTGGGTAGCCCTGATAAAACACATGCTGTTTTTTGTTTTCTTTTAGTTCTATTTAATAAACAGTTTAACATCCTGATTGTTGCTAGTTTGGTGAAAATATCCGGATTTTTAGTACTGGCCAAAATGATTCTTCACATTTTTGCTACTGCAGAGTGTGCATCCATCACTACCTCTTGTCTACTCCTCTGCATTCACAAGACCTCTGCACCCTCACCCCCACCTTCCACCATCACCTGTCCAGATAAACACCACTAACCCAAGGATGGATTGATGATTGACAACAGTGTCTTTTTTGTTTTAAGCATGTCCATTGTTCTCTTAAACGCTTTACAATAGTATTCATTGAGTGCAGTATGACTTGTACGACAGCATTCTTTGGTGGAATGAAGCTGCCTTTGAGCTGATATATGTTTCAGGTCCTGACTTGACGTGTAGGACTCATCGGTTGGTAGATTTACATGATTTTTGCACAAGTCTACTCATGCTTGTACAGTGTGTGGTTTGGTCTCCGGATTTGAATTTACAGCTGCTGTAATTACGTGAGCGTTTTTCATCATGCTACTACTACTTACAGTTAGATCTACTGAACACACTACTGTTGCCAGCACAGCTTTGTCCTTAAACTGGCAGTTGTACCTAACAGCTAAACAATGAGCCCAAAAGTAAGTAAACAAAGATGCTTGACAGACAGAATACTTTATATCGAACTGCCATCAAACATTTTTTTAATCAACCTCTAAGGGTCATTGTTTTGAAAAGGAGTAGTCTATTTATCAGTACATTCAGTTTTACAGCTACAGGTAACTTATAATTTAGTTTTATACCCTCAGAGGAGAGGAATGTTAAAGCAAACAGCAATCAAATGTTCTTCATCCAGGGTAGTTAGGACTTGTTGGAGCTGCTCCAGTGTCACTGAAGCCTGCAGCCTTCCTTTATTTTTCAGCTTTTATCTTCTTGAAAGTCCGATATTTACTCACGTTTTATGAATATCTGTTGTCCTATCTGGTCGCAAAGAAACCTTTGGTAAACAACATTGCTGTTTAGAGCGAGCAAACCCCTCACCCTCAGTTTTGACTTTGAATGTACACGTGTGTGTGTGTGTGTGTTAGAGTGGGAGGGAGCAAGGTGCTTAAATAAGCGGCACCCACAGATCACACCGTAACTTGAGAGGTGGGCTATAAATACCCCTAACCTTTCCGGTGTATGCCTGTTTGTGTGTTTGCTCAGGGCTTGATACTGGCTTGTTCGGCTGTCCGGGGACAATACAACTTTGGGCACAGAGCCTGTCTTCTCTAAAGCTAACAGTCTTAGCTGTAAAGGTTGATCCGGTTCAGACATGCTGGAGAATCGTCGTTTGCGCTTTAAGACTGCAGCACAGCGCTCTTTAGTGTAGTTTTTTCGAAAAAATGCCACAGCTAATAACACGCTTGCTGCGCTCGAGTGAATGCCAGATTTCCAGACTTCAGCAGGTTCCTCAGGTTCGTAAAACTGTCAGAATCAGAGTGAAGTAACCTTAACCTGTGTCGAGGCTTGCTCGGTTGAAGTGTTTTTTGGCTGATTGTGTCGTGTTCTTCCATGTGTTTCTAAAGTTCTTCTTTGTAAGCATAATGTGATCTCTGAGGTTTCTAAATGAAGACTGTTCACATTTTTCTGCATGTTTACTGTGGTGGGTGTGTCTTCTGTAAGGTGATCTCAGAGTGTTTATCTCTGTAGGTTGTTAAGGGACTCATTCAAAAAGTTTTTGCTTGTTGAAATTAAGACCCTTTGGTCAGCAGGTCTATCCTGGAAAGAGTCTTGCATGTTAATCAAGAACATAGTTAATGTAAGCTTTCTCTCAACCGTTCTGCAACATATTGTCTTTGTTAATCTTGTAAAAGAGAGCTTTATTCTACGCATTGGTTTAAGTCTATTAAAAGCTTATTCCCTGGGTTGAGTCAGTCAGAGCCAGTTAATTCTTTTCAGTGGTGGTGACACCTCATCTTCAAAGTAGGCCACCCATAAACCCTGCTGCATCTACTTTACATCACTGCCTGAAAATAGAGGAAATGGCCTGCAGTAGTGCTCCACATACTCCGCACTGATTTAACAGGGTCTGTCGGTATGTGACAGTGTGAGAAGAAATAAAACACTCATTCACATTTCTAATGTGTCTTTCCTTTTTTTGCTCTTTTAAGATTTCTGCAGTACCAGCAGCAGTAGCCCCCCTTTCCAGCCCATCCGCAGTCAGATCCCCATACCCACTGCACATGTCATGCCATCCACGGCCGGAGCCCCGGCCCAGAAGCCCCAGTCATGCTTCCACGAGGACTCGCTGTCCTCTGAGGGTCACCGGTCTTCCTCTGGCTCTAGAACCCCAAGCGGCTCCACCTCGAAGTCTTCCTCTCTCTCCAAGTCGGCTTCTTCACCCAACTTGGACGCTCAGGCCGGTGTGGGAGGCGACCCCGCTGGGCCAAAGCCAGACTGCCTGAGTCGCTACAGGAGCCTTGTCAATGGACTGGACCACTCTCTCTTCCCTACGGATCACACGCAGGTGGATGAGGGCCAGAGGTTTGACACACCCGCAGTGGAGCCCACGCTAAATCAGTCTGTCCTGTTGGGGGGGTTATGCCCTGATGTCAGACTCCGATTACAGGCGACCGGGATTCGAGACGCCTCAGACTGTGTGTCCGAGGCCTACAGAGGAGGCATGCAGCACAGCTTTAAGGTTCTGCCTGAGGCCAGGCCCGGGGTTCCCGGCACAGCAGAAACCTGTAATCAGAGGGGAAGTCAGCCTGGTGCAGCCGGATCCCCTGGACTTTATGCAAACCCTCTCAGCCTGCAGACACAGGCTCTGCTGAGAGAGCATGCAGCCTCCAAGGGTTATGAGCCATTGCGGCAAGACAGATGTAGTGAACTCTCCAGCTGGCAGCAGCAGCAGCAACAAAAGCAGCAACTTGAGAGTTTACGCCTGCAAGTGGAACAAATGCAGGTAAGCATTCATCTTAAAATAGACACAGTAACCCACTGGGGGGATGAGTAGCACAGTGATAACACACGCGAGTCTTAAGTGCACGGGTTTAACTCTCTGAAGAGAACACCTTGAGAGGGTAAAGGTCAATGAAGTAACCATGTCTGTTGTTTGCAGACATAGAGATCCGGTCGTATATTGGGGGGCTGGTAGTGGTACACTTATATGGGTCAACAGTGGAAATGAATGTCCCACTAAACAAAGCCTCAGGCGGTGTAGACACAGTGTCCTATTTTACAGCAAGGGTGACCAGTCTATTGGCAGAGTGGCTACTATACCATAAGACCTTCAAAGGATTTCTGGTATCTATTAGTAGAAAAAACTCAAAAGAAGTTGAATTTCATTAACGTTTGAACCCGAGTCCTCCTGAAGTGTATTTGCTAACAGAGATGACAGTGCTAAATGGCTTGTTGCAGCATCTCATTCACCTATTGCTAAAAGCTTTGGAAGAAAGGTTTTTGCACAACAACGATTTCACATTGTTGGCAGATGCTGACGAACGTAGAGTGACCATTTCCACTTCCACATACTGTATGCTGACTCATGAGCTGACACTCACACTCTTATTTTCTTGTTTGAGATAAGACTTAAGAGAATTTACATACTCAAAATCTATTATGACCCTTTGCTGCTGTAAAACTTTCCTTTTATTATAATCATTCACCAACTATCTGATAACCTGGAGGGGAGCAATTCTACTTTCATTCATGGAGCTAATTTTATTCTTCAGGGCACCAGAGTACGGCAACATTTTGCTGTGTTTTCAGTATGTAAGAGGAGCGGCTTTTAATAAACACTTAGATGGGATTATTTCAGTTTTGGAGAAACGTTGACGTGACCTCAAACTCGCCAGGTTTTTATTCATCATTTGAGAGCAACAGAATAATATTGTTGTCAAAGTGTTCCTCTGTTGTCCTCTGACCGCTATGGTGTCAGATTATTTGATATGGCGCCAGACGAAGCAAGACTAGCAGTGTTTGCATTTTGTTCTGCAGGACTATATTTGTCGTGACTGTCAACGCACGTATTGTTCTGAACTCGAAACCGAGTCCAGATCATGTAGGAGGGTGTCAGCCGTGCACACAGTCCTTTCATTTTCAGTTCATAATCGTCTCATCACCTGTGTGTGTGTGTGGGTTTTGTCCTCTCTTTCATTCATGGCATTTGTCCTCCTGTTTCAGATGATGGGGGCTGGAGTGGGTCAGTACCAGTCTCTGTACTCCACACCTGTTCACACAGAAGCGGGAAAGTGGGACGCCCTGGTCAAAGCCAGTGAAAGTCTTCTGAAAGAGAAGGAGCTCATCATTGAAAGGCAAGCGTTTTTTATTAGTAGCATTAAAGAACATCATCGTTTGCAAAATAAATAAGAGCTGACTTTTGAAAGGCTAGTAGTATTTTTTTTAGTATTTTTCTACAGTTCATAATTTTTTATTTTTTTTTATTTTTTTTTTTAATAAATTTATTTTAACTTTGTTTTAACTGTGTTCTTAATGCCCTGTACAGTGTCCTTGGGTGTCCAGAAAGGCGCTTTTAAATATATTGTATTATAAAAAAAATGTATTACAATGATGTTGACTTCAGTGTTGTTCTTGTGCCGCAGACAAAAGCAGCACATGACCCAGTTGGAGCAGCGTCTGAGAGAGAGCGAGCTGCAGGTCCACGGAGCTCTCCTGGGCCGAGGAGCTTCCTATGGGGATATGTGCATGCTACGGCTACAGGTCGCTCTTACAGATAAATCTGAGAACACCGTTAGTGATGTCACTCAAGAACCCCTTTTTTTTTTTTAACCTTCACATCACTTTACTGTGGCTTTACAGGAGGCTCAGCGGGAGAACGTGTTCCTCAGAGCGCAGTTTACCGAGCGCACCGACTGCGCTGTGCTAGAAAAAGCCGAGGCAGAGCGCAGACTAGGGGCTGTCGAGGCTGAGACACGCCGGCTAACCGACAGCCTGAAGGAGACATGTGAGAGACACGCAGAGGAGATGAAGAAACAGGAAGAGAGGGTTAGTGCTCGCCTAACCCAGTTTCCTGTTGTACTGTGTCAAACTGCTACACAGCAGAGAACAAAAGAAGAACACTTCTATGGCTTTGAGAACTTCAAAATGATTGATGTGCTTACAATTTATTCACTTTGCTTTTATGGTACTAATGTATGAGGGAGGCATTTCAAAACGGGAGAGAAACCACGAAAAAAAAAAAAAAAAAGTGAAACTACAATTTTGAATTCATCCTTACTCTTTTCTTTTTCAGATTTACTTTTGGGTCTTTTGTCTTTGTTCGTGAGAAGTCAGGATAGTGCACAGAGCAAGGCATGGGGAGGAGAGCAGGGAGAGGCATGCAGGAAAATTAGCTGAATTGAACCCAGGCCGTCCATGCAAGGGTTATAACCTCCATAGGGACTGTGCATAGGCAGTTAGTCCAGTCACTTGGTGTTGTAGGAAAAGCGTGTCCTTTACTTGAGCTTCTCACCTGCAGTAACTGTGACTTGTTACTAGTGCTGGGTGATGTGGCCTCAAATCAACATCACTATATATTGAGCAGTTCACATCGATAACAATAGATGGACAGTAACTACTCCACAAGTTGCTCACCCCCTCCCACATTAACTTTGTCAACTTCAGCTGCCACTCCAGCCTCTATAACTTTTGAACCGTCCTCCATCTCCTCACCTGTCTTTCCCTCTTTGTTAGGGATTGGATGGGGTTGAGTCACGTCTCTGACATAGGACAGCATCTTCAGAATCAGAATCAGAGTGCCTTTTATTGTCATTATACGCAGTACAATGAGATTAAAGCCACCCATATCAGTGCAAGACATTATAAAAAGATAGATAAAAAATATAGAAAAATATGAAACTAGATTAATATGAAGTATATACAATGTAAACGTGTGGACCTGAGATTCTTTTGACAGGATAAATATGGTACGGATGTGCATAGGTGTAATATGTAACAGTATGAAAAAAAAAAAAAAAAAAAAAAGGGACATGAGACCATAGCCTACCTACACACATCCAAAACCAACTTTTATTTATTTATTTTCTTGACACCGAATTTACCGATATGGGCAAAGTGACGTCAGTTATTGTCGTAAATTTAAGTATCTGTAAATTTCAGATTTATCGCTCAGCCCTACTTGTTACCTTCTGAGCGGATTCCTATCATCATAATCATGTTTGCCCACAGATTCGTAGTCGGGACAAGCACATTAACAACCTGAAGAAGAAGTGTCAGAAAGAGTCAGAGCTGAAGAGAGAGAACCAGCAACGCATTGAGACTCTGGAGCGCTATCTAGCTGACCTGCCCACTTTGGAGGACTACCAGAGCCAGAACAAACAGGTAAGGACAGTTCTTCTACACGTCCATAGAGTCTCCTCATTTCTGCTAAATTATTAAACCTGGATGTACGCTTTCATCAGCTTTTAGAGGCTGAGCAGCAGGTGACTCAGCTCCAGGAAAAAGTACGAGAAGCCGAGGTCTGCCTGGAGACGACGCGCTCACAACTCCGGGAGAGAGACGCACATCTAGAGGATCAAAAACGCAGGGAGAGAGACCTGCTGACCACCATTACAGAGTAAGAACATAGAGATCAACTTCAGAGTTTCATCTTCTCATTAAAAGTTTTGATTCAAAGACTAATAACTCATCACGTATGTGTATGTGTGTTTATTTTTGTCCTTGTCAGTATGCAGCAGCGGGTACAGCAGGGCCTGGAGGACGGAGCCAGACTACCATCTCTGGATATTGACAAGCTTAGAGGGGAGAACAGTGCGTTGCGAGAGGAGCAGCAGCGACTCAAAAAGGTCCTTTGTTTGTCTGTTTTGACCTATTTTGGAAGATCTTCTGGGTGTGTGAAATAGTCATGGGGCAGTTTTGATATTAGTGCTGCTTTTATTCATGATGTTCAGAGGCTGTGCAAGGCAGACAGAGAAACTGGGGTCTTATTTGCTTAATTTCGTCTTCCCTAAAGTAGATCACACAGAGCACACAGTTTTTCTTCTTCCACTGTAAGTTTATTTGAACCTGAATTTACTTGAGCTTCGAAAAACAATCTAGCTAAGCGAGCTCAGAGTAAGTGAGTTCAGCTCAGTTGAACAAAGAGAAGTGCTTATTTCCCTGGAAGTAAGTTCATGTAAATTGTGGTTCATGTTCTCAGCTGCAGATGTTCCGTCAAAGGGTAAAAATAACTTCTCTAAATTCTGTATCAGTCTTGTTTCTAGTTGTTTTACGGCATAGCTTCTCCTTTACCAGCTTCTCTGTGTTTGCTGTGCCCCTTAGACTCACCTGCAGAGTTCACATTTTCACATGACTGCCACATAGATTAGCTCACAACCTCCCCATCTCCAGAGGTGAAAGGAGAAGATGTCCTTTGAGTGTTTTTATGTGCGATGGTTTTGCTCAAAAGCTTGTTTCTTCTCCGTGCAGGTTATTGAGAAGCAACACCGGATGATGGAGCAGCTTGGCTCCCAGATCCAGGTCTTTATCTTTTCTCTTTGTGTCTTGATGATTTGTATTGTGCATATTTGTGAATTACTAACTGTGTGTGTCCACAGGCATTAGAGGAGCAGATTTCTCAGGAGGAGAGCAGCTCTCAGGCTCTCAGAGAGGAGGTGTTAGCCAAAGAGCAGAATGTGTTGGAGCTCCACACAGCCATGAAGGAGGTAGGACATAAAAAAACATATCCTTTTTCTCATCAAGATCTGTAAGGAAGGTACCAGTCCCTGATCAATCTGTTACTGTTTCAGCTGTCGGCCCAGAACCAGGAACTGATGGAGCAGAATCTGACCCTGCAGGAGCAGATGAGCGATCCTGAGCAGATGAGCTCTAACCAGGCCTCCTCCACCCTGCAGCCTGCCGGGGCTCGCCTCACACAGAGGCTGCATCTGGAGATCGCTTCCTGCCTCAGCGACCTGCGCTCACTGTGCAGCATCCTGACCCAGAGAGCACAGGGACAAGACCCCAACCTCTCCCTGCTGCTCGGCCTTGCATGTAAGCTCTACTTGAAATCCTTCTCAAAGATAAGCTGACTACTTTTAAATATATTAGAAAGTTCCAAGAAAGTTGTACAACATGAAACTAGTTTTTTTTTGTGTTTTGGTTTTTCAGCACCCCCGCCTGTGGGAGAACAGCCAGAAGACTGGATGAGCCCTGAGGTGCTGCAGAAGAAGCTGGTCGAAGCCCAGCAGCTCCGCCGGGATGTTGAGGAGCTACGCAATGTGATACTGGACCGTTACGCACAGGACATGGGAGAAAACTGCATCACCCAATAACACCTGCACCCAGAAGGTGAAATAAAAACTTTCAGAAAGCCCAACTTCACCTCTGGAGACTCTAAAACCAGCTTGTCTTTCAGTTACTGAATGTTAAAACGAGGACTGGATTTTAATCTTCTTAAAAAGGAGGACAGGAAAGCCCAAATGGTTTAGCTTCCCCTCCTTTGCTCCTCTGTACTGACTGTATGAATATCCTCGAGCCGCCTACCTGTAGCTCAGAAACCTCCCAACCCCTGGTGAGTTCATCTATTTCAGTCCAAGGGCTAACAGGAAATAACTTACCTCTAATACTTGATCCTTAAGCATTGTGTGTGTGTGCGTTTGTGTGTGTGCGTGCGTGTGTTTTATGTAATAATGACATGACAGCGTCAGTTACCAAACAGTCTTATACTTTTTGTTCCACTCTGGTGGATAGTGTTTTTTTGTGTAGAAGTCCCACAGATATAATTTATTGAAATGTTCATTTCCCTGGGCAGGGGAATTCTTCAAGAAGTGGTTGACAATCAACTGAAGGTTTATGAATCTGTGCTTTTAACTGAATTCAGAAAAAGTGACTAAACATGCCATTATTTGAAATGGTGAACACTGTAACGTTAGACTCTGCTGTGAGGAAAAAACTGTAAAAAAAACAAAACAAAAAAAAAAACAACTGAAGTGTTCGTTACCAAAAATCAGCCTCTCACACCAACAGACCTCCAACGGTTTTCAAACCAAAGACAAACTCTGGTGGAGTCTGTGAATGTTTGTGAACGCTCCTCTCTGCTGCAGGCCTCGTTCTGAATGAACACCAACATGTGCCTTCCTGTCACGCTTGCAACCACGATGCTAATTTATTTTTTAGACCAATCACAAAGGGCTGTTTGCAGCGGACTCTTTCAATACGACCTTTCTCTTAGCGTATCAAACGGTAGGATTGTCGATACATTCCATGACTCTGAATGTAGCAGATGACTCTGGAGCTCGTGGAGGCCCGACACTGTTTTCGTTTCTTTGTGTTCTTGTTAGATGATTGAGGTTAGTTCAAACCCTTTAGTCTGTGTAGATGGACGACTTTACAGTAAACTTTACATTTCAGGTTGATAAGGCTGAACCGCATTAGACGGAGTGGTTAACTGCAATGACGTAGGTATGACTGAGAAACAGTATTAATCTTCAGTATTATTTATTTGTTTTGTTTGCATTGACAACTCAGCGAGCCCCTCTAACACGTCGCTGTAACAGTGTGCTAATTAATGCATTTGAGCGTATTTAGCGTCCACAATGTGTAAAGGTCCCATGAAGTGGCTTTTAGATTGTCATTTCTTCTGCGGTTTGTCCTGTTTTATATGAGATGAAGATGTTCGAAGCTGGAGTTAATGTTGGACAAAGCTTAAAACCTGGAAGCAGTCATCAAGGCTCCTTTGTGGTCTTCTGAGAACGGGAAGAATGTGTGAATCCTATGTGATGATGATGATGATGATGATGATGATGATGATGGGGTTGGCTGGATCACCCTCACATCACCAGTTGCATCACATCTTGGCAGAGTTTTGGTGTTTGCCTGAGTGCTTGAGAAGCCATTTAAAAACACTTGAGTTTACAGAAGGTCAAAGGGATTTGAATTCTACAAATATATGCAACAACGTCCAGGGACACAAGCCATTTTTCATTTCATGGGACCGTTTTACCTGAAGTAGCACAAGACTTAACCTTAGAAAAAGTCAGGCTCCGCATGCCTTAACATCTCAAATGTTTTTGCAAAAGGGAAAAAGATGTTTATATTTTCATACTTTGGTCCTAGTTTGTATTTGCATATTTTAGAAATAAAGATTTTCTGCATTTTGTTTTGTTGTAATCAAGTTTCATTGGGTTGAATTTGATGTATTTGTATTGTATTTGCTGTGTTTGGTTCTCTCCTGGATGAAGATCATGAGTGCCTCTCCCTACCTCCAGGGATGCTCAGACTTAATTTAGTCCGTTGGTTGAGGATTGTGACACAGTTGCTCCTCAGAAAATATTTTTTCCTTTTTTTTACTGTTGGAAAATCTTCAGTCATCACTGAGGAACCCATGAGGTAGTTTGTAGAGGAACACCAATCCCTATCCTCCTGTTATGTAACAAAGTGATCTCAGTGAGTCCCACACAAAGAGCTGCTCAGATTTTAAAATTAGAAAAATCGAGCACTGGCACTCTCAGAAAATTATACCCTTTTAAAAATTTTCCAAAAAAGATCAATTTAAATCAGTTTATTCATTGCTGTAACACCAATAGAAGTTTATAAATTTCAAGTGTGAATTTCAGTGGGTCTTTGTCGCATCTCCATGCACCAGCAGAGCTGTCAAAAATTCATGAAGAAGCATCAGTTTCATTGTTTTGCTGTTGTGCACAGTGTATAGTGGTCACAGTACACCAGTCGTGTTGAACAGAAAAGAATCATCTTTACAAAGAAACGTGCTTTTTCATACTACCAGTCATTAACTGTTATGTAAAAACAAAACAACTGATTTCAAACTAAAATCTCCCTCAGCCCACTCATCACTATTATATAGGTTTTTTTTCTAACTTCATTGTGGATGAGGATGTCTGCTCTTTCTCAGCAGCAGTGTAGCATTAGTCGTAAGCCCACATGACTGGAGCGTGTGGCTGTCTTCATTGTAGCAGCACTGTGGGTACGCACTGATGATGTCATATCCATTAAGATGAGCCCCCCTACGATGTGAGAGGTACAAGCAAACTGTCAACGTTTGAACGGCATGATAATGTGTCACTGTGGGAGGATGTGTTTTCTCTCACCTGTGTTTGTCCAGGTACTGCCGCAGGTCACCGATTGTCTCTGAGGAGCTCATTTTCAGTATGTAAGTGTGGCTCCCGTCTTCTGACTTCACCTTGACCGTGACAACGTTGTGGGCAGACAAAGGTCCGTCATCGCCAAATATCTGCAGTCTGAAAGGCATATGATCAAGATGCACTTGACACGATAAGCTCAGGCAGTTTGGGGCCTTATCTGAGATTTCATTGCAAGCTAACAAGTCCTGTTAGCTTGACTTGTCATTTCTACAGACTAGCAGCAAATAGTAACACCTGTTCATATTTTTTTAATCAGCTGCAGCAGCAAAACAAACATACTGATCAGCATTTAGGGGAGAGTGGGTTAAGATGGGCCATTTTTCAAATTTCGGATCACTACATCAATCATACATTCAACAATCATAGTTTTGTCTTTAACTAGTGTATCTGCATATATTTCAAGATGTTGTGCATCCCTGCAAACCAACCGAATGAGTGTAAACATAACTGTCTTGATAATATAGCATGCCAAAAAAAGTGGTCTCCTATGGTCAACTTACCCCGTGTATGGGGTAAGTTGAGCCGTATCCCTACCACCCCCCACTCTCCACCCCAGCCCTCCCTCACCTTCTCTCTCCCTAAATAACGGTCATTTCTTCACATCCTTGTGTGTTGTTATCTATTATACACTATTCAACTGGTACAATAATTCTTTTTATTATTATTGTTAAAAAGCTGTTTCGTAAAAAAAACAAACATTTCAACATGAGAATGTCTTTAGGTGATTCAGAACATTCACAGCTGTATTTTTGAAAAGAAAAAGTAACACATTTCAACAATCTGAGCTGAAACTCTGATCCTCTCATCAGACTTCTTTACTTTCTCAGTTGAGTCAATGGCTCAACTTACCCCAGAACTACTATGATGACTTTATTAGTCCTCTAAGCTAAAATGGTGGACTTTTATACCAGGTTTTTGACCTCATCTGACCCACAATTGATGTATAAAACAAATTTAAAATGATCTTTTTTGGTCTGAACACAATTCTAATAAAACTTATGACAGACTAAATTCACTTTCAAGAGTGAGAAATGTTTTTTTTTTTTTTAAATAAATATCTAACCCCTTCATCCATTTGCTTCTAACCTTCACAGACTCCATGAATTGATGCCCATCTCCTAAATATTTGGTCACATGATCAATTTCTTTTACCATTTCCAAGCAACAGGGGGTGGCTCAACTTACCCTTTGGCTCAACTTACTCCACTCTCCCCTATATTGTAGCTAGTTCTTATTATTCCTAACCACACAAACCATTTTGATTCCCATCTAAATTCTACAAGGTAATAATGATCAATGATGAACATGCTTTGAAGAGTGTGTATTAGTACCCTTCTCTCATGGCTTGTAGTGCTTGCGTGTCTACAAGGATCACTGATGTGCTCTGGGTATTAGATGGACCCTAGTAACATAAGGATGATGGGCATATCATAGTGAGTTTACAATCAGCATGAGCACGGACAGATAGATAAAATACATGATTCATAAATGATTTGTCACCTGGAGGACAGTCCTTAGTGAGTCTCGGACGTCAATCACACGACCAGCCTTTACCACCACCCTTGGTAGCTTCTTCAAAATCTGATCCATGCCCAGCCTCTTTCCTGTAACAAGAAGAGAAGAAGGTGTTAATTCATAATTGACATAGCGGCCATTTTCCCCCTGAAATGAACACTCATGGTATGCAGATTAAAGTCTGTTATTACATAGTATTTGACAGCCATTTAACCCGAACATGACAGAGCAGTTTTGTGTCATTGTTTGTCCTCAAAGCCCTCCTCCCCAATAATAGCACAGAGGGGAGCTAAAGAGTGAGCTACTCAGAGTTATCTCATAGAAGTCTTCCCAAACAGTGGGACATAAAGCTAACTAAGAGTGGCATCCAATCATTACTCTGCATTAGCCAACACTCAGATAACACCAGTGCATCCTTACTTTTATTGAGTAATGACAGTGTGATGTTTGCGATACAGACCAGGTGAGTTGAAACTGACAACATTGGATGATTCATCTTTTGTCCCAAGAACAGCCTGTCCTTCTCCAGGAAATTTACTCCACTCTGCTCTGGAAACAAACTCCTCATCTCGCCTGTCATGAACCTGCAAAAATAAAATCATAATAAGTAGAGGAGTTTAGAATTTACACAAACAGAGGAACCGAAACAAACCTGAAAAGGAACACCCTCTGGAAATCTGTCCTGGAGCTCAGTTGGAAAATACCCGTCCATCAGGTCCTGTATGAACTGCTGCAAAAATAAAGGCCGAAGTTTAAAGGGAGAAACTTTGTAGAGTAACATTTTTGTCCTGCGCACTTCTGTTGATCTAACCTGGGTGCTTTGCTCCTGGTAAGACCTGAAGGGGCCGTCAAACATGACAATGCCGTTGCTGTAGAAGCGCAGCTGAATGGAATCCTTCTTTGCCAGCTGAGCTCCAGTGGATGTCGACTGAATAAAACTCTCGCCCTCTCCTGCGAGGATGTTGAGCTCCCTAATCCTCTGTAGCACCAGGTCAAAGTTCATGTGGAAGTTCTTGACCTCGGAGGTTGCTTTGAGAAGGAAGTTAAGAATCAATCCAAGAATAAGAAGCAGTTCATGTTTTTTTTTTATGAACAACTTTAAACAAACAGACAGAAGCTACCAGGCTGCCAGAGGCCTCTTTCTGAGTTATGTGTCTCACTTTCGTCTCCCACCCAGATCAGACCGTAGTCATTTAGAAAGCTCTGCAGGAAGAAAAGTAACAGAATACCGAGAGGTCAAATACTATAAACCAGAACAAAATCAGTCACTGATTCACTGACACTGACCTCCATTTCACATACTTGATGCTGCAGTTGCCGGCACCTCTTTTTAACATCTCTTTGTTCACACGTGTCCTCTGTACTTGCAAACACATCAGATGAAGCTCAAATGAAGCAGGTGACTTTCATCTACAAATGTTTCTTTTGAACTATAACGGTTACCTGAGTCCTTCAGAAGATTCAGTTTTTCCTCCAAAGAGGAAATCTTTTTATTCTTTGGACAAAACAAGGATTTTCAAGGTCATAACCATGAGGGATAGTCAATGCTAAGATGTTGCGTTTTATTTAGAGGCGATGCGTGTTCACCTTCTGTTTAAGCTCCTGCGCTTGGACCTTCACTGTTTTCTCCAGTAGGGTCAGCCGCTGCATCATGGCAGACATGAGCTCAAAGTCACTAGGTGGAGCACCTGAGTTCAAAGGTAAGTTGGTCAAAGCATCTTTTTCACTGAATTCAAACCAAAAAATTTAACTCAATAATGTGAACCATGCCTTTCTTCAGCTGGGTTTTTGACTTTGAAGTGGAGGCAGTGTTGTCAACAGGGTTCTTGGGAGGCTCATTGTTCGCATCAGCCAATTCTGCCTGTAACTCTGAAAACAAACAATGAAATGCTGATAACAGAAGGAAATTTAAGGTTTTCATGCTGCTGGGAGCAGGTTTAGATTTACAGTACAAAATAAGTTTCAACAATAACTAGCAACTGCATTTACACAGGCAGTTTACTGAAAAACAAAGTCTAGGAACTTGTATAGTACTACACTAGAGTAACTTCTTATCAAGACACTTGAAATTTTATTTCACTTCATTTAAAAGGGAAGATCTCTCAGGCTTAAGTTAAATCATCACTGAATTACCTTACAAGTTGATAAATCAGTTAAGTATTTGGTGTGGATTAAAATATAGAAATATTTAGTAGGGACTAAATGCCTTATAGCTGCATCACTTTACAGACCTTTTAATGAGATCAATCACTAAACTTTTCATGCCTCTGTTTTCAATGTGAGATATTTCCTTTAGTTTCAGTTTGTTTGTATTCTTTTAATTGGTCCCATGATCTTCCGGTTCAGACACCCGCAGCCTTCACTGGAGGAAAAACTGGAGCACCATTTTACTGTAAAGCGCTTTGGTAGGCCACTGGCTGTTTTTAAATGTGCCATATAAATAAAGCTGACATTGACATTGACATTGACCACAATTATGAAAAAGAAAGTATTAAAACACATACCTTTCAACAGGTTCCTCCTGAATGGCACTTTCTGTTCGTCCCTGTAAACGAAAGATAATTAAGTTATCTGTTCACTTCACCTCACACTCTATCCAGCACCTTGTTGTCTTTTTGATTGTGTAGCTTACGGTTTTCCACCCAGAGAGCCCTGCAGTGGAGACCGCCTGGTTTTCTTCAGCATGGACAAAGGTGAGCTCATTTCACCTGAGACAGGAAAGCTAACTTGTCAGGTTATGTGAGAGTGGGTCAGGCAGAGACCTTAACGCAGGGATTTCCCGAGTTTCCTGAAGTTTGTTTGGAGTCTGTTGCCACTGGCAACGCAGAGGACGCTGTGGGTTACATAGAGCATGTTTGGATGGGTACGCTTTCTGTCCACAAGGGGGCGCGGATCATCTGTTACCATGGTCCTGGGTTCTACCTAACTCAATAAAAGACACACTTGGCATGTATGTGTAGCTACTTGTCCCATTTCATGGCTGTTTGTAATTCTTTATTTTTTGGAAATTGGGAATAAAAGTGTTCCCCAGTAAACCGATCCCCCGATAAAAATAACTAACAAATGTATAGGCTAGACAAGCAAATAAAACGGGGTTTTATGGATATGCGTATTTACATATTATCACAAATGTAATAAAATACAAGTTATGCAGGATGGGTTTAATCTGTTGAAGTTCGTCTGCAGCCTCAAATCCGGTCACGTTTAGCCACTAGTCGGCCTCCCGGAGCGGGGCAGACATACTGTCCGGCTCAGCCTCGCTCTTTGTGGGAAGTAGCAGGCAGTCAGAGAGGATGCAGAGGCCTGCCAGTCCCGCTTCACATCCATTATTAACCCGGGGCTGTTAGGCTGGTCCGGGCTATGGCTGCGCCTATCGCGCATTTCGACGAAGACTGGCCCATTTTCAGTGATCGGAACATGGTAGCGGACCAGCGGCTGCTGCTGCCGCAAAAAGGCCGAGCAGCCCTCACCGCCGCGGGGGGAGAAGAGGCGGCTGCAGCCCTGCAGCTTCTCCCGGGAGAGGGTGATGATGATGATGATATCCCTGACTTGCACGACGTCAGCTTCTCTCCTGGGGGGACCGGTGTGTTCAGGTCCATTGAGGATTTGGTGAATGATTTTGACGAGAAGCTGTCAGTGTGCTTTCAAAATTTTGACGCAAAGACTGACAGTATCGCTCCTGTGAGTGTTCTCGGGGAGGACACCCTGCTGGAGACAGACGAGTGAGTGTTTCTGTTCGGTGTGTGGCCTGTCCGAAAGATACATGTCGTGTACAATTTTTGGATTTAAAGCATTTTACTGTCTGCTAAATGAAAACCATTCAAACTGCTGCAACAGAGTATAGGAAACCAGTATCAGTTTCAAAGGGGTACCGGGTTTGTTTGGGATGTGATGGGCAGCTACCCGCCACCATCTTTAATGAGGTCATCAAAACACAGGACAGCAGGGGGCTGCTGCTGCTGTGTCTCTGTCCCGACCATAGAGTCTATGGTCCCGACACAAACACACAGAAAAATAAGATAAATCATTGAAACGTTTAGCCAAACAAGTGCCTGAATATCGGCTTGTTATCGGTATCTGTCCTTGAATGACTATTAGAGAGATATAGGCCGATGTGGGTTTACCGGATGGGGTGTTTCTCTTTGTGAAGCCCTCACCGATATGAAACCTTACCATTTTTTAAACATGCACATTATTGCTGTTCAAAACTCGTTTTTATACTTGGGGGAAAAAAATGGTTTGGGTGAATTTTTAAAGATGTTTTGAGATCATTCAATTAATTTATAAATATAAATATATTTTTGGTTAAAGCCTCTTAAAAGTAGGAATTTTGTGATTTTTTTTTTGTCAGTTTTGTCCTATGTCCTTCTTATCTCTAAAATTATTTCAATACAGTACCATCCACTTTTACTTAATTGCGTGCATTAGCACCGAATAATTGGGGAATTTAGATAACTTTAGTAAGTAAATAAAGTTTATTTATAGAGCGCTTTACACAGATAAAAATCACAAAGCACTGTACATAAAATAAGTGCAATTAGATAAACATAAAACACTACAAAAAAAGATAAGTACACGTACACAAATACGAATACAGTACAGTGAATATGGAGATAAGTGCAGATATAAAAGATAAGTCAAAGAGACAAACAAAACCCTGTTATTTAAAAACTTGTCTAAATAAAAGAGTCTTCAACTGCTTTTTAAAAGTATCCACTGAGTCGATCAAACGGAGGGAGAGGGGCAGATCATTCCAGAGTCTGGGGGCTACCATCTTAGAAACCCAGTCTCCCCGAGTTTTAAAACGGGTCTTCGGCACCATTAGGGTGTTCTGGCCTGATAACCGAAAACTTTCGTCTTTTAAGCTTTGTTTCAGCAGTTTACTTTTCTTTTTTATTAGTTAACGAACAGCTTTTGCATTAAAAGTCTCTGATTTAATTGGTATTCTATTAAAAAGAGGGAAAAAAACTTGTTATAAGCTGCAAACAGGACTCCAGAGTTGTATCAGGGGGGCTTTTATGCCTTCACATGTCGCTGTTCATGGCAGCATTTTCAACTTGATAAATTCTTTGGGGGATTATACTTTTGCTTAGACTCAAATCTTTTTAATACAGCAGGGACTCTGGGCTGTGATATTTCAAAAGGTTTGTTATGTCTTTAAATTGACAGTCCCACCAGCACTCTCATGAAGATACGTTTAAGTAATGAAAGGGATAATCCACCACTTCATGCAAAAGTAAAGCAGAACCATGTTTGAGGTGCTGTCATAGTCTCACAGTAAAAACATTGACTGTTTTTTGACCAACTAGATTGCATGATGGGGAAAAATGAAAATAAATGAACAGTGTTGATAAAGAGGTCAAACTCGGACACACTTGATCCTACATCTCCCAAAATGCAATTGGACAACCTTTTTTTTTTTCTTTTTAGACTCACTGGCTGGTAAATGACAACATCTGTCAAACTCCATGCCCTAGTTGGCATCTGGCATTATTTTCTCTAGAGGAAAGGAGGACATTCAACAACAGACTGAGTAGTGCTGAGTAAACAGAGCTGTAAACACTTTCAGTTTGTGTCTGAAATCTCCTCTTTTCTCCTCAGAATCTGGAACGCTTTGACCAGCAACTATGGCTGTGTGATGCCGGTGGACTGGAAAAAGTCTCGGACATGCTCCCTTCACATCCCCACTTTTAACCTGGAGGAGAAACCTGTGAGTGACTCCACTCCCATTTGTCCCACTCCTTCCTCCCTTAGTCTCCAAACTTCTCTTTTTCCATCTCATAAATTAAACATATTTGCAGTGCCAGGTTTTTGGACTCTTGATAACATTCCCTCTCCCTCATTCTGCTCCTGATAAGAAGAAGGCTGATGTGGCAGTGGAGCTGTCTGATGATGAGGAACTCAGGGAGCAGCTTGACATGCACTCCATCATTGTCTCTTCCCTGGCAGAGGAGCCGCTCTTCACAGCAGAGCAGGTAAGTAACACGTTAACCTCCAGGTTATCCCTGACGCAGCCGCAGAGCAGCAGCTTAACATGGCTGAAATTAATCCTCCCGATTTAATAACTGATGATCACAAGCTAAGTCTGAGTGCTGCCTTTCTCTCTCGCTCTCTGATGCGTATGTGTTGATGCTCGGTGCAGGTTATCGAGGAGATAGAGGAGATGATGCAGGACTCCCCTGACACAGAGGCAGCACACAACCCGTCTCAGTCGGACCTCTCAATGCTCTCTTTGGACGTCCAACGAGTCACCAGCAGTCCCAGCTTTGAGAAAAGTGAGTGTCTGAAAGTCAGGCCTTGTAATCAAAAATGTACCCTGATACTTCTCTTGCACTTGTTTGTCTTCTTGTTTATTATTGAGACAGTTGTACCATATCAATATCAATGTCAGTCTTGATACATGTTCATCAAATATTATGATGTTCCTCTTCCTTTTAAGATGTTTTCACTGTAACTTCAAGGTTAAAAAAGGGAAAATAACCTTTTGTGTTTGTGTGTCTGTGTTCCAGAGGTGAGGACCCTGAGCATTGCTGAGCTGAATGAACGTCTGGAGGAGACAGAGACCAACATCAGGAGGTTCTCGGAGGAGCTTGTGCAGCAGCTAGCTCTCAGAGATGAGTTGGATTTCGAGAAGGAGGTGAAAAACAGCTTCATCTCTGCGCTCATTGATGTCCAAAACCGACAGAAAGAGCACAGAGAGCTGCTGAAGAAGAAAAAGAAGCTTAAAAGCGGAGCTGGGGCATCACAAAGCCAGGGGGAGAAGACAGCCGGTTCGGTGAATAGCATGACTTTCATGTAGCCTGGTTGTGTGTTGATTTTCTTCCTTGGTTATTTCTTTAGATATTTGGCTTTTTTGGGATAAGTCCTTTTCCTACTTTTCTGCATTTCTTGGTGGTTATTTTCTTCTACCAGTCAGTTTTATTTCCTCAGTTCTTCTCTCCTTACTTTATCTTCTTCTGCTTTCCTTCCTTCTTCTTCAGCGCTTCAGCATGGAGGGACTCTCCTCTGTCATTCAAAACAGCTTCAGGCAAACTTTTGGGAGTGGGTGCACTGAAAGACAGGTTACTTACTATTTCTCTCTCAACTGCTCATCTTGTCCCTTGTTTTCTCCACATAAATCAACACTTAATGTGACTGCCATCCCAGAGAAAATCCCACTTTAACTTGATACTTTAAGAACCTTTTTTGTATTTCTTTTTTTTGTGGATTTTTAGTATCTGACCACAGTCATTCCATATGAGAAGAAAGGACATCCCCCATCTCTGGAAGACCTCCAGATTCTCACTAAAAGTATGTTGTTGTTGTTTTTTAAACAATGTCAGCTACATTTGAGCTGAAGAAAGTTGACTGATTAAGTCAGTCTGATTCTGTTTTTGTTTGTCTTACAGTTTTACTAGCGATGAGAGACGACAGTGACAAGGTGCCCAGCCTCTTAACAGACTATATTCTCAAAGGTGAGCTCTACTCTTCTCCTGGTTGTTTGACAGTCTTGAAGCTTATCATTCTTTAAAGATTATAACAGATCACTGACTGAGCAGTTGTGACTATGCTAAGAGTTGTACTTCTCCTCAATAGAAGAATAGATTTATGTAACTTGTGACTTTTTATTTAAATATAGGCTCAATTTAGATTTGATCCCAGCAGCACTTTTCAAATCCGTTGGTACAGGAGCATGTTTACTAGAGTGTTGTATCACTTCTTCTGTGACAGGACAGCAAACACTTGGGAGCTGAGGAGTCCAGTTTCTGGAGTTATGTCAGTGAAATATTGTCCCGTTCTTCTGAACTGATTAAGCATTTCAGCGTCCTAACAGTTTTAGGTCTGCTTTGTAGTCCACATCAGTCCTTGATGCTTCAAATGCTTTGAATGGGTAACAAGTCTGGACCACAGGCAGGTCAATTTAGTGCCATGACTCTTCTACTTAAGGGCCTTGCTGTTGTACAAAACCCAATTCCATTGAAGTTGGGAAATTGTGATAAACGTAAAAACAGAATACTATGATTTGCAAATCCTTTTCAACCTTTATTCAATTGAATACACAACAAAGACAAGATATTTAATGTTCAAACTCATAAACTTTCCTTTCCTTTCCTTTCCTTTTAACAACACTCAATAAACGTTTGGGAACTGAGGAGACTGATTGTTGAAGCTTTGAAGGTGGAATTCTTTCCCATTCTTGCTTGATGTACAGCTTCAGTTGTTCAACAGTCCAGGGTCTCCGTTGTCGTATTTTATACTTCATAATGCGCCACACATTTTCAATGGGAGACAGGTCTGGACTGCAGGCAGGCCAGTCGAGTACCTGCGCTCTTTTACTACGACGCTACGCTGTTGTAACACGTGCAGAATGTGGCTTGATATTGTCTTGCTGAAATAAGCAGGGGCGTCCATGAAAAAGACGTTGCTTGGATGGCAGCATATGTTGCTCCAAAACCTGTATGTACCTTTCAGCATTAATGTTGCCTTCACAGATGTGTAAGTTACCCATGCCTTGGGCACTAATGCAGCCCGACAACATCACAGATGCTGGCTTTTGAACTTTGCGTTGATAACAGTCCGGATGGTTCTTTTCCTCTTTGGCCCGGAGGACACGACGTCCACTATTTCCAAAAATAATTTGAAATGTGGACTCGTCAGACCACAGAACACTTTTCCACTTTGCATCAGTCCATCTTAGATGAGCTTGGGCCCAGAGAAGCCGGATGTTGTTCTTAAACTGTTCGACTATTTGCTCACACAATCGTTCATAAAGTGGTGAACCTTGCCCCTTCCTTGCTTGTGAATGACTGAGAATTTTTGGGGAAGCTGCTTTTATACCCAATCATGTCACCCACCTGTTCCTAATCAGCCTGCTCACCTGTGGGATGTTCCAAATAGGTGTTTGATGAACATTCCTCAAATTTCTCAGTATTTTTTGCCACCTTTCCCAACTTCTTTGTCACGTTACAGCCATCAAATTCAGAGTTAATTATTATTTGCAAAAAAAAATAAAGTTTATGAGTTTGAACATTAAATATCTTGTCTTTGTAGTGTATTCAACTGAATATAGGTTGAAAAGGATTTGCAAATCATTGTATTCTGTTTTTATTTACGTTTACCACAATTTCCCAACTTCAATGGAATTGGGTTTTATAATTTGTGCAGAATGTGGTTTGGCATTATCTTGCTGATATATAAAAGGCTTTCCCTGACAGAGGCATTTTCTGGATGGCTGCAAATGTTGCTTATTAACTTGTCAATATAGTACAGCATTAGAATAGTCACGAGTGTAGATGCAGGAAGCAAAAAATAAGTTATAACTAGTCAGTGGTGTTACTATCAGCCCAGCGTACCAGTCTGTTCTTCAGAAAACCATCATCCAAAATCCAGCCAAGTCCTTTAATTCACATTTTCAGCTCCTCTCTTTTGTACATGCTCTGTTTTCATTCTTTCATCTTTTCTGTCTCCACTTCCCGTGGTCTCACTTTGTCGCTGCCTTGCGCTCACTAGCTCTGGTGTGAGCGACGGATGTGGAGGTTTGTGACATGTGATGTGTGCACTGTTGTGGTGTTGCAGCTCAGACTGGGAGCCTGCCTGTCTTTACCACCAAAGTGTAGTACGGTCTGATCCTGATGTTCTCCTCCTCCTCACTTCTCCCCTGTCCTGACCTCCTGCAGCACAGTTCATCCTCTTAGTGTTAACACTCACTGAAAAACACTCACAACAAAGCTCTGTTTATTCTGCAGTTCATAGCTTAGTGATAATAGTAGTGTAAGAGTGCAACTGAACGTATTCACCCTCACTCACAGCACTTCACAAACTCTGTTTGGTTTTTAGTTTTGTTAGATATTAGCAGCAGCTGGTGATTGAGCTCGAACTTTTCCTTGTTTCCCTTCATCTCCCTCTTTCTAAATGAATAAACCATGCATACTCACAGCTCTGCTCATAATCATCCCCTCTGTTTTTTCAGTGCTTTGCCCAACATAAACCGGAAAGATACTGCCCCCCCAACTTCTTACAGAGACATCAGATCAACACGGCAAACCAAGAAGAAGACTCGTTGTGTTTTTTTTTGGCCGACATGAAGCTAACCGATTTTGTTCCTGCATGATTTTACCTCATGACGTGTCTTTTTTTGTGTAATTTTCCCCATAAAATTGTATTTATTTTGTGTTGAGCCTTGTGAATTTGAAGCCTTGTGTGTTCAGTGAAGTTGAACTTTTCTCAGTGTTTTAAATTTCCTTGCACTCCACAGGAAGTGTGTATCCTTGAAAATAAAAAATGTGTAAGGAATATTCCCAGGTAGATAAGCCAGCATAGGAGCTGCAGTGTTTGGTTTTGCTCATTGGTTTTAAACAAGAGCAGAGCTGTAATGCAAAGGGCTTTGAATCATTTGAAATGCTCAATTATTCACCGAACAATAAGCAAATGCACAGAGCAGGATGTGCATTTAAGTTGCAATAACAGAGTAGAAAACATAGGATTTAAACTGGCGATTACAGTGCTTATTAAGATTTTAAGTGTATTGATCCTTAATCAGATGTTAAATAATCTGAGATGGATCAAAGAGCTAAGTGATCATAAAAAAATTAAGTAAAAACAGATAAAACAGTATTAACAGTACCATAAATACACTGTATTATCATTAAAGTCAACACAGCTTTTCACAAATCATCTGCATACTTTTATCTCAACAGAACACAACATGCACTGATATAATATACATGTGTTATACATGTTACGTTATGCTGTGGAGGATGAGGTGTTTATGGTAAAGCTGATGAAGACTGGATTGAAATATTTATCTATGCATTCGAGTGAACTCTAAATTTTGACTCCTGCACTGTCTGAACCTTTATGACACTGAGCTCTGAATCAGAGACTCTGAGCGTCATCGTGCCTGCTGTGCACAGGGCTGCATTTGTACACACTGACGGGGTGTTTTTAGTATTCTGTATGTTTTCTTGTATATTAAACAAGCTGCCTTTGCCTTTGCCTGGACTTTTGTACGTTATAAATGACTTATTTTCAATGAATGTCAAAACTGCTGGACTACTTACAGAGCCTGCTTCAATGTTAATTTATTTTGTAAAAATGTTATTTCAAATATATTGTTAAATCTGACTGTTTCTGTCTCTGTGTACTTTATTCACATGTAGATTTTACAGTTAAAACACAGATCAAATGATACTGCTAACACTCAACCCTGCCCCTTCAGACAACATTATCCCCAGTAACACACTTCCTCAATTTCCCTGTTTGGGATCAATGAAACACATCTACCAAACAAATCCAATCACTGCGTTATAAGCAGAAATGCTTTATATCATACAAGCCAAATATATACTTTAATATCTGTACTACATTTAAACAACCGATACCACCCAGATTCAATCTTCTGTCTTGATTTGGTGCCCCCTGTGGACAAAGTAGTGCCTCTTCTCTCGTTGCTGATTATGTCCTGCTCATTTATGTCCAAAGTGTTTTGGCCAAACATTCACTTTTTATGAGCAGACCCAAAAATCAAAGTCATCTTACAACTTTTTGATACAACATCTGTTTCACATTTTGAATTATTCAATATGTATGATAAAATAATGTAGATTAAACTGTAAAGACTTTTATGCCTTTGTAGCAAATGAACCTGCGCCCATGTTTGGACCCATGGGCATATTAAAAGCGTACTTTGAACAATCAAGGGATTTAATCCTTGATGTAGATTGTGCACCACTGGCAAACCATTCATGGTATGCGCCATGTCCTCTAGGTTATTTGTTTGTCACTGAAATAAGGCCACACATTAGTAACACCTCGGCATCATCGGAGTTGCATCAGCACCACAGACAATCACAATAACAGCAACAGCTTTGGGGTCATTATCCTGCACACTAATGTACCCATCACTCTCGGAAATGTCAATTACCAAAATAATTTAGGCGACCGATAGAACAGCATGAAAAAAATTGTATATATACAATAATAATAATAGTGTTCATGATGGGTTCTCCTGCAAGGGCCAAATTCCCTGAAGGGCACACCTGGCCCCCTGGGGACCCACCAGTAATGCCAGAACGGTACTTCAGTGTGCCGAAGACAGGCATTAAGTACTCAACTCAACTCAACTTTATTTGTAAAGCACTTTAAAACAACCACAGCTGAACAAAGTGCTGTACATAAATAGACAAAACAATGCAAACATAAAAACAGTAAAAAAACAATTAAAACAATGGATAAAATAAAAGCAAAGTAATACAAGATCAGTCCATTCATGATGGATGGCCATTGTCCATGTCTAATGTACATGCTGGACCTGTCTATCACAGGGGTAACATAACCATTCCAGGTCAAAAAGAGGCACCACTGCAAATATCAGTCTGTTTCATACCACACTGAAAACTCCTCATGAGCTTTAATGAGAGGCCTTTTACAACAACTTGCAGGTGAGAAAGCTTTCTCAGAATAAATAAACAAGCACAGATAAATGTTTGCTTCAGTGTTCGTATCTTCAGAGAGTGAAATAATGTTTCACTGAGAAAATACAGGCTTCATTGAGTTGTGTCCCTCATAGCTTACAAAGGAACTTTCTATTGGAGACCATCTCAGCAACGAGGAACATCAACAAACATCACATTCCCGTCAGTATTTGCTCATTAAATAAGTCTTTGCCACGTGTCAGCTGTTCCTGTCCAGCATGCTAAGGAGATCCAGATGTGTCATGTGAAGGAACCTCAAAACATCCAACCCCTGGCCCGATGGAGCCTCAGAGACTTTGGTGGGTAAAAAAAACACTGTTTAGAAAGGCACCAGCAAATTATTTAGATTCTGATGGCTTACGTTCGTTCAGACAAATAACAGACAGAAATAGTTTGTTTTATGTGTAATTTATGTGACACACAGTGGACACACACAACGCACACAGACTGCTGTAATCTATCAGTGACCTTCAAACATATGGAACCTGGGTCATGCTTGTCTGAATGCAGTTAAACTGCACAATCCTGATCACCATCCATCTCGCTACAGAATTTCAAAAGCAACACAAAAGGCTGCTAAACATCTGTAAAACATTTGTTCTGTCTGAGATAAGATTTCCTCATTCAGCTCTGAGCTGCGTGTAAAACACACAACAGTCTAAGTCGGGCCAAATCTCCGCGCTGAGAGGAGCTCGCTGTGCTGCTGCAACTGACTTGTGTCTCAACGGTGGATTTGAAGTGTTTTTATGGAGATCATGGAAGTGAAAGGACTTCTCTTGATGTTTTGTCTTCTTCTACTGGCACACTGCGCGCCCCAGCAGACCTCCCCAAAGAGAAGAAACGGAAAGAAAGGTAGGCTTTGCCAATAATTGAGAACAACATCCTTACCTTGTAACCTTCTGATGAGTTTCATCTCTAAACTTGGAAAAGTGAGTGATTTAGGAACACAGAGTGAATGTTTTTCTTTCTCTGTCAATAGACTCAGCCAACAGTGCTGCAATTGAGGAGCTGAAGAAACAGATTAATGACATTGTTCAAGAGCTTAACTTGCTGAAAGAGCAGCAAGCTCTACAAACAGGTATTTGTCAAATATCGCTTCATAAATACCACATAATATTTGATATTGATGATCATGTAGGAGAACTGATTATGCAAAACATAACACAGGAACACTAGTTGCCAGAGGGTGGGATATGGCCCTGTGGTAAAGCCTAAATAAACTTCAGGTTGAGTATAATAACTTGGTCACAATAAAATGCTGTTTTAATTTAATGTAGATTTAAATATATTATAGTTTCTAATACTTTTCTCTCTCTCTCCATATAAACTATGTTGCTAACCATATTCTGTAACATTGCACAGCATTAACTATGTCACACCTTGTGCTTTGTTGTCATGCCTATTTTACACCCCTTATTGCCACTTGATCCTGCACCTCACTCTATCACCTTCTGACATTGCACCTAATTTTAGTGTCTGTTTCATACACGTACCACAGTTTGCATCCCCCAGGGATGAACATGTTGCTATCAAGATATCATGCTTTGACAGTTCGTCATAATTGTCACTTTAACCTAACACTTAGTGTATAATATGTCCTGACTGTGTCATTTTAAATTATTCATAGCCCACCTTGTAAAACAATTTCACAAACATTTTATTTTATTTCTTTCATCCTATTTTTTCTACTCTTATTCTTGTTCTACAACTCTCTTGCTTTCTTACATCTGTGTTACTGTGTTACAAACTGATATACCCACTTGTTTTATTTTAATATTTGTTTCGATTTTGTTTCCTTAACCTTTTTAGATGGCTTCAGTTTTACAAAAAATCCTTATCTTATTTAATTTTTGTGTTTGTTTTTATGAATTTAGTGTAGGGAAATACTTTGTCTCACTGTTTATCAGAGATGTGTGGTTACAGGCATAATGGGTTAAAAAGTAAAACATATTTGTAAGTGCTTTAAAGTCAAGTAGTAACTTGCTCTGCTCCTCAGTTTGTCTGCGAGGCACAAAGGTCTTGGGGAAGTGTTTCTTGGCTGACCCTGTGAAGAAGAACTTCCACGCAGCTAGCGAGGACTGTATTGCCAAAGGAGGCAGTCTGGTCACACCTCTAAATGGAGATGAGAATGACCAGCTGTACAGCTATGTCCGTCAGAGCATAGGCCCTGAGGAGCAGGTATGGCTGGGCATCAACGACATGGTGACGGACGGCCAGTGGTTGGACCAGTCTGGCTCCAATGTGCGCTTCAAAAACTGGGAAACAGAGATCACCCTGCAGCCAGACGGTGGTCGCAGCCAGAACTGCGCCATCCTCTCTACCACCGCCAACGGGAAGTGGTTTGATGAGAGCTGCCGTGCTGAGAAGGCCTCAGTGTGTGAGTTCAACATCGTCTGAGAGCAGATTTCTGAGATTTACATGGAAACATTAAACAGTGCGAGCAGAAAGTAAGAACCATGTGAAGTATCAGATGCATTTATGCAAATCATGACATATCTTTCTTACGCTCACATTTCTTCATCAAGCCACTGTTATTATAAGCTAAACCTTCGGGGCACAGTATATCTGCCCTGTCCTCTTCAACACCCATTTTGTATTAAGGTAATCACCACTGGATGGCTTTACTGTTGTAATTTTCTCTTATGTGCTGGCAAGTTAAACCTTTCTATTGTTGCTTTCTCTTGTTGTCTGAGGCATTTTCTTTCTTTCTGTCTCTGAATGTAATATTCTCTTGCTTAGTTCACATCGTATTGTATCAATAAACATGTCAATAAACACGTCTACTCTGTTGTAACCTAATTGTTGTCTTCTCTCTTTTAAAATGTATGCTTTTAACATTTCAATGTCTTCTTCAAAGGGATTTTTGTCAAGTTTACATTAGATGACTCTTAATAAAGAATAAGACCAATGTTGGGTGTCAATGCATTAAACAAAATTAGGACAGGGGTGTGTCCAGAAAGGTGGCTGTAGTGACAGCATGGGCTTCCCATGAAATCTGGCCACCTCAGATCCTGAACAATGATTTGCTCTTTGCAGAGAAAGGGCTCATGTTACAATCAGCTACTCTATAAGGACTGCATTGCAACCAAGTGGCAAACTGCAAATCCTTGAGTGTCGACTGAAAACATACACACACATCCTAAAAGGCCCATCTTTACACCAAAAATAAGCACCTTTTCAGTCTGGTACCAATAAGGACTAATGTGGTCTGAAGAGCTCATTTCTTCATCCACATGTATCCAGTGTTAAACTTTCTCTCTTGCAATGTGTGTCATAGATGGTCACTTTTGGTACATAAGCACCACTTTTTTATAAAATTACAGAAGAATATGGTGTCCCTCACAGCTGCTTCTGCAGTAATAGTTCCAGCAATTACTAAAACACAGCAAAGTGAAAATAATTGTTTGTTGGCTACATGGGGTTTGTTTAATCCTGTTTCATATAGCAAAATACAACGCTGTAATTAACTTAAACTACTCCACAACAAAACAACAACTTTTAGTGTTTGATAGTGAACTTGTAGATTGTCTTCACAAGATTATAAATCACTTTTACTGTAGAAAAGAAACTTACTTTAACCTGTTTAAAGCTCAATACAAGTCAACCAACTATGTGAATGGGATACACAGCTGGCAAGCAAGAAACATGGACGGTAGGCTGCATTGGCCCAGCAGGGGATGCTATACTACCATGAACGCTTTTCTCCCAATACCAAACACTCAGGAACATGAGAACAAATGATAGATTTTGACCCCATATTACACCATAGACTATCAAAAACAGCACAAGAGACATTTTTGTAGTAGCTTTTAACAGAATCTATCTGTAACACACGTTTCCATAACTCATAAGTGTGATAGTCCTCTAATATTGGTTGTTTTGCATAAATGGAGACACAGCTGAGTTGACTGGCAGGCAGATAAACTGTTACAAGGACACCAAAAGCCCCTGGACTCTTTTGTCTCTTGCTTAGATGACTCAGAGTTAGGGTGAGTCAGCATTTCCACCACCAACTAGTGTTGATAAGCTTTAAAACAGAGCTTTATTTGTGTAGGAGAAACATCAGTTTGATACTGTAATGTTTGAAGTGTACATAGTTATGATTAGCTGTTAGTGGGGTGAAGAAATGTATTGATCTGCGTGTGTGCGCACAAATACTCCATGAAACCTCTGCATTAGTCAGCACTGCAGCTGGTCCACCCTTTCAGAATAAATGTCTGGACACACCCAGTATTACAGAGCAAATTTTCAGAGGAAAAAAATGCAGAAATTATACTCCCTCTCACAAAGTACTTTCACATTTCCAAATACTTACATATCTAACCCTCTGGAGTTTCCCCTTGTCTGTCGTGAGCAATGACTTACTGTGACCCCACTCACCTACACTTTGTTTAACCCTACAGTCCAATACTAGTTTCTGTGATCTCCATGGTTTACTCACCAAAAGAAAGTTACATCAGAACATGTTGAAAACATTTCCATGGAAACTCAAATGTCAGCTGCAGTGTTTGTAAGCTGCATGTCCTCTACTCTTCTCCCTTTTATAACCAGTACCAGCCAAGTCATTATGGACATACTCTAAATGTATTAAGAAAAAGGTGTTTTTTTTTTTGAGAAGTGAGAGAATTTGCACTGAAAGAGTTTTAAGACAATTTTAATAATGACACAAACTGATATATAACAACTTTGTCTCCCCCTGCAGCCCATTCCCTGAATTGCAGGAAGCAACGTGACTTTGAAAAACAACACTCAGTTTAAGTATTCTTTTTTTTTACACGCTGAAATTAACAGTAAAAAAAAAAAAAAAAGCCAACTTGTTATGTGAACACTTCTGTCCACATTTTCTGATTTTTAACTTCAACAAAAGCTGTAACTTGGTACAGAATCACACTGTCTCTCTTTTAAAATATACATATCAACAAATTCAGTCTAATAAATACTGACATTTCTTCAAGGGGTGTAACTTTTGTACTCGAGGGTTACTAGTAATTTTGTACATATGTTTGGTAATATATCACTTTGTCTAATAAGGAGAGGTCTTTGGTCCTCAAATCAGACATTAAACATGTCCTCTGACTGATGATTCTCATTCACTGATAAACAGACCAGGTAAAAAAACAACCTCTTGGCATGAAAAATAGTAAAGATCACACAGTTAGCAGCAGATCAGTTTTGAGAACCCCCCGAAAAAAGTAAAAAAAAACAAAAACGAATTATTAAAACAGCATTAAAAAGCAACTTAAGCATTTGACTGTGGACTGTAACGGCTGTACTAGCAGGAGTATTTGTGAGGCACATGGTGTAATGAGGCTATGTGTATACATCCTAAGAGAAGCTGCAAGTGCAAATATATAATAGAGCGAGAGTGGATCCAGGCACAAATACAGATGCTGCAATCTCCTGCAATGCGGGTCATCATGTTTTGATGATGCAGGCAGAGGGCACAGAGTTAAAATATTCCTCTCAGCAATCTAACTTAAAAACAAAAAACTAAGCATGTAAACAGCATAAGTTTGCCTCAGTTCAAGTTCAAAATATTACGTAAGAAATCGTTGCCCAAAACTTGTATGGAAATTGGAATAAAAAGAGATGATTGTGCTCTGCTTTGACAATCAAATGTGCCTTCATGTGGGATAAAACACAGTAACAGCTGCAGGCAGGTTTGAGTAGGATCATTTTGTGTACCCTGCTTTGGTGCAAAATGATGCTTAAGAGAGAAAAAAACAAAAGCATCTCCCAGTGTCGCACATCAGGTAATCACACAGAAGCCAGGGAATAAAAGTCTTAGGGTCCATGGAGGTCAAGTGGAAAGCAGAAAGCTGAATCCAATCTTCTCCTCAGTTCCCTCCCTCTGGCTCCAGACGTGGCCCCAGATTGGGAGAACTCTCCTCTTTGCTTTGGGCCTCAGTCTGGTAAATTTCGTTCTCCACCATAGGGCCAGTGTGGCTCGGGGGTCTGACGGGAAGGGGAGGCGCCTGCTGAGATTGGTACTGAAAAGGTCGGTAAGTCCCAACATGTGCATCATTGTCCCCGCTGTCTTTGGAGACCAGCGGCTTTTGTGAGTCTGCACGTCCTGCGTAGGCGTCAAACTCTCCATACATGCCCATCTCTCTCCCCTGTCTGAGAAGATGCGTGTAGACCAGCGTGTCCTCAATGGAGGCATACACATGAGACTCGTTATCTTCACGTGATTTGGGAAAGCCGTTATTTCCTGGTAGGAAGCTGGTGCCATTTGGATTGTAGACGGATACCAGGTCATTCAGTCTCTCCTTCTTTTTTCTGTTAGAGAGGAGAGACAACGAGAGACTTTACATGCTGCATCAAGCAAGCAGCAAATTCATCAAGAAATTATTTTGGGAAAATAAAGGTTTAAGATTAAGGCTCTCGAAGTTTCCTGAGTGATTTCTTTTCAGTCAGTGATTCACTCAAGCTACTTATTATATAAATTATTTAGAAAAGTAAAACAGAAAACAGACGAATTTACCGTAAAACCACACAGACCACAACCAGCGCAATGATAAAAATGACCAGTAGAGCAGCCACTGCACTCAGGATGATCATCAGCAGGAGGTCTGAAAGAAAGAAAACAACAAATAAAAATGTTTGCTAATATTTCCTGTTATTTTTTGTGGACCATCTGTCACACACTAGCCTATTATATTTTTGTACTTCACCATCAAGTGAGTGGATATTTCAGCCTCTTGGGACATGTGATCTTTGTCCCTGCTCCACGCTATTAAAGTAACTTCCATAGTTATGAAATAAGAGGCTATAGTATTGTGTGGCCTCACAAAGATTTACTTTTCCTTTCACTAAAAGATTCAGAAACAGTACGTATGTAAATAAGCACTTAAAACTGATACAGCTGAGGCTAACACGCACGTTTCAAGTTCAACTTTTTTTTTTCACTGGTCAGAACATCGAATTTAATTTTGTAATCAGAGATAATTAGCACAGGTATTGATTCACATCTGTGTGAGATGAATAAAAATTGTGCCTAAGCTTTGAAGAGTGTTTCTTTGTGAACCAACGTTTGTATGAATAACATGAATACCCAAAACTTGTCTTGGTGACTGGCTGCAGTACTGATCATAAACTCCGCCCTCTCCATTTATAAAATTATAACAGATGAAACATGGTTCAAACTAGAAAACTGGATTCCTGTTCACATAAACTTTTCTACAGCATGACAGACCATTTTTAGGCTGACTGAATAGCAAATGTTAAGTTCTTGGAGAGGTTCAGTACTAGTTAATTATTTGGTGTCATGATTGACAAATGCAGGCTCCTGACTGGGGAGTAGAGAATTAACAGCAAGATAATTGTAACAAACACTAACACAGAAGTCAATACATTTCCATTAAATGTGTGTCGACTTCAGATCAACACGAGATTCTGTTTTGCTGCATGCGATATCGTGATGTGTGCTTTGATTTTGGGCTTGATGTCAATCTCACAGCTCCTCCAGCCAACTTACTTCTGCATGCCTTAGCTCCAATAAACTGTACCGGTACTAACAGCAGGGCCCACTGAGGCAGTGTTTTGGCTTCATTTTTTAACAAAAGGAAAAGGTGGAAGTCTTATTAATACACAGTCATCAGTGTGGACATAAAATGGTAGACTGAATAATGTCAAATACAAAGACCCACCAATGACAACTGGGTTTTAATAACTAAAATGGCCAAAGTAAGCATTCGAGCAGTCCTCTTACTCTGGCTCCTCTGCAGGGTGATCTTGGTGATAACACTGAAGTCCCCTCGTTCAGGCTCACAGTTGGACATGTTGAGGTAGAAGCTCTCTGAGACGATGATCTCTTCCTCAGCGTCCTCGTCCTCTCTGCGGCTGTAGTCCTCCTCCAGCCGGCCAACTCTTTGCACTCTGATGTTGGTGTGCCGGTTGCTGCATTTGGGCCGGCTGAGGTTGGAAAACATCAGACGGGCCTCCATCCTTGGGGGAACTGAGACAATCCAGGAGACGGTGGAGAGGGACTTCATTCCCACTGGCCAACCAGGAGTAGCCAGCAAGACAGGCGTGTCTTTCTTTGGAGATACAGTGAATATATATCTTTCTGGAAAAGAGTTGGGAAGAAGGGATTGAAATATTCACTTTTCTCAAAAATATGCATTTATCTCATTTAATAACTTTACATGATTAACATTTCTTGTTACCTGGTATTTCCTCTTTTAATCTAGCTTCCAGCACGTGCTTCAAAGAGGTTCTTGAAGCTTTTCCTCCAAGGGTAGAAACTGTGACAGTCACATTTGTGTGGATCTGGATTTTCTTGATGGTACCTTGAGGGCAGAAGTGTCCTATAATGCTGCCATCAGCTTCATTTGCTTTGATAATGAAGCTATCATTGCAGGGCTGTCCAGGTAGGGACTGCTTGAGGGGTCCAGAGGGAGAAGTAAGCTCTACGGTGCCATATCGAGGGGGACGAAGAGTCCAGGTCACTGTGCTCAGAGGAGCAGGGAGGCAGGACGGCATCGAAGGGGAGCAAGGCAGACGGACTGGTGACTCGGGGCAGTCTTTCAGTTTGCTGCACTCTGACATGGTAGAAGAGATTATTTAAAACACAATGTAGACTAAATATCAATGAATCAACTACAGAGTCAGGTCACTCGAATTGGAAATAAAGCCATTCCCCTACTTCCCATCGTTGACTTAACTCCACTTTTGCATTAAACAAAACTATTTTAGCATTTTGTTCTTAATTTGTAATACATACAGAACTGTGAATAACTGCAAGAAAATGTTGTTTGCAAATGTATTTGTCCGTGGTCTGATTTGACAATGGTGATATCATCCATAGGAATAAGTGGAAGCTGTTTATTGAGACAAAATCAATGACTCCAAAGAGAAACACTGTTGAAATAGTGTGAAAAATGTCTTCATTTAGGAAGTTATGAGACTATATAGTTAAAATAAAAAAAAATGAAATGGGTTTTAACAATGAAGAAAAAACAGGCGTTTGAAAACTGTATGAAGATCATTTAAAGTTAAGAACAACATCACTTGAAAAATTGCTCTCAACATTTTTTGAGGAAAAAACTCAGTATGATAAACAGAATTTATTGCTGTTAACAGGAAATCAGTTTCAGCAAGGCTGACTGGTGAAAATCTTAAAATCTTATCTTGAAATCTACACGAACAAACCAAGTCTGTCTGAATTATGATGAAAAAGACTGTTTATTTCACTGTTCATTAGATCACAGATAAGTCAGTATAAATCTTTGTAAAGCTTGGTGGCACCTCAAAACCTCATTATCAAATGATTAAATGACTATCAGATTCAGACCTTTTCAAATAATCTACAGTTAAAGTACTTTTTGTGGGTGTTAATGTCAAAAAGATGAAAATTATTATCTTTATAAAAAGGGAAAAACAGTAATCAATAATGGTCGTTCTCTAATTGTAGGCTGAGTACCTTTAGTGTGTTCCAGCACACTGTGCAACTATCTGTAAAAGTTTGCACATTTTATCCTCTCCAAGAAGACACAGAGTAAAAGACATGTTGAAAATGTGTGTTCTACCATATGGCATGTGGATGCAAATATATATCTTTGTTAAGATACGAGTGACAGCACTGTTTGTTTGTATTTAATAATCAGACAGTGATGTGAAGGTGTGTATATGGAGTAGTGTAGACGCATGCAACTTGGGGTGTGACCTTTTCAAGTTCAGACATTGCTTGAGATTTAGCTGACAGGCTGATATTGTGCATGACTAACAGTCCTCTTTCTTATTTTATGTTTTATGTATTTTACATAATTGCTCTACATGGTTTTAAAGTATGATTGTTTTGTTTTGTCAACTATTATTTATCTGTTTATCCTTGTACTGAGTTATAAACAAGTAAATTATTGCTGGTTTGGGCAGGGGTTGGGGGTTGAAGGGGAATTACCACTGGTTAAAAAAATTACACACCTGTTGTACTGTCCATCTTATCTGTACTCTCAATCTGCAGATTGATTGAATTTTGTGATTAAAAAAAGATACAGGTGTATATCTCTGTCTTTAACATAACCAAGGGCAGGTTTGCTAAAGACTGAATCTTTACCTATAACTCTGGTCGCAAAGACTCGTACATCCTCTGGCTGGCAGTCCTGGAAAGTAAGGTCACTGTTCGATATGATGGTGATCTTTTCCTTTTCCACAGAGTTTATTTTCATCTTGCAGTCGGAGGTCAATCTTAACCTCTCGATGTTCAGAGTAAGGCCCTCCAATTTGCTCACATCCACTTTGCAGGACACCACTGAAAACAAATTGAACACACAATTGCAAATGTGAGGTTATGTGAATTAAAGCTGATATCCTGCTTTGTTAAAGTCATGTCCAACAGTGATTTGACTGTGATTTGAATCACTAAAACTGAAGGGATTTCCTCATAGCAGAAGGAAGTGCTTCCAGGTGATGAGTCATCACAGTCATTCATGACTAAATGAGCGATGAGGAAACATCAGAGCTCCCCTAATTCTGCACCTGAGGGCGCAGATTGAGACAAGAGGGCCCACTCACTACGTCACTATTTCATTAATCACAGACTGGGAGGCTGTTTCAAAGATGCAGGGGAATTCTGTCACACCCATGGTTAATGAAACTAAACTCTTGTTTGAACATGATAGTAGAACAGAAAACACAGATCATTTATATTTAGTGATCCAGGCTTGCTGCAACATGAGGGGCAGACAATATCAATCCTTTAGACTATTTTCTGAAACTCCACACATTTCCTCGGAAACCTATAGCTAATTCTGACGGACAACAGAGTAGTTTTTAAAGATTTGATCATCTTATTTATTTATCAAACATAATTACTTCTTTAGTTTCTTGAGTGGGCTCCACCACATCTTTGTTGGCTAGTCATTAAGTTTATCTGTTTGCAGTTAAATGTACTGATGATAGCATGCAACATGTTTTTCAGACCTTTTCTGTAAAAAAACAAACAAACAGATACCTGACTGCTATAGCTAAAAACACTGACATTAGTGGTAAACAAACCAAAACAGCTGAGTTGTGTGCTTGACAACCAAGATACTTAGCTAATGGACCCTGAAAGTTAGCACATGGATTAACTAAACTGTGGTTAAGGAATATATATATATTAATATATTCTCTGAGGTATCTGTCAATAGAAAGTGTATTAACCACATTAAAAGGATGGTGGTCAGCTTGGTCTCTTAGTTTAGAAAGCAGCTGAGGAAGTGGAACAGAAGCTATGCTACCTTAGCAGATAGGTTTAGCTTTACCACTTAAATAGCTTATTTTAATATACTCCAACCGAAAACACTGTTTTTTGAGTAAAAACGGAAATATCTTTTTAGGACTTTGCTGTCAAAGTCAATTTATTTTTGTACTATCCTCAAACACAGCCTGCAGCACAGAGATCAGCTTACTGGGTTTGCAGAGATTCAAAGGAGACAGAAATAAAACGCAACTAAAAAGTGTGTGAATCTGAGCACGATGACTATATGCTGTTTACTTTCGACACAAATTACAAACTTTATGAGCTGGCGTTCAGAAAGTAAAAGCATGACTCAACAAACTACAGGAAATGTGGAGACGCTCATGTGCTTACTCAAGAGTTCTCAAATTACCTAGTGGTGCAGGTGTGTAGAATGTGGGCCCATGAACACAAACAAGAAAACTACCTTCAGTCATGTGGAGAACTTGGCAACATCGGTAGTCTTGCGCCTTTCTCAATCAGTACTCACAATGTTTGAGTGAGTTTTACAACATCATACCTCATAGACCCGATTAGATGACAGATGAGCAGCAGGGGCAAGAATCTACATGTCACGTCCAGGAATTAGAGCAAAAAAAAAAAAAGGGCTTTCTGAAGGCAAAGTGCTGGAAAAATTCCAAATACAGCACGCACTTACCACCAAAGATGGTGTTTTTGTTGGAATTTGTTAAGTGAAGCTAAATTAAATGATAGAGCTGATCCTGTCTGAAGTGATTCCTAGCTTAGCTTCCATTCTAGCCCTTTTCTCAACAAAGGGTCAGAGCTGACCACCATCCTCTGGGGGTAATAGTGACATAATACCTCATACAGCCCTACTTAAAAAGTGAACTACTCCTTTAATTTGGTGGGCTCAGTGTCACAAGCACTATATTTACATCAAACATAGTAATTACACCCATGTTCAGTACAAAGATATTAATCGTAGTAGGTTTAACTTTCAGATGAATAATTAGCTGGCCATTTAAATGAAATCTCACTTATTTTTATACGTACTGTAAACCCAGAAAACCCTCAAATGACAACTGACCTAAGGCTTGATCAGACTACATTATTCAATAAATAATTCATAGCTATGATACATAATGTTCAACGGGCTTAGTATATAAGCAGGTTTGCCAAAGGATAAAGAGAAAACTGTGATGCATTCAAAGCCAGAGGCAGCATTAAGTGCATGTTTTACACACCTGATGAACTTTTAGTTGATGACACCCTGAGGTTTAGACTCAGTCCAGGAGATCCGGCTCGTCTTCTGTCCATCTCACAGTTCCTCAGTGTCAGAGAAAAGTTTCCCTGATTCTGCTCTGGCTGGGGTTCTGACAGCTTCAGCACCGACGCCCCTCTGGCTCTGCTGTGATACTCCACTGCTGCCTCTTTCTTCAAACAACGTGGCTGCGTAACATTTGAGAACTGAACCGTCGCCTTGTGTTTGTCAGGGACCTGAAAGTACCATTCCATCACATCATCGTCTGGGAAACTATGGGGATAGTTTGGGGTTAGCAACTCTGTAGATGAGGTCCCTTTTGGTAACATCACAGTAATTTTTGCGAGAGCTATGAGAGGGAGGAAAAAAATCCCACAATCAGTCAAAGAACTGGAGGTCTGAAGCATGAGACATTCGGCATATATCAAGTTATTCAAACACTGAAAATTGAGTTAACTCACATTTGATTTCCTCTCCAACAGACAAGCCAAACTGACCACTTTGGAGCTTTTGCCCCGCTGGGATTTCCAGAGAAAAGCTCCCCTGACTCAGTATCTGAGTACTTTGGATGGGTCCTGTTTTACAATATTTCCCAAGAGCCACATTCCCTGTGTTCTGGGAGGCTTGGAGGGTGTAGCTGTGTCTGTCTAAACATCTCTCAGAAGAGTTAATCTGTCTAAAACCTGCATTGTCAAAGTCTATTTTAAAAGCTTTAAAAGAGGACGCCTCCAGGTTCCAGGTAAACTTGCGGTTAAAATCCAGCAAAGGAAGCGAGCCGTAGTCTGCCTGGATGATGTTGCTGCTGCATGACTTTGGGGTACATTCTATGAAAAAGATACAAAACAGGTCAAATATGGATATGAGCAAAGATTTGACTTTTCAGCCGGTAATTTTTTAAATCAGAAAGATTGCAGACTTCTTACCTATATTTCTCACTATTTCCACATTGAACACATCCTGAGGTCTAGAGCACTTAAACTCCAGAGAGACACGATTGCTCTCTTTCAGCAGGAGGGATGTATAACATTTTCCTGGTCCTGTGCAAACTTGGCATCCTTTGACCTGACTGCTGCTGATGTTGAAAGTGGTGCCTCTGTCAGGGGTTACATTTAGCCTTTGAATTCCTGTGCAAAACACAAAAGCATAAAAAAAAGCTGTTAAGGGAAACAGGCATGATTTGGATAAAAACCACAGATGCTAAATCATGAATAATACTTTGAAATCTGCCAAGTAGGACACAACATGGTCTGGATAAATGTTATTAGTGTGCTTTTAATCACTGTTAACTAAAACACAATGACTAACAATGACGGGGAATTAGGCAGACAGCTTGGCTTTGCTCCTCCTATGACTAACAAAGCCTGTGCTGAGCAAACAGAGCCATGTTACCACACCAAGAGTTAATATCAACGACCTTTTCTTTCATATAAGGGAGAGTGGGGTAAGAGGAGCCATTTTTCATATTTCGGATCACTACATCAAGGCAATCATAGTTTTGTTTCTAACTAGTGTATTTGCATATATTTAAAGATGTTGTGCATCCCTGCAAACCAACAAAATGAGTGTAAACATGACTATCTTGATAATATAGCATGCCAAAAAAAAGTGGTCTCCTATGGTCAACTTACCCAGTGTATGGGGTAAGTTGACCAGAGGAGTGGGATAAATTGAGCTGTATCCCTACTACCATGACAAAACATTTCAATACATGTAGGCTGTTTAGGTCAGCCATGTCCTCGTCCTCAAGTAGCTCCTGAGCTGTTCAGTGCTAACACGACTTTAACTAACCGATCCCATAGTTTCAGTTTTATTAACAGTAGACCCAGGCTATGTTTTTCAACACTTCTACAGTAAATGTCTAATCCGCAACAAAGTGAATCCGTGCTGTTTGTTGATAGAAAAGCTTGAACTCACCTGAAGCATAAGAAAGGAAGAGAGTCAGAAGTAAAAACTGAAGATTGATTCTTGATGACATGCTGTTCCGCAGTACTGTTCCTTATCTTTGATTTTGAGAGGGAAATCCGTGAATTATGCGCATATTTCATGTCTTCTAGTTCTTCGTCACCGCAATCTTCGTACGCCACATTTTCGCCTCGGTTACTGAACGTGAAGCTCAGCTCGTGCTTCTTTTAAGAAACAACTCATCCACTTCCTGTTTGTGAAGGTGTGTCATTCTCAGGTAACGTACAGGTGTGGCCAGGCCGTCAGTCTTGGCAGGAATATAGGGGTCACTCCTGCGCTTTGACGCCCCTGAAGTTGATGGTAAATTAATGAGTTTAAGTACCAAATCTCTTAAGGCTTTTGTTTTCACATTAACTGTTTTTTTTTACAACCCAGCATGCGATTCATCATAGTAAAGGAAAGTATAATTACTGTAATTACAGCTTATAAATAGATCCAAACAAGTGAGGTCACCAACCGAATGACATGAAGTGGCTTTCACAGCACTGTGAGGCGAGCATTGCTTGTATCCTGGAGCACCAATAGGATACTACTTCTGAAATTTTATTGTACATCTGGTTTTGTAATGTAGTCTATTTTAATGCCACTGGGTACTAATTTTCAGGCACAGCTTGCTAAAACTTACACAGTCTAATTTAACAGTCCCTTAATGAATCCTCCATTCATGTAGCTAACATAAACTGCTTCATTGAGGATATGTCACTGTTTCTTTTCAGGTCAGTTCACATGCTCATTTTGGAATTAGTTTTGCAGTTGACTTTTAGAGACTAAATCTAAGCTGTGATAATTTGATTGTTTAAGAATTTATTTGAACTATTAAAGCTAGCAGTACCCAAACCTACTTCACAGCCTGGGAACTAGTTTTCCGTAAGAATGACATGTGATGAATGTGGAGGTTTTTTGAAAGCTTGGCTGTAATTTCTACTCTGATTGAAGTCAGGGTTGTGAACTCTCAGGATGTTGAGTCAGTATAAACGTGTCATCATCACAAACTGGTTCTTCAGCCCAGACAGATACAAATTGCCTCACAGTTGGATCAGACTGATGGAGCTAAGTTATAAAACATTCACTGATACTGAAGTCACTATATTATAAAGGACTGTGTACTGTTGTTTACTTCTCAATAAAAATAGTAAGTTTCTCTATAGGTAAACATTTGTTGAGGTTGTTAATGTTGCTGTCATAGAATCAAAGCTGGATCAGTGCTGTGTCAGTACTGAGCATGACACACACAGAACCACACACTAACGAATTTTGTGTTGTATCGTTTGTCATTTTTTTGATAAACAACTGAACTCATTTGTCAAAAAAACAGATTTCACATAGATACTGAGTTATTAATATGATTCCATATCTTCGCTTGATAAAGGAAATTACATTATTCTACGTTTTGAATAGGGTCATGTAGGCGTGCATTTCTCAGCTATTCTGTGTTATGAAAAAATAAAAATATCTCTTGACACCACCCTTTTTTGGTGCAATGAGACACTTGCTGTAGTAAGTTTTGGCTGCAACTAACTAACAATAACTTTAAGGTGACTTTGCAGGCTGCATTTTGACTATTCCTCCAGGGGTTTCTATTATTTTGACAATCCCATATATAACAGTGGCAGTAAGCTGTACTGCAGAAACAAGGCCCAGTCTGATATGATAAGGTTTAAAAGAACAAACTATGACCTAGTACATGATAATAATGTGAGGACATCTATCTTAACAGTGTCAACAAAAGCTCCACATTATCACCTTCATGAAGGATTTACTGCTGGTACATTTCACCTTTGCATCACACCCTGCATTCACTTGAAATAACTGCTGTGAGTGTGTTTAATTTAAAGAGAACAGGTCGGAGATGATCTGAGGTATCGGCTATAATCAAGTTTATTTTTAAACTCTTGGAACATGAATACAAATAAGCATGTACTGTATATTGTACTGAACAATATAAACCTAACAATATAAATATTGAAACCCTCTCAGTCAGTCATAAACAACACTATTTATCTGATTGTGTTGGAAAAAACTATTACATTTTACTTCAAACATGACTATTGGTTAAATATGTGACGGCAAACTCCAAAGTTCAGTTCTCAGTGCAAAAGTCCTAACACAGGGGATATAAGGCAAAAACTTTCTAGAAAGATTAAAAACTATACAAACACTGTTTAAGGAGAAAAGTTTGCACAGTTAACGCAGACATAACCTATAGGAAGGCCTACAAGAGTATACAAAACACATTTCCATTGGTCCCAGTAGAGATTAATATTGGCTATAACCCACCTTACTTTACCTTGGTTGTGCTAGAGAAGAGGAGGTCTAATAAAGGGTTAAAGGTCACCAAAAGAACTAAAGCATTTGATCAAGAAGTTTCCCAAAGCTCCTCATCAGGTTCATTCAGGCGAACAGTTGAATGGCTACAGTTATAATATAGGCAGCACAGGCTGATTAAAGTAAAGATAGTTCAATTATCTCGGTCTCCTCTGCTCCATCCCGTTGGGCAGAAACCCTGCAATGATGGGAACCGGCCATATGAGAGCAGCAACACTCCACACGATGATCACCAGAGTCATGAAACAAGCCACAAGTGTCGACTCGATGGGCTTCCTGTTCAGCCTCCAACTTTTGTCCCCCTTCAGCTCGTCGAGGCTGAAATCCACACAGCAGAATGTGACCTGATCCCCACTCTGCTGGCCCCGCGACCGGCCCTGACTGAACCTTCTGTATCTGGACATCCCGCATCCCACGCACAGCCTCAACTCCTGCTGACCCCCCGTGACCCCCAGGTGCTCGATGACGACAGGGGAGGTCACCCTGTTGAATGAGGCGGAGAAAAAAGCCCTGCCGTGGTTGTTGGTGGTGTAGATGAGCACATCACATTGGAAGCCGAAGCTGCTGTCCCAGTGCGCCACCAGCGAGGTGGGCTGCAGTCTCTGGACGCTCACGTTGCACTGGGACAGGCTCTGCAGGGAGGAGGCGTCGGCCGAGGCGTCGCTCTCCTCCACGGACCTTTTGGAGAAGCGCACGTCCACCTCCAGGTTGGCCATGAAGCCGTTGGAGGAGTTGATGGGCGGCAGGAGGAGGTCTTCTTCGCTCCAGCTTTGGCATCGCTGGAGAAGTCCGGCCACCGCGGTCAGAGCCAGCAGGAGGGTCGGGGATTCGCTCAGCATGGCACAGGGCGCGTCTCTCCCGCTCGCATGGTGCTGTGACGATCCGCAGGCGATGGACGAGGTGCGCGCAATGTTTGGTCAAATCCTGCCGCTGGTGATTTATTTAAAAATCAGAGAGACTCATTTCTCTGCTCGACTTGTAGAAATGGAAACGTCCACAGCCTGTCACAGCATGCGCGCATTCCCCCCTCCTCCCTTTGGATACCTCCTCTCTGACTTGTTCTCCAAATGTGCCCTGCAGCCACTGTACAGGAGGAGAAGACTGAGCAGCTATGAACGCTTCATCACAGCTTGGAGCTCCACTCCTCTTCTGACACTTCAGGTGTGAGCGCAGAAACACAGGGGAATGGTGGAGGGGAGACTCCAGCGCACAAGGGATACAGGCTGAACACACACAATACCAACACACGCACACACAGACTGGCAAACACACACACAAGATAAAAGTTTCTCAATGAAATGATACAGAATGACTCATCTGAAAACAAGATCAGTCTGGCTGTCTCTGTTGACCTGCGTGGTTGGTTGACTCTGACCAGAAAACACTGGTTTTTAAGTAAACACAAAGAAATGCTCGGAGAATAACCTATTGCAACATCCTGGTTTATCGAAGGCCATATGGAAGACAGCAACCAGCAAGCTGGTAGCAGTATACAACAGATCTATACAGCAGAATGACACAGCTAAAGTCTTAATGCACACGCTGAACTCCTTTAATGAAACCCCAAAGTGATACTTGGACAACAGACACAAAATAACAGATCCAGATATTGTTTTAAAACTTCTCCTACACATATTATGGCTTCAAGCAATAAATCTTTTATGTATGCAGCCTATTTAAATGGCTTTGTTTGCTGTGGTTTGCAGTTTCAAACAGGAAGTTTGGCAGTTCTAGCCTCAGTGTTGTACTCCATATTTCATAATTGCTCCTGAAGTCAAAGCCATCCACATGTGTGTTATTAGCTTGGTTCCTGATGGGAAATGTGGCTTGTTGCATAGCAGCGCCTGCCATCAGTGTTTGAAAGAAGGATTATACAAGCAATATACAGAGCTAGAACACTAGAAAAGCGCTGTGTAAGGGCAGTATATTTGCCAGTCTGTTAACAAAGAAAAGACACCTAACCAAAACTAAAAATATCATACCACCTGTAAACCCACATTAGTTTCTGTGCAAATAGTTTAAGTATACAACAGCTGAAAAAAATGAGTTTTGTTGCATTACTTAAATAGTGTTGGTATGTTGTACTGGCAGTTTTAAGTTGATTCAACTAAAAAAAAAATGTGATGAGCCTCAATAATTAAGATGCACTTATAGTTTTTGGTTCAATAAACTTCAAAAAATAACTTCCAGCCTGCACTTTAATCTGATTGGCTAATTGACTTGTCTGGGCTTGTTGGTTTTGTCTTGTTGTCACAGCGTTAGCCTTCCTGTTTTCTGCACCATATTAAACATTCCTTTATTTTTGACAAATATGGACTATAGGACGGATCTGCAGTACTTATGCATGGAAGAAGATGAATGTTTCTCAGTTAATCAGATTTCCATGGAGAGCAGAATAAATCAACTGCAGTAGATGAGTTCCCGTTTTAACCCTCATGGAGTTTTTTACGTTCTTCAGCTTGGTGAGTTATTTTCCATATTCATTTGGTTTGAAAGACATTACTTCATGATACAAATAAAACTTTGTATTGTTTATCCTCTTAATTTTTGCTGTTTCACATTGCTATTTGGCAGAGGTAGCTAACATGTTGATACAAATTCATTTCACTTTTTTTTGCAAAAGAGCAACAACATTTTCACAAAAAACTCAGTGACCTACTCTAAAAAGCTAACTAAAATATTTGACTGTAAATATATATTTAAATTTTTTTTAAACCATACATGAAGACATGCTTTGGAAATGCTAGTATTATCTGTTAACTATGAAAAAGGAGCACAGCTTTCCAAACACTACAGACTTAAACACAGAAGTTATGCCAGCACTGATTCCATTCCTTGCTTACATCAGGATTGCCCATGTACAGGACCCTGGGAAGCAGCAGCGAGACGCTCCAGTACTGTCAGATCTTCAGGCAGGACAAATTTGACAAAGTCTAATTGTTATGAAAATCTCATTTTATTTTCTTGTTACTCATAGGATCTTCATGATGCAGACTCCTTGGACATATCAGAAGGCATCCTCTGCTTTGAAGAAAGTGGGACCCAAAATCATATAATCGTATAATGGTTTAATGTTACGTTATTTCTATTTTATGTTTACTGTGGCTGTTGTTACATCCTGTTGTGGGCAAATATAAATAGAGTTTAATGACAACTTTTGGCATAATGTATTTATGGTTTGGCATGACTTAAAATTTTGAGTTCAATGAAAGCCAAATACAACTAAACGCACGTGAGAAAATCAGTTATTTTCACTTATAATAGTGAGTTGAATAGGTATGAATTTTAATACAGATTATGAGTACGAATAACTTTTCTGTTAGTGTATTCAACTCAAATAATCTATTCTATTCCCTTTAATTTTACTTCATTATTTAATTGATGCACTCATTACTCATTACTTAAATCATTTAAGTGTTGTCACTTGCTTTAAAAATTTAAGGTACAATCAACTTATCTGGGTTTTTTAGTGTTCATTGTGCACTTGTACAATGTCAAAACATCACAAGGTTGCTATAACTCCTCATGTTGCAAAGGACATGAGCATGGTGTACACAGTGTTCTGCAGCCTTGGGTGTAATCTAAAATGGAAATAATGAAGTATTCACATGCTGAGATTAAGGATTTCTGTTTCAAATGCTAGGTTGTACCTAAAGGTGACAATAATCTGAGCAATGTAATTGGATTTTATGTGACAAAAGGTCACAGCAGTAATTTTTGTTCCACCTGAGCTGAAAGATCAAAAGTTAATCTACATCTCATCTGAGGAAGATTAACTTCTGAACCTTTATGTAACCAAATCTTACTGAGATTTGAATGGGTGGTGACTGCAGACTGAGTGAGCGGACACACTGGACCAGCAGAGGCTAAAGTGCAATGCTTTAAGACTCAGAGTTTACCTAAGAGGTGGTGATGGAGAGTTCAAGGTAAAGGTTGTGCTCTATTGCTCCCCTGCTCTAAGGTTGTCCAACAGTTGAATTCATTGAATCAAATTAATAAGTACAAATTAAACTGTTATTTACAAAAATTTCCCTCTGTATTGTAAAAAATTATAAATTCCCTAGAATAATTAGTCAGTATCAACAGAAATTAACACATTTAGTAGAGAGCACGTATGTTTCCAACTTTTTTTTTTAAATGAAATACTGTGGTGATAAGTTAGATAGTAAAATATTTCAACTGTACTCCATACAAGACAAATCAATTGTGAAGCTGTTTTTTTAGATTATATAATTTTTGACATACTTTGATGTCTTACCTTAACTTGTATGAACCTTTGCAAAACACATTTGCGATGCAGGTTTTAGACACTAATATCTACACGCATTGTCCATCCACATGATGTACCGCTCGCAGGGTGACTGGGGGGCTGGAGCCTCTCCCATCTGTTAGTGGGGAAGAGGTGGGGTACACCCAGGACAGATCGCCTCGCCAGTCTACCACAGGGCTGACAAGAGACAATGAACCATTCACACACCCATTTACACTGGTGTTAAGATTCCCACATTTCAACTTCACAGCTCCCTTGAGGAACTCTTAGTTTGTGTCCATTTTGGCACCCTCTGTGGACAAAGCAGTCTTTGCTTCTCTTGTCGGTTATATAAGTAGTGGCTTATGACACCAAATCTCATCCTGCTGATTTTTGACAGTCAAATGTATCATTCATTGTGAGTATTGTGGGTGAAAATTGGAAAAACAGGGCCATTTCTACAGCTGCAAAGCTTGGACCTAACCGCTCTCAAGGGTTTTAGACTTTAAAAATAAGGATATAAAAATCTTCAGTCAGGTTGATTGTAGTTTAGTTTGCTTTTGTGTATCATTTGAAGGTATCACCACAAATATAGCAGATTTCATAAAAATCAAAAAAGACAGATAGGTCAATAAATCACCAAAAATAGCAGCAACATTGTCAAAATTTTGGTTTTACTGGATAAACACAACTCTGTGTTGTTGTGTTTTCTTTGCGCACAGGTATAAATTCACCAGTTACTGATTATCACTTGGAACATTTTAAACACCCAAATCTAAAAAAAACAAAAGAATATAAATGTTTATGGGGTTTTATTTCCAATTCTCTCTAATCCGCTAGCTTATTTGTTCATCTGTTCTTTGCTCTCACAGCTCTCTGCATGTTCAGTGTTTGCTTCTATTGGCCATATTGTTCACTCAGGGGCATCCAGACACATCAATAAACATGTGTCTCCTCTGTCCTGCAGCAGCAGGGGGTTTGTACACACTGTGTATCACCTAGCTGCTGGATCTGATGCTGTGGAGGACAAAATCAGCTCCCTCCTCTCCCCTACACTACCATGCTCTGTTTTGATCCACGATTTTATCACAAACAGCAAATCTGATTATGTTTTGTACCTAGGACACAGCTGCAGTTAATATCTATTTCATGGACTTATAAGTTTGAGTATTAAGTCTAGAGGTTGAACACCTGGTCCACTTAAGCATGGGGATGATGGTGGGTTAAAGCTGTCGTCACTATGGGGTGCAGGTTTAGTCCTGTGGTTAAACTTGCCTTAATCCTTACATGTAACAGCACTGTTGCCATGGTCCTTGGCTACATCTATCCTGGGATATCCTATCAAAAGTCAGCCTCCCACCCCTCAAAAAGATCCTTGTTCTTTACATTCTTTAGTTAAAATGCAAAATCTGATACTGGACTATACATTTTGAATGTCTATTGAGCCTTCACATTGACCTTTGCCCATTGACCTTTACAAATGGTCAGTGCAAACATCTTTTTCACTTGCAACCATTGCTGTCATTATTTTTTCCTCCTTCATTTTCAGTGGAGAAGTTTCAGACTCAAAATTCCAAATAAACTTTTACTGGCATAAACAGTTTGGTAGTCTGGGCAGCTGACATTCAAACCTATCCCCAGTAGCTTTCAGGATATTCTCCTACAATGAGAACCAAGCTCCCATAATGCATGCATAAAGTGCTACTTTACATTTTCATCACAGGCTATCTTTGACTAGCCCCATATTGTTTATTCTTGGTGGGATGACATATAATCTACTGAAGATTTTATATTGAACTAGAAAAGCACTAGGAGAGCACAGACCTCCGCCAAGCAGCTCACAGTATCTGGAATTTTGTCTGGATCAGGATCAACCTTTGACACCTTTTTATTAAAGAAAAAAATTCTAAAATTTGCCCTATCTCACAATGATAAAGAATCCTTCAAAAAATTCCCGGATCCAGAAGGCGATCCAGATCACCACCAAAATTTAATGGGATCCTCCTGGGCCTGAGACGCACCTCTGGTGAAAATTTCAGGTCAATCCGTCCGTTACTTTCTCTGTAAAGTTGTTCACAGACAAACAAACAAACAAACAAACAAACAACCCCCCCCCCCCCCCACACACACACACACACACACACAATCTACACAATCTACATATCTCTGTTTTTGCTCTCCAACAATTGTTATTGTCGCCCCATTCATTTGCTTTAAATGTCATCTCATTATGTGCCTCATAAAGACGGTAAATTGGTACTCTGTTAAATAAAGCGTACTTGCTAGTCCTCTGGCGACTCAAAGCACTCTTACATTACATACCACATTCATCCCCTCTGATGGTAGAGGGTACAAAGTAAAGTACCGAAAGTGGAGTTTGCAGGGTTAGTTGAGTGTCTTGCTCAAAACACTTGGGCTTGTGGACAGCAACACTTGAGATCGAACCCCTAACCCTCCCGTTCAGTGCTGACTCTCCCTTGTGTAGTCCTAACATGTAAAATAAAAAGAAAAGGTTTTGGCTTTTGTTAGTGTGTCATGAAGAGGCTCTCATCTCTCATAGAAAAGATAAAGCACCCACACTTGTCCAACACTTCACTGTGTGTTCATGTTGCTTGTGGTAACCACTCTCTAATGGTTGATATGACTTTTAATGAGGCAATAATTATGCCCTAACCTTGTACCCAGTGGACTCTTTCTATTAATGTATACATAATGCATCAGAAAAGATAATAAGCTATTGACAGAACTGGGCCGTAGACCGGAGGCAAAAACCCGATGAATTATTCTCTTTCATCTTGCGTGCGGGGAAATCTGAATGCCACTTGTATGAATTGTTTTTCTTCCATACTGTTTAAATGGTGTAATCTGTGCTGGAGGACCGCCTCCCTGTGTTTGATGTGAAGGAGCTCTGGCCTTGATTTGCACCTAAAAACACATTACCATTATGTCTCGGTTTCATAATAATACAGTATTCTGCTGAAGATTTTTTGCTTTGAATAATCATGTAGTTGTTTGGTCCTTTTTTTGCCCCCTCAGACTTCTCTCCAGAGCGAAAAAACACCCCCACATGCTTCCAGTCCCTTAACATTAGATCTGCTCCAGACAATGTTCAGAGCAAGGAAATGTAAATTACTTTCTTGTTCATTAATTATGCTATAAAAATGTAAATTGCTTTGGTGACAAAAAATGCAAATGGGACTGAGATAAAAGTCTCTTGTGCCAAAGGAGAGTGTATGAAAGATTCATTTCTCTTTCTGTCCAAGAAACCAGAGAGGAGGACCTGTTAGTGCTTCCTGGCAGTATCAGACACCATTAGTCCAATGACCCTCACATGGACACATAGCTTCATTAGGAGGTGAGGATTCAGGTGGGGCACCTTTAATGGAACAATGTATAAACTCCTTTTTACATCTGAGCTTGGTAAATCCTCGGTCTGTCCATTTCCAGCAGACCTGTCTCACTCCCAATCACAGCCTGGAAACCCGTCACCACGGCAACAAAACAGCGCCTTCCCTAGAAGCAGAGGGGTGGTGGGGTGTCGAGAAAATATACAGAGGGCTTGCTCTGTAATAGAAAAATCCAGGTTTTTATTGCCATGTTTGAAGTGCCAAAAAAACAGCGGGAATCAGAACAGGCGTAAATGACGATGCTGCATTCAGCTACTGTCAGCTACTGTCTATCAAAACAACAGAGTTTAACATGTTGATCAGAGGGCTTCTCCCCCAGGACATCACTTAAACACAAATAAAAAAAAAACTGTATATTTAAAGCTCATGTGAAGAATTTTAGATGGTCACAAAACTGATGAACATTAACCCTGATGCATCTCCATATCCTATCAGTGATGAGATTTATTATTCCCATATACTTGCCATGGGGTAGGTGTCAGAAAAAGTAATTTACAATCACTGCAGAAATGGTCTATGTTTCATTTTCTACAGGAAAAAATTTCAGTGAGTGACATCGATGCATGTGGAAGAAAACAAAAGGACATTTTTGATCAGAAATAGGTGGTTTTTACTTGTAAAGAGTTAAAGCCCACTACTTTGTCCACATTAGGCACTTATATCCTCATAGAGTGAAAGATCCTGACAAACACTTTACACTCTGACTCTAAAGCTATATTATATATTTTGAAATGTACACACAAACACTGTTAACAGCTTTAGAAGAGGTAAAAAAGTGCGGGCTAAGTGCCACATACACACACAAATATATGTATAAAAAATGAAATTGAATGAAAGTCCCACCTCTGACAAGGACAACAGCCAGTGAAATATTAGGATTTCAGACTTAAACCCACCTGGGGTGGCCTGTCAGATGTTAAAGGAAGCAACGCTACCCCAGGCCACCCTGTGGACACGTCCTTGAGCAATCCACATTTTGCACGCAAGGTGCAGTATAATCCCCCTTTAAGTAGTGGTTCTCAGCCCATTTAAACAGTTATAAAATACCCTGCCAGGCTCACTTCACTTTAGGTCACAAGCTTTATAAATATACTAGAGGTGAAAACCTTTTACAATGATAACCATTATTATACAATGAGATTGCAGTGAATTATGTTAAAAATCACAAATGTATATTTTGTCACAAACAGCCAGGTATTTGAAACCTACTTCAAACTCCATCCTCCCCGCCAACATGCATTTTCAGTTGTAAACCACAAAAGATCTTAAAAGGACTGTACATCCACCACTGAGAGGATAATTCACCACTGAAATAAGACGCTTTGGATGTATTTTACATTAAAACTGATCTGACTTTATAATAATAATAATAATACATCAGATTTTTATAGCGCTTTATCAGAGACCCTCAAAGCGCTTTACATAGGATACATCATTCATTCACTCACACAGTCACACCTCGGTGGTGGTAAACTACCTTAGTAGTCACAGTTGCCCCGGGGCAGACTGACGGAAACGTGGCTGCCAGTTTGTGCCTACGGCCTCTCCGACCACCACCACACAACACTCACAATCATACACCAGTGGAGGACACACACTGGGAGCAAGGTGGGTTAAGTGTCTTGCCCAAGGACACAACTGACAGACTAGGGACAGGACGGGGCTTGAACCGCCAACCTTTCAGTTATTGGCCAATCCGCTCTACCTCCTGAGCTACTGCCGCCTAAAACATGTGTCATTTAAAAAGTGCAATTTCCATGAAAGCATGCTGTAATAAAATCACTGTACTTCAGGAAATAGGCCATATGGCCATACGTTCCTTTTAGTTGTTTCTTTATGTGACGATCTAATGATTCCCAACTACTCAGAATTAAAGTCAGTCAATGTAATTATTTTTCTTTATCTGAAAGCAATTAAAATGCTCATCAGCAAATGTAAAAATGAAGTTTTTAATCAAGGACGGAGCAAGATGAGAATATAAAAATGAGTGTGTTATATCCTGATGAGAGGTGCCTGAGCCTCACTGACAGACACTCTGAGTGCAGTTAAACCACAGAGGGATCTGTAGAGCTGAAGAGTTGCATGTTAATTAGCAGCATTAATTGTCAAGGCTGCTCTGAAATGAGGGGAAGTGGACTGGCAGCCAGAAAGAAAATATTGCAAATATGAGTTTTGGAAGGACAGCTTCCCTGTTGCATAATCTTGGTTTTTGATCTAAAATGAGTGAGGGTTACACAGGAGGAATGGAAGAAAATCAGAGCAGAAGAGATCAGGAAGGAGAGTGACACTGGCTGACACCAAACAGATTCTTTAAGATCTTATTCTAGATCCAAACCTCCTCATCTCCTCTGCGAGTCCCTCTGAGGCATGTGTCTCCACAGAGATGGGATAAGTGAAATACACATGAGGGCTGCAATGTGAAATAGGCTCTGGAAATAACATCACACTTAAAGGGCTCACTGTAACTCAGTCGAAGCCTTACAGAGAGCCATCAACCAGCTCCTTGCCGCTCTCCAAGAGCTGAGATGTTGTGAGATTGCTTCCATGTGGCTCTGGTGTACTTTTCATCGAGGCAGAGGCAGATGTGGATTGCCCACTCTAAAAAAAAGGGCACCTTAGACAGGTGAAGACCCCCTCCCCCCCTCATCTGCTAACACATTGCTGCTCTGACTGCTTATGGTTGTTTGTCATCTGGTTCTTTGCCGGTGAAATGCAATTGCCCTCCAAAAGAACAGGGGAAAGTGGGTGATTACCGTGGGTTGTTTGTCATGGCGGGATCAGGGAGGCAGTTGTGGGTGGAAAAGAAGGATGATTGGATGCTTTTGAAGGTGATTTGTTTGAAAAATGTCAGAAGTGGCGAAGATAACTGACACTCAAACTGATGCACAATCCAGGAAACTTTAATGCCACCCAAAATAAATGATTAAAACACTTTTCCATTATACTGTGGACTGATGCCATGTAGTTTTTATTTATTCCTCTCAACTGGAGTGAAATAAAAAGAAGTGGGACACTTAGACAGAACTGGCAACAGGAGAAACGGTGAGACTTTCAACTGATTCCATGTTTTATTTCAGTGTTTTGTGTCTCCACAGATTTCCAGCAATAAACTGGCTGAGCTCGCTGAGACGCTCCCTGAGGACACAGAGCCTCCATCTGCTTCTGTTATATGATACCCACCACTTTTCCTTATGTGTCCAGAGTTAGAGGAACATAATTTCAGAAAATACTGACCAGGATTAGCCAAGAAACCTCACTGAATCTGACAAATTTTTGTGTTTTTTTTTGTGTTTTTTTTTTTCTTATTTGGGATGTTGATTACTTAAGATGCTGCAGCAGTGCTTAGTATATTAACATGTAGTATATTTTGGTTGTTTCCATGTGAGCTTTTGAAGGGCCGGACTCTCCCCATTTCTAGTTATGCTACATACTTCTTTACAATTTTACAATCCCCCCACCCCCAGTTTGATCCAAATTGTGAGAATACATACCAATATGATCATTTTGTTATTGTACTGTGTGTCTCAATCAATGAGCCATTGGTCATTCAAACAATCAGGATCTTAGCAAGATTCAACCAATATAATAAATAATATAATAATAATAATAAAAATAATAATATTAATAATGTAATAAACTAAACCTAAAAATCCACCTTTTTGGTACAATTTCTATCATTTTGATTGTAGAATCAACTTTTTTTAATTTGTTTTTGTTCTTTTCTTTATTTGGTAGACAACATGCTGCAATTTTTCTCAATTGATAGCCTCCTAGCTGGTGATGGTGATTGCATACATTTTCTGAACTGTCAAGAGTGTTGTAGCACTCTAGTCCATCACAAGTCCTAATTTTTAGGCCTTTTAACTCCAGGTAGATTTAAATACAACTCAACCATCAGTCAGACTTGAAAGATGGTGAGGACAACTCTGACTTCTTCTATTGATGAAGACTGCTTGATCATTTTTGTTCAAGGCCACAACAACACCTTGGTTTTGAGCGGCGGCTGACTCATGTGTTTACCTGAGTTCATGTGACAAAATGGGCACTGTGAGTCATTTTTTGCAATATGGACTCAACTCTGACTTTGCCTCAGGAAATAGGTACTTGGACTTTGGTAGTGAGGTCTCAATTTGTACCCTAATTTAGGTAGTGGGGACTTGTCTTGTATTCAGAATCAGGTAACAGGGACTTTGCTTAGATTAGGACATGAACACTGAGGACTCAAGACTCGACTTGGACTCCAGGTTTGACTATGTCACTGACTGTCAGGCTCAGTATGAATGTGAATAAAATAGAGAATATGGAGATGATGTGTCATGCTATGAGTACAAATCTGTGTTCTATTAGTCATCTTTTCTATCTATCCAAACATATAAACACTTGCAAATAATGTGACTCATTCTCCCATTTTGCTTAATGAATGTACATAAATTCAATTTGACAGGTGGAGTCACCGAATGAGGGGATTATCTACAACTTGGACTTTTCCACAGGAGGATAGACCCTTTTTAACATACATATCAGTTTTCGAAATGTGCTAAAGATTACACTTTAAATCTGCATGCTTTTGAAAAGGTCAGTGTAAAAAAAACAGTACCATGTGTCATAGTCAAAGTGTTTTTACTGTATTAAAGCTGGTTAGGTTCATACAGTCAACTTGGGTCCAAACATGAAACCCTTTCATTCGAGGCTCCCTAAAAAAAAATGACCTTTTGCTTCATTATCCTGTTTTTTAGTTACTGGGTTTATTTCCAAATGTACTTAGATGTCCTTTATTTTGTCTGCTATCAAAATCTTGGATAGGAATCTAAATAAAACTTCGTTTGAGAGGCATGTTTTCCAAATTTGTCAGTATCCACTCTCAAGATTCAAGCAAGATTCATAATCTTTGACACATCCTAAAATTGACTTGCCCCTGCAGTCCTCTGTGAAATAGTGCAATAAAAGGGAAGTTGGTCAGATTCCTTAATGAGGGAGCCTCTTCTTGCACCAGCAGAAATATTGTCTGTAGTGAGTCAGTTGTCTCCACTGTGTCAAAAACCCATTTTCCTCCCTCCAATCTCATCTGAAACCACATCCTGTTGCGCCCTGAGCACAGGCGCCCATTCTACTCTGATGTGCGACGGCTGGCCGGAGCAGAGCCCCAGGTTTAGTTGTCTGACGTCAGGCTGAGAAACTCTCAATTTCCTGCTAATGATACCCATCCCTCCTTTTCTCTCTCTGACTTCCTCTCTCCTTCACTGCTTGTCTGCCTGTCAGATCAAAGGTGAGAGCAGAAAGCTCATGGAAGAGAAGCTCTGATGAGACGGTGGCTCCTCCTCCTCATCCTGCTCCTCAGAGCTTCTGAGGAAGATGATGATTGGAAGTGCTCTTTCACTCAGCAATCACTTTACGCTGGAAGTTTGCATCAAAGAAAAAGTGCTCTTCTCAGAAATCATGTATAATGAAGCCCCTTGTGATTACACTTACTGGCATTAATTAAGTGTCATGGAATTATTGCTGTCATTTCTTCTTGTTTCAGAATGTGATTCGAGGTAATTAGCTTCGATAAATACAGAAAATTAATTATGTATATTTGACCCCAGGAAACAAGAGACACTGAAACAACAAATCAAGGCTTATCTTTTATCTTCTATCTCTATCTATTATCTTTCATCTCTTATCTCTTTTACCTCTATCTTATTTCGGCTTTACTGTCTTTTTAGCTTTTGTTATACTTGTATTCTTTTCTTAATTAACCTTTTATTGTATAATCTCTTGCTCATTTCTATTGCTGTATTTTATCATTACTTTTATTACCTATTATTATTTTATTATCATTGTTGATGTTGCCTTTTATATTCACTATCCTGTGTTCGCTTTGGTCCTCCCTTTTAATTGCATTTTCCTTTTTTTTCTTAAATATTTTATGTTTTTATTTTGGTCCTCATGGTCTCATTTTATGTTGCATGGTTCTTGTATTGTCTGGGTTCCTTATGACATAAAAGTGGCCTTCAATTCTGTTTTAACTGAGCTTTTTGTTTTTTATTTGTCATTTTCCATGTGCTCTACGACTACATGTCAAGCACTTAGTAAACATCTGTTTTTTAAAAAGTGCTTTACAAATGAAGTCATTATTATTATTATTATTATTATTATTATTATAAGAATATATATATATATATATATATATATATATATATATATATATATATATATATATATATATATATATATATATATATATATATATATATATAGATAGATAGATAGATAGATAGATAGATAGATATATTTAACTGAGCAGAGGAAAAATTACATTTAAAAGGAAAAGGTAAAAATCTGCTCTAACAGATTTGACCATGTGTGTATCAACCTTTGTTAAAAGGTCTCTGAAGTTTCAGATATTAAACAGAAAAATAAATTTAAGTTAGACTGTTGATGATTACAACATTTTTTCAGTCAAATTAGTATTTCCAGGTCATTTCAAATGTAAAAAAGCAGTCATCTGTATTTGAAAGCGCCCATCATAAAGCTGAATGGGTTTTTATAATAACAGAGACAAAAGGTAACCTTGTTGCTGAGGGAAAATATCATTCATTAGTCATTAAAATCTATAGTGAAAGCCAAGCTATTAAATCAAACATAAAAGCCTATTCAGGTGTATTTTTTTAAAAACACAACATGTGAAAGACTTCCGGGCATAATTTTACCCGTAATCCTTTACACAATTAAAATGAGCCTGTTATCAGTCTAGCCCAAATCTTAACTACTGGTCAAAATTTAACAACTCTGTGACACTTGTTTTCCCATTCAGACAGGAGGTCCTTGAATAGATAACAAGTAAGAACACACACACACACACACACACACAGAGAGAGAGAGAGAGAGAGAGAGAGAGAGAGAGACGTTTCTGACGTAATGAAACCTGTTGACAATAAGGTTTCATGTGTTAGCGTATAATAATGTTTGATGAATAATCTTAAAGTAAATCCAAGTTTTTTAAGCTTTAAACCATAGACTGTAGTCATTCTATAATTAGAGGTACATGTCATGTCCATGGACTGTATTTTTCAATTTGACCATATATTAACTTCAACTAATGATCAATTTTATATCAGGGCACATTTCTCTTTTATTTAGTGCAAAAAGTTTAACAGATATCATCTTTTTTTTTGCAAAAAATGCATGTAGTATACTGGAATTTGTTGGTTTTATGCTGTCCGATTTTCTCAATGTCAGGTTTAGCTCTTCAGATTAACATTAAATTGAATATTTTTGTCCAAAATTTTTGTAAATATTTGTTCAAAGTAATTACTAAAATATGAGAAAGTTGTTTAAAAATCAATTTTGCTGTGTTACTCCCATCACTTGTTACACAGCTGATATCTGTCAGCTGTGTAACAAGTGTTTTTTATGTCATAAATCTCCTAAATGTTGAATAAACTGTTACAAACTCACATAAGAACGGTTAATAACTCTAAGTTCAGTGTAATGTGAGTTTATGTTGAAAAGGGTTGCAACCTACATCATAGTATCCCATAATATCACCATTATGAAGCTCAAAATTCACATTTTTAAATCAGTTGGACAGATGAACTCAAAACCCCAGGTGTATAGACTCAAACACTTTCAAACAAATGTGTTATCAAATCTTTAGTATTTATATATGTTTTATATGACACAACATTTGTCCGTAACACAGTTGACAAAATGATAAATCAAATGTTCATTTTCATTCAAATAATTTAGAAGTCATTTGAGCTTAAGCTTGCCAATTCATTGATTGAGCACATTTAGGGTGTATATCATAGAAACATCTTGTTTATTTATCAAAAAGGAATACTGATATTTTGAGTTTTTGGTCGACCTGAAATGTGCCCCTAATTGTAGAATGACTCATATATAGTATATATGCAGTCTAAGGTTTAAACTGGTCAAAACGGTGTCTTTGTCAACACATGCGTGTTTAATAAAGTTATTGAAATCCAAGATGGCGGCGCCCTAGTCAAACCGTGATCTGAGGAAACAGGTCATTTATAGCGTTTTTAATCGCTTTGTTCAGTGTTTTTTTTGACATGGATTACAGGAACGAGTTAATCTCAAACACAATACGGACATAAAGTGTCGATAAACAAAAAAGTAAGTACCTCCAAACCGAAAGCTTCTTTGAAAACAACCTCTGATCATGTCTGATGATCCGTCAGCAGACTGTCTTTACACAACAAGAACCGAGACAGAGGAAACATCAATTTACAAATGCAACCCTGACATGATCAGGTTTGTTTGTCCGGGGCAAAAAAAGATCCAGATATCTGTGATTATGTGAATAGTCGGTGACTTGTATCTGATTTTTTCTATTTATTCATTTCTCTTAATGCTTAAACCCAAAATCTGGAAACCTGATTTATGTTCGTTTACTTGTCATCGATCAAATACAGTCTGATATAAAGTGTTAAAAATGTCAGTTAAGTTACAGCTTTTTGACTTGGAAATTAAAGGTCTACCTTACTGGAGATGCATTTTCTGCCATCATTTGATTAATCATGTCTGTAAATCCTTTACCCTTCACATTTGTCATTTGAACATTAGGACCATGCAGGCACTCAAAATCATTTCTCTGTCCCTCCACAGTGCAGATTTTGCTTTAATACCTAGCACAGGAACACTCAAAGCTCATCCACAAGGTTATGATATTCAAAATCACTGACACCAAAAAGTACAAAAGATAACTTTAGGATTTTTTCTTGAAGAAAACTTGGAAACATTTCTTGCTAAATCCCTTTAAAGGGGTGACAAACATGCAATTATCTCTTATCAAATGCATCTACACATTGAAAATTCTGCATTGAAAGGGGGAAATTCAACAGACCCATCATTTTAGCAAGTTTACCAATCATCAAAGAAATTCTCTGTTTTTGGAACAATACCAGAGCCGTGGTTCACAGCCTCAGATTGTCAGATGACGTGTGTCATTCCACTGCATAAGTTTTTTAGTGACTGTTTCAGAAAAAACCTGGACAGATGAGATCTATCACCATAGAAACATTTTCTCTATCTCTCTTGTCGGCCCACTCACTTCCACCTTTATAGATGCACACAACCTTGAGTGCTTGGCTCTCCCAGCCTCAGCCCGAGGGAGGAGCGTTGGCTGCTGTGATGCTTAGGTTATACTTGAGAGAACTTCATGAAATAATACGTTCCTACAAGCATGTGGGTGGAGAAAGAGGTCAAAAGAGGAAAGGGATGTTTGTGCTTTTTCTGTACTCATGTAGAAGGAAATCTTGAAGCTGTCACAAAAAGATCTGTCAAACCAAGTTGTTTAATGATCCAGACTGGTTGTGCTTTCTGTAACAGATGTTAAGACTTAAATCTAGCTTTGGTGCAACAGTCTTTCATTCAGAAACTTTCATTTTCCTAAAGTCAGGGCTTGAAAAAGTGTGACATAGTTGGAAAAAAAATAGATGATGCATCTTTTAACTTTACCAACCTGTACTGAATTAACCATTTCGATGAGGTCTCTGCAACTTCAGATAGAAAAATCATACATCTCCATTCACCTTATTTACATCTCCATCTCTGCTTGGTGATGTCAGAGAATGCAAATGAGTACTTCCTCCACTCAGCAGCATCAAAGGTGTCCCTGTTTCAGATGGCGATGCGTCACTGCTGTGAAAATATTCACTTGACAGGTCAACTTGTTTGCAGTTGTTCTCTGGTGAGGAAGCACAAACTGTGAGAATATTTCTGGTTACCTTGGAAACTGTGTTTATATACTTGTGTGTGTGTGTGTGTGTGTGTGTTACGCGCCTTGCTTTGAGGACAAATTTAGGTCAAATTTCTTTTTTCCCTCAGCTGACTGGTCGACCTAGATTCAGTCACAGTTAAGTTGGTTCATGCAAATTAAGGTGTGAGTTGTAATTTTTCAAAGTAGCCAAAGATAGATGATTAAAGGCATATGTACTGGACTAGTTCCTTGTTATTTATCAAATTCTTTAACTAAATAATCCAGTTTTTGGCTCTGCCATGATGCAGTATTGTGACCCTCTGACTGCAGATGATGGATAAAACATGAGAGAGGTTTTCTGGATGCTTAAGTGTCCATCAGGGTGATGTTGGAGTGATTATCTGCAGGGAAATGAGGACTCAGTGAAACACTGTAACAGCTGATTGAAAATGTCCTTCTCACATCACATCACGCTGAATAAACTTATTTCACAAATTCACGCATGGTGCAAAGAACACAGACTGTGAAACAGCAGTGTGAGGAGAGGAGCTGCAGAGCCGAGCTGTCAATCATTCTGTCACACCGCGTGGACTAGGAGAGCGATCTGTGCTGACTGTAAGTGTTGAAGGAGAGAGCAGTCCTCTGTTGCACGCAAAGACAAAGTGTTTGGCCGATAATCATCCTGTGCGGTGAAATTACGATTGAAATGAGCTTTTCCATTCGTACCATGTAGTGTGACCACATTTGCACTTAAGCTGCATCTATAGACTTTTTGCAGTGTCACAACACGCTGTTAGGAGCACAAGGAAAAACTCAGGAGTTTGGATAAATGGATACTTTGAATTTTAATTAAATATTGACACAGGGAGATTTTTAAAGAGCTTTCCAGTGTAACTTATGGGTTCATCATAGCTCATTGCTTTGAAAAGCAGTTAAGTGATGCAACCAGCAAATGCTTAAATTATAATTAAATACAACTTATTTCACTCATCAATCTACTTTGTATGTTTTACCATCACTCTTTTGGTCTTTTAATTGATAAAAATGCTAACAAAAAATGAAATAGATCTTTTTAATCAAAGAGAGTTGTCTAGTCATTATTTTGGAGCAAAATCCAATTAATAGTAATTGAAATAATAATAGAAAAAGGAGTAATGCATCGCAAATTGCTATTTTGCTCTCTGCTTCTTCCACTTCACAATACTTCCATACAGTCAACATTATTGAGGCTTGTTGTTGTGGGCGCTCAAGCTGTCACTGTGTGCATAATTAATGCATCACCTTAATGTTGATACTGATAATTGATTTTTTTCAAGCTTTCATATCTATACTGTAATTATTCTGATAATATTGTCTATCCAGAAGAATTAACCATCCGACAGCTAATCAACTGTGGTTGTCCCTGTTGTAGGTGAAGAACCATGCTGGTTTCATTGAGGAGGTTGGCTCTGTGTCCGCTGGGTGTTGCCCGGCTGGTTCATATCAGGGGTACTCTCCTGAGCCCAGCACCCTGTCTGCTGTCCCCTTGCATCCGCACCCTGTTTAGTGAGTCTGGCGTCTGGGAGAAAGACTACCGGACAGAGACCCGGCGCAAAGTGGAGGAATGGTGGCACCCACGAATAACAGCACAGTGGAGGAAGGACTCGCAGGAAGAGGTACAGGTTTGATGATACTTTACACACCAGCATGACTGGGTTTTGTCTTTCTTTATTTATGTGGATTATCCAGGTTATGCATTCATGTACTGTATGTATGAACATCACACTTTTTTCAACACCACAATCAGCATTTATCTTGACCTTTAAGTAACTGAGTCTAATATTCAACTGAAATTAACACAATTTATTTATATATAGCTGAAAATGGAAACTCCTCAGGCTTAAAATGAGAACCAGATTGCATTTAATTAAAAACAGAGGTCCAAAATATTACAATAATGAAATTTGAGTAAAATTTGAGAAATTATCATTAGATGCAAAACAGCTCAAGTTTGTATCGTTTATACACAGTGACTCAATTGGATGTCAGAAAGATGGAAAATGCACTAATGAATTTCTAAATCTCAAGAGCCAATCTTATTGTACCGAAACAAATGTTTCCATTAAAAAGGATTCTTTTCACACCGATTTGAAATCCCTTTTTGATAGCTCTTGTAGCTAAAAGGATTGATTTTTGTTTGACTTGCATGCTACTGTGATCTTTAAATGTGACCCTGACATGAAGATGAATCAGCTGAATGCAGGAGGAGCAATAAGAGAGACTGTGATGATCACAGAACAAAGGATCAAAACAACCAAGCTGCCATGTAAACAGTGTGTACCAACTCTAATTAAAACTAGGCTAAAACTTAAAACCTGGGCCCAGTTAAAGTAATCGATACAATAAGAATGTGTTCTGGTCAGGGTGTCCGCTGGGTCTTAGAAAGTATTGTAGTGCAGGGACTGTTAGTGTTTTGTGTTCTTGTTTCTGTATTGCATCAGGACATCAGAAACACTGTTTGTGTTTCCTGGATACTGGAATTATGTTATAACACCACCTTCTCTTCGGGGTCATTGTTGTACTCTGCCTGTTGAAGTGATCACTCGCCTGCTCCGGTGTGGACTTAATAAGTTCATCATCACTGGGTTCAGAGCGTTCCACAGAGTGTGTAACCAGTATTTTATTATAAGTTTGCATCTCCAAAGTAAACGAAGATAAAACCTGAATCCTTTGTCCAAGAAATCCTTCTTCCTGCAAATGAAAATGCTTGACTCTTCTGGTCTTTTCTTTGTTTTTTCTGGTTGCACCATTCTGGGTACTGATCGGATACTCATCGGGCACTGACAACCCCCGCCAAGCAGTCTACAGCCCAAAAAATCCACCATAGTTTATTATTCTTTCGAGCTTTATTCCTCCGCAGTTTACCTCATTTCTACTACAACTGTAGATGTGTTGCAAACAGCAGCTTTAAGTGGGGATGAGGTCTTACAATTTCTCGAAAGGTCTTTAAAAGGTATTGAAATTAACCTCAGGATTCCTGCATATACCCTGTTGATGCACATGTTGTCCAGATTTGGTTTTCTTTTAAAACTTGGCATCTTGTAAAGGTAGATCCAGTCCAGTTTGTCTGGATTCCTTGAAAACTGGTCGAAAAAGCAGCTCGATGACCTGACTTGAAGTAGATCTGCAAATCAGGACCATCCTTTTTCAGATTAAATCTTTTTAATCCAGATTAGGTCTTCAGAAGTGTTGGGCTGATAATCTTTTCCTTCCTTTGACATTAGTCACCCTTGCTCCGTATGCATGGACACATTGTTGTAAGTGTGCATTAGAAATCCCTTTAGCCTCGACTTTCAGATTAAATCATTATTAGGTCATTTAACGTCCCTTCACATGATCAGCAGCTATAACTGTCTCCGGCTGCAGCTCGTCTCTGATATGCAGCTGCGGCTGGTTTTATCTCCTAATGGTCTGGGATAGGCAGACAGTGATGGAGTGCATTCATGGCAGCCCTGTTCTTAATTAATTTACTGAAAAATTCATGACTCAGGTTTCCTGTCGTCATGTATGGCTGGGGTGTAACCACCAGTACTCACTTCTGTCGCCATGGTAACTGCATTGTGACTGTAAACCATTCATAATCAGACTCTGACACTATAATCAGACCCTGTTAGCCTGAGTGAAGAGTTATTATTCCCGTCTAACCTCATCAGGATAATGCAGAGTGTTTTAGTCAAAGCTCATTCAAAAGCCAGACTGATGATGGCGGAAAGAGCCCCTGCATTGTTATTGTACTCTCCTAAGATTAAAGTTTTATGATCTTTTCCACACCAAATTAGTCCCCCCCCTTCATAGCTTTGTGCTTTGTTTTGTCTGTCATTCCATCCAGGGTTCCGACAGGAAGAAGTTTTATGTGCTCTCCATGTTTCCATATCCATCAGGTCGGCTGCACATGGGCCATGTGCGAGTTTATACCATCAGTGACACTATCGGGCACTTCCAGAGAATGAGAGGCCATCGGGTATGTCTGCTTTGATTTATTTATTTATTTATTTTAAAATAATAATGGTAATTATTATTGTTATCATTATGATTTTTATTATTATTAGTAGTAGTGGTAGTAAAAGTAGTTGTAGTTGTAGAAGTATTTTTCTTTTGACATTTTCTTACAATCTATTCTCACTTCATGAAGCAAGGTCAGTACTCGAATGTATCTAACATAAGCCTAGAAAGCTTTTATTTTGACTGAAGTTTTTAGAAAAGAAAGAAAACCGGCTCGAGGCCATTTCTTTTGAAGACATTATGAAAGAAAATGGTGTTAATAAAAAAGAAAAATCAAGGATGGTTGAATTTCACTTAGCTGCTGCAGACTGTGAATCTCGTCTAGCACTCCTGGCTCAGTGTCTTGGCATACTGGAGCTCTTTGCAAGCATGTACTACAACCTGGAAATGTCTCTGACATTACCCAGGCAAGCTGCAAGTGAGAGCTTTTTCTGTCGGCCCCATTGTCAGAGATTGTCAGTTAATTTGATTTGATTTGTGATAATTTGCCAGGCTGATGATGTTTTTATCTTAACATAAGTTTTGGCACTTTATATTTTCTCCCTTGTGCCTCAGCTGCAAAAATTGTTATCAAGTCCCCCTGATACACCTAAAATTTCTCTGGAGTCCCTGTTGCTTAGACACAAAGTTCATGTGCTGAAGTGCTTCAAAGAACCATACGCTGTAGTTACACATGCACAAAACTTCTCAACTTTGGCCACATATGTCAGTGCAGAAAAGCCTTTATTCAGCCTTTTCCTGTGAATATCTGTGAGAAGTTTGGGTCAGCTGATGTGAAGACACAACAGGAAATATTTGGGAAAAGTCAGTGTTAGTGAGCAAGTGAAAATCATGTGACAGGATAAATAAAGACATGAGGCTGAAGAAAGAGAATAATTTTCAAAGTCAGAGCAGTTAAGATGTCCTAAAGGGAAAACTTCTCCTCCTGGGAGGTACATGTGTGAAAGAGCAATCTAAGAAAATATCACGGGCAGAAATCCCTAATTTTCACATATATACTAAAAAAAGTGCTGTTGGAAGTTTTTAACTACACCAGCTAAGACAAACATCACATATGACAAACTCAAGCTCTCTAACATTGCAGATATTTTTCACTTGTGTTTGTACTTTGGAAATGTGAATGTTGTATTAATATATATGATGAAAAACACCATGCCTAACCCAGGAACCCTCGATCCTCCATCCTGGCGTGGTTTCTAGTTAGTTATCTGAAAGTCTTTATGGGGCTATACTGTCCTGTTTTTCTTCAGATGTGGTGTAGTGAAGCATTTTGACTTTTTATGCAAAGGAACAGGATTGTATTAAGTTTACATTTAAAATTATGGCCCTGTCTGTGGAATAGCCTGCGAGAAGACCTGAGGGCCACAGAGCATATTCAATAAAACCAGCCGCAGCTCATTTTACTTGCTATGTTTATTCTTTTTATTTACTTATTTTGAAATGATATTTGAGCTATTTATTAGTATTTTATAATTTTATTTATTCATTTGATTTGATGTTCTTAGCCAATGTAGTTTATGTTTTTATTGCATTTCTCCAGTGTTTCCTCTGTGGAGGCCACCTGCACTGGGGGCTGTGACTGGCTCTGTCTGGGATTTTTCTGCCTCGCTGGTGGTGGTCTGCAGCAGTGCTTGCTGCTGTGGGCCCCATACTGGCCTGTAACAAGGTGCACGCCCAAGTGGAGGTGTCCGGGCCCTGGGCCGTGAGCAGCCTCCAGTGCAGTCGGCCTCCTGGCGTTTCCTGACCTGGCTACTCTGTACTCAGCCACACGCTTTTAAAATTGCGTTATCAGTGTGTGTGTGTGTGTGTGTATGTGTGTATGTGTGTATGTGCTGGGGCGGGGGGTGGGGGGTTGGAGACTGTTTCAAACATGTAAAGCACTTAGTGCTGCATTTCCTCTTGTGTGCAAAGTGCTTAGAAAAACCGTGATGTCTATTCAGTGGTTTTCAGATTGTTTTTTGAAGACAGATTAATCATCAGTGTTGAAGCAGTGATTCAGTCTTTGCCGTTTATCTTGAGCCTTTTGTCTTTGAAGAACCTTTTTTATGTAATAGTGACTGTTAGATTTATGTTCTTTGGATAATGTTTTTTTGTGTGTGTGTTTAACATTACCATACCACCAGTCTCTATTGTCTTTCAAAACAATGACAGAGTTTACTGTAACCTTGAATTTTAATAATATTGCACGATTGTTTTCGCAGCCTTCATTTTTGTGGGTTGTCTTTTCGTAAACACATTTATAATTTGCTGACCTTATTATTTAGCTTGTTATACTTTAATACTGTTTGATGAAACAGGTAAAAACGCTGACTTTGTTGTGCTTGATGAGCTTCTAGCCACTCATTTATTTTGTCACCTTGGACTTTTCCAGCTTTTTATGCCACTGTAGACTTCTTCAGATGTAAATGTGGCTGTGTCTGTCCATGTCTCCTTCTTTGTCTAGTTTTTGTCCTCATATTATTTCCTTCTGTCTTTACCTTGGTAAGATCTTTTTTCTTGTCTTCAGAGATTTTACGTATGTTATTGTTGATTCTTTCACCTGTGGAGAGAATCTTGTCTGCTTCTGTCTAGTTTTTCCCCGGACAGAAAAACAGTTTCACCTGACTGACAATGATTCTCTGCCCAGGAGTTTATGTTCTCAAAGCATCTGTCAGAAAGCAAATGTGGTTCCACTGAGTGCACTGAGTCCAGCTTATTCACTAGTTAATTAAAAACATTCACTCTGTGGGTTGCCATATACTTACGCTAATTTCCTGGATTTTAAAGTGTGTTTTTATATCTCATTCTTAACCTCTATATTCAGTTAAATACACCCACATACTCCTGTCTGTTGTCTTGTATAAATACATTGTGACCAAAAACTAAACAACATGTTCATTTTAAAGCTTCTCATGTGTTCATTGGCAATATTCAAATTTCTGTTTTTAATTAATGCAGAAAATTAAAGCGGTTCTATCTTCCCTTACTTGACAGCTCAGACTCTGTATCACGAAGTATAAGGTAGATATCAGGTGACTTTTGATATTTGTTAAAAAAAAAAAGGACAGCTCCAAAAAATCTAATTGTTGTAAATAAGTAATGTTGTTATAAGAGCACCTATTACAAGCCCTAAGTTAAAATCACTGTTTCTTTCATATGAGTAAACGGACAAAAAGCTGATTAGATAGAATGAAGACAACAACAACAACAAAAGATATCATGAACGTAATTATTTGGAAGGATTTGTAAAAGAAGCCAAATGAACCCTTTAGTCTACTTAGATGAAGTTCAGAAACTCTGTATGTACTTGTTTCTCATTTTTGATGAGAAAATCAAAGAGGATATTGACCTGCACAGAGGTGCATATTTGAAAAGAAAGCTCCATCTCTTGTGTCTGTAACGTAAAAATGAAGCCAAGGAATGGCTGAGATGGGGATTTAAGTTTGAGACCTGGAGTCACACACAACTTGTGCACAATCTTTTCATTTTGTATTTTTTGCTCATTAGCATGATACATAAGCCCCTGCCTCTGTTGTACAAGCAGCCACACCACTCAGGCCTTATTTTTTTTGCCGCCCCTCATATGCATGAGCACCTGGAAAACTGTGTTGCCTGTATTGCAACAGCTGTTTGTTTTAGGGAAACCTGAACTTGCCCGAAGACCATTGTGTCATCTGTCAGGGTTTAGTTTAAACCAATTAGCTTGATTAAAAATAAAACAGACCGAGCTGCTGTGGCATCTCAGCGCTGCCACAGATAAAGAGAAGCTCGTTGCTGGGACTGTGTGGGTGGACACTTGCATTGCCATGGTCTCACATTCACAAAAATCTCTGCCTCCAGACTCTGGTGTCCATCATGTTGTGTTCACGAGGAGCCTGCAGCTACTGATTGACGTATCTGTCATGGGTTGGCACGGACTTGCTCCGCATTACAGTGGACAGATTGTCATAAAATGTTCCCACACTGACTCCCACGTCCATCTCCCTCTGCCTGTTGTCACTCATGCTCTGAAATGTGCCATCAGTCACTGTGGTAACAGGTTGGTAAAGAGCAGGGCTATCACTGACGTTCAAAGCTATTTATGGTAAAAAGATAATTTCCCTCTGCTGCTCTCTAAACTTTGAGAAATTAGTTCAGTAATACAGCCTGCCTGCCTCAGCCTCTCTCTGTCACATACCCTCATGTCTGTCTCACTAAAGCGGAGTATTGATGCCACACAAACAGAGTAGTACCACCTCTATCTTAATCAAGTGCATCTTTCCCCCTCTTTTTACTGACTCGATCGTTTGCTTGTACCTGTATTCCTCCTGAGCTGTCAGAGTAGTCTGCTGTGCTAAACACTCGTGGCTCAATACCAACCAGCACTGGGCTTTTTCAAATGAGGCCGATGCAGTTACCAAGGATACCAAATTGTCTGAAACATCAGCCCCGTTAGAGTCCATGGATGATCCTCTCCAGTCCTCGACTCCTTGTCTCCTTGCTTCCCCTCTACTTTACTCCCGCCTTCCATTCCTGTGCTTTCATGTTGTTCTTTTCTCTCAGAGAGCAGAAAAACACAGACAGGGAGACCTGTCACTATGACAATGAGATGGCATTATTTCAAGTCAAAGGAGTTTTTTTTTATTTTTATTTTTTAATCGATTACGTGTAGTAGGGGGTCCCGACCAGCTTGGACCCAGAGTCCCAGTTACAGTAGTGAGGCTCTCAACTGCTACAGACGGGTCATCCCGATCATATCATGAATTCAGCTCAATTTGATAAACTTCTACCAAAGCACTGTTATCAGTTAAGGTGAATGCACATCTAAGAACATCCTGTGCTTTACTTTCATGTCAGAAAAAAACACTAATTTTCACATGATTCCTCAACACACTGATCAGTTAGACTGGTGTATGAGTCACTGGTATAATGTGGATTTGTGATAGTTTTGCTTCTCAGCAGACGCAGTAATGGCTGAAGAGTTTATTTCAGCTCAGTCTTCTCCATCAACCGCTAACAGCTCATTTCAAGGAGGTACACATCTTGCACAGGGTTGTGCAATAAAAAAGCTCTGAGAGCAGAACACTAACTTCAAAGACACACTTGGGCTTTTCTGGTTTCCCTATTTAACTTCTCAGTACTGAAGAAAAGTCTGTAAAAAAAACAGGGCAGGGAACTCTGGCTGATCACACCAGTTTGACAGATCCAAACTAGTGTCGTACATAACTGGTTGGTTTGATTTATAAAGGTCCTGACCATAGACTGTATATGCTATGGACAACTTGGTTCCACCTTCCGCCATCATACGGATTTGAAGACGAAAAGCTCTCCATAATGCTGCATTTTTTTCTCCACTTCCTGAAACCAACATTGCGCAGTAGCATTGTACACATTCGGCGGGAGAGTTGCCGTGAGTTGCTGTGATGACGCTGGGCTCAAACAGCGTATTCTTACGCGATCTTTGAACGCCCATAGGCTGTATCAAGTGTCAGTCACAGAAAACATGAACCCCCTGATAACTTTTAAAAACGGAGCTGTACAGAAAAAAAAGAGGACTTGAGCACAAACCAGTCTTACAATAAATACATGTCAACATTGCAAGTAAGGGGAAAAAAAATGTATGTTCTGTAATAAATTTCTAAAGTTTGTCCACAGCCCCATAAGTTTTGCTGGAGGAGGAGGGATTTATGACCTATACTGCAGCCCATCAACAGAGGGTGCTGTTTTCGGAGTGGCTTCACCCAGCGAGGAAGCAGACTCTGTCCATTCTATATACAGTCTATGGTCCTGACTCACTGTTGTTACAAAGAAAATTTATAGTTATCTTTAGATTCACAAAAGATGTATGTTAAAAGTCAGTATTAAATGCATTAACTAAAGGAAATGTGCTCAACTCAAACATCAGTGCTGCCTCTGACAGGACAGTTTTCTTCACGAAGCTCTTACATACTGTTGGTTTTAAGCATAGACTGTTGGACATTTACACCCAGTTATGCTTTATCTGGAAAAGTGACAAAGTTGCATTGCTGGTCAAAGCCTCTGATCTGATCCACCCCAAATGTAATAGACGCATAAATGAGGGGAGACTGTGGCTGTGTGTAACTGCAGAGCCAGCAGGGCAGCACTATGTGTGTGTGTGCACGCCTTAATGTTTGTTTAAATGGTGCTCTGTTGTGTGTCTGCATGCTGTGGCTTACGCACTTCTGCAACATCATAATGGGATAGAAAATCAAACACTGGTACATTGAAGTCATTGTGGGATCTGTGATTCATATCAGACTTGCAGGTGTGCAGCTGTCACATCCTGAGTGTCCACTCAAAAGTTTACCTCACTTTCTAGTTCTTTTAAGTTATATAAAAGCTGCACTTGAGAGAATTGTTTGGTTTGATGTACAGACAGATTTGTGTTATGGAGTTGAGATAGCTGCAGGGGAAAACACATTACTTTACAAGGGTCAGAATGTGCCACAGTTTCTGAGGAAGCTGGTGATTTTACACCGAATAAATTAGCTCCTAAAGTGAAGCATTTTATTTTTCTTTTTTGCTGCTGTTTCTATTTGCATAAATCCTTGTGATGCATACAGTATGCTAATACGGAACACAGAAAGAAGATAATCATTCTCTGTATTCTTTTAAGACCCCTGTATTAACATGGAAGTTTAACTAATTCTTCTACATTATCTCTTTGGCTATTCGACTGAAACTGTTGATATTAAAGGGATTATGTGATGCACATTTATCCTGAATGAATTATCATATGAAGTTGAAGGAATCTGGTTGCTGAGTTATTTACAGATTAAAGTTGATATGAAGGGGTGCTTATGACCTGGGGGGTTTAAGCACACACCCTGTATACAGAGGTTATGCCTCAAGCATACAGTCTGAGTTACAGTTCCAGCCTTTGACTCTGTCTCTGTCTCCCCATTCAGGACTGTCTGATTTGTTGGGCTTTGGGATTTACAATGATTCAGAACAACAAAAGAAACAGAAAAGTAAAAGATTCATCACACTGTCGAAACCAAAAACAGCATTCAGGCTTTCACTCAAGATTTGACTCATGATTTGTGAGTCAAAGTGATTCAACTCTTAAATTTCACGGCTCATACAGATTTCCTTACTGCAATCACAGGTGCTGAATCCAATGGGTTGGGATGCTTTTGGTCTACCAGCAGAAAATGCAGCCATTGAGAGAGGCCTGGACCCAGGGGAGTGGACTAAAAGGTATGTGGACTATCACATTGGCTTATGTTAGGACCATATTTATCCATTGTTCACCCTAATGCAGTTTCTCCTCCTTAGTAACATCCAGTCCATGCGGGAGCAACTGGACAGCCTGGGCCTTTGCTTTGACTGGGACCGCGTGAGTAGAAAATCTGAAAACCAGACTGGGAGTTTGAAAGATGAGCTCTCTGTTGTCGAGTTGATGACCTGTTTGTGCTTATTTGACAGGAGGTTACTACCTGTCTTCCAGACTACTACAGGTGGACACAGTATCTGTTTATCAAGCTCTTTGAAGCAGGACTGGCATATCAGAAAGAGGTAGGAATATCCTTTGAATGAAAGAGGTGTGAATAAAGTGCTTATCCAGCTTTTCTTCTAAAAGGGGAAATATGCTTACTCTCGGTTTGAGGTCCCTGACAGTGACAGAAATGATTGAAGCAGCTCAGCCGTTACTCCTGGAAGAAAAAGACTGAAATGAAAAAGACGAGGGCTCGGTTGAAGCTCTTTTGATTAAGTTTAATGAAATGAGACGACCTTGAATAAGCCTTTGGTCTGTCTATTAAATCCAACCTACTTCCTAAGCTCTGCTTTTTAATTTTAATTCTGAATGTGTGTGTGCGTGTGCGTGTTATCCAGGCTGTGGTGAACTGGGACCCTGTTGATCAGACGGTACTGGCTGATGAGCAGGTGGATGAAAACGGTCGCTCCTGGAGGTCTGGCGCCCTGGTGGAGCAGAAGCTGCTCACACAATGGTTCATTAAGACCACAAACTACGCCAAGGTACAGGCTCTTTGGTGTGCATGTTTGTGTGTGAGAGAGAGACCTGCATCTTTTATGTGTGTGCAGGTGCAAAGCAGTGTCGGACTGGCTGGCCAGCAGCTTAATTCATGCCAAAATGAGCAGTGCACCCCTCTGATAACAATCATGGCTGACACCTCAGCCACAGAAGCTGCAGCCCTGCCTCTCAGCTCCTGCAATCAGACCCCCGGACGCCGTCATTTGTTGCTCAGTGTCCACAGGGGAAGTGATACCGGCAGAGTCAGGGTAATACCACAAAGCGGCCTGGCTGACTGATTAGAAGTCTGAACCTTTTCTGCACAGAGCACAGCGCAGGCCTGCTGCAGGGTGAATTGAACCCCTCAGGACCTTTTTGAATCAGCTACAGAAAAGACAGCTCATGCATTTAACATCCAGCATGTGCATGTAGATTGTTAGACGTGCATGTGCACATGCTGGATTTGAGGCAGAATTTGACAGATTTTAGAAGAGTCCTCAACAGAATTGCGAAAACTACATTATTCAAACCTGACGTTACACTTTTCTAATCTGTGCTGATTAAAAATGTCTTTCTCAAGGGGAAAAACTAAAAATAATTTGAAGCATTAAATTTTATGAATTTGTAAAGACATGCTCAGGACAAACCTGGAACACAAAGGAGCATCCTTAAATGTTTTTTTTTTTTTTTTTCACAAAGATCAAAATATTATCAATGATATGTTAAACTAGAAAAGCACTCAGAGAGCGCAGACCTCTGCCAAGCAGCTCATGTCCTCCCTTATATTGTGATTCACACCAAAACTTTTACTGTTACGTGTCTTTTATTAACTTTTATTTGTGTTTAAACTGGTATGTTCACTGTTCATAATGTTCCTAAAACAACAAAGCTCATATTAATTACATAAATGCATGATTTATTATGCAATATTTGTAAGCGTACACTTCCTTGTATCTTCATTGGTTATCTTTCAGCATTGAAAATTCCAACGACACCCTTATTTTTGTGTGTTCTGGATCACAGTATCCGGAATTTTGTCTGGATCAGGATCAACATTTGACACCTCATAAAACTCATTGAGATCCTTTTGTGTTATTTTTTACTAAAGACTCTGGCCATTTTTATAGAGTTACATGCAAAAATTCCAAAATTTGCCCTATCTCACAATGATAAAGAATCCTTCAAAAAATTCCTGGATCCAGAAGGCGATCCAGATCACCACCAAAATGTAATGGGATCCTCCTGGGGCTGAGACGTACGTACCGTCAATCCGTCGGTAACTTTCTCTGTAAAGTTGGTCACAGACAAACAAACAAACAAACAAACCAACCAACACTACCAAAAACATTACCTCCTTGGCGGAGGTAAAAAATCTTTTTCCTGACACATGTGTTGGAAAGTTTTTGAACAGATCAGAATTGATAGCTGTTATTCCCTGTTGACAGATAGATTGATTTCGTGAAACTTTCTATTAAAACAGACAATTTACCTTATGACACCAGAGAGTTGTACATTATTCAAGTTACTTTCCCCATGTTTTGATTTTTGAAATAAAATTAAAAAATCCTAACCTGCCTGAGAGGTGTGAGCTTGATCCAAAAACTTCTCTGTGCTTTAAATTATTGAAGGCTGTAATAATGATTTCTGTTGAATGTGACAAAACCTGCAGACACACTGGTTTAATTCATTTGGCAAATTTACCAGTTTAATTAAAATACAGGGGTCATCCAGTTTTAGCAGTAGGGCTGATGTCACCTGTACTTGTCAGAGGAATGAGCGGAGGAGGAGGAAGCCGCCAACTATGACAATGTGTTCCTGCATTTCTAATTTTCTCTGACGAACAGAGAAGTGGGAAGGAGGGAAGGGAGAGGAAGGTGTTAGGGAACCGAAGTGAGAAAGACAGGCGGAGAGAAAGGAGGACCGTGTCAAAGCACAGCATGCCAAATAAAAAAGTGCTGCACAGTAATTGGACTGTGATTTCCTGCCTGCGCTCATGTTTGAGCCCGTTAGACAACATTAACTTCAGACAACATTTACTCAGCAGCCATCAGTTTAGCTGTCAGGTCGTTCCAGGCTGTTTCCTCATGAATCGTAACCATAGTGTTTCCTTCAGGACACAGATGACTGAATATTATTACTAAGATGGATTTTTCCAGAGTGGGGCGACGAGGATGCAAAATGATCATGTGGCATCATGGCAGAGTTTTCAATTTCATGCATAATCACACTTGTTGCACTCAGGCACACGCGCTGCACTGACATCTAAATGATTCACAGCTCTTTGTATTATCCAGCTGCTATGTGAGCTGCTTTGAGTCTATTTACTACCATGAATGTGACACTTGAAGGCTGATGTTCTTGAACTTTCGAGAAAAATGAGGATCTTTGTTGTTTCTGCATAATGTAACATATTTGTCAGGAGTGTGCTTGGTGTCTCCTTCTTTCCCTCACTCTCACATAATCCTCGGTTATTGCCATACCATGCTTGTTCTCTCAATCTTTTCATAGTTGCCATGGAAACTCCTGTCCTTGCTGTACATCTTTGAGTGTCAAACTGTTTTTTCAGTTCGGGAAAGTAAAAACATTCACTGTCCCTCTCTCACATCATCATTGGTTGCAGATCTTTGCTTTCCTGCCTTTTTTTTTCTTTCTCAGACGGTCGTCACATCTTTTGTTTGGTCGCCTCCCACCTTTGCTGACACAGATTCTTGTTGGATTTTCATCTCTTTTCCTCCACTCTGTGGTAAATCCATAACTGACCTGCCCCTGCAATAATGCTTGTGATGACTACAGCTTGTGTTAATCGTTGTATTGATATGACTGTGATGAGGGGCTGCATGCTGAGCAGCACAGTGAGGGGGGATTCTGGGTAATAGAGTGTGGCAGACTGAAAAGAAAATGGAGAGTTGGAACATCTTTGGCCTCCGCCCAGCTGTGGCGTTTTGGCCTGAGCCTTGTTGATATGCATAGATTCCTTTAATCATGCAGAAACAATGATGTGGAGTTCATGTGTGTGTGTATGGGAGTGTCCGTGTGTGTGTGTGTGCGTGTGTGTGTGTGTGCGTGTGTGTGTGCACTTTGTAGCCAATTGCTTTGTGATATGAGGGGAAGTAGGGCGAATGGAGGTCAGGATTTTTGAAAATCCCTCTTTGTCTCCATAATGTGACCTGCTTGGCTCTGCAGCTTTGTCAGAATAAATTGGCTCTGCTTTTGAAAGAGGCCACACTGAGTCTGACTCGATTGCTTCATCCCACAGTTCTGTATACAGAAGGAGAACCTGTTGCCCCCTCATGCAGAAAACTGTCTTTCTTTTCTGATAAAGGGGAAAATTAGCCCTCTCAAAACTTGCACAAAGAAGTAAAGTTATGTTTTTGTTTCCGTCTCCTCCTTCAGCCTCTGCTGGATGCTCTCCAAGATTTGCCTGAGTGGTACGGGGTCAAATCCATGCAGGCAAACTGGATTGGAGAGTGCACCGGCTGCTACTTTGATTTCAAACTAAAGGTGAGCCTCAGCTTTCACCCCCTTTTCCCCCCTCTTTTTATTCATTCATCACTCTTGCTATTCTGCAATCCCTCAACTTATATCTCCCTGTTGCTCTCCCTATACGGTCTCTCGTTTTTCATCTCTTTCTCCCCAGACACTGATTGCTGGCTTATTTTGGATTCCCCATTTATTTGTATATTTCTGTAAAACTCAAGTACCCAAACATAAAAGATCTGCACTCTGTTGCTCCCATTCAGTGCAGCGCATTCATATGCAAGTGGCAATTTACCAAAACAAATGATGTAACAGATCAGTTTGTATTGAGTCTTTTCAGAGTAATATTTACAGTTCTTCACTTGTCAAACCCAGCTGTCACGGGAATCCCACTGAGAACCCCATGAAAACCATTTAAAAACATTTCTCCATAAAAAGAACCAGAAAATGTGTTTTTAATGTCAGTCTTTTAATTGGATATGTCTTTACATGTCCAGGGTAAAAATAGTCAGACCACGCAGTGTGCTTTTGTGGGGTTTGTTTGGATTTTATTGTATGTTAATGACTGAATAAACAGTTCAAGTTAAAACCAAGGTTCGCAGGTTAATTGGATGACTGCTTGTCTTATGTTACATCCTCACACATATTCATTTAATTATTTCCCACAGGGGCTGAAACAGGTTTGAATATGTCTTCTTCTACATGACATGTACTAATTACCCAAGAGCCCCCAACATGAGCATGTTGTCTATGAATAATTACAGGATTAAAGGTGCAGTAGCCTTCTCATTTATCAAAGAACTGCACATGGTACAGTAACAAACATCTCACCTTGCTTAGTGACTCTATGCACAGACTAAAGATGGTGCTATCTAAAGATTTTCCCTTTATTTGTTGATTGTTTACCATCACCTGGTAGCTGATCCTCCTCAATTGTCCTGAAAAAGCATAATTTGATGTAAGACTAGAAAGACATAGCAGCTACAGTCTTGGTATTTGCGCTGTGCTGCTGTATGTCCATGGCTCAAAATTGGATTTAATGTCTTTCTGGCCATTAAGCACACAAGTAACACCACACTGTTTTTATTTATTGCTACTTACCCACATTTGAGTGTACATACAACAGAGAAACAAGCACCAATAAAATGTAAGTTGTCGTTTCGGTAAAGTGGAGTGGATATAAAGTGGACTCAAAAGGAGGGGCTGTCTCAAGAAATTAAACAAAAGTGAATTAATGCTCTTATCGGTGCTAACACAAGCTATTATAACATTGCTAACAAGCTGTTTGGTATTTATCATTAGTGCTTTCATTTCTATATGAGTTATTTATGTTAGTTATGGATGCATTTGCTGAGCAGGACAGATGCTGAAGGAAAATCTTAAGCGTTTGGCAGCAATAAGGACAAATGAAGATATCACTGCGGTTGCCACAGTGTAGTCGGCATTAAATGTTGGTACAATTATGTACATCAACAACTCTGAATCACCTGAAACTCGGTGCCAAACAGTACCTGGAAATCATGACTTCCTACACTGTGACTTTATCTAAAGATTAAGGTGACCAAACGTCCCCGATTTCCGGGGACAGTCCCCGAATTGGATGACAGGTCCCTGGCAAAAGCTGTCCCCGAAAATGTCCCTGATTTAAGCGTTTCATGAATGAGAGCAAAAATGTTGCGTGTGGGCTCGAACAATGGTTATAACAGTAGCTGAATGGGTAGGAAGCACAAGTAAACAGTCCTGAACATCAATTTTTACAGGGGGTTATTACAAGGGGCGAGATGTTGTCTGTGATCACGCAGCCCATGCGCACACTGAATGTCTCTGGATTTCATTACAGAAATCTGGTCACCTTACTAAAGGGGTGAAGCCAAGATTGGCATGACCTGACATCTTAAACTTGAGTGACCTCCTCTTTCAGTTAACCAGAATACACATTCACTTACAGAGAACAGAACATAGTTATCTCAGGTCAGAATAGTCCAAGGCGTATTAGCTTCTTGAGTCAGTTTGAAGAGAGACTTAAAGTTAAAGAAAGTCCAATGACTTGTACGAAATCTCACTGTGTTTGAGCCTGCAGTTTGGGTCTGAATGAGATTCACAGCGATTTGAATGCAGAAATACTCAGAAATGCAATTATGCACTAATTTTTCTCATGATATGTCCTGTAGAATCAGAAAAATGCCATATGAACATGTAAAAAACAAGAAAACATGATTTTCTTTGGAGTGGGTCTTTTAGGACCTGTACTGCAGCCTTTTTGAAGTCCTTTGGTTTCACTTTTGGAGCACTGTCATGTTGTGCGTAACTACAAGTTTTGCGTCAATCCATCTTGTAGATGTTTAGATACGTCAGAAAAACACCTCTCATGATGTCTGGTGGTGCAAAATATATGTGCTTTAAGTTTTAACTTGATCAATTGCTGTTATGAGATTAATCAAGAAAGACTTTCTTCTTGTTTTTATGTTACTGATGATGTGATTGGGTCAGAACCGATGTGCATTAGTCATTATTATTGATGCCTCAGAGTGTTTATCTACTTCAATAAAGCACAAAAAATCTAAACTGGTAAAATGTTTCATGCACAAAGTATATATCAGATTGAAATGAACCAATCTGCTGAAGATGAGCTGCCAGCTTCTCCCCATTAGCAAAGCTGTTTATGTAGACAGTGACAGTTTCTTCTTTAATCTCCCAGGTAAATGGAGAGGAGACAGGGGAGACCCTGTCAGCCTACAGCCCCTCTCCAGAGACGGTGTTCGGAGCGGCTTTCCTGGCTATCCTGCCCTCTCATAGACTGCTGCGTGGGAGCAGCAAAGTTCGCTCTGCCCTGGAGAAGAACTTCCATGCCAGCAGGGGTAATCATCCTCCAGGTCTCTTTGTCTGTGTTCAGATTGTCTCTACAGAGTATGGTTCCCTGCCTCCAGAGGACTAACCTGCATTTCAATATTTTCTTATCGTCATTTTTTTTTTCATTTAGCTAGCTCCTGTACACCTGCATGCTGTCGGAACATAAAAAAGCTCAATGCGAAGGTTATGATCCTCTGTGCCAGATGTGTTTCTAAGCTTTGGCATAGCTTACGTAAAAAGATATAAAAAGTCAATCCTTTTATATGTCAGTAACTCTGTATTTTATGGCATTTCACACAGATTCGTTCTGTATTTTTCCACACTTAGTGCAGATGCATGTTTTTGAATGTCATGGTATGGATGTAGTCTGTTAGTGGTCTTAGTCTGTGCTGATTGGGTTTCCCCTGAGGTTTTCTCAGCCTCACTGTTGAGTGATTGCTGATAATGAGCCACCAGGGGAAGAAGCTCTGCCTCTCTAACACAGTCCCCCATCCCCGCACTCTCTCTCCAGACTGCCTGTCAGAGGTCACCGCTCGAAACCTGTTCACCAGCAAGGAGGTTCCAGTGGTCATTTCACACAAAGAGGCATTCGATGGCTATCTGGATACAGTAATTGGTGAGATTTTTGTGGGGGTGGAACTCACATTCATCTTTAGATAGTAGCTGGTGATGATAACTACCATTTATGTGTCTCAAAGTGTGCACAAGATATATTAGTGGATATAATGCTGAAAAGGTCCTCCCCATCACGTTTAGTGTTTGAAAAATGGCCCCTGCAGTGTATTTTTAAACCTTCAGTGCATTTACGTGTTTGTCTCACAGTGAAGAGGAGGTAGAACCCTGGGGGCTGATAATGATTAGTCTCAACACAACATGCTTAACATCACCGCAGGGTTTAGGTTTTTTTTCTCCCTCTAGAGATCAGTCATGCATGTATTTTTGCAAGTCCATGTTTGTGTTTTTTCATGTTACATGTATTTGCTGTGTATTTCAGGTGTTCCAGACTGCAGCGAGGAGGATCTGTCTGTGGCCAGAGCTCTGAACCTGACGTGGACCACGGTGCTGACAAGTGATGAACATGGGACACAGACTCTAATCAACTCTGATGAGGTTTGCACGGTTCTTAATGACCCTGTACACTTAGTGACTCAGGTCTAGTGCAGCTTCTGTCTAAAAGAATTTCGACACGTTTCTCACCTCTGTCCCCCTCTGCCTGCAGTTCTCAGGCCTCAGCAGACAGCAGGCATTTCACTCCATTACACAGAAGGCCAGAGAGCAGAAGGTTGGAGGACACCTCACCAGCTCTAAGCTCAGGGACTGGTTGATATCCAGGCAGCGGTACTGGGGAACGCCCATCCCTGTGGTGCATTGTGGGTCATGTGGTCCAGTCGCTGTCCCTGAGGAGGAGTTGCCTGTCACGTTACCAAAGCTGCCGTCTCTCACAGGGAAAGGTGCATCGCCGCTGGCGTCCGCCCAGGACTGGATCAACTGTGAATGTCCGAGGTTAGAAGACTAAGATGTGTTTCATTTTTTTTACTCAGGTTCGAATGTCATACGCAAATTGATTCTTCGGTATTAAATGAAATGCAGAAACACTCAAATGACGCTCATCAAACTTACAGATGACTCATTCGTCTGCAAGCTGATGCAACGCAGTCCAACTCTCCTCACTTGTCTGTTACTGTTAATGACTGGTTTGAAGCTACACATAATGAATAAAGAAGCAGCTACATGATGTAATGCAATCATTTTCTATAAGTGAACTAAGAAATAGCACTGGGGAGTATAAGAAGAGATTTGATATACTGGCACCTCAAGGTCAGAGCTCTTTGGACCATCTTGTGATGCCTACTTTATTAAAGAAACACTTTTTTCAATCAGAACTTTGAACTTTAAAAGAGCAGCTGAGCAAGAGTTTACTTTCTTTTTAGGTAAATCAAACTGAATCAGGAATAAAGCTTTTCAAAGATTTTCCATTGAAAGTTTGTTTAAATCCAGAGACACATTTTGACCTCGAGATCTTACAAACATGAAGAATGTGACCCCTTTTCTCATAAAACATCCATGCCTACAAGCTTTCGACTTTCATTTACTGCCTCTTTTAGCTCAATAGTGTGTCAATAGACGTGTTACCTCAGCTCGTCACCTGTTGCTTACATGTGCAGCTGCATTAATAGTTCAAGAAAACTCAAACAAAACAAAATCTATCGTGTTCAATAGCTGACACACACCCAACAGGTAAATCAGAAGGTAAAATCACTCACATCTCCATACTGGTAGAAAGAAAAATAGCATTAGCACATCAAAGATAGTCCAGTTTCATCCAGACATTCTGATGATTAGAATTGTGAGCTATAAACAGCTATTCTAGGCACCAAACAAGCCTCCACCGATGCTACAGCAGCAGGTGGATCATTAACCCTGTTCAGCTGCGTGATGTTGTAAATAGGATGCTAAAAGAGTGGAGGATGTGCCATTCCTCTTTTCACACGGCAGAAGCGATCAGGGAAATGATCCTGTCCATTATGGTCTAAGTGGAGAATTGAATTATGCTGAAAACCCACTCTAGTGACTCCCTCTCTTCAGCACTTCCTGTTTGTCCTCAGGAGACCAGTGCCAGCAAAATGAGCGGAGGGACTGACAGGTTTACAGGAAGAATGAGCAATGGGGGTGAGCCTGTGAATTGTGTGATTAGTACTCTGGTCCTGTTGTGGTTACATAATAAGTAGAATCGGTGACAGGTACAGCATGAGATTGTGATGATAGAGGTTATGTAAGCGGTACCATGCACACATTTACAGGTTCAAAACAAGCAAAACAAACTCATTTCAGTGAGTTGTCTGTGTGTATTTGAGCCATGGACTGTTTAAAACATAGACACTATGACAGTTCCTCAAAGGTGGAGGCAAAACATCCAGAGTTCCTCCTACTGACTGGCTGAAGACACAAAACCGCCTCCATGTTAACCCATTAAGACCTGAACCCTGTCTGAGACACGCTTCTGAAATCCTGAGGGCAGTTTTAATAAGGGCTTCCAGATCCTGAGTTTATCTTAAGTGTTGAGGTTTACAAAAAAAGCAGATATCTCTGCCTCTGTAGCTGATAGAAACAAAATTCAAAAGGTATTTGAGAGATTACACATGTGGCTTTCAATATAACTACCTTTTATTTTTCTGAAACTTCATTTTTGAAAATCTTGAACAAAAAACTCAAACAGGTGGCAGTCATGATAAAGTGTCTATTCAATACAAATGGTAATATAAAAATAAGGTGTTTAAAGGGTATGCAGCTGCCCTAGTTGGGTTCACAGATGGGGTGAGTTAAAATACACTTCAAATATGCTTCTAGTTACTCTAATTATTCCTTATCATGTTGACCTATTTTAAAGTGCTCGTCCCTTTAAGAAGTTTAGTTTTTGCTAATCATTTAAAGCTACAAACAGGTACAGCTCTACGACTGGCAGCTCTGTTGACAAACGTGGTTTCTGCAGCACTGTGTGCACCAGCTTAGCAGCGTTGAGTACCAGTGAGAGAAAATGTGATAACACTGTGGCATCCCGCACCTTAAGGTCACATCTGCAGTACGTCACCTACACACCCCTTTATGGAAACATATACTGCACATGTCTGAAGAACATGGTGCATGAAGCTATGCTCTGTATGGTGTCCTTGTCTACTGTCAGCCAGTGTCAATCAGAACTCGGCATCCCTCCACCATCTCACCTGCAAACCCTCCGAAACCCATGGTTTGCTGCATACATGCAAAGTGAATTAATGTCAGCTGTCCGTTGCCTGACTTTTGTGTGTATCAGACACCTTACAACTAGGAGGTGCCACTCTGATTAAAGTGTGTGCATAGAGAGTGACTGTTGGTTGTTTATTTAGATTTGCATGGACAGAGAGAGGGACTCTGGGGGTTTGAGGAGCTGTTGTGATGTTTTTCTTGGGTTGTTGCTTTTCTGGCACTCATAATATTACACTCAGGTGAATATTGAAAGAAGAAGAAAGAAACGTCTTTACCTCTCTCTCTCTCTCTCTCTCTCTCTCTCTCTCTCTCTCTCTCTCTCTCTCTCTCTCTCTCTCTCTCTCTCTCTCTCTCTCTCAATTCAATTTCAATTTCAATTTTACAATTTCTATAAGCTTTATTGGCATGACTGTTTGTACAATATTACCAAAGCATTACAATATTATTACAATAATAACAACAAAAACAACATGATAACAACAACAACAACAACACAATAACAAGAACAACACAATAACACAATAACAACAACAACAACAACACAATAACACAATAACAACAACAACAACACAATAACACAATAACAACAACAACAACATAATAACAACAACACAATAACACGATAACAACACAATAAGAACACAATATGAAATATAAAATAAATAAATAGTGTCAGTAGTATCATGTTTATAGATCAAACTCGGGACAGTCAAACTTAGTAGTCAAATTCTCTCTCTCTCTCTCTCTCTCTCTCTCTCTCTCTCTCTCTCTCTCTCTGTGAGTGTGTGTCTTCTTTAATTTCAACTTTCGATTATCATAAGTGTCTGCTTTAAACCTAAACAAGAACACCATACACCCTAACAATTAGCTATGGGTGCAGCTCTCCTACTGAGCAGAGTCTGGCTCCAAAAATGTCACCAGTGTGCTTAACATTTTTACAACAAGAGGAGGTGAAAAAACTTAACAGCATGGAGGATTTGAATATGTTTGAGTAGAGGAAAGTCTCCTCAGCTGGCGCCTACAGAGCCTCTTACTGATATGGGAATCCCTCTCTGAATGAGACTAATCAACATCATGGCGTCATGTTGATTAAAACAACGGCCCACTCAGTCGCAGATGGCACAAGTCATCAGATTGTGTTCACTCACTTTCACAAAGCAACTATAATTCCCCCCATCAGCTGTGATTGATGGCTATAATCGCCCAGACGCCGTTATCTCCTCTGCCTCCATTGTCAAGTGTCGGTGGAAATTTGTTCTCTTCACTCGTCGACCACATTCAATTAAAGTTTGAGAGCAACACAGACCAATGAGAAATGCTTTTATATGTCCTTGAGGAAGTCATTTCTTGTGTGCACATCTCATCTCCCTCTTTCTCTGCACTGCTGTAAATTAGCCCACTAGCTGAGCCCTGCTACAGCTTAGCCTGGCTGGAAAGTGTGTGTGAGTGTGTTTTCTCTTGAATTCTCAGGTAGAGAGAGAGACAGAGAGAGAGGACACCTAGTCAGCACACACACACACAAACACACACACACACAGAGTCACAGATGGAGAGAAGAGAGCTGTCTTGGAGTGGGCAGCTGCCTCTCCTGCTTCGTCTGTTTGATAGCCTTTTGCCTCTTCCTGTCTCAGCGTGCAAACACAAACACACTTCACACTCTAGTTCATACAGGTTGCTTTAGATTAAGTTGACTACTTTTGTCTTTAAGCTAAGAGGAGGGTGAACTCCAGAGAGGAGAGGGTGTGCTGTCTAAACTGATCCTCTGTACTCTGATTGGCTGATCCACTGTGAGAAGGGAAGCATGGCTCTGAATGGATGGATCTTAAAATGTTTATTTGTTAGTTTTATGTAGTGTCTATTTGTGGATTATGATTCAACGTGCTTCTATTTTATTACCAGATTTTAATCATTGGAGGTAACACCTGACTCTCAAATATTAACCCTGCTACACCTTGGCCTTGTTGCTAGGCAACATTCATCTCTTACCTCATCATCCATGCCTTGTTATAGCCTGCTATATTGGTGAAGGGTTCTCTCATCTCATTGTGTCTGTGCTGGTGATTATGGGATTAAAACATGTGATGGTTGTTTTTGTGGGTGAAAATGAAGACATCCCAGGTGCAGGAAACCAAACCTGCTCTGCTGCACAAAGTAAAGCACAGAGTCTGTTTTTCTTTCTGGGACAATGATTTAAACTCTACGGAGACTCATTATAAAGTGAAATGCAGACACTTTCACTGTTCCATGTAGTAATTTCAGTCAAATGAGAACAAAAACACCTTCCCAAAGCTCTTGTTTCTGCCTCCCCTCCACATTGAGAGTGATATTGGCAGATTCGCATCACGTACGTACTCAAGTGCTGTTTGGCTTGGATGGGAAAGGGGCACGAGGTGGCATTTCTAACACAAACACATGATCATGTGCTCAGCCTGCCGCTTCATTCCTTGTTAGCTCAGCCTGTTGGTAGGGGCATGAGAACACAGCTCCGGTGCCAGTCTGGCTTCAGCTGTGCTTCTCTACAGGGACATGACCTCCTGCAGCCAGATGGAGCCAGCTGCACACACTCACACAGCACACACACATCACATTATGTGCGGCTTTAGCTAAGCATACAAAGTGGTTTCGCTCATTTGTTCAGTTTCTAATGTGTCAGCCTAATATTGAATTTTGTTCTGCCTCTGCCAATTCTCTGCATGTCTGTTTCTCCTCTGTCAGATGTAAAGGCCCAGCCAAGAGAGAGACCGACACCATGGACACATTCGTGGACTCTGCTTGGTATTACTTCAGATACACAGACCCTCAAAACCAACACAGGTATGATCCGCCTCCTCTTAAAATGTCAATTTACTGTTTCAAAGCCGCTTTTGAATCATTCAAACCACCAAATTCAAGATTTTTTTATTTCTTTTCCTCCTACACCATTTTTATCCTCACGCCGGGACAGATTTTGTGCAGAAACAGGTTTTATTTACACTCTTGTTTGCTCAAATTAAAAAGCAATGAACAGAGAGAAGAAGCAGCACAAGTGTCTAAAACAGTGGGTGGATAAGCAAATCTGTCTGTTTTTAGATCTTTAAAAAAGACGCATTTTCCTCTGTGTAATCTGCGCTACAGCGTGCTAAAAGATGCTTTATTTCACACGTACTCTGGTCTGTATGTGCTGCAGGAAAGTTACACTCAAACATATAATTATGCTGCTCTCTGCAATATCACCCACTCTCTTCCACTTAACCGTTTCAAACATGTATAAAATGCCTGTGTGCACCCTCTTCATACACACACACACACTTGCCTTCGAAGTTGCACATTTCTAGCCGAGAGATTATGGAGCTATGGTCATCACCTGCTGGGATGGTGGCGATAGCCTGAGCCTTACAAAAGAGATTAATTTCCCAGTGGCCTGACCTCACTGTAAAGCTGCTTTATAAGAAAGCAGGACTGCTCTTCCCATCACTTTTCTTAGCCAGACAGATTATGGCACAACAGAAAAAGCAATTATGCTATTTGTGCATTTCAGTTAGCTTGCTGAGCCCTGCCTGTGTGTGGATAGGGGGGGAGAAATGATGAAAAAATGGAGGGAGAAGTTGTTAAAAGTAGGAAGTAAGAGGGATGAAATAAGAGGAGGATGTTAAATGGAAAAGTGTGTGTGGCGATGTATTGCAGCACCCTGGCCTGATGCCAACAAACAGGCAAATGTATTTTTTGGGCCTTCTGAGTCCATAACACTTTTCCCCCCGGTTCGATTATCCCAGGGAGACACCATCATCCAGGAGAGGCAGACAGGTGTAAAGAAGAGTAATGACTGTGAAAGGTGACACACAGAGATAGCGGGCTGTCCTGAAAAGCATCATTAGGTGGAATCCCGGTGTCTGCTGACCATCCTGCTGGTCAGGCTAAACACATGCAGCTCCATTGCTCCATTCTGAAAGACACAGCCCAGTCAGGTCATCTCAGATAGACTTACCTCCACTACAGCTGTTCACGTGTAGAGCAGAGTTTAGAGAGAGTCTTAAGGAACAGGCAGGGCCTCTTTAGGTTTTTTTTTGTTTTGCTTTTTGTTTTTTTTGTGAAGCCAAAGGGATGGAGAAACAACTGAGGGTTTTAGTTTCCTTGTTCTGTGAACCAGATTCTGTCTGCCCCCTAGAGGACATGTGTGAATATGTTTATAAAACACTGTCAGGTGTCTGAAAGCTCTATTACATACTGTATATTGTTTACAGACAAATGTCCATTTAGCTATTGAACCCAAACAACATACAAATACAACCTATTTTTTACTATTTTACTTTCAAAATAAATGTAGGCATACCTTTTTTTATTTGAAAACCTGTGCTAAATATTCTAGCATCTTAGTGATAACAATGTCCAGAATAACTGAGCAAAACCTCCAAATATATGAAATTAAAAAAGAAACAAGATCTAAAAAAGGCTTTAAGTTTAAAAATAACATTAACTTCAGGAGGAGAGAGATGCACTCCGCACATTTGGGCATAATGCACAAATAACTACAACACCATAAATATCTTTTAGTACAAATTCAATCCTAACCTCATATTCTCTTCCTCTTTTTCAACAGACCTTTTGAGCGCCGCCTTGCTGATCACTGGCTCCCCGTGGATGTGTATATCGGAGGCAAAGAGCACGCTGTCATGCACTTATACTATGCCCGCTTCCTGTGTCACTTCTGCCAAGATCAGGAACTCGTTGCCCACAGGTACAGCTCACAGTGTTTATGACCTATTCCTTTTGTGCACAATCTATCTGCGCATGCACGTATGCAAATTAATCCTCCTTTTTGTCTGATAGGGAGCCTTTCAGAAAGCTGCTAGTCCAGGGTCTGATCAAAGGCCAGACTTTCAAACTTGCAGACAGCGGCCAGTACCTGAAGAAAGAAGAGATACACTTCACAGGTACACACTACATGGATATGCCGGGTGTTTGTGAGTTTGACATGTGTGTAACAGATGGGACAGGAGAGGGTTTTGCTCCATGTTTTGAATCATGAGACCGTTTCCTTTTATTTTAAATGCTTTGTGACCATATGTGATCCCTGTAGTGCTGCTGGTATCATTCCCTCTCTGCTTTGAGACTGATGTGTTCTCCTCATTTAATACCATTTACTGCAAACTCATGTTCAATTACAAAGACGTCCTTTTGAAGAGAGGTAAAACTGGCTTCACTCCAAAGCATTCCAAGCTTTTCTCTGTTTATTCATTAAATGAAAGGCTGTTGGGTCCCAAAGAAAGTTTCATCTTGACCTTGGTGATAAACTCTCACTGAAGACTTACAAGCTTATCTTTTCTTTGCTTGTGTTTACAAGAGCCGACAGCAAACAGTAAGACTGCATACAAGTCATTAATTTTGTGGGATTTGAGTAAAGTTCTTGTGACTTTGTCCAACCAACACTGATCTCTGACTCCTGCCTCTTCCAGATAAGGAGCCAGTGGCACGTGGTGGGGGTCGGGTTGAGGTGACGTGGGAGAAGATGAGTAAGTCTAAACACAACGGTCTGGACCCACAGGAGGTGGTACAGCAGTACGGCGTGGACACAGTGAGACTTTACATCCTTTATGCAGCGCCACCTGAGCAGGACATCCTCTGGAATGTGAAGAGTGAGCTTTTTCATTCAACATTTAAAATTAGAAAGATGCTTGATGATGAATAGTTTCCAATCATCCATTTATGTATTTTTGGAAGCTGATGTTACAATATCAGATTTTTCCTTTGTGTCTTTGTTTTCACCACCTCAGCGGACGCTCTCCCTGGAGTCCTGCGGTGGCAGTCCCGGCTCTGGCAGCTAGTGACCAAGCTGAGAGGGACTCGTGAGCTCGGAGATACACCCGACCGCTCTGTGCTGAAAAAGAAAGAGCTGACAGAGGCCAAGAAGATCTGGGAGAATAAGAACTACACTATTCAAGAGGTAGCAGCCCAACAGCCCAGGACTGGTTTTGATGTAGTAGCTGACATTATTCAACTCTCAGATATTGTTTCTACCAGTAGGGGTCAGTAGGTGGCACACATCTAAAAACCTGAGTTTTCTTTGAAAGTTAGTGTTCGTCTTTCTTAATTAAGATAATTCACATTATAGCTTCTGTCACCTTGTATCAGTTCAGATTTGATTACCAATCATCGGTATTCATATTGTATTTTTATCCTCTTAATCCCTTGTACTTTTAGAAATCAAGGTAAAGAGCCTTTTATTCATTTACAAGATGCTGCATTATAACTGTAAGGTAATTTTGGCTTATTACACAGTCCTGAGGTTTAGCCTTTTCAGCCATCGTAATGTGAAACCCTTAGAGCAAAGAGTGAAGGAGAGGGAGGCGATGGAAATTGATTTCAAATCCACTCTGGCTCCTTTCACACTTTATAAATAGCCTCCTTTTGCTGCCAGGTTTGATTCTCTCCCCTCCCTTTGGAGCGGGTGCTTTTAAAGGACCTCAGGCTGTTTGCCAAAGGCCCCCAGAGTCGAGGCTGTTCTTTGATCCGTCCCTCAGAAAAAGCCTCGGTGTTCAACCTCCTCCTCTCTTGGGCCCTTCCCAAATGAGTTCCTCTTCCCAGAAGGCTAAGCAGGGGGATGTTGACTCTGTATCTTCAGTTAGTTCACACACTGATAACAGGAAAGGGCTTGTTATTGTTTTCTAATAATTCTTCAAGAAAAGTACTTCCAGAGCTTGTTCCTCAGATCATGTCATCTTTAATGGCTACCTTTTTTTGTTGTTCCTTTCAGGTGACATCTCACTTCACGGAGGACTTCCTTTTTAACACAGCCATTTCTCGCCTGATGGGACTCACCAACACACTGACTGTGAGCGTTTTCCCCTTGGGGCACATGGAAATAAAAATGTCACAGTAATTGCTTAACACCTTGATATTTCTACTTCTCCCCCTTTTTTTCATGCTCAGGGTGCAACAGTCAGGGTTATGCAGCACAGTGTGGAATTTGAGGAAGCTCTGGCTGCACTCATCATGATGACAGCTCCCATGGCCCCTCACCTGGCCTCTGAAGTTTGGGCAGGTTAGTGACATGGGATTTAATCCCAAAAAATTTACACAAATAGCTCTGCAAAACTGGAAATTGAACTAAGCATGTGTTGTTAGTTTATTACAGTTTTTTTTTCCTTTATAAGTCTAGAAAAATAATGACAAATGATATTATAGACTAGAGGTTATGGTACCCCCCCCCCCCAAAAAAAAAAATAAATAAATAAATAAATAAATAACTTTATTCCTATCATATCTCTGCAGGGATGCTTGTAGTTTTTTGATATGAAACTTAAAATTGTCCCTCAAGTATAAAATCAATAAGTGACATTTTAGATGCAGCACAGGAGTTTATGGTGTCCTTCATGGGTTTGCACAGCTAGTTTTTAATCAAATAAGGGACAATAATCAGAATTAGCTGTTGAGACTTAAAAAAACTGCAGAAAAGAGGGAAGACAAATAAATTGTACACACAGCCTAAAATGTGAATATGTTTTGAACATTTCAATCACTCCCTCTCTCTTTAAGGTGCAAAAGTGGAGTGAGCGCACCTTGTTTTTTTATTTTTACAGGGCTAAAGTTTGGTCACACCAGACATGGATGGCACAAAATCATGTTGTTCCTCCTTCATTTCTGTGTTTTGAAGAATTTCACCCCTTTTTTGCACCTGGCAAAAAAGTGCAAAGGCTATCACTTTTTGTAAATGTCTTTTGAGCTGCTGTTTAAGAATAGAGTATGTGAGGTCTGTGGTGAAATGAGGCCCCATCTAAATGTTGTAAGAGGAAGTTGCTACAGATAAACGTAATGTTGATGCTCCTCATCTTATCCCAGAAAACACCCAGGACTGATGTAATCACCAGCCAACATGTCAGTAAAAACACCTCTTTTTTTTCCCTTTTTTGCCTGTGTAACAAGAATAAGAAACGGGACATAAAGTTCACACACTGTCTGTGGATGGACGCACTTGTAACAGCTCTTAGCTAAGCGTAAAAAAAACAATGCAAAGGGAGATCTCAGTTGCCTTTCGTGCCTTGCCTGAAGTGCTTGCCCCCGCACTGCCCTGATGGAGGACATCCTTTTATTGTCGATGACACACGTACGCCAGAGTTCTGCTCACAGCTGAGAGAAAAGAGGTCCCCCTGAAACATATTGTCCAGCTGATAGCTGCAGGAAAGGCTGATGCATTATCACCAGCAGGAAAAGGTGCGTGTGTGCGTGTGTGTGTGCGTGCGTGCGTGTGTGTTTTAATGAATGTCTGTGAGTGTTTGTTTTGATTATATTCACATGTGTGGATTTTTTTTAGACAGGGCTTCTAAGTCAGAGAGGAACTTGTGACCTGTGCTGTATTCAGTCACGTTATGCTTTTCACTATCCCTCACACACACACACACACACGCACGCACACACACACACACACACACACACACACACACACACACACACACACACACACACTTGCGTACAGAAGAGGAAGTTCACATCCTTCCCTCGTGCCTCTGGGGGAGGCACACTCATGGGTCTAAATGTGGTGAGGGTGGGGTTTTATTTGACCCTTCACTGTAAACAAAAAAATGAAAACAAATATTAAAAGAAATCTATAAAAAGTAAGAAATAATGTTTGAAAATTTTTGAAATTCTCTGGTTATCTCAAAAGTATTTTCTTTTTTCTTTCCTTTATATTTCGCGTCCTGCCCTTTCAGCTGAGTTGCGTAACAGCTGTTAAAACCTCAGTAAGGACAGCATGTCTGATGAGCAGCTGCTGCTGTTTGATCTGTTGTCGTCCTGAGTTTCCTCTCTGGTTTCTCTCTTAGGTCTTTGCCAGGTGCAGAACCCCCTCAGCCCTCTTCTCCAGCGGGGAGGAGACGTCCTGCAGCAGCCTTGGCCAACAGTGGACCCTGAATACCTGGATGCCCCTGACTTTGTGGAGCTGTCTGTACTGGTAAGACCCCACAGACACGCACGTTTTTCCTTTGATAGTTTTCATCTGTTGTGTTGATTTCTGCCACAGTTGTGCTCATAAAACTTTTTAAAATAGAATGAACCGGATGAACAAAATGGAAAAACACTGTCATTAAGCTCAAGACAAAGCTTTTCTATTCTGAATTGCCTTTAACATATCAGGCTTTCATCCAGCTGCAGCCCTCTGCTCATAATGCATACACAACTGTTATTAATGCACATTTTCACACACTTTTGGTCCTGAATCCACTTGCATTTTCTCTGAAGTACCCAACTCTTTTAAACCAACGTCTTAGGTCCATGATTACACTCAAAGTCTGTAATTTCAGAGAGAGCCTATGATTACCCAATGTGTGTGTGTGCATGTGTGTGTTTATGAGTCTGCATGTCAAGTGCTGCTCTTGATGCTAAATACACAAATGAGTCAATAATTAAAAGCCAAGAACAGAAAGTCGGTATTATTCCTGACTGCCTTACCAACATTTTTGTGGGTCTTTGTTTTTTTGCTCATGAGCTCAGTCACACAAATAGTGAAAGCCCTCTGCTTTGCAGCGTGTGTCATCATGAGGAATGAAAGTGTGTATGCATATGCATATGTGTGTGTGTGTGTGTGTGTGTGTGTGTGTGTGTGTGTGTGTGTGTGTGTGTGTGCGTGTGCGCGAGACAGAGACAGCACTTTCAAAGGTTTACGTACAATCAGAGAGAATATCCAGCTGTGAAGTGATCCCGGCATTTCAAATACTAGTACAGTTTGCGCAGGAACACACATGCTCACACTAACACACGTCAGCTTTCAGACTCATTTAGAAGATAAAAGCTTCAACTGCATTAATCTGACTGTTTTCCAATGAGAGGGTCGTATCCCTAGAAAGTTCCAGCTAATCCCCTCACACTGACACACAAACACACACGCATGATGTGTGAGGACAGCAAAGGCAGCCAGGTGACAGGCAGCACCTGTCTTTGGTGTGTTGAATTTTTCCTCTGTACTCTGACAGAGAGGCAAGAAACCACAAGACAAGAAACCTGAAGTGTGTGATGTGTGTGCCGGGTTTGTAGTGCTATCTTTGAGAGGACCTGTTTCAACTTTCCTCTTTGTTCACCACTTCAAAGGAAAGTTCGAAGGCAAAGGTTAGAGTTAGGTTGTGGTTAGCATTTGGATTGGGATGCATTACATCAATCAGGGCCTTAGCATGTAAACAGAGTCAAAAGTCTGTACGTGTACAACTCTGGTTTATCTGCACTCCTAGAACAAAACTGTCATTTTCTGTCATTGTTATGGAGCTGTTAAAGAATTTATTTTTTAGAAGTGTGATTATTTGATTCATTTCAATATAGATAATTGAGATTTTAACAACTTATACAGGTAAACGGGGATCTCCATGCCAAATAACTTACCCAGAGTAGAAGGAACATGAGTGCGAAAAACAACAACAACAAAAAAAAAAAACATGACATTCACACTGAAATCACTTTACTGTGATTTTATTGTGTGTCAAGTTTTCCTTCAATAGGTGATATGTAGTATTTTAAAGCACAGTGGCAGTTGGAAGATGCTATGATGGTTTAACTACAGTGTGTGTAAAGGTCTTAAAAACACAGTATTTTTTTTTTAATCGTTTAATTGCTATGGGATCATATTTACTTAAAGAAGAAAACACACTTTGTTTTCTAAATTAACAAAGCAATCATCTCAGAATTATTAGAAATTTTTACACTCAAACATTTTTTCTCTCTTTTAAACACAAACATCATAATCTTGCAAGAATCCTGATCCATCTTCCCTCAAACACTCACAAATACCTACATGAAGTCATAATTCAGCTCCTGGTGTTCACTGATGATGATAATGATGATGTTGGATTTCCTTCAATCTGCGCTCGCTCTCTATTGTGGGCTTCCTCGGCCTTGTGGAGGCAACCTCTCTGCTTCTGTCGTCCTTCTAATCACATAGCAGGGTTTGTTCCTGAAGGAGGCCAGAGATGAGTGGCCTCAAACACACATGCACAAATACGCACAAATACACACAGCGCTCTCCAAATGAACACCATTAATTTCTGTCTGCTTTCAGAAACATGATCACATTGAGCGTGTGCACACATACACTTGCCTCTAAACATTACAAGACTGAAAGCCCTTCCCATACCTACCACTAACTATGTGTTTAGAGGGTTCACTGTACTTGTGGAAAGAGAGGTGGAGTCTTTTATTTTGGGTGTGTTTGCCAGTAAGAAAAAAAGTTTGAGTACAGCTTGCCAGGGCATGGTGGAGTCTTGGTAAAATGGGAAAATCAGTAAACAACAGTAACTGGCATTCAGTCTATTTCTTGCTTCATTCTTACCCTCAGATCAACAACAGGCTGTGTGGGACAGTGACTGTGCCTCTGGAGGTGTCCAAAGACTCGGAGCTGGTGCAAAAGCTGGTCTTGGAGAGCGCACTGGGACAGGAGCATCTTGGGGATCGCAGCATCAAGAGAGCAATCCTCTCGCCAAGGACTGCCCTCATTAACTTTCTCACTAATGAGTGATGTTTGTGCACTTACATCTGTTAGATAAGTACAGTCACTCAGCAGGCAGGGGGAAACAAAAGAGATAGACATTATAACACCATGATGAAGTTTTTTACATAAACTGTCACTGTAAATATGCCCAAACAGGTTTAATTTATATTTTCCTGCTTTTTTAATAAAAGAAAATTTAAAAGTAATGGATTTCTTTGCTCTTTTGGAAGAGACACTGAGTAGTTTCACATATTTTGTTTCACTCTTGTTCATCACGACGGCTTCACACCTCTCCTCTCTGCAGTATTCCTGTCTGCTCAGTGTCCCTGCTTTGTTACACTGTCTTGATTTGCCTCATCAGTGTTTGTTTCAAACTGCTGCTGCTGTTTTTAGCCACTCGCCTCCTCTGAACACCATACACAAGCTGCTGTTTGGCTTCTGGACATTCAGCTGGGCTCTGTGAACTGTGCAGCCTCAAGGTCCGTTTGAAGTCAATGAAGAGTCCGATGTGGTCTGGGATTTTTTTATTTTTTTTTTCAGCTTGCTTCCATTCAGTTCAGTCCACTGCTGCCCATTCATCAGTTTAGTTTCTCTGTCTCAGCACTGGGTCAACATGACTCACCAGCAGAGCAGAGCTGTGCTGGCAGAGCACACGCCCCATCAGCACTGAAATGTATCCATGTGTATACCCACCTGCCTATCTAAAAAGACCGGGTGAGTAAGCAGTTATTTGATATGTGAACACACTCAGTCCCCACATGACCTTTGAACACGCTTGTCTTAAAGAAAACTGTCACAATTTGTGGTAAATGTTCAATGAAGGAATCGGATCTCTTTAAGGATTCATGTTTATCACTGTATAGGGGAAGATGTTTAGCTTCTGCTTCTTATTATGCTGTTTCCCATCATCTTATAAATGGGCAATGTGTTGTTCATCGGAATTTTATTCATAAAAAAAGGAAGAAATGAGCCAAAACAACATTCCTCACTGATCTCTCTGACTTTTTCCCTCATTTTTTTGTGCTCTATCTTTGACCATCAGGTGACAGGAAATAGCTTGCAGGAGAGACAGAATAACAGGAAAAGAAAGCAGGAATATGAGGAGGGAAGCAAAGACCAAAAACTGTGCGTGTGGTTATTCTGTGTATTGTCTCGGATTCTGGAAATCTAATCTCAAACAGACGCTGTCACAGCACAAAACAGACAGTGAGTACCAGACAAAAACAGCTTTTTCAACTCATATTTTTTTGGTGCACCTTCACTATTCATTGCCAGAAGCCTGATTCTTTTCTGAGACTGAAAGCTTTTTTTGTTTTTTTGTCATTTTAAGCAAAAGATTTTACTTATTTTGGAAAGGTTTGAAATGCCAATAAACACAGACGTTAAAACCTGTTGCATTAAACAGATAAGAATAGTAATTTAACTGCTTTGTACCCAGTTAAATGACGTCTGTGCTGTACCCCTGCTTCCCCCCCTAATAGTAATTAATTTTTGTCTCCAGCAGCCCCTGGAGCCATTTAACACTTTTTAGAGTGCTCTGCAGTTTCCATGACGACTACAGTGATTGAATAGGCAACAGTGCTCCTCTGTGACTCACTTTCTCTCCAGACCACAGTCATAGTCTTTATTACACATGAGATATACCGCCAGGATTGTGTTTGATGACTTAAAGAAAGTCGCTCTTCTACTTCATAAGGAACTGCAGCGGAAAGTAAGGGTGGAGCCTGGTCACATTCACCCTTCATAGCACCAGTAGAGTCCCTGTACTGGGCCATGTATTCTCACTGGGCTGTGGTAATGCCACAGCTTATTATCTCAGAGTCTAGCCTTCAGGCTGGTCATTTGGTTATCTATGGATATCTTTGTGTGAGCTAATCATGTATTTAATGGGATCTATGTATTTGCATGCAGCGGTGTCTTTTAAGAGTGAAATCAAATGTCATCACATGCTGTTTTATAGCTTTAGATCTCAGCGTTTTCAAAACTTCAAAGTAAAAGCCATAAAGTCACAGAAAGCAAGAGCTGTTCTGTTCAAATTTAACACAAATTTGCAATTTTGTATGCTTTTGCCCTACTGTCATATGCTTAACAGCAGAACAAATTACTCGCCAGTCTGCAGGCAAATATAAAGGGTGTTGTTTATGTGACAAGAGTGGATTCAAATGGATAAAGCTTTTTCATTAATTATAACTGATATGGCTTCCTGATTCTCATACAGCAGCACCAAATACTCATATAAAAGTAGGGCTACCTCTTATTGACCTGCAAAAACTAAATGAATACCATCATCTTAAAAAAGGAAAGGAAATTTTAATCCCTTACACTAACTGTGTGGAGTGCCTGAGCTCTTAAAAAGAAATATTTTTTTTCTCATTTTACATGGTGCTGATTACAAACCTAGTCCAAATTACTTTACTGTTGAAACCAAATTTCTCTTAGTTCTCAGAGAATGCTGTTTGTTGTTTCAACATGTTTAAATAAAGCTCAACCTATAAAAAGGACTTGCAAAATATATATTTCACAGTACAGGTTTCTATTACTTTGAAATCTGACAACCTGTGCCTAAATAAGAGAGCGATTGAACATATATGTGCAGATGTATCTTGTCGTCATGCGCATGTAAACTTCTCTTGTGTAATTCTGTTTTTGCTAAAACAGCAAATATTGGATCCATCTCGTCTTTGTAGCTCTTTGTCTGCTCTCAGAAAATTTTATAAATGCATGATAACAATCTTTTTGTTAAATCAACCAGTTTTCGTGTTAACAATACATCAGGGAGTTTCTCAAGAATAATACCCGCTTCTGTTTTTAGGGATTCAGTGTGTGGATGAAGTTTTAGCAAATTAGGCCCTAATGCCTCAAGGACACGCTATGTATGCCGACTGTTTCCTAAAAATACAGATGGCTGTGATTTATAAACGCTCTGTTTTAATTACATAACCCATAGCAGCCTACAGGCCTCCTCAACCTATTGACTCGTTTTTTTCTCATCAACTGCTCTCAGAGATTATACGCACACTCGGCTCCATGCAGGACACAAATTAAATGTGTTTCTTGTTTGTTGAGATGTTGAGCCTTTTTTTCCATACACACTATGATTTCATCCTTTTGCACCCCGGCTCTGTCTCAAAGATTCCAGCTAGGGTCAGTACACAATAAGTAGGGGCTACTGTGTGTGTGTGTTTGTGTGTATGTGTGTGTGTGTGCACATGTGTTTCATAAGCAGGAATGTGTGACATCATTCAACCAAAACAGAGGGGGCATAGGCACTGCAAATAGTCCCTGCTGACCACAAAAAATGCACACCCATGCATAAGTTACAGTATGGGTCTACTCTACCAAAGATGCTATGTGAGAGATTTTTTTAAAGTGTATTTATAGTGTCATTATTGAAGCTTGTAGCTATCCAATCAGTGGAGGTAAGACTGTTTTGAATGTCTATCATATTTAAGTGTTGTTGGAAGTACTCTGAGACCAGCCTGAAGCATTTTCTTCATGCATCCCAAAATCATCACCCAACTCCCATTTGCTTTACTTTAGGTTTCCGGCTCCTTCACCACAACTCAACCCTATGCTGTAGAACTATTTATATTTTCACTAGGCTTTAAAAATAGCAATATCACATTGTGAAACACAACATTATATTTAAACCTCTGAAACTGTGTTTTAGTGAAACCTGTTGTTTGGTAAATGACGTCAACTATGACTGTGAAAAGCCAGAATTCCTAATTACAGAAATATGGCTCCTCTATGTTTCTTCACAACTGACTAAATTTATAACTAAACCTCTAACTAAAGTATTGACTCTATTTGGCTACCATTTATAACTGTATTTCTAGGGATTAATAAATATTGGTGGTAATTGAATCAGGGGCATGTCTAGAGAAGGGGCAGGGGTGGCATGTGCACCCTTCAAAATCCATCTGACCCACCCAAAATCCTTAACCATGATTTGCTATTTACCTTGACAGCATAAGTACTTACATGAAATCAACTATCTGACTATATTCATCTGATAAAAGAAAATGAAACAAATGGGGGTTCCAGGTCCTTCGACTCTACTTCAAGCTGGCTGCAAAAGCCAAGGTGACATACATAAAGGCCAATTTTTACTGAAAATTAAAACATGCTTACAGCCTTATGCAGTTAACACACTGTTTGGCGAGTGACTTATCGATAACATATTTATTAAGTTAATAAAAAAGAGATCAAAATTTTTCATAATTGAGTGCATGACTGAGTTACATGGCTGTCAGCATCCTGAGCCTCAATGCTCAGTGGATTAACAACATGTGCAAGTTACTTCTTTGCCAGAAAAACTGTCCTGGACACAACTACAGGGTCAGAGCATTGTGTAAAATCAGTGGGGGGTCTTTCCATAGTATAGTTTTTATGTTTGTAATAGAAACATGGCTGACACAGAGTAAATACAGCCCAAACTTTGTAACTTTAAGTGTATTTTTTTGTCAATATCTCGTTATAAAATTGAGTTGGTTTCACTGCTCTTTGCTGACAGTCTAAATGTTATCTGTCCACATGTACATCAAAAATTTAAGCCATCATACAGCCAATACTCCTGCATGAAGCACCACTAGCTACCCCATGGTAGTAATTTTGTTCATGAAAAATCATTACTAAAATGCCTTCACCTCATCCTGATGGGTTTTTTCCTTTTTTACTTCATAGAGATACATTGATAGATATTTCATGCTGTTTTAAAACCTGCTACAAACTCATCACAGGGGCTTCATGGAGTGTAATAGACCGATCACTATGTCCCAACTCTATGTTGTATGTAAAAGTAAATATACACTTGGGAATAAAACATCAGAAAGGCTCCTTTTTTGGCTGAGTTAATGTGATTATTGGAGATTTTAAAATGGCAAATACATGCTATTCACTCATACAACTCACCTGCATAGGTGAGTGCCCCAGGTGGGCCAAGGAAGACAAAATGTCATTACACACCCCTGTAGTTCACCAGCTTTATGACACGTTCCTTTATTTGTTGTAAAATATTAACTGGTAACTTAAGTTGTCAAATATACTTAGTGAAAGTAGCTGCCTGCTGAGCTTTTGGGGAGAAAGAAGAAGAGACTTGGTTGAGTCTGTCTCAAGTAGTCTGTTCTAAGTCACCGCCAAAAATCTCGACCGTCAGCCCTTTAATTTAACGCTGGAATATAAAATTACCGAAGTGTTCTGCTGACTCAAAGAGAAGTGGCTGAGTCAACTGGCTTCTTGTGATATTTTAAAATATGACACAGGATGTGAAGGTCGGTTCTGAGCGGAACCAGCAGGCGAATGACTGCCCCCAGGTTCCGCTATTTTAAGAAAAGACAGAGCAAGTTGTGAATGTCAGTTTACACTCGTGCCGGACTAATGAGTCAAGTGCTGGTCTGAAGTGAACTTGTCCGTGTGCTTGGGTTTTATTTGCTCCTACTGCACCTTTAAAAAGAAACTGTTTTCAGTCCCCACTGACGACCGTCCGGCGGCCAAGTACAGCTCTTTACTTAAACGGTTATCTGCGCGCGGTTCTTTAACAGTGGACCACTTTGTCAGATAACGGTCGCTAAATTAACGATATATCAACTTTTTTAAACTACTTTTAAGGTGTTTTCATCGTCATTTTCCCGGTAGGCGTGTGGTGGATAAAGTTTGAATGAGGCTTCCCTGCTGGGACTGTAAAGCAGGGAGGAGGAGGAGGGGGCAGTTAGCGGGGTCGTCCAGGCTATCGGATCTTGGATCTGCTCACACTTAAAATCAGACAGACGGAGGACTGTTCGGAGCAGAGCAAGGACGGACGGACGGACGGACTGTTTAAAACCGAAGTGGACGCGGACTTTTGACTTATAATTTATCCATACCGGTCGATAACACGGACGGGAAAGTTTGGGAATAAGAGAAAAGTTTCACCGTGGGTCTGGACGCCTGTCTCCTGACTAAACTTCGAGCTCCCGACTGTAAGCATATAATTCACTTTGAACATACTGAGTGCATATACTGTGCGACCATAGATTTAATATCTTATTGTACTCGATTGAAGCACACGCAAAAAGTCGTCGACATGGATAAATACGAGGATTTAGGACTTGAGGCGAGCAAGTTTATCGAGGATTTAAACATGTATGAAGCATCCAGAGATGGTTTATTTCGAACCAGGAGGGATGCAGGAAATAACCCCGACTTTGAAGAGACAAGAAGAGTTTTTGCGTCCAAAATGACAAAAATACACATGCAGAAGCATCAAGAGGAGATGGCAAAAAACAACATGTCTATTAAAATGAATGGGGGTCACAACAGCAACTTTTACACCAAAGACAGACCGCCCATCAACAGTTACAGACAGCCGGGTGAAGCGGCAGCGAAGCCCCCGATTCTCTCTGGCCCAGTGCCGGGCATCGCGGCTGGCAATCAGTACGCACAGTTGGACGGCCAGAAACACCTCACAAGCACTCAGACTGAACTTCCAGTCAGCAGGGCGTATGGCTACGGAAACAATTATGATAATAAGGAGCGTTTAGAGCCACATTCATACCAGCACAGCACTCCTGCTCCACACAGCCCTGGAAACACTTCTCATCACCTTTCACCAACTTTGTCTGGGTCTGGTTGCAACATTTCATCTCAGCAGCAGCCCCAAAGACAGCCTGCTTCTCCCTCGATTAACAGCCTCCCGCCCCAGCTGAATCAGGCTCTCACCAGGAGTCCACCCTCCTCTGCTGGTCCAGTCAGGGAATGGTCTGGAGACCCTGCAGGCTCACCAAAACCAGACCTCATCCCTGCTCTACCTCTGAGTGCCTTTACCGGGGGAGCTGACTTTCAGAAGCAACAACAGCAGCCTTCCACACAACCTTCGGCCCATTATTCACCACCTTCTCCAACTTCCAGACCCTCTGCCAGCCACAGTGGTGCTGTGGTAGCTTCCATGCTCTTACCTACAACTCCTGAAATATCCCAAGCCAAAGCACAAGGGACACCTGCTAACTTGATCCCTGGAAATGTCTCCAAAAGCAGTAACAAAGTTCAAAGTCAGAGCCAAGTACCCAGTTTTGGACAGGCCACCAGTGCTACATCTGAGGTACCATGCCCCACCAAGCTTGTTCAACTACCCTGTCAGCCTCTCCTCTCACAACCCCTGGAGCAAGGGCCTTCTGCAGCTGAAATCAAACTAGAAGCCCTCACACAGCGGCTGGAGAAGGAGATGGACACCCAACCAAAGGCTGACTACTTTGGTAAGGCAGTTTAGACAAGAAAGCACCAACAAGGCGCTTCTGTTTGGTGGGCAACACTGAATGACAAAGCCACCCAGCTACAGTTCATATCCCCTTTTTGTTTTCATATTTATTTTTAACATGTCTGCACTGTCACATTTTCTCAATCTTTGTCTCTCTCTCTCACACAGACACATTTGTTGTTGTGTCTTTGGCTGAAGTTTGTCATGAACACAGTTATGTCTTTTCTTTGTGAGGGCACTCTTGATGGCAGATTAAATAACTGAACTTATTATTCAGACGCCGTAGGAGGCGTCAGTCTTTCTACTGTGGAATGCAGACTGAATAATTCTCTAATTTGTTCATGTCTTTTCTTAAATGATTCATTATCTGCCCTTCTTGGCAGCTGAACTCTTCAGCAGTAAAAGGTGGGGCCAAGGCCCAAAGGACAAATGGTTTCCTCTTATCTCCTCTGGGACATTTAATGGATAACTAGGTAAAGCTTGATCACCTCTGTCTGTCAGACCTGTGATCCTTTAACTCTGGGGTTGTTTTAAAGTTCCCAGCTCAGTTTGGTAAACTAACAGTGGCGCTTATTGTTCTCCTTATGTCACTCCTGCAGCCATGTGCTTGTATTTTTCTCATGACTTGACGCATATAGATTTATGCAAGTGATGAGCACATACTCACAGGGAGAGTGACCACAAAAAACAACAACTGTAATGGTTTGTTTTGCCATTTTGGAAGTTCATTGGGAACAGTTAACTGAAGCTGTGATTTCTTCATCCTGTTTTGTTCCCACCAACCATCTTTATGCTAAGTGTTTACATTTTGATAGTTGAGTGGTCCTGGTATCAAATGACAAGCATAGTTTAAATCTACAATGCTCTTACCTCTGTGTGATAAAAGGGAGAAAAGATGACCATAAACACAAAAGTGGAAGTATGAGATAGGCTGGATGTTGAAAAATGTCAATAATCAGCAGATTTCGCTGGTTTCTGTTCCTCATATCGCCGCCTGCAGCGCCTCAGCTGCAATATCTGGACAGTTGGAATGCTATCAGGAAATTGATAGTGTATTAAAAAACAAATGCTCTGCTGCAAGGTCAGCTGACATACTGTTATCAGAAAAATAACAAGCAGGTTCAGATATATTCTGAGTTTCTGGTTGAAACTTGTTGCAGAGAAAACTGGTCATCTCGTGGTGACCATGCATTTGGAGCTCAGGTCATTCATAACAGCAGTGAGAGGAAGAGAGCATGAGATGGGTCTGTAAGGCCATGTGCCCCCACCCACCCACACACACAGGCTCACTTACAGGCCACCCTCGCCTCCCTGCTAGAAGAATTTCCCGCTGGAATGTCACGATGGTGGTTCACAGCTCCCTGATGTGCTTCGTAGGCCTGTAAGGGAAGATGTTCTGGCGTACGTCACAGTCACGACAAGGTTCTTAAATAGCGCAGAGATGCGAATGTTACGGATGTGTGGGAGAGCACGGTCAGCATGCAACCAGCACAAGTGTAGGTTTTGATGTAACACCGTGTATGTCTTCTTTCATGCATATCCACATTCCCACAGAGCCCACACGCACTGTTTCTTTATGGAGTTTCCCTACTAGACCGGCTCATCCCCTGAGTCATGCTTTCATGTCAGACAAAAAACGTGTGTGGGCTAGTTAAGACCTGAGTGTTATCATAAGAAACCCACATTGTTACAAAATGAATCCGCATACAGACTTTTGAGTTATGATAGACCCATTTATATATATATAGATTTTAGGATAAAGCTAATGTTTCTATGAGCCAGATGTGCTTTCAAAAGTCTGTACCACTGCCATGGCAGTTTAAAACGCATCCAGTGAGCTGCGTTCATACACTGGACTTGGATCCATCAGAATTCCCAACTGTCCACGTTGTACTGATTGGCATAGCTGCAGCTGGAGGTTCTGGGAAAATGAGTCTGCTGCCAAACGGCTGCATCGAGGGAACACAGAGGAATGTCTGAAGGAAGAAAGAGAGAGGAATTTTACAAATGAGCTCTTAATATACAAAGGGGAGGGGAGTCCCAGACCAGTTTAGGGGTGCCTGCAGTGCAGCTGAAAAGATGAGTTGACAAACAGAGAGATTTAGGGACAAGTTCTCGAAGCCTCTTTGTCCTTAGCTGCAGGAGGCTGGGAGGACGTGAGATTTATCGACAAGTTCATCCCAGACAGAGAAGAGTGGTGGGAGATCCTGGTGATCCGCCTCCCTTTTTTTTCTCCCCTGACTTCTACACACAAACCCACACTCATATACACACACACACATACATTCAGCTGTGTTAAGTGTTGTGTAAAGATGGAGGATTAATTTATCCCATCTGGCTGTAGAGTGGAAAGCTTCATCATGACTCTTCCCAGAGATTCTTGGCTTCTGCTTTGGCAGACTAGCAGGCTGAGTTTTATAGGTGTGTGTCTGTGTATGTGTGTGTGTCTGTGTGTGACTGTGTGTGTTGTCTATAAATATGGCCTGGGGTATTTGACTGAATGTGTTATGTTTTGTCACTTTTGGGTGTGGTGTTACTGCTTTTTATGGTGGAAATTTAGAAAATGTTGCCATTGGTAACAGCATTTAATTCATGTATTACAGTGAACATTGGCCTCTATTCTGGATGTGCCAAAGGTAGACTTTAACACATTTATATATGAAAAAGTTCATTTTCATTGCACAGCCCCCAGAACAAATAATGAAGTTGATCATCTTTCTTTGTTGGTGAAGAAATAGCACTACAGGCACATAAATATTAAGCTACCAGCTAGAATAGCCTGAAAGTCTAGTTAACTCTGTCTCACAGACTGTTGTCGTGTTTTATTGTAAGACTTGCATAAATAGTAGTTTGCAGTCTCAAAACAGTCTATATTTTTGGTTAGGAAATAAACAGTAGGCTTTTTGAGAATGGTAAATGGAAAGTGACAGGTAAACAGAAGCTAGCTAAATGCTTAAAGTAAGCTTAAACAATGTATAAACAACAAAATGGCTAGCTAGCTAGCTAGCTAGATATGTTATTTATCTCTAAGAGAAATTTACAGCTGAAAGAAGAGGATAGATTTTTTTAGATAGTAGTATGAAACAAATGGCCAACAGTTAAAAGAAAGTGAGGTTGGAGTAAAGCATGAAAAGCTACAATGGTGAGCTGAACACTTAGATAATTTTAATTAACTTGATGGTGAGGCGATGTTGAATCCAAATAAAGCTTTGGAGCCTTGCAACTCAGTCTATGAAACGTTTCAGATACTTAAGTATTAAATACATTTGGAGGTGAAGGTTGGCTATCAGGTAATTTGTTGGTCAATGAACCTGAAATCTTATGGCTAACTGTTGTTGTGATCTCTAACCAGCTGCTACAGTCTGCTGCAGAGGTTTTGTTTTCATTCAGTGGCATGTTGGCTAGCAAGCAGACATTTACTGAAAGTTTTGACAGCTGGGAAAGGTGAGGGAGAGTCGGGGGGCTGAAGTTTTGGCTGCATGTTTTGCTTCCCCTCCCCCCCTGTATGAAGCAAGCATTCAGTCTCCTGAAGAATCACACTGTTTTGGAACTTGGGACCATAGCCAAAAGCAGATTTTTAGTGGCCCAAGTGGTAAGGAGGTGAGTATAAAAAAGGGATTCAAAAAGAAATTGGATCCAGAGTTCCAGATTGCAACTCAGCAAGCTGTCACACAGTGGCTTTGTTAGTTTGAGCACATGGCTGCATTGCCATGTTTTCATGAAAACTTACCAGCTTACATAAGAACAACATTCCTTTGTCTTCTAATAATATCCCTCTATTATCTCAGAATCTTGTCTCCAGCTGTTGGGGCCCCTGATGATGTATCCTCTGTTGTGGAATTAGGAGAGACCTTAGATGAATTATATATAGCCCTGTTATATATTGTGCTACTGACAGTGTATGTAAAGAGACATTTGAAGAAGGCTGCTAAACATAACAGTGTGTTTTTTGAGGGAGGCAGCCGCGTGATGAGTATTGGATACAGTGGAAACAGAAGTTTCTTTGTCAGTGTTCGAGGAGGTCCAGGGCTGAGCTGGGCTGGGCTGGGCTCTTCTGCTAAGCTCTGTTTCTCTGTCTCCAGGGTTTTTTTTTTTTTAAATTCTCTATAAAAGCACACACTCAAATAACCTTGTGCACAAGTACACAGACCTTGCACTAAAAGGATGCTCAAGGTCTTGCTTTCATCTTGTGCCACAGGCGCCTCTGCTAGTGTTACTTTGACTTAATCCTTTTTGATTGGATGGTTGTATCATACCATTACTAATTGATTTAGCAGCAAGCTGTCTGCGGGGCGGTCACTTGTCACAACCCATATGTCACTCGTCATATTATACTGTGTCATACAGAGCTTGCTTAAATGGAGAGATGGAGATGGGCAGTATCAGAGCAATCAAAGATCATGTTTTCACAGCAGGTTTCAGTACAGTTTTTCAGCATCCTCAGCGGCTCTTGTAAGAAAATTGTTGTGTATTGATCACATAGACACCCCGTGTTGGTCATGAGCTGTCCAAAGTCAAAGGAGAGATTATGTAACATTTCTCTGCATGCTCTCTTGGAGCTGCTCTTCTTCACTTGAGAAAGGAGACTCCTGCTTCCATTAATGCATTTTTGAGGTTCTCATTTTCATACTTTTCTAATTAAGTTTAATGAATGGTTGATACAAAAGAGACTCCAGTGTCTCATTGACTGTGCTTGTTGTAAGAGTTGGACTGTTTGGATTTCTATCAAAGACTTTATTAACAGACTTCTCAGTCTCTGAGCCAAGTCAAATAAGCAGAGAGAGATATATTTCCTATTTCCCCGTTCAATGATACAGCCTGCTATCTAACTTCCTGACCTTTATGAAGGGATATTTTTCCTCTTACCCCCATTGTTTTGTCTGGTTTAATCTGGATCACAGCTTTCACAACTCTCTAATCCCCTTATCTTACTACACCACTTTCTCAATTTCTGCTCCTAATTTAGTCATTTCTATGTGTGTCTGTCTGTGACTTTCCTGACTCACTCTTTTGCTTTGTTGTGTTTTAGGAGTCTGTGTCAAGTGCAACAAGTCAGTGTATGGAGCCAGCCAGGCCTGCCAGGCTATGGGTAGCCTCTACCATGACTCTTGCTTCACCTGCAGCGCCTGTAGTAAGTACAAACACGGCTGTTCTTTACCAAGACTCGCACTTCCTGTCAAACACTTTCACCTTCTCTCTGTGTTGTCAAGCTCGTCTCTTCCTGACTAATTGGCTGCCAAAGACTCATTCTCTAAAATCAAAAGTGGTACCTTCCTCTTCAGTTGTGCGCTGGCCCAAGCAAAAGCACACAATTATTTAGAGATTACTGTCATGTACTGCTAGTGTTTGGTATCTGGGTGTGCCAGTCACTCCTACAGCCCACACTAAAGCACACAGGGCGAGCCTTTTTGCAGATTTAGTTCACGTACCAGACGAAAAACATCCTCAAGAATACCCTCATATGGTATTGTATAGTTAACTTTTACAGCCAAACATCAGGTTTGTGAGAAATAGTGGGGATTGTAAGCATAAGCAAACAATAATGGCTTGTAGCACCTTGTTCTGGTTAGCTTCAAGGCTCTTTTGGACACAAATCCTTCACATCAGAAACAGTTACTGTGTTTTGTTTGTGCCCTTTTGTTTTTCATTTCTTAAGGCAGATGCTGTTTTTACTTTCAGGATAGAATAGGCTCGGACAAACTTGATGTGTGTTGGAAAACCTACCCTTTAAATATCCACTAAGTTGTTTTTCTTACATAAAACATTATGTAAGTGTAAGGAGGAAGATCTGTTGATATTTTCTGTGTCAGTATAACATGGTTTTTCGTCTCTTAGTTCAGCGCTGCTCTTGCCTTTTTATTTTTCTTCGTTTTCTTCTTTTTTTGACAGTGAACCTGACTAATTAGGGAGAGGTAGGTCTTAGCTGAGGTTCAACACCCTGGCAAGAACTGTTCAATGTATGTGTGGCCTGAAGTGTGACCCTGCTCTCAGCTCGTACCAATTAAAACCTCTGTTCCAATTATCAGACGCTTGGTATGTGGAGTATTTGTGGCACTGCGGTGACCTCTGCTCCGGCCCATTATTCTGCAGCACCTTTGACCTTGGTGGTTACGCCTCCAAATGTATGATTAACATCTCCGTGTATTCTTTTACCCTCCATCTATATATTTATACATAAGTTGTAGTGCACAGAGATGAAAAAGAAGTATTTGTGGCTCAGAGTGATATCTGAAGTGGATGGGGGGTTAGAGAGGAGTTTACACACCACATACCTCTCATAGCTCGCTCCATGTGAGGGCATAAAGGTTGTACTTGCTGTGAGTGGCCCCAGGGAAAAGCATCTCAGCTGGGGAGGAATGCATAGGGGCCCACTAGCTTTAGGAGGACACTAGAGGCTGTTATGTCAGGTGGATGCAATGAGATAGGAGTACAGTGCAGGACGGGCGGACCATTACGGGACAAACTACCCACCCCATGCAGCTGCCATGCAGGGGGCTACACATGCATGCATGCACATAGACACATGGTTTCCTCAGATATGCGGTGCCTTCATGTTAGACATGGTTTCTCATCTCAGAATCTGTTTGTCATGACAACATTGCGCTTACATAACATGTCTGAATGACTGCGATCATCACCCTCTGCCCTTGCTCCACTAGTTCCGCCAAGGTAACTGAGAGGCAGGAGAGCATTCCTGATGCCTGCATGCCTCGATACTAAGCAGCGAAAGAAGGGAGGGATTTCCCCCGAGCTAACCATTGCATATTTACACACCATTAGTGGTGCAGCCTCATCCAGCTGGAGATAAAAGTCAAGTGTGTTATCAGTGGAACTGGTCACACAGTAGCCGACTCAAATATCCCATGGAATAAAGGGAATAAATGAAAAAAAGAAAGTAATTTCCTCTCCCTTTATTAGATTCTCTTGTTATAGTCTTGTTTATTTTTATGTAAAATGAAATGCATGTGGACTCAATGTCCCCTTTCCATGATCATATTATATCCCTCTGTTTGGGGTAATTTGATAATACATTGTGAGATTGATACAAACATACCACCCAAATTAAGTTTCTGCTGTCCTGATGTTAGCTTCTTTATTCTAACTGATCAGCAGGCTCTGGAGAACCGAACTAGAGTCTTAGCTACTTTCAGGCTAGTTTTTTAGAGAGTTGTTCTAAATGCTGCTAAGTTTTGAGACATTATAAGCAAGGCAGATAACTGTTTGAAGCAGGATATATGTCTAAATACCATCAGACTTTGCTCTTCTGCTGAAATGTCTCACTTGTGTAATTCACTCTAAATAAAGTACAAGGTTGAGGCTCCATTAAGGAGTTATGGCATGGCCATCATAAATTTATTAAAAATCTGGGAGTTCATGGACTGTTGAAATTAGAAAATGGCCTTGTATTTTGTTCTGTTCCTCGAGTATTTTACATTTTTATGAAAGAGCAACAGTCAGGTTTTTTTCTGGTGCTTTTCAAACGGTCAGTCCTGACTCCTGACTTTAATTAAGCTCCTATCTTCATAGCCTTTCCTTTATGACTCACTGGGAAAAAAAGGCAAGAATGTGAGGAAAAGAGGGATGGCCCATATCCCACCATCACCCCTTTCATTCCCTTTTCTTCCTTGGGAAACACAATTCCACTGTCTCTGTCTGTCAGTAATGACTTAAAGACAGTCACACAACTCAGCATGATGAAAATGACATGATATCCTTTTAAGTCAGTGCAGGCTTTTCTTACTGCATGACCTTTATTGTTTTATTAAATTAAGATAATGAAGTTATGAACAACTGTTTAAGTGAATTTAATATGCCATTAATATAAAAGGAAGAATCACAAGTTTCTCATTTACAGTAGAAGAAAGTTTTGGTTTTGAAAAAACAAGGGGAAAGAAATGAAATGGATGTTTGGCTGGAAGTGTATTAAAGGCCTGTTTTGAATATGATGGTTGATCAATAGTTTATTTACATATATGTGTATATATATATATGTATATATATATATATATATATATATATATACATATATGATTTTAAAGCAGCAGTGGTCTAGTGTTTACCGAAGGCCAGCTTCTTTTCTCTCTTATAAGATTTAGAAGTTTCTTCTTTTTTACTCTCTAAGTTGCTTTATCTTATGCATGGAAATTTGAACTAGATCAGCCTAAATCTGGACTCATGATGCCACAGCAGGCTGCTTCGCCGGTATAGTTACGACTGAGCAATGTTGACATTCCCTTTAATTAAAGCAGTTTAAATGGCAGTAGATCAAATCTAACATCAACTGAAAAGTGTTACTTTGTCAGGATTTGTAGAATAATAGAGTTCAGTATTGCCCGGCTTACATCATTCTATGTTCTGCAACAACATGATAGGAGCATTATATATGGGCCATGAGCTGGCCTGCTCTGCTCTGTGAACCACATGTTCTAGTAGCTGCCTACTTGACTTGGCCGTTCATGTTCTCCTCCACATCTGTATGTCTTTCCTTTTGTGGGATTGAGACTGTGCATTTTCTTGTGCCTAAATGACCGTGTGTGTGAGGCTATCAGGATAAAGTAATCAGGTAAACAGAGCATGAGATGAAGCAGAGAAGATAAAGAAGGCTCCTGTTCTCTGGGGTTAAGCCCTCCTCTCCCCTGCTGTCCCCTCCCTCACCTTCCCTCCTGGAAAATGTGAGGAATGTTCCCTCTTCCTGTGGGACCTGGACAGGAATAGAAATGTGAAGTGAGCGGAGAGGTTTGCTGTTGTGCGTGTGTGTGTGTTAGTGTTTCTGCGGCTGTGTGAAAGCTGCTATAAGTCAGCGGATCCTGAACGTAGAGCTATGAAAGTTCACAGACAGACAGGAAGCAGACACAGCGTGTGAACGACAGCATAAAAGAACAAAGAAGAAGAATAGTCGACTGTCAGAGGTCTAGGGCAGCGGTTGACACGAAATCTAACAGCATTGAGTGTTTAATCTGTTGCACCTGTACAGTAATTTGACTTGGTCAGCACTTTCCCCACGTGCTCTTTGCTGGGGTGTAACTCATCTTACTGCGGTGTGCTTTGTGTCACTGCTACATTATATTAAGACACCATCACACCACAGATCTGTGTCTTTGATTTATCTGCCTGGGATTTAGCAGGATATAATAAATATTGCAAGAGGGTCCATTACCTTCAAATGGCTATAATAAATCACTGCGCTTCTTATGCATTAGCGCTTTAACCTTCCTCTGAGACCAGATTCATAGCTTTGCAAGATTTTCCACCATTTAAGCATCCAATCATTGACTTGCCCTCATCCCATCTACTTAAATTTACTTATTGTTAATCAATGTTGTTTAAAATAAACTCCTCTTTGTTCCTGTCTGAGTGATATGGATGTTTCTGTTCTGCAGGTCGAAGGCTGAGAGGGAAAGCTTTCTACTATGTCGGAGGAAAGGTTTTCTGCGAAGAAGACTTTCTGGTGAGTGGTCAATACACAGTCGATAGCGAGAATATCTTACCTAAGGTATGCGCTCTTGTAACCTTTGTTGTGACTCCATCAGGGCGAGATCTCTCACAGGACCTTTCTCAGGCTGAGCTCTAATTACAAAAGTACTGAAACTTCACATGGTCTTAAGGTTTACAAATAACTGTCACTCGATCTTTAAATGAGTTAACCTAACACACTCACACAAACACATTCTGTTTATAATCTCTCAGCTCAAATACAAAATATCAGTGGGAGACTTTGACCTCATGGCCCACTTTTTTAGCATCCAATGCAGGCGGTGTGTATCAATTTTCTCCCTTGGGTGGGACTGGAAGGAGGTCAGTAACTGGAGAAGCTGCTTTGCTTTGGTTTATAGAGTTGAGCGCAGCATGGGCATTCACACCAGTGCAAAATAATTGTGTGTACTTTCAGAATGCATAATCCACAGCTTACACTCGTAAGTCTTGAGAAGTTTATGTAGATTTAAGCATGTATATTTTGAGTTAGAGTGCAGATTTCTTTCTGTTTAAAACCTTCATCTAAAAGCTCTTTTTTGCTCCGTTAAAATTAAAATCATTATAATATGAGTTTACGTAGGCTCTTCTCTCTGTGCACTGTTATGCTGAACCCGTAAATGTGTATCTCCTCCTCAATGATACAGTTCCTACATAATTACACATAATAATGCTGAGCTGACAGACTCAAATACTGCATCAGTAAAATGCCAATCTCTACCATACTTAAGTCCACACACTTAAACCCGTTCACGCTGACCATTGAGATTTTCCAAATAACACACTGTACAAATGCTGCTTTTCGAGAGTGGAAAGCTGTGATTTTAAGCAGTTTTAAGAGGAGGTTTGTGATTAAAGTACACATGCTAAACTGTAAAGGCTACTTTTGATTATGAGTGTGAGATGGTGTGGAGTTTCTCAGAGCTCAGTCTGAATCAGAAAGTCAGAGAATTCAGTCATCCGTTAAATAGCCAAATTCCACTGACATCATTGCTGTCTTTTCTCCGTCTGTTGAAGTACTCCGGTTTCCAGCAGTCTGCAGACAAGTGTAATGCATGTGGACATCTGATCATGGACATGGTGAGTGTCTGTTACCCCTCTCAAGTTGTGTGTACTTTTGTGGGTTTGGGCTTTGTGTGTTTGTGGGTCTGAGGTGATCTCAGCAGAACTCAAGAGTTACTTCACCAGGAATGAGCTTTTTGTGGGCACATCTGGACAAAGACTCATGAGGAAGCATTGAATCTCCACATGCATCCCCCCTGTCTGACACACACTTACCTAACACAAAGTCTTGTGGGTAGAGCAAAAGCAGACATGCATACAGATGAGTTAAAAGTCTGAGGAAACCAGTTGTATTTTATGTTTTTTGTGTTAACGCTGTCTTGAATTTGTCAAAAAAGAGTGAAGTCTGACTTTTAAGTCAGTTGCAGCGCCTGAAGCTTCATTTGACTGGTGGGATTTTAGTTATATATCATGCTGCATATTCTGAAGTTTTATTCTTAGCTTTGTTCTATTCTTAGCTGCTATTAAGACCTGTTATTTCCTCGGGGGTCATGAAAATTTCATCTGATTTAAAAGGAAAGATTGTTAAAAGCAGTGCCTGTTTCCATTGCGTTGGATTGAGAGAGTGAGGAAATATAAAATCGTAGTGGCAGATTGAAATGGAGTATTGACATCGTGATTTTCTTAACTCCTTCCTATCTTCATAGATCCTTCAGGCCCTCGGGAAGTCATACCACCCTGGCTGTTTCCGTTGTGTCATCTGTAATGAGAGCCTTGATGGAGTGCCCTTCACAGTAGATACTGAAAATAAGATCTACTGTCTCAAAGACTATCACAGGTGAGCATCACATGCTGCCCAGTATTTTAAAGCAACAGGGACACAAAACCTGGATTCGTCTGTTGATTTAGTTCAGTGTGACAAATCTGAAAAATGTTCAGGTTTCATATTCCAGATTCCCTAAACTTCCCACTGTGACAGCAGAGTCTGGATGAGAGGGTCGCTTGAGTTTCCCTCTGCCACGTGTTACGGACACATGAGAAGTATAGTCAGGAATAAAAGAGGGAGGGAGGAGGATGAGGGGGAAAAGATCACTGTCCAGTTAGAGGTGTGAAGAATGGCGTGCAGCCATGACTCTTTGTAGCCCATATGAGCAGTAACCAGCTCTGAGAAGACCATTTTTCACATCTGAGTGGAAAATCCAAGTGTCATGTGTGAGAAAAAAAAAAGGAGTCTGCTGTAAAAGTTATAAACAGAAGCACCTGTTGTACCTCAGCAGTTCCAGTCTTTCTTTTGTCTGCTGGGACAGCATGTTCAGTACAGCCAGGCACATGGCCGATGACTGTCTGGCAGCTCTCACATGTTCTCCACACTGATTAAATCAGATGAACCTCATTGTGTTTACAGTATGTGTTTGACTCTAACCGCAGTCATGCCCATCCACACTGAGAGCCTCTTTGTTATTTCCCCCTGACCTCCAGGTGCCAGCCATGTGTGTGTGGAAATAACAGATTCATTTTCCTTCTTGTTTTTGTACTGCTTTTGGGGTATTTGAGGATTCACGTGTGTTAGAGGAAGCCAGCACATCTGCAAACCTGGCATCTCGGAGACTAATCGAAAAGTGGTCAGAGTCAGTTAAAAAGAGAGGTAGCAACAGCAGGTTAAAATGTCGAGAGAGGGACATCAAATATTCACCCTTACAGTTTTTGTTGTTCACTTTGATTTTAGCCTTTTTATTTGTGGGCAGTGTAACAAATCTGTGAAACACATTTCTTTTCCTCTTTTCCTTACACAGGGTCCTGGCTCCTAAATGTGCAGCCTGTAACCAGCCCATCCTGCCCTCAGAGGTAGGCTAAGAATCATCACAAATTGATAAATTTAACACAGAGATGTTTAGATTGTACTGCAGTAATACAATCAATATCAATCATTTTGTCTTTATGGAGTGTCAAATCAAAGCAATGACAATCTCACGCCATAAAGTCTAGGCTTCACTCCTTGGAATAATATGTATGGAGACCTAACATCGATCCACATGAACTAGCACTGCGTGGCAAAACTTTCTGTACCGAATATAAAATAAGTTTTTTTCTACATCTGAAAAAGTGGAATCCTGAACTCAAGGTGTAGACATTTGAATACATACACCCATTTACAACAGAAGACAAGGCCACTTATCTGTAAAACAAGTGTGCTGTTTATGGCTGAGGCCTCCTGTTGTTCACCACAACAGTGCCAGAGGGATCAAAAATGGAGAGACACAACAATCATTCAGATCAAAGTGACTCAGGAAGTCCAAGTTATTCTCTGGCTACATTGCACTGCACTGTACTGCCAGGAGTGTGATCAAGCATAAGTTGAATATAGTTTGATTACACATGTTGTGATCAGCAGAACTATGGGGTAGTTTAAAGTTACTGCTCTTTTTAGTCTCGGATGTGTCACCAGGACTTTATTAGTGATCTGATGGCCGAGAGATGACAGGCAACCAAGGGAAAGAGTGATGGCAGATGATGTGGCCAAAGGGCTTTAGCTGCACCTAAACCACTGATCCCCTGTTACCCCAGCTACAAATGCCTTGCCTCTCAGTTTTCAAGTGACTGCAATAACTTGAATATTGAGTTTCATACCAGTATCAACCTTAAATACACTCAGACTGACAAAGGTATCGTTCCTACGATTGGAAGATCATGGCTAGCTCTCTGAGTTTCTTGGTATTTGTTGTTTGACCCTGCACATACTTAATAAAACAGAATAGGGAAACAACTTTTAGCAAGGGCATGGGAAATAATTCAGACTTTCAAGGCACCTATAGTGTCATTTGTAGATCAGCTTGATGCCTTTATTAAACCTAGAAGCTTTGGATCCTCAACCACCAGGTGGTCAGTAGATTATAAACCTTAATCTGCTTATGTTTTCTCAGCTATCACCTAAACACAGTACTTATCTGTGCATGCAGCGGCTATTTTCATATAGCAGTATGTCCCTCTAGGCTGCAGGTGAGGGCTAATATCTCTGGGCTGTGATTAGATGTGTTGTCATGGGGGAGCAGATGGATGGTAGGGGGGATGAGCAGGTCACACACGCAGACAGGACATGCTGGCAAAAACAAAGAAATGTCCAAAATTAGAGTTGACTTTGCTGGAATGTCCCCCTGCCCTCCCCTTTGAGTGAGCAGTGAGCCGGGTATTTAGAGGAGAGGCTGTGTGTGTGTATTTGTGTATGTGTGTGTGCTTGGGTAGGGGGCTCAGTCTGTCCTGTGTATTTATATAAGCTGTTGTACGAATGTTCAGGAAAGTTTTGTGTCAGGCTGATAGTCTAACCTGAGAACGATGATTTAAAAGTAACAGCTTGACTCTATCTGGGTTTCTGAGGATGAAAGGTGCACACCACCTGAACATGCTGGTTGAGATAAAGGATGTTTGCATGAATTTATAAATGATTTTCCTGCAGCTTTTTCTTTCTTGCAGGTATATTTCTTCAGTATTTGTATTTATACCAGTATGATTCCTATGACCAGCTTTGATTTTAGGAAGTGTGAGCCCCTGTTTTTCAGTCCGTCTAACAGAGTCACTGTCATACCCTTGAAAATTTAGGAAAATTCAGCTCTCTGCTATTATCAAATTTGGAAACTTTTGTCATCCTGAAAAGATGATGTCAGTTCTGTACTTTGTGTTAAGATTTGCTTCAGTTGTCTGTCTGGATTTCTCTTGCAGGGGTCTGATGAAACCATTCGAGTTGTATCCATGGACAAAGACTACCATGTGGAATGCTATCACTGTGAGGTGGGTTTAAACTAATCACATCCTTCCATTTCCCAAAGTGGAAATGAAGCTGTGCATTATAGAGACCTGCATGTATAGTGGCCCTGAGCCAGAGACGGTCTGAATAGCTCATTAGGAGAAATCATTATGGGGAGATTTCCTGATGTTAATTACAGTCTAGGTGGTAGTTATATACAGCCAAGGAGATCAGGTATGCAACTCCTCATCATCCGGATCTACCTCATCATCATCATACTCAGGTGCCTCTATTTTTTTCAGATGCTGATTGACAGCTGCTCTTATTGAACTCCACAAATAATCATTATCCAGGAAGCTCAACAAGGCTTACGGAGCTCACTAATATTCTTAAAGATCTGATTTCTTTCCAATAAACAAAACAATATATAGTTATCTCTACACAAAGTTCTTACGGTTCAGTCTTTCATTTGTTATGAAGAGGCAAATGTAGGGCAGACATCAGACTTGTTATGTGTCATTCTTTAATTATATCTTTTATCATCCTCCTATCCTCTTTCCGTCCTCTGTCTGTTTCAGGAATGTAAGATGGAGCTAAATGATGAGGAGGGTCACCGCTGCTACCCTCTGAACGGCCACCTTCTCTGCCACACCTGCCATTTGAAAAACATTGAGTCAGGCTGCTCCTCTTCTATCTCTTCCTCCTCCTTCTGATCCCTGCTATAGATGGAGGGAGGGAGACACCTGGTGGATATATACAGGAACTGCCAAAGAGTGATTAACAGCAACAGATTTTTACAATTCTTGTTGTAGAGAATTGGTAAATATGATGTATTACATCATACTGTGGCTTGTGTGTATTTGTACCAGTTTTAATGAAGTTTATATTTTGCAGAGACAGGTTTGAAGGTTTGGAATTAAGTTTTTTTATTGCATAAAGGCACTTCTTTGAATGCATTGATTTTACTGACTGTCAATAGATTTTGCAAAAATGTTGCCGTATGATTCTTTTCAAAAATGTCATTTACATTTGTTATGCAAATATTTGAACTGACTCATGTTAGGGTACCCTCAACTTTATGTTCACATTTTTACGGTTCATATTTGATCCATTCAATATTTCTGACAGGAAGAATATATCAAATTCTGAAATCAAACAAACCTCAGCTACCAAATATATGAAATTTGCAACAGGAAAAAAATGTATAATCATATCAAACTTATGGAAACATGTAACCTGTAGATGTCCACAGAATATTCCCAATGCACATTATGTCTTCCCCAGCTACATGCAATAAAAAGAGTGTATATATTTATGTATGAGAAATATGCAAAGATGGTGTTAAGATTATTTAATCACACCATGACAGATGTCGCTCTCCTTTTAAAATTTGTCCTGGTTGAGGTTATTTTTCTCCTTCAAGGAGATACATTTGTTTTTCATTATCCATACGAAATCTCCTGCATGAAATAAAATTGACAAATTTTTTTGAACACAACCATTCCATTGAAATGTGAAACAGTGCCTTTATCCTGGGGATTGATAGGCCTTAATGCTTTTGGTCTTCACATTAATAGAAATGCATGTAGTATTTTTTCAGGGCAGGAAGATTAACAGCTCTGATTTGTCACATGCTGTATGGTGCTGACACTAAGACATAGATGTGTGTGTACTCTAAACAGCAATGTGGTTGACGTAAAGCCTGCAGGTGTATGTATAACATAAAACATTGTCTATTTAAAATGAAGAGATATCATGAAGGCCTGTACTTTTTTCTCACTTTAGGTTAAACACATTGTCTACTTTACCATCCATATGTTACTCATTCATGCCGTGGTTTTAATAACCTGACACAAAGGTTGCGTAGGTTATATGAGGCCCTTATTTCATAGTCAACTTTAGGTTAGGACGAAGAGCAACCATATGCATTTATGTTGTATGATTGTTGTAGAAAAAAGTATTTAATAAATTCATTGCAATACTCCAAATGGGATTTTTGCTTCTTTATTTGCGGTACAAGACGGTACTGGACGCCAAACTTTAATAAATTCCTTGAGTAAACTGTCGGACATTCAGGTCCTAGCCCTGTCAGAAACCTGAGTCTGCCAACAAAACACAAACTGCTCTGTCAGTAGATGCAGTGTTCTCTCAAACACTTCTCTCCTCTGGGTGAGGAGGTGGTATTAAACTCAGGCATTAAACTCTCTGATAGCTGGAACTGCAGCTGGTTTAAACCAATGAGCAATAACACATCCTATAAGTACCATGCAATAAAGGTCACTGCACCTGTAAAGGCTTACATGGTTGTTGTGTACTGCCTACCAAGGAGTCACTTGGACTGCTTTCTTGTGGAACTGGACATGTTGCTCTCAGACATACCTGATGATAGCACACCATGCTCCCTGATCAGATCCCATCCTGCCTTGCTGATAACTTTTAATGGATGAGGGAACATCACCTACAGCTCAACCAAGACTGAGCTTATCACTCTAGCCAGTCCCACTGTGGACCCACAGATCAATATCCAGTTTGGATCTTATAACCTCATGCCTACTAACTCTGCCCATGACCTGGGTGGTCATGATTGATGACCAGCAATCCTTCAGGGTTTCATGATCGCCTTGAGCTCTTGGTACTTCCGTTTTGCCCACTATAACATTATGAGGATCAGACCCTTGCATTCTTTTTTTTTCCTAAATCAAGTCAGAGGTAAGAGTTGCTTTAAATTGTTAATATGGATTTGAAAATATTGTGAAACGCAAAATAATGGAATTTTTAAACACAACACAATTGTTATAATCCTGAACAAAGACTGTGACAGTAGATCTGCTGCTCTCTCTGCTTCTGATTTATAATCACATCTTTACAAACTTCAATAAGCCTTAATCAGGTTTGAGCACCTGTTTCAACTTGATTATGACATTTGTGGTTGAGATATTAACCCCTCCTGTGAAGCTGCCGTTTCTTAAGGATTGGAATAGCCTATGGAAAATTGCATGATGTAGGAAATATTGCACACTCACACAGAGCCTTTAGGTTGCGTTTGATGGGGAACCCCCAATGGTCCATAGTGCAGTCATTCATTGATTTACCTGATAGATACACTTGTGCACCAGGACAATGAGGTCTGTGGCAAGAGCTCACTCAAGAACACAAATACTGTGCAATAGTTTAACTCTGTTTTTCCTGAATGTCGTAGTTTTGAACTTGCATTTGTATCACCTAAGTTTAGAGTTTGCGGCTCACTAACAGAGAATCAAAAGAAAAAGCCAGCCAGGAGTCGAACCTAGAATCTTCTGATCCGTAGTCAGATGCATTATCCATTTTGGAGGTGCCAAGACACCTGACCCACCTCGCTCCCAGTGTGCATCCTCCACTGATGTATGATTGTGAGTGATGTCTGGTGGTGGGCGGAGAGGCCATAGGTGTGGCAGCCATGTTTCCGTCAGTCTGCCCCAGGGCAGCTGTGACTACTAAGGTAGTTTACCCCCACCAGGGTGTGACTGTGTGAGTGAATGAGTGATGTATCCGATGGAAAGTGTTTTGAGGGTCTCTGATAAAGCGTTAGAAGTTTCCAGGTTTCTGGACCAAACAGATAAACATGAGCGGGACAGAGACAGACAGAGACAGACATCTGTTGACAAGGATATCAGCAATAAAAACCTGACCGTCAGAGAGCAGAAGAGATGATTTTCTGTCGTTTTGGATGAAAAAAGAGGTCAGGGAGGTTTGGTCAGTCCTGAGTTGAGACATGATAAATGGAGAAGAGAAGAGAACAGAAGAGGGAAGATGTGACGAGATGAGACCAGACAAGAAGAGATGATTTTCTGCTTTTCTGAATGCAAAAAGAAAAAAGATCTTTTAAAGTGAGCATGAATTTATGGGAAAGACCATAAACTCAATCTTTTTATATAACTGGGATATCCAATTTGTCTTTCCAAATTTAACAGTTCATCGTGTACGAGTTATTATAGATATTTATCAGGTTGAAAATGAATCTAACCGGTTGACTTCTGCAAGACTTGAGTGTATTCTTACTTTCCTCCTCTTCTATCTCATATTATCCGATCTCTCTGAGTTGATATTGTACTGTTTGTGTGTAGTTTTTTTTTTTTTTTTTTGAAGCCACAGCCCCTGAAGGCAACACGATGAAGATTAACTGACTGAGGTTTCATAGCGTCAAGCAGCCAAACAGAGTCATGTTGTTAACAAATCAGAGAAACCTTGTGCATATTTATTTAATGTTACAGCACATACACTCAGGGAGAGAAGAGTCACTGCTGCCAGAGCCCACTCTGCGACTGATGTGAAGTGGGCCTTTATCTGTGTCGACTCTGCCTCTGAGGAGTCAAAAACAGGTGTTCTTTGTCATGTCTGCATAAGCTGAGCAGAGGCTGTTTAAGTTGTGAGAGTCAGAAAAATTTGAGTTTGAAAGAGATAACTAACAAATTTTACTCTAAAGAAACTCAGACAGATAATCCCTGGTGTTGTTCTCAGGTGTGCCAACATCCTTTCACGCTGCTTTTCTATTTACAGTAAGCTTTAGGCTACTTCATCACTTAGATTTAGTTCAGTGATTCTTAGGCTTTTTTCTTTCTATGTGTAGAGCTGGAACTTTTTCCAACCTAAGAAATAAAACAAAGATGAACTAAATTAAAAGTTGGATTTAAAAAGATCTGTACTTGTGTTAGTTGTTCGGTTAAGGTACTCAGTTTTTTGGCAGTGAACAAAAGGTACAGCATAGTGTATAGTTTAGTTTTTTCATTTAAGTACTTTCATTTCAAATTTAGAGGAAAACTACTGCAAACTTTATAATTTTACCTGTAAATAAATCCAGTGATATTTTTTCCAAGCGAGCCATATGTTTAAAGGGATTTTATGACTGATTTTATGCCTATTTTGATCCACTCTGTATTGAATATCTATCTTAACTTCATTCTCTTTATAAACTATTATTTCTTCTTGTTATTATCTCATCATTTGAAAGTTGGGCCAAAAGTCTTACAATATCTCAACCCTCTCTCGCTTTTTTTCATCCCTTCTTCATTCTCCTGATAGCTGTAGCCATGATGACAAAGCTAATCAATTGCATTTCATCTGATTCTAAATCAGCCGTCCCAATATGCCACAGCAGGTGGTGAGAGGAGATCTGAGGCAGGGGAGGAGAAAAAAGACAATCATACAAAACGAAATATACATTTTTCTTGACACAGGGGTTAAATTAGACAACATAAAGGAGATGTGTTTGTCTGACTGTAGGTGTGAGCAAACGATTTGCTCATACTTTCATCAACAAACAGTTGCATATGTATTTGCATGAGCAGATTAGGAGGAGGGGCTGAAAGTCAGGTTTGTGGCTCTGGCTTTTAAACAGATAGTATTTGAGCTGAAGTAGGCCAGAAGTCAGGCCCAGGAGAGTCAGTGTGAAAAGATGAGGGAGAGAGATTGCATGAAAAGAGGTGGAGGGACGACGTATGGAGCTTTATCTCACACTAAAAGTTCACATAAACTGTGACATCTGAACTCTGAATGTCTTAAATGAGCTCATGTAAAAGGTAAATACAAAATAAATTGACATTGGTACAGACTGTGTGTGTCTTATATGTTTGAGTAAGGATGAGCATCTGACACTGATTTAAACACAGGTCACATGATTTTGTTGCTATTGAAAAATTTAATATTTCAAACAAAATTATTTATTGAAAATACAAAAAAAATTATTGGAGGACAAAAAGGTCATCTCATTTGTCCGAGTGATAAAAAGAAAGCCATTGAAAAAAATATATTTAAATATTTTTAATTTTCATAAAAATATTAGAAATATAAACTAACAAAATGTCTCAGTTAAAGTGTGTTTTATGGGACTGGTTTAGACAGGATTAGACTTCACCGCACTACGCTGCCCCCCTGTGTCAAGTTTGAGGATCTAACCTCATAGAAAGAGATCATTCCTTCTCATAGATATCAATAATTGTGAGTAGCCTTAAGTAATAATTTTATTTGTTTAGCTTCCGCTTAAGTAAGAGCTCTATAGTCCTACAACGTACACAATGTTTGATATATGTTACACTAAACTAAAGAGCATGAGTTTCCACATCAAAATAATACTTTGATAAACACAAGGCTTCATTGTTTTTTGTTTTTTAACTTCTGTGTTAACCTCATAGACTGTATATACTATTATATATGTATATATAGTATACAGTCTATGTGAAGGGACTGCTGGGGAAAGGAACAGATATGTGTGCATTTGAAATAAACCACAAGAAAAGGATTCATAATGCCGTACACATCGCCATTCTTTTCTTCTTCAATGAAACTGCATTCTGTAATAATAGTAAACTCAGCTGTAATGACCCATGTAACTGAAATCGCTTCTTTCGGACGGTTGGAAGTACATAACAAGGTGAAATAATCAAAGTTTTCCTAACCACTGGATGGATTCAAAAGTGTGTGCCTTTAATGATTTCATTCAGGCTATTCAGATAAGCTGAAAACAATAGCCCTCTGATTCGGAATATTTGCTGTCCCGAAAATATAATGTTCTCTACCTTGACAGATTACTGTACAGTTTCTATACCCAAGTACACTTGTATGTGTACATTTTTGAGAGACATAAAAACAGAAAGAATATTTGCTGCTCCATTTGACATGTTGTCATGATCCAATACTTGTTTTTTTTTTTTGTTTGTTTGTTTTTTTAACACAAGATAATTTTCTTCCACAAGCTTATGAGTGGATGCATGAATTAATAAATGAGTGAATCAGATATCACCCATGCCAATTCAGTTTTCAGACGTGTCAGATTTGAACGTACACAAAGTCCGACACCAAAAGTATCTAATTAAATGTGCCTGACGCTGAGGTACAATGAAAGGCTGTTGGGACCATTGCTCAGAGATGCACCCCCTGTCTATCTCTGGCTAGGAAGGCCAGAGGGCCATGAAACATAGCCTGGTTACTCGTACGTATCCTCTCTGTATACTGTGAGAAGCATGCGATGCAGGGACCAACAGAAATGCATTAATGGTGGGGGTGCATTCTCAGGCAGGTTGCAAAGACATCCCTTGTTTCTAGGTTTTCCTGGAGAGAGAGAGAGAGAGAGAGAGAGAGAGAGAGAGAGAGAGAGAGAGAGAGAGAGAGAGAGAAGAAGGAAAACCAAGAAAAGAAAGATGGAAAAAAAAACAACTCACAAGATTTACTTAAAAATATATTTTAAGTAAATGATTTAAGTTAAATTTAACGCTGCAATGTCAAGTAGCACTCACTTGCCAGTAATAAGTTAATTCTACTTTCCATAAAACATAACAGATGTGAAGATATTAAGTAACATTTACTTAATTACATCCAAATTTTAAGTTATACTTATTTCAACAAATTAAGTAAAGACTGCTTGTTTTTCATAGGCAGGAACCTCATTTTACTGAAAATTTTAAGTACATTTTATTTCTCTGTAGTATTTGCTGTTATGAAGAAATTAAGTAGATATTATTTACTTGTGCTTGACATTTTAATTTATTTGGTTGATCAGATTTCATATAACGCTTTTTCAGAGACCCTCAAAACACTTGCCATCGGATACATCATTCATTCACTCACACAGTCACAGCATCTTTAGTGCTGCCTTCCTGGTTCATGCCCAAACCTGTTTTGGCTTGATCGGACATGAAGTCTGTAGCGATTCGAATTTATAATAAATGTTTTGAGATTAATAATCTTAATTTATGACATTTATGCACTCGTTGAAAGGGACACCACCCACCCTGGGAAATGGTGGGAAAACAAAGAAAAACAGAAGTTTGATTCAGAAATCAAACATTAAGTCAATCTTAAATTAATCAATCTTATATCTCAAGCCAAAATTCTCATTTCAGGGACTCCACTATTTATTACAGGATAAATGATGGTACAACGTTCATGCAATAAATGATGATAAGATAATAAGAATAAATAATAAGAAGTGAACAAAAGAATCTAAGTCAGGCTGGGACCACTAAAGTTAATGAAGTGAGTGAATATACTTTAACATATGAACCTACATTAACTCTGGTGTAAAGCTAAATTTGGATGTGGATTTGGATGAACCTAGGAGTACCAGAATAAGTGAATATCTGAGTCATGACCACATGAGACTGCATCAGCCCTGTTTGGAGCTCTGGAGGTTTGCAAGCTTAAGTGAGACCGGTCCTTGGAGAAGATGGAGCAGGTTCTGAAGGTCCGGGGCTACCGGCAGTTCGAGAGGATTGGCTCAGAAGACGACTGAAGTCAGCTGAAGGATGGGCCAGGAGTCACAGCACTCGGACCCAAAGCAAAAACCAGCACCTTATGTGTCCTTTGGATGCTTCTTTGGTCTCACTCAAAAACTCTGACACAGAGGATGACTTTGAGCCTGCTCGGGGGCGTTCAGAGGTGACTTTGAAATCATGCAGATAACTCAGAAAAAAGGGCTCGATGACCAGTCGAAACTATTTCAAAAATGACTGCGAAATTAAAGAAAAATCTGTTAAAGGCTTAATCTTGAATTGCTATGCGCACAAAAAGCTGAAGTTTCAAATCTTAAACTAAGACGTTGCCAAAGAAAAATCAAACAACATGAATGAACACGTGGCGTGAAACTTATAAGGCTAAGAAAAAGTAAGCCTAAGTTGTAAGAGCTAAGAGAAAACAAAAAAGAGGAACATGGAAGAGCGTGAGCAGTGAAGAGTAATAAGAGAGGGAGCACCCCATGAGTGGGTCATGGTGCAATCAGGACCCTGATTATTCGATCTAACTTATACTTTTGGCTGGTAAAAGAGTCAGATCTGATACTCACTCACTATGATTAATATCATTGAATGCTAGGTTTCATGATAAATAATTTGATACTAAACACATATAAATAAATGTAGGATCACATCAAACATTCTCATTATGTTTCAAGTATCACACTGAACATGCTAAATTACTCTGAAATAGAACAGATAGTAACACATAGAAACTGTGAACAACAAAAGAGTAAACAGATGTGAATGAACTTCATCATGATAAATAATGGATTCTTTATCCTCATATTCAGATTATTTAATGACATTGTAACCACCTAATGGTTAAAAATACTAAATAAATGATTAAAATATAAACCAAACATTTCTTAACTATTTCTGTTACTTAGAGTAAAGTTATGATTCATAGTCAATAAATTTAACTCTTAAAAGTTCATGAAACAGTCTGAAAAGCTGTTGGTCTAAAGAATAAAGGATTTATTCTGTCAGAGTGATCACTTGGCTTCTGGCGCACATAGAAAAATGGGAAACATCTCATTTTAACACAAATTTCATGATTAGACAGATTAGTACATTGCTGAATGCATAAGATGTCATTATCAGTCATTTATATTCTTTCCTGCAAGAATGTGTGGGTTTTACCCACAGAGTTGTCTCGGTGCTACAAGTCAGTCACCACGTTTGAATGAGGTTGTCAAATATGCAAAGTAAAGTTTACTTGCTTCAAACCAGTTAATCACATAATAACATGAACTGAGTAAATATCACTCAATTATCAATTGACATTCTTTAATAAGTTAAAAAAAATACTAGTGAATAGCAAGTAACTGGATACTGTTTTAGACATTTATTTGTCTAATAATACAAGTAATACAAGTAATATCCACTTTTCATATATATATATGGCCATGACTTTAGATAGCAACATAACACCATGGCATTATGGCATGCATCTGTTCATGCACAGTAATGTGGTTCTGGTTCCATTCAAGCAGCATTATCAGACCATTGTCATCATCTAAATGTACAGTTCAGGCTTCATTACAGAGCACGCATGTAATAAATACATGCTCCGAAGTGCCTAAGCCAAGTTGGGTCAAGTTTACCCTATAGCACCATATTGTCTATCACAGGCAGCCTTATGTTCTCTTTGGCTTTGTGTCAGTGTCTTTAACAATGCTGACTTCATTTCAGCAGCTCACTCCACTTTCCCCTTATTAAAAAGGTAGCATGGGTAAAACGAGGATAACTGTGGCTTCAGCAGAGAGGGAAACTGTGAGCGTTGTCCACAGTTAACTAACACAGTTTGAACCATACAGTGAAGGTTAGTGTGTGAGATACTTATTGAACACATTAAAATTTCTATTTTTAAGCAACAGAGTCAGCAAACTGTACAAGGATAAACATCCCTTTACACATATGTTGGTCATAACAAGAATCATTATTGCTGAGTAATTCTTATCATAGCATTTAAATAAATTTGTAACCATGCATTGCTCATGAGCTCAAAAAACTTAGTGGTGTCTAAAATAAAAGTGCCATAGATTACAAAAAAAGCAAGTGCTGTTTGTCTAATTATTGCACTGTGTGCTGCCACGAGGTAGCTCTATGACTACTGTAACTCAATTCAAGGCATAAATAATTATCCACTATTCCGGTCACTGCAACAGAGTTATGACTACGTGATCATCCTTCCCCTGCCACAGCATCTCCCCCTCAAAGTCCACCAGCTTCTGCTTCCTCGCTCTCAGAAGAACCCCCACCAGTTTATTGGAGATGGTTACATAATGCTCAAACAGTTTCCCAAATTCGACAGCAATCACCTTCCCACCCACATCGCCGTCCTTTGGTCCTCCGATATTCCTGATCACCTCACACAGCTCCTGAACTTCTCTGCTTATGTGAGTGTGAGCATCTTTCCCCCGCTTCTCTGTCATTGATCCCTGCAGGGGTCTCCCATAGTCATCCTGCCCCCTCTGAGGGGCCACCACACTGGGCCTGGTGGTGTTACTGAAAGGGTTGTTCTTTTGGTACTCCTGATGCGCATGGGACCATTTTTGCCAGTTCTCCTTTAAGCCTTTGACACAGATGATGGACTCTGCAGAGTCATCTTTTGGCTGGACCAGAGCATGGAAATCATCAACCTCTGGGATGTCAGAGCTTTGGCTGTGTGTCCCCATGGCTGTTTACACTGAGGAAAGAGATACACAGCTTTGAGAGACCGTTCAGGTTTTAGCTGTACTCCTACAATGAGAGGGGCAAAATGATATTTGACTAAAATGATCTTTAAATATCATGTGTTAACATATTGATGTAGTTTATGTTTTTGTGACTAATATGTCTCGATGAGTAAGTGACTATTTGGTGACAGACAAGTGGTGTTCAGTTATGCCCCAGATGTTTAGCCTGAAACATGTACATCAAACCAGGGACAAAAAAAAAGGAAAATGACTACCTTGTTACACTGATGTCGGTTAATAATAAAAACTAGAAGTTTATTCTAAAATTACAGCTTATTAAACAGAATTCAAGAGAAACATAGTCAACACAGTCAAACTTTATCCTACTTACATGTCACACCCTGGTTTGGTCCTCTCTTCACCTGCAGTTCTGTTTCATTGTATCCAAAGTTCACAAAGACCGTGTGATTGTAATGTTACTGTACACAACTTAACAACACAACTGCACTGCTGACTGCAGCAATAGTATGGATGATTTTATCTGTCCCGAGACGAAAACACAGTGATGGACAACTGTCCAAGCCAATAGCCTGTAAGAATTAATCATCACAGCCAATCAGGGATTACAAAGAGAGTGCTACGTGTGCACGTGTGCACTTGAAGCAAAGCTGATTACAGGCGAGAGAGAGTGAGCCAGAGTTCATCCGTATACAAAAAGAGATTTTTTTCTTCAAGTGCAGAAAGTTTTATTTCACACACAAACAACAGTTAGACAACATAACCTACTTATATCTTGACAAGTAGTCAAATTATGAAAAAAAAAAATCTGACTCTAACCGAAGATTTTGCGTACACATTTCGTGCTTTTAGGCCAATACGCACATAAAATCCCGAACACGTTGCACTGTTTAAGATAATTTTGATGTGATGAATTAAAATGCAAGACAGAACTCATTTTTCTCCATTTATGGCAATTTGGGCTTCGGGCGGAACATTTTTGCAGAACCCGATTTCTAACCGGACGTGTTTTGAAGTCACACCAAGATGGCGGCCACCTGCAGTCGATCACGCCTTCAGTTTCTGCTACACCTTGCCCAAGATAACCTGGACTTCAGGTTACCGGTAACATTGCGTAAATGCTGTTTTCTGAAACTTTTCAGCTCACGAGTTAAAACTTAAATAAAGAACTTTGAGTAAAGAGCAAAGTTAAGCAGCAAATGACAACTCTGCGAGCTAGCTCCCTGCTAATTCAGACTGAACTTTCAGTTTCATTGATGTATCCACCCTTTAAAGGGAAATTTCACAGACTGAGCAAATAAATTAAGCTGTCTTCCATTAAAGCAGTGTCGTCCTGGGAACAGTTTATCAGCCTCTTTGGTGGCATTTTTCCCCCAAAGAACCAAAACAAAAATGATCAACTTTTGATCTCTGTACCTTTTGTGTTGTTGTTGTTTTTACAGGAAATAAAAGCTTTGTTGGCCCTCAGAGGAAAACCCTTCCTTCCTGGTGTGAACTTCAGTGAACAGGTTTGCCCTTCCTAGTGTGTCTTAAATGACTTTACAGTGATGCTCATTCATGTACCCGAGTGTCCCTCACCTTTGATTTTGGTGTTTACGTCCTTCAAGTCCTTGTACACATGATGAATATATATGTATATCATTTACATGAATGCAATTTTTTTACTCTACAAATAGTGGAAATGTTAAAATCTGAGAACAACGAGACTGCTGAGGCTTATTTCAAGCTTAGCACTATTAGAAAACCCAATTCCATTAAAGTTGGGAAATTGTGGTAAACGTAAATAAAAACAGAATACAATGATTTGCAAATCCGTTTCAACCTATATTCAGTTGAATACACTACAAAGACAAGATATTTAATGTTCAAACTCATAAACTTTTTTTTTTTTTTGCATATTATAATTAACTTTAGAATTTGATGGCAGCAACACGTGACAAAGAAGTTGGGAAAGGTGGCAAAAAATACTGAGAAATTTGAGGAATGCTCATCAAACACCTATTTGGAACATCCCACAGGTGAGCAGGCTGATTGTGAACAGGTGGGTGCCATGATTTGGTATAAAAGCAGCTTCCCCAAAAATTCTCAGTCGTTCACAAGCAAGGATGGGGTAAGGTTCACCACTTGCGTGAGTAAATAGTCAAACAGTTTAAGAACAACATTTCTCAAAGTGCAGTTGCAAGGAATTTAGGGATTTCAACATCTACGGTCCATAATATCATCAAAAGGTTCAGAGAATCTGGAGAAATCACTGCACGTAAGCAGCACGGCCGCAAACCAACGTGACCTTCGATCCCTCAGGCGGCACTGTATCAAAAACCGACATCAATGTGTAGAGGATATCACCACATGGGCTCAGGAACACTTCAGAAAACCACTGTCAGTAAATACAGCTCGTCGCTACATCTGTAAGTGCAAGTTAAAACTCGACTATGTGAAGCGAAAAGCCATTTATCAACAACATCCAAAAACGCAGCCAGCTTCTCTGGGCCCAAGCTCATCTAAGATGGACTGATGCAAAGTGGAAAAGTGTTCTGTGGTCTGACGAGTCCACATTTCAAATTGTTTTTGGAAATAGTGGACGTCGTGTCCTCCGGGCCAAAGAGAAAGAGGAACCATCTGGACTGTTATCGACGCAAAGTTCAAAAGCCAGCATCTGTGATGGTATGGGGGTGCATTAGTGGCCAAGGCATGGATAACTTACACATCTGTGAAGGCAACATTAATGCTGAAAGGTACATACAGGTTTTGGAGCAACATATGCTGCCATCCAAGCAACGTCTTTTTCATGGACGCCCTTCCTGCTTATTTCAGCAAGTCAATGCCAAGCCACATTCTGCACGTGTTACAACAGCGTGGCTTAGTGGAAAAAGAGTGTGGGTACTTGACTGGCCTGCCTGCAGTCCTGACCTGTCTCCCATTGAAAATGTGTGGCGCATTATGAAGCGTAAAATACGACAACGGAGACCCCGGACTGTTGAACAACTGAAGCTGTACATCAAGTAAGAATGGGAAAGAATTCCACCTTCAAAGCTTCAACAATCAGTCTCCTCAGTTCACAAACGTCTATTGAGTGTTGTTAAAAGGAAAGGTAATGTAACACAGTGGTAAACATGCCCCTGTCCCAACTACTTTGGCACGTGTTGCCATTAAATTCTGAGTTAATTAATATTTGCATAAAAAAAGATAAAGTTTATGAGTTTGAACGTTAAATATCTTGTCTTTGTAGTGTATTTAATTGAATACAGGTTGAAAAGGATTTGCAAATCATTGTATTCTGTTTTTATTTACGTTTTTCACAATTTCCCAACTTCAATGGAATTGGGTTTTGTAAATCAGTTGCAGATATGTTGGGAAACTGGCATGTAGCCTGTTAGCCACAGACTTGAATAGGTCAGCATTTCAATGTTTTCTCCTATCAGCATACCATCACGTGTAAATCTTTCATTACCCACAGACAGAACTCAGTTTATTTGCTGCTCCAGAAATAAGAGGCTCTGGTTTCCACTGCCTTGTGTGTGGCTGCACCTCTGCAGGTATTTGGCAATTGTCAAAAGCCAGGGTGAAGTGTTCGTTTGCCAAATGTCTTCTTTTCTTTCAGAGTTTTCTAGTTGGCAAAATCAGCTTTCCTGGTTTTATAAATTGGAATATGCTGTTTGCCTGCACAAACACTAGAGCAGGATATTTGAAAGACGCAATCACAACTAGAATAGTCAAGTCTATCAAAATCCATCATAGTTTATTAATGTGGCAGCTTTCAAACATCATAGTTGATGCTTGACAGCTGCCAAATTCATATGAACTAGTCTTGTAGATCTCCTTTGGTCACAGGCACTCTTCCTCTCTCCTCTTTTCTCTGCAGTCTCCTTTCTGGTGTCTGGATGGTTTGTGTGAGGAGGATGTCCGCACCATTACGGCCAGATCTGTTTGTGCGAAGTGAGTGATTTGATTTTTAAGGAGAGGAAAAAATGGCCTGCTGTATACTGAGATTGAATGACTTTGAAATATTGCACGTAATGTGTTATTCTTGCAGGTCAGCTATTGAGTTGTGGGGTCATGGAAAAACACACAGCGAGCTTAAAACATCCCTCCTGAACTATCCATCAGAGAACATGGTATGTGATGCTGTGGCTTATAGCTACTCCTTGTTAAAGTCCAGTCCCTGCAAGCGAAAGAAAACTTATTTAATTTAATTTATTATATTTATTGTGTATTCTCTTACAGTTACCATACATGCAGAAAGACTCCACATATAAAATCAGCGTCGACACTTTTAACAAGACTCTGCTGTTTCCAGAGAGGATTAAAAGGATCGATGTAAGTATGTTTATTACTGCAGGTTTGAGAATGATGAAAAGAGGTCATAGGAATACTTATAATGAATCTTGTATTCCTTACATGGTTTGTATTGTCTCTGTCCAGGCTTTGGAGTATCTACCATTTGAGGGCACAGTGAGTCTAAAGACCCCTGAACACATCTTCGTTTTGCTGGAGGATTACGGCACAGACCCTAACAACATCCCTGAGCACCCAAACTACATCTATTTTGGTCGATGGGTGAGATACATTTGTTTACATTTTACTTTACAAGAGTTCATCTGCAAAGGAGCACTTTCAGGAGCATTTTCATATTCTCCTCCATCAGTTGGCAGATGGACAACGTGAACTGATTCGCTCCCACAGTGTAAAGAACAGGCACTTCATAGGAAACACCAGTATGGATGCTGGGCTCTCATTCATCATGGCCAACCATGCTAAGATCAAAAAGGATGACCTTGTGTTTGACCCATTTGTTGGCACAGGTGAGAAAATCACATACACATTCATACTCACATTTAAACACCTGTGGAAATCAGTGTCATTAAATGACTTCTGGTCTCTGTATCTGTTTTTTTTTAGGGAGCCTGTTAGTGGCGTGTTCTCAGTTTGGAGCTTATGTTTGCGGGACAGATATTGATTACAACATCATTCATGGCAAAGGTAGGATCTGTTTGCTCAGAGCTCACAGACACACCAACTCTAGTCTCCAGTGTTGTTGCTTTTATATTAAACTTTTGTTGAGGGCTGCACGATTTGTTGCCTGACCATCACTATTGCAATATGCACATGTTTGCACATGTGAAATAGTCATGTTACATGTTGTGCCATGTTAAGCCTATGACGTAAACTGAACCAAGAGTGCTGCTATGGCAGATGAAAGAGACTTAAAGGGATATTGCGGTGTAAAATTAATTTAGGGTCAAACACACAGTAACACTAAGTTAGACACCCCCTCCAGAGATCTAGTTATACCAACTTTAGTAATGACCGCACGAAACCAATACACAGAGTTCCACGTCTCCACGCGCAAACCTCAATGAAAAAGCCACTCTATAGCCACAAATAATGCTCAGAACAGCACCTAACTTCATCAACAGTACATATAGGGTCCCTGGCATAGCACTAGCCACCAAACATCTTTTTAGCTTTGCCTGATTTCTTTAGCAAAGAGACTAAACACAACTCAGCCACTCTCCTCCAGCAGTTGCTTATTTGTAGGGGGGAGCCCCAACGACTCGATCACCGAGTGCAGCGGATCATTTTCTTGAAGTAATAATCATCATCATCGGTCTGATTACATTTCCATGTAATAATGATCAGAAATGTTCTTCCTTGAGCTGCGAAACTCCGCGGCACTTGGTGATCGACTCATCAGGGCTCCCCCACAGACAAATCACATGTTGTGCCATGTTAACCCTTGACCTAAACTGCACCAAGTTTGCTGTTATGTCAGATGAAAGAAACTGCAGCCTCTAGTTGTATGAATATGTGATTTTTTTTTTTCATTTCATATACGTACACAAAAAACTATACATTTGACTTTTCGTTTATATTTTTTTGGCTTATGCATCTCAGAAAGAAAATACATCACAATATTGATTTTTACAATGTTATAAAACCCTTCATAAAAAATGTATATTTGATACATGTTTGTAAATAATTTCTTGGGGTTATTTTGATGCATAGTGCTCTCAGATCAAGACTTTGTCCAGCTGTATTAACCTTTCCTCCATTCTCAGGTCGGTCAAGCCGTAAAAACCGTACGTGGCGAGGACCGGATGAGAATATTCGAGCCAACCTAAGGCAGTACGGGACAGAGAAGATGTATGTAGATGTAATGGTGTCTGATGCCGCTAAGCCTGTGTGGAAGAAGGCCGCTCTGTTCGATGCCATCATTACTGATCGTAGGTTATCTTGTTTCTTCTTGACAAACTGCCACTGCTATTCCAGTCACAAGTGAAACAATAATTAAAAAAAATGTAATGTACACTTTTATTAAAGGACCTTTTAGTTTGGTTTTCTTCCTTTTGATTCTAGCTCCATATGGTATCCGTGAGTCTACAAGGAGAACAGGCTCCCACAAAGACATCACTAAACCTCCTGATGGCATGTAGGTTCACCTGGTGCTCTATGTCCTAACGGATTTGAATCACACATTTCTATTGTGATTTTTTTCACCAGTGTTTCTGTGTTGATGATTTGTTTTTTTTTGTCTGTTTGTGTTTATTTGGTTCTCTGTCCTTCAGCTATGTAGAGTCTCACGTCCCGGTCTCACAGGCGTACCACCTGAGTGACATCTTCACTGACCTGCTGCACTTCTCTGCACACCACCTGGTCATGGGAGGACGGCTTGTCTATTGGCTGCCAATCTACAGACCGGAGTGAGTAGTCTGACTTATCAAATGGCGTTACTAGCTGATAACATAAGTGGCAATTTTTAACCCCAAAGTCAAGGGTAACTTAACCCTTTGTTGGTCATGGTTAGTCCTTTAAGGCTTGTCTCCTCACAGTTGAATATTGAAGTTTCCCAATGGGCTTAGACTGAGAGATATTTTAGCTTGAGGGCTGCTTTTGTCAGCAGGGGGCAGGCTAACACCACAAACCTGATTTGAACTACACACTGATGTGAGCGCAACGCTTGTTATTGTCTTATCTAATTCCCTTAAAGACTAACTCGTACGTGGTTTTGAGGCAGAGTTTAAAATTTCGCATGATGAACTAAATAGAATACATTTAAAAAGAGACTTTTTAGATGAACGCAGTGAAGGGTTTAAATTTCTGTATGAATGTGTTTACTCATTTTAACAAATGACTAACTGAGGTGCAGCATTAAGCAGGATGGACTCAGCAGATATTGAATGTAACATTTATAATGGTATAAAAAGTGTTTATCACTTTATTATGATCAATCATTTGATACGCGTTAACTTAGATCTCGACATAAGTAATTGGGTTGCTGTCAGTAGGGGCTCCCATGTTTCTACTGTGGTCATCAAACTTTTCTTTTTCAATAGCAAATAATTCGATACAATATCTGTTATTTTTACATTCAGGAGAATCAAAGAGCATCAAAGCCAACGCAAAAATAAGATCCACACTTATCCACCAGAATCTGCCCTAAGTAAGGGGATTCTGAGCCCATACATATTCACAGCTGCAGTTTAGTGACTCTTTCTGTACCAGCACAGTGTGCAGGTCGGAGTGTTGGATACTCAGGTGTTAATTTTTGTTGCTGTACCATCAAGACAGGGATTGAATATCATTTTTTTGTATGAACATTTAAATTGTGACAACCCATGTGTCTGCAATAGGACAGAACAGATTGACTAGTAAGGGCTGTATGTAGTTTTGTGTTTAATGCATCAAGGCTGTAAAAGTACCTCTTTAAAGAACGAGGAAGAGCAGGGTAGTTTTGTGCAAAAGAATTTGCAATGGTAGGAGTTCTTGGTAGTAAAGCCTGACAAATGGAGGATGGTACTTGGCATACATCACAGAGCTTCTTGTTCTTTAAGCTCACAGCTGGCTCTGAAACCTCACCCACAGCAGGGATCAGCATGGGAGAATTTCACTCTTGGTTCTGACAGCTTCATATTCTCATATCTGCACACTGTATCTTGAACCTCTTGAAAGTCCTCAGAGAGTTTTTGAGTCTCTTTCAGTTTAGGCCCAGCAGTCCAGCACACAAAAGACTCCCCCACTTTAGTTTTCCACCCTCCAGCTTTTCTTTTCCCACTCCTATAAAACAACATCCTGCTACTGTAACCATCTGTGTGAATGACAGTGTTTGTGCAGAGTAGAAGCAGGTGTGTCGAGGTGGGTTACAGTAAACCACAACAGACAATGCTTTTAGATGTTGTCCTTATGAAAGGGCTCCTCTGAAACAAAGTTGTGCATTGTTGGAAGTCAGGAGCATGTGCAGAAAAAAAAGAGCTGACTTTGAGAGCAGGTGTTTGATTTTAAAGGTGTGAACCACAACAGAGAGTAGCAGCAACGGTCGTCAGGGGGATCAAACCCCAGCAGAACTAGCACACCCTCAGGTTAGGAGATGAGATAATCCTGCATCCTCAGGATCTTTGCATGTATGTGAGGAAACATAAACATGAAAAAAAAAGCAAACTTCCCTATCCGTTTGCAGTTTGTGTGCATGCATTGGTACAAACGCATGTATGTGTGTGGTCCTCTGTACGAGCCCATCCATACACGTGTGTCATCATGTTCACACATTTGTCTTTGCTTCTCATCTAGCAGTGCCTGACTCTGTGCCTGTCTGAGCGCCAAGCCAAAATAAACGTCTGAGGCCAGCAGAGTCAGATATGTGAACTATCTGTCTCTGCAGTCTGACCTGTGAGTGTGTGTGTTCATGTTTCTGTGTACAATCGTGTGTGTAAGCCCAGACCAAGCCTGTCTCCTGGGTCTAATCTGGGGCTCTACGGGGGAGATATCAGGTTTCTGTTGCCCTCACATACATCTATATGCAAGTCCATGGCTCTGATAGAAACACTGGGGATTGTGTGTGCTTCACTGGAGTATGGAGGCAGTGTGTGTGTGTGTGTATGTGTGTGATGACAGGTGACACAAAACCTGTCAGCAAAAGACGGCGTCTAGACCGGGTCAGACCCTTAAACTCTCTTCCCTTTGTCAGCTTTGAAAAATAAATGAAAGAAGAAAGAGTATCAAGACAGATGAAGGAAAATCACTCATCACAGCCATAAAGGGACCTAATTACAACCTAAACAAGTAAAGCCCAGAAATAAATGTTTGTATTGTCAGAAGTAAAGTGATACGTGTGTCACTGAGTGTGATTGAACCATGTTTTCATTTTGAGGTCATACATTTTTATTTTAATATGCCTTACAGGACAGTTTGACCAATCTCTCGTTTCGTGGTTCTGGCACATGTGCAAGAGGACGCTGTTGACCACTCCAGATTTAGGCTGTACTAAAATGAGATCACATGTATCTGCTGGTGAATGATTAAATGATTTTATGATAGAATAATTTTCTCCATTTAAATTCAAAATTGGCATGAGAAATTGAATTCCTATAAAGGGATTTTTGACAGGCTTTGACAGACCATTATTGACATGTTCATTATTTTCTATGGGGTTATTTTGTCTTATGCTGGGCTTCTACCAAACGATTTTCACAGTCCCAGACTAAAAACTAAGAGTCTCCAGTAAATCAGGGAGTTTTACAGTAGTCACAGCTGAGTCACAGCATTCTGCCGTCATCTCGATCGTAAAGTTTCGTTAAGCATCTCGATCAGTCTTATCCTAGTTTTGGGTTTGTGATAATATCGAACGTGTTTGATATTAGACAATTTTTTAGAGTCTTTAGTCACAGCCTAATCTCAGACTGAATCTTGCAGGGTCACTATTTACAAGACTACAACTAGATTCTTCAGCTGTGTGTTCACATATGACGACTTAGAAGCCGTTAATGCTAATACTCGACACACAATACTCGGTGCAGCCCGTGTGTGCGCCGCACTGATACATCCTGAGTCTGAGGTAGAGTGTAAACTCTAAACAGATATACCACCTCAAACTTAACAATCGAGAAGACGGGAGCCCGCTGTGACTGCGCTGTGATTCCAGTACAACTCCTAGATTTACTTAAGGCTTCAAGTTTTTAGTCTGGGACTGCGAAAATTGTTTGGTGGAAGCCCAGCATAGGCTGTGACTAAAAGCTCTGGTGGATTGCTGGCCTTAGACCTGTGCTGTAGCATAGGTATGAAGCAAAGTGATAAGCAGCAGAGACACAGCAGAGGTTCTTGTTAACCACAATCAGACCACAAAGGCTGCTGAAATTGTTTAAAAAGTCCTGAAAAGTAGGTTAAATACAAAATAAAAGACAAAAAGTCTAAAGTGTAGATTAAAGATGTTAAAGTGCAGATCAGTTTTGTGTTGAAGTGTGACACAAGTGACACTAATGTCCTTGAAGAAGTCAAAGACAAGCAGAAAAAGAAGGTCTGAAGGCTTAAAACAATGGCTGCCTCCACTGACTATAACAAGTACTGATGACCGCTGATTGGCAGAGAATTATCACCTGGCTGCATCACCTCCAGTCACTGTGGTGACCCTGCATTCCACAACCACAGAGGCCCACACGTTGCCACGGCAACAGTGCAGACAAACAGTGATGCACAAAACTTGCTTTGAGTCAGGAGTGTCGTTTCTGTGGTGGTGGTCAGGAAAAAGTGCTACTGACACAAATATGCAAACAAATACATCATCACTGTTAATAGGGCCTAACCTGGCCTGGCACATGATGACAGAGGCAGCAGTCAACCTGTCCGTCACTTTTTCCATCTTCATTCTGTACTCAATGAACTACCAAAGCCTTTGGAGCATTTTTTGCCATAATTTTTCAAAATTAGCTCTGGAAGTTGTTTATTTTTTGACGTCATGCACCAAATCCTTTACATCCAGCCGTTGAACACGTAGTTAAATAGAAGTATACATCCATATAAGTCAGAGTTTGTCATATCAAGCACTGTCCTTCTCTCCAGACATGAGCTCTAAAAGACGACCTTTTACAAAACAAAGTGACCTTTCATGTTGTTGGAAAGCGTTCTGAATGCCAGCTGAATGAGCCAAAACACATTTGTAAACAAGTGCTTCTGTCCACACTCATACATAATGAGAGAAAAAAAACAAAACATCAATCTGCAGACATTTTATGGGAAACTGACATTGAAGAAAGTGATCTGAGTCAAAGTGAGCTCAAGTTTCCAGCACTTCAGACAAGAGACCAATTTGATCAGGGCACAGACAGAGCTCTGTTCTTTGGTTAAGGGTGCCTGCTGATGGATGGTCAATCCAGTAAACCGGGTTTTATATTTCAGTTTTCATGTGTAGGAAACTACACTCTGAGGATTTGTGTTTATGGTTTTCAAATGTCATTTTAATTTGACTGCCGCGGCACGATAATTGATCAAATTTGATCAATCTAAATATCTGCTGAACAATCTGTAAACTTCCACTGGATAAACTCTTCTGGTTTGTCTCTTATTGGACCTCAGAATGACACTTTTCTACAGCTATAAGCCTGCTGTGCTCTACTTTACATGTCTTCTGTCCTATTTTGTCATACAACAACTTTTGAAGTGTTTTTATGCACACACAGAAAACAGTGCATCGATTTGTTCTGAGCTGCAGCACAATTGTTTACTGAAACCCCAGACCCCCCTGCACCTGATTCAAGGTAGAACAGATACAAGTTTGAACTGGCTGTGTTTTAGTTTAATATGAAAACTGTCCAACAAAGATTCACCTAAATTAAGGCAGCCTGAGTGCTCTGTCTGCAGAGTCTGACAAGGCTCACACGTCTTTATTTACTCAAGTAGCATATTTAATGACCTCCAAACAAAGTGGGAAATTCTCTGTTGTCTTTTGGGGGACTGATGTGTAACTTACAGTATGCATCTTGTAAAGGAAATTTTATAACTAGTTGCATAGTTAAGGACCCATGTTGCACAGCTAAGCTCATATAAGATCATTCTTAGTGGAGATGACTTTCCATTCAAAGAAAGTGCTATCAGACCAGACGTTTCACCTCCAATTTCCCTCTCTTGCCCCCGAAACAATCCAACAGACCCTTACACAATTTTTTTTTATTTTTTTAAACTGAAAACAGTAAATGATGAGTGTTTGCATAGAAATCCTTTATTTATCCTTGAAGTACAGATTTCCAAAACAGTGTGTGTTCACTTCACAGCTACTGTGAGGAGATGGTGCCTCTACACCCGTGTCTGCGGCTCATCAGTAACTCTGAACAGACTCTCTCCAGCCACACATCACGACGTCTCATCACCATGGAGAAAATCAAGGAACCTGAGGTGTGTTCATATGAATTTAAAATATGTTGGCGTTTAAACTTAAGGATGTGTAGACTGTTGTATTTTTGTGCTTTTTATTTTTAGATTTGCCCATTTCTAACCAGCACTTGTGTGTGTGTGTGTGTGTGTGTGTGTGTGTGTGTGTGTGTGTGTGTGTGTGTGTGTGTGTGTGTGTGTGTGTGTGTGTGTGTGTGTGTGTGTGTGTGTGTGTAGTTTTGACTTGATGATTTTATCTCCTCTGGTATATTTTGGGGGGTGGTTTTATCTGCTTTTGTTACCTGCTTTCATGGGGCTGCTGCTGATATTTGCAGGGCCACACATTCCCCTACTTGCTTGCATGCTTTTGTTCTAAACACTGTAATCAGAGAGTCAGCGCACTTAAAACAAACTTAAAGCTCGATGGTGGTTTACTTGAGGTCCAGTGCTTCCAAGTAAGTGCAAGTCTAGTTGCGGTGTTGACACTCTTAATGTGTCTTAAAGTGGCGGTTCTCATCTTTAATCACTGAAGGAAAAGGACAACGTTTCATTTAAAGATATTTACCTCATCCTAGGGCTGCATGATTAATCAATTTTATGATGATGTCAAAAAAATTAAAATCATCAAATTGATTTTCCTCTCTAACATGTCTCGGGCCTCCAGGCCATCGTAGGATCCCCCTTTCTGCAAGAGTGCTCCCCAGTTCCTGCACACACCAGTGTAAACATACATGACGTTTGCAAAAGAAGGCGATAATTTTGTGGCTAAAATGGGCGAGAGCAAGTCAGTCGTGTGGTATTGGTACGGCTTCGCAGTTTTGGATGAAGAGCAAATCACCCCCCGCTGCAAAATTCAGGAGTAAATGCTAAATTTTTTGTCACATTGGCGTTTCATCCACATGGGAACAGCGTTTTAGTTGACTGTAACCAGTACTCTTTGAAGAGGATGCATAAATCTGTAAACGACTACCATTTCACTTCTGTGTAGATGCCTATCTGCATCTCTTGAAACAATTATGTCACAAACAGCGTAACTCTTTAATGGCGCCTGCGTGTGTCAGGCCAAAACAACCTATATACGCAGGCTGTGTATTCTTCTCCTGTCTTTTGTGCATCTCCTCGGCAGCATTACAGTGCCACTTACTGGCATATGCACTAATTCGTTTCCAGTGGTTTCGTTTTGAGAGATGATAAACAAACTTATTATTAAAGCGAAGTTTGGATAAGTTGTCACTAAATAAAAATCGAAAATCGAGTTTTTGGAGAAAAAAAATCTGGATTTTGTTTTTGGCCAAAATCGTGCAGCTCGACCTCATCCAAACATCCAAACAAATCAGTAAAATCCTCTTTATTACCCTGCTCGAGTTTAGGTCATGTATGGTTGTTGCTCAAAGGTAATGCACAGCATATCTGCCCAGTAACAACGAGTGTCTGTGTGTGTGTGTGTGTGTGTGTGTGTGTGTGTGTGTGTGTGTGTGTGTGTGTGTGTGTGTGTGTGTGTGTGTGCGTGTGTGCGTGTGTGTGTGTGTGTGTGTGTGTATGCTGCAGCGTTTGCTCACTGGGTTTGTATTTGTGAGCACAAGCAGTATCACAGATATGACTCAGTTAATGCGAAACTAAAGCATGTGTCAGCCTGCCCGTGTTATCATGTTATTTAAGCACAGTTCACGATAATGTTTGTACATGCGTAACCACATAAGTATTGTCATGTTCATGTATGCTGACTGCGCATATGTAGTATGTTCTTAACATGTCATCCCACAGCAGTAATGGTGTCTCTGTCTGTCAGGGGTAAATCCTCACCATCTGGTTGTGATTTTTTTCTTTTACAGTCATAAACCCTGAATGGCTCAATCACACATCATGTTGAAAACAATCCATCTTTGGATCTGACTTTCATTTCACTTCAAAACCCTAAATTGTTCCCATAACAGCCCTGTATGACACACACAGAGAAACATTCAGATGTTTCATCTTTTATGGCTTCTATTTATCAACCTACCTATATTTATATGTTCATTTTTTTTCTTCTGGAGGTATTTCATTGCACACATTGTGCACTCAATCACTGGGGTTCACTTCTCTGTGTATGTATATGTATAGTTAATGTGCATCTGTCCTCAACGATGCTGATGTTTTGACCGGTAATGGGCTAGTCTGATTTTTGTAGATGTTTTGTGTCCAGAAAAGTATCTCTGAAACTTCATTTTTTCTCATTTTTGTTGCATTATTTCATGCAAAATTCACTTATTATTAATCCAATACAACAATAGATGCGTGCACCCCTCCACCTGTATGATTGTTAGCAGAGACTGAGTTGATATAACCACAGTTTAATTTGTTTATGTCCTGTAACTCTCATTAATTTGAAGTCATGGTGATGTAGTCAGTCTTGGTTATTTTCCCTTTCGTGTGGTCATGGAGACTGTATCCAGGTGGCTTGGCAGCATCACTAAACAGAAGAGAGGTGTTGCTGACAAAATACAGGCCAAACGCTGGAGTCATCACTTCCACCTCTACTCACCTCATTAGTCCTCTAACCAGCACATCTCTTCCTGCCTTTATCCCTCCACTGACCTCCAGCAGCTATTTTACAGCCAACACAAACTGTTTAACTCTAGGATTCCTGACAGCTCAGATTCATTATGAATACACAGGAATAAGGTCCCGTTCCTTCACGCAAACATGGAAAAAGTGATACAGTAATTTCACTGACAGACGGTATACCTGGAGTAAATTGTTGAATGGAAAAAACACGGTATGATTATCATATTCGGTATATTTGTAATTAATAGAGAGATGTGACATGTCTGATGTACATTTCTTGAGGAGTGTTAAAACAGTGTAGGCTGCTATCAAGGTTTTTGTTTTTTTCATGACATGCCTAATTCTGTCATTTCTAAGGCTGTTTATTCCTGGAAGCTTGATAGGCTTGTGTACTTTTAAAGGAAAGTAAACAGAAATATCAAACAGGTGTCACTGAGGAAAACATAGAGCAGGTTCAGGTCCTCATCAGTTTAAAAACCTGTACCACTTTGTCTTTACAGGAACTGGACAGCCTGGCTCATCTAACAGACCCCCGCTTTGGCCCCTACCAGGGGCACGACACCTTCAGAGAGAAGTATTTCAGTGGGCTCAACAAAAGGGGTGCCAAGGAGGAAGATAAATCTGATATCAATGGAGAGTGAGAAAGTTCACCACCTGCAATGAAAAAAAGTTTTAACTGGACTGAAGGAAGAAAACGTGATTCTCAATCTATAATGTTATTTTTTATTATTATTATCACTGTTCGATTGTGATTTTTTATTACTTTGCAAATAAATGGTAAATAGATTTTGTTTCTAAAGCAAATTTTTCTAGTCATCTGACCTCTCAAAGCACTTTACACCACATACACTTAACACTACATTCATAAAATTATAGGAAGAGCTACAATGCAAAGCACAGCGGTGTTGAGGAGGTACTTCAGAGGTTCATGGCCATGAAAAAGAGCTGTTAGGGATGAAAACAAAGTATGATGACATATAAAAGCAATGAAACTTGATTCTAGTCGTTTCTTACACTACTGGATCTTTCTGTGCACTTCTGAAGAATTTACACTATTTACCTGTATCTGGTAAACACCAAAGACTTTTCCAGCTTCTTGGCCTCAATTCAGAGTTCATGCCTTCTATGAAGCTGATGAGTGTCATTTAATTTTCATGTTACAAGCAATTAAAAATTAGTTTTTGAAGACAAAAGCGAAGAAGAATGCATCTAATCTACTACAGTGAATACAACCGACATTAAGCTGCTAAAAATACAGACGACTGGTCAGTTTTTCTTCTCCACATTTGTGTTTATTTGGCTATTCAGAAACTTGCAACGAAAGCATTAAATGACAACATTTACCAGTTCTCAATAGCAAAAGTGATACCAGGAGCAACCTGATTCCACATGTCATATCAACTCAATCCACGTCAAGGACTCCAGCACGTTTCACCACTGCCACTGAGGCAATAACCTTCGTTTCCATTAAGTTTGTAAACATTGTGGCAAAAACTTGAGTTTTGGTCTCTGACTGGTCTTGAGAGTCGGGAAATGATGACTGTTACTAGTCTCAGATGTGAGAGCTACTGAGCCCAAACCACCTCTGACCGGGAAAATGGAGCAGGATCCTGTCATGCAATCTTTGCAATAGCAGCATTGATGGGTGTATCTTCAAGTTTCTGGGTCCCACAAGGCAACTGAAACGATAAGCATAAGTGAAAGTAGCAACAAGTTAAATAATTTTTGCCTCATTAATGTTTAAAGATGTTAAACAGCAAAACTTAGAGAAGGAGAGCAGCTGACTGATAAAAGAAATGTCTACGTAGGTATTCCTGCTGAAGTCTTGTTCACCTTTCCTTATGTTACCCTCAAAATAAATGCTCACTTGACTATTAATCATAATGTTTTAACTTCAATGTCCAGTTTAAAATCATTTCAACTTAAATAATCCTTTATTCCTCTTTGTGCTGGGGGCCTGCTCACCCTGTTGAAGTTCTAATTTGCATACCATGACAAAATCTATACCATGCATTTCTTCATTAACCTAGGATAACTTTTTGCTTGTCTGATTTAATTTAGAAAAAAACCTCTAGCTTTGTTTGGTCTCCTGATATTTAGGATGCTAGAAGCAGAGACACACTGTGAGACTATTAGGGACACAGTTCTGTGTTGTTCAGACAAAGTGAGCATGTTTAGGCAAGTGAAACCTCCCTGTGCAAGCAAGAGCCCAAATGACAGGGTGTCCTCAGCTCTCCACACACTACTACTGTTAGTCAGCAGCTTTTGTTGTTTTCCAGCCACAGTTTACATGCAGCACGGCTCATTATTCATCTCCTGAAAGCCACACAGCAGGCGTCTATGTACAATTCCCCTCTGTTCTGTTTATCTGTCGGGCTTTTGCCTCTGAAGCACTCTTGATGGAGAGAGAGTTCTAGGACCATCACATGATACTCTGCTCGATTCGATTGTGGTGTGCATTGTTTGTAGTTATCACCAGAGTTGCCACAGTCACTTTTAAAAAGTAATTTGATTACTGATTACAGATTACTCCTTTAAAAAGCAACTTACTCACTTTACTAATTACTTGATTTTAAAAGTAACTAAGTTGGATTACAAGTTGCTTTTTAAGTTACATTCAGCAGCCTCAACGTATAAATGACAATAATTTTCTTTCCAACACTTACTTTAGTGGGAGTGTGATTTTAACAGGAATGTCAACAAATAGTCTGTCTTGACTGACATAACATTAACATTTTTTTATATATATAAAATATAAGATAAAGACAGTCTTTAAAATAGTGGTTGTATTTAGAGCTTGAGAACACGCATCTCTCTCCTCCCTCCATTATTGTTCATGTTCGTTTTGCTGCTGCTTTATGTGTGTGCACATGTATTACATGTGAGTGGTCATCATGCTGAAAACGTAACTTGCCGCCTACGTACATGACTGATGTCACTCCCCTCAGACAAAAACAAATCCACCTTTTTTTTTAAGGAAAATTAGAAAAAAGTGACGTACACAGTGACTTGGACATGTAACTTAAATCTAATCACTGGTTTGGAAATAGCAACATGTTAGACTACTCGTTACTAAAAAAGGTGGACTTATGAGAGTAGTGTGTTACTAAGTAATGTGTTGCTGGCATCACTGGTTATCATAGGGTGCATTTATCGTTCATCATCATCTAGTTAAATCAGACAATTCCCTCAGACAGCAAGAGGGCTCCCATTCCTTTACCCAACACTCTGTCCTCTTGTCCTCTTGCTTTCTGTCTGTATCCCTCAGTTCATCGTGTACGATTTGCCACATCGGTTGACCTCTCTTTGTTGAGAATAGGACCCTAAATGCTGTCCCTATTTAACTGTACTGAGTCGTATGTGTGTGCGGGTGTCTCAGCTTCACAATACAGTGATGAACCGTGTTCACATAAACCCTCTGTCGCCACTGATGCAGACCATAATTAGGAAGAAGAGAGGGGAGTGTGGAGGGGGGTTCCTCTTTGCATAATGCTGTCCAGACACTGTGGAAATTCTGTTTGTCTGTGTGCAAGATCTGGTTCTGTTTAATGTTGGATGCTAACTACAGCAGAACAGTTTCTCAGTGTAATCCAGTGGCAATAAAATAATTTGAGACTGAAACTGTAAACATTAGTCATATTTAAACAATTGGTATGACTGCATTACATTCTGTAATCCTGACATTTTCCCATAATCTCTCCTTTCGTATACACAGTGAAAATTTGAGTTTTTCCCAATACTGAAAAAAGCTCTATTCCTCCTTTTTTCAAAGTTATTTTCTCCTTGACCTTCAGTTCTCCCAGCCGCCACTTCACCTCTTCACCCTCCTCACCTCTGCCCTTCCCTCCTCTCCCTGTAGGAGGTGAGGGTGGCTGTTTTGGAACGATGGGTCCTGAATAAACTCCCTTGTACTGAAAGTGACCTTCAGACTGCTGAATCAGCTGGTACAAAGAAACAGACCTCCATAATAGCTCCACAAAACTCCTTAAAATTTTTAAATTAAACTGTCCTTGGGCCTTCAAAGTCTATTGCATTGAATGTCTCAAACTGATAACAGACACTGCTGACACTGCACAGGCCACGGGATCAGAAAAATAGACCAAAACAAAATCACAACAGCCAACCACAAAACTGATACCCAGTGTCTTTACATATTTTAAAAGAAATAGATGAGAAGACTGGCACCTTATGTCTCTAAACAAAATACTGAGATGCTGAAAATTAACAACTACCTTAGTCACACATTAAGTCCTATTTTTAGCTTTAAATTAAATGAGGTACTGGAAAAGAGTCTTCGACCGATTGCTGATTGATTTTTGAACTCTGGATACAAGAGGAACAATGTGGATTCTGCCCTGGCTGTAAAACGATGGACCAACTCTACACTCTAGCAAGACCTCTAAAAGCTCATTGATGCTCGCCATATGTATGAAAATGTACATGTCAGTTTCAAATGATGGTTTCCGTCACTGCCCACATACTTCCATGTGTCCTTTACGTTGGCATGGATGTTAACCATTACATCCACCAAGAGGCATGCCAAAGTCAAAAGTTTCTGACAACAACAAACCAAAAAAAACATGGCGACTGTGGAGAAGCTAGTGAAGATGTATATTATGCATAGGAGACAGAAACAGAGGCAGCGTTGAAGGAGGCGGTGGTCCGTCAGGCCACTAAATGCCTCGTGGTTGGAGGACGGAGAACTCTTTCCTCAAATAGTACCGATGAGAGAAATTGACGACGATCATCATTTTCAGTACTTCAGGATGTCCTCCGGGGCATTCAACAACTTGCTTCGCCGGTTGGTCCCCCACATCCAGCACCACAAGTCAACAACACTACCCCCTTGGAAGAGTTGCCCCTTGTCATACTATTTGTAATCTGTATGGGCAGAATCTTTAACTGCAGCTGGAGGAGTAGGGTTTACAGTTTGGAGGCCTCAGAATTCCACCTCTGCTTTTTGCAGATGATGTGGTTTTGTTGGTTTCCTCAGGCTGGGACCTCAAACAGGCTTTTGGGTGGTGTGCAGTTGAGCTGAAATGAGAGTCAGCCCCTTTAAGCATGGGGCCATGGTTCTCTGCTGGAAAATGGTGGTTTGCTCTCTCTGCATGAGGAGTAGGTCTCTGCCTCAAGCAAAGTAGTCAAGTATCTTGAGGTCTTGTTCACAGTTGATCATAAGATTGACAGGTGGATTAATACTTTATTGACTGATATGATGTTGTACTAGGAGAAGCAGATGGTGAAGAAGGAGCTGAGCTAGAGAGCAAGGCTCTTGTTTTACTAATCCATACTGTCCGACCCTCAGCTGTGGTCATGACCTTTGGGTATAACCAAATAAGGAGGTTCCAGATACAGGTTGGTGGATCACTGGTCATCCTTTGAAGGATGACCAGACTCTGCTTTGGAGGAAGGGTCTACAGACTCTACACCCTAGACATCCAGAGGAGCTCAGAGTAGTGCTTTTCTCTTTTGCATCAAAAGCAGCCACTTGGAGTGGTTCAGGAATTTGATGAATAAGGCCTCCTTGACACCTGGTCAGGAAACACCTTGGGATGTCTCAGAAGAAACTTGAAAATGTTGCTGGGGATAGGCATGTCTGAGGATCTTTCTACTAGAATACAGCAGACAGATGGATGGGTGGATAGTTTACAAGTGAACCCTAAATGCTAGTTTTAAGATAAAGCTACCGTCCTCATTTTAGTCAGGTTTTGAGTATTTTATCTTCAGACAAAGCCAGGTTCCAGTTAACAGTCTGTATGTTACAAGCTCTCTAGCTTTTGGCTTGGCACTGGCCAAAAACTTGTGACAGATTGGAGCCATATGCCAATAAAAAGATTCTTCACCTCCGTTTATTGGCATTAGAACCATCGGTGAGAAACAAAAAAATATTTATTGATATATTTATTATTGTAGGCCCAAAATGCTGGTCATACCTTGTGTCTAAGTTATTTACATAGACTGTATATAGAATGGACGCGGTCTGCCTCCTCGCTGAGTGGAGCCACCGCGAGAACAGCACCCTCTGGTGATGGGCTGCAGTAAAGGTCATAAATCCCACCTCCTCCAGCAATCCCTATGGAGCTGTGGACAAACTTTAGAGATTAATTACACAGATTATACATTTTTCTACTCCCTGTTTGTGATGTTGACATGTAGTTACTGTAAGACTGTTTTTGTGCTCAAGTCCCTTTTTTCTGTACAGCTTCATTTTTAAAAGTTATTAGGGGGTTCATGTTTTCTATGATTGACACTTGATACAGCCTATGGGCATACGAAGATTGTGTAGCTTACCTGAGGGATACACTGTTTGAGCTGAGCATCATCACAGCGACTCTCCCGCCGAATGAATACAACGCTACTGTGCAAGTGGTGGTTTCAGGAAGTGGAGAAAATCCCGGAAATATCGAGAGCAATTCAACTTCAAATTCGTATAATATCGGAGGGCGGAACCAAGTTGTCCATAGTATATACAGTCTATGGTCATTTACCAGTGGATGGTGGCTGTAGCTCTGGTTATGGCCTCTGCCACAATGCCATCATGCTCTGCTCTCCAAATGTGAACAAACAGGGATGACAGGAGACATTTCATGACACAGATTTTAATGTAAAAGATGGAGATAAAGGTTTATGGAGGCTGTGTTGGGTATGACTACCATAAAACCACTTGGCCAGAACAATGTGTTACTGACACATGAGGCATGTGGATGTTTATCTAAAAAAACACAGAGGGCCATGCCATCTCAGTCAGCAAACCAATCTGATTTCAGTAGACTAACATAAATCTTTAAAATGTGCCAGTGTGACCTAGTTATAAAAATGAGCTCTGGGTGACTTTCCATTAATGTGGAACTATTCCTCTGATCACCAAAAGGAGAAGAATTCAACCCATGCACTCATCACATTACTCTCCAGCCTTCAGGGAGGATCCCTGCAGTCAGGTGCACTGATGGATAACAAGTGATCACGCACCCGTTGGCCTGTAACACCAGTTCACACTGATCCATTGTCACAGAACAATCCTGGGCGCTTCGCTGACTGAAACGTAAAAGTGTGTGGCAGGGTGGGAAGTGTGAGAAAACTCAAGAGAGAAACTTCATAGCACACATGTGTTTCCAAGCTTCAAACACATACACCCACACTCACACACATGTTAGATATTGGACATATGAGGCACAGGTGCAGTGCACCTGTCTGTAGCCAGGGGAGCTTGGACACCTGCAACTCCCAATCACTTCTCTCCCCCGCCCCGCCTCCCCTGCCCTCAGGTCACCCTGGTGCCCTTAGACACCCGGGAAAGCCCTCTGCAGCCCGTCAGCTGTTAATGGAGGTAAGGTGAGAGCTGCTATCTTAATGTCTGGGAGGAGAAGTGAAGCAAAGGAAGAGCCGCTTCAGTGCCACAAATTACTACAGGACTCCCATCTCACACAGCTGTGTGAAACTGAAACCCTGCTTTAAAAAAAGTGGAGGGAAAAGAGGAGGGAGCGGCCAGGACCAGGAGAGAGCAGAACTTCTCTAGATTTTAATTTTAAGTTTCACAGTCAAAAATAGGTTCACATCAGTGCTGCATGCATGATTAAAGCAGTCACTAGATGACAGCCTTGAGCAGAGGAAGCCTTCATAGCCCCCCCTCCCTTTCTTTAGAGTTCCTGCGTGAGCCTGGTGTACTATCCTCCAGCCTGCAGACTGTTTGCCGTACTATCAAAGCTGCACAGCTTGCAAACAAACAGTTCAGGGGCTAAGCTTTTGAAGTGATAGAGCTGTGGTTGAGAAAGTGCAGAGCTTCTCTGAACACACAACATCCTCTTTAAAGATACTAGCCTGGAAGTGGTGAAGGTTGTTGGCCTCGGAAGTGAAGGGGTGACTGAACGGCTTGTCATACAACTTCCTCATCCTTTTTTCACCTATCTGCAGCCAGCTCATTCACAAAGAATTTGGCTGTTATGTCATATCATGAGGTTTATTTTTAACAAAATGATGCGTGAGGACAAAATGCAACAACCACTAAAGCTTTACTTTGAATAAACCCCCGTGCAGATCTCCCCTTTTGTGGTTAGTGCTGCGCCCCAGCTTCCTGTTATTTTCCAGCATGGGACCCTTAAGTCCCCCTGAGCACTTCACACATACAATGTTGATTTAGTGGAAGTACTTGTTTGTCTGTGTGTGGATGTTTTTATGTGTGTTTATGGGGTCATGACGCTTAATAGGACTGAGAAAGATGTTTTTAGTAGAAACAGCGAGGAAGAAAGAGCCAAAAACAAAGAGCCAGAGTGTGTGTGTATTTTGGTGTGAGCATGTGTGCCTCATTTTGTGTTTATGATGTTTGTGTGGGTTCTTGTGGTTGTCACTGCTGTTCTTCATTAATGACAAGAAACCGCTGGATGGCTTCCTCACGCCCTTTTTTAATGAATCTTAACTGCCAAGTGGGTACACACAGACGCACAAATACACACGCACACACATACACAGCTGAGATGGCAAACGTGGCGACTGTGACAAACTTCCTCTTCTGCCCCTGAAAGGGTCATAAAGCACTAATTGGGCCTGATATAAGACACCAGTGAGGATGGAGCCATTATGAGGGCATTTTTCTTCCATTCATATATTTTCCAAAGCTTACCTTTTCATTGACACTGGGAATCTGTCCCAGCATGCATTGAAGCAGAGGCATAGAAACAGCCTGCACAGGTTATTAGTGTGTCTTGGAGAAAATACTGCCACACCCCCTCATGCTGACATTCACACTAATGAGCAAATTTGAGTCCACAGCCTCTACAGATTTTCATGTATTAGCAAAGTGGGAGGAAACTGGAGCTGCCAAAGGAAATATTGAACACAGCGAGAACACCTCAGAGAGGAAATATTCATATCCGCTGTGCTTTACATGAAACATCAAGTTTGCAGCTGTTTAAGACTGTTATGCTCATATTATAAGGTTCATAAGAGCTCCAGCAGATACCTGTTTCTCTCAGTTGGTTCCTGAAGCCCCTACTTATCTCCTCCACCTTCAGCTCACTTTGCATGCTCTCTGCAGCCCCCCTCATCGTACCTCTCTCTGAGAAATTACATCTTTCAGGATGAGCAGCTCTGCCCCTCAGTACTGAGGAGTGCAGGTCTGCGCTGGGTTCAAATTTCAGCGATGCACCTCAGTGCCTCTGGAGAGGATCTGATTGAGGTCTGGGAGCACCGTGCTTTCGTACATTCGTATGTAGTTCGCAGATTTCGCAGCAGCTCTCATGGCTGTTTAGCTGAGTGGAATGTGTTGTACATGGGGGTGTGCGTTAGTCAAGGCCAGGAAACACGCATGCATGACGCTCAAATGTTTGCTCATCAGGGACCTGCGCAGACTCTCACACCCCTATCTGTTCTTGGCAGCACACTCACACCTGTCCTCCATGGGGCTCAGCACAGCTCACCTGCCTGCTGGTTGTCTCTCTGTGTCTAGTTTTTTTACTCTCTGTGTTTATGCTGCTTGTCTACTGAGCCCCCACGGGGACATGAAGGAAAAAAAATGAAAGAGGATTTTCTCTGGATCTTTTGCATGCTCTCTTAAAACAATTGCGCGGTCTCACAAAGATGGCAAAGGATTATAAAGAAAAAGATTATTGATCAGTGTATTTCTTCTGTGTCAAGTCAACCCAAACCATGGAACGCACGCACCCGTGGGAGAGGTTCATTGCATCTTTTTTTGAGATAGGCCTCAGATAAAAAGATATTACATCAGTTCTGTGACGCAGGCACTGTTTTCTTATAAAACACATGTCATGGAGGATGATTTGAAAAAAATCCTACAGTCAAGATATGTCCTGAATACATGGGGCTCTATTTTCGTTCCTCGCTGGCGGCGTGGTGCAGGTGCAGCGTAAGTCAGGTCTGCCGCGCTGACAAGGCGTTCCCAAGCACATTTTGGTATTTTGGTGAGCGGCGCAGCCTGGCGTAGGTATCCCCCCTCCCTATCTCAGCTCCTCCCAGCGGCGTAAGTCATAGAGAGGGAGGAGAGAAGGCGTGGAGTGGGTTTAACACAGCCGAGACCCGTTTTCACCAATCAGATCAGTTCCTCTCCTTGCCTTTAAATCCGCCACCGGCGAGGCGTATTACAATTTTCATGAGGTAGTCAAAGAGATCAAGAGATGTCTGAAGACAGCAATGCCACACGATGGCGACAGAAGGCAGCCCCTCAACACTTGTTGCTGTAAGCACTGTAGAGGGCGTCCTCCACACTCTCTCATATAAGCACAGATGGATTTAGTGTGTGTAATGTTGGACCCACTGGTAAGACAAACATCCTTTTCCACAAATAAAGACACTCACATAAAGTTGCAT